GATCGAGACGGTCACAGTGCCCGAAATTGATTTGCCGCCCCCAAGGAGCCATTACGCCGAGGCGAATCGAGTGCCAATCACGAGCCTGTGTTTTATGTAGTAGCACCAGCGGATTGTATATGATTCACATTCATTTCCTGTCATAATGCTATTGTAATGTTCTCCGTGATAGAAAGGGAGTCAAGGTCTACGAGAAATTAATAGCCTGCATTAAATGGATGCGCAATGGGAGTAGGAATAATGAACAGAGTGTTGCGTATACTTTGCATAAGCTGAAATGGACCATGCAGAAGGATGCGAACTTAGATGAATGAGAATCAGCGTGGGAAAAAGGATGATCCATCAGCGCCTTGGTTTATGTTTTCTAGCTGCATAGTGCCGATGCGTCGGGTTTGGAGGGGGTTTGTTAGTGCAGTTGGCCCCGGGGGCTGGAAGCTCTTTGGAGATCCTGGGGATTCCCAAGTCAACAATGAAGATGAAGATGATTGACTTCGTTGAATAGAACATTCAAAATGACCAGTCAACAATAAATGACTGTGGAACTGACTGATACGATGTAGTAGTTTCTTCTTCTTGTCGTATTACTTATCACTACTGGCATGTGCAGCAAGTTCACCTTTCATATCCCATCGACTGGTTGGTTTATACGGGTTCTCCTTCCACTATTTCCTACCTCTACCGGAAATCCTCTCCCAAGCGAGACTGATCTGCGGGGAGAGCTACCTCGGAGATGACCACTGATCTCGCAGTATGTTTCCTGACTGGGTCTGAATGGTGGAGTGCAATTAGGGGGAAAGGAAAAAGGAGAGCGGGGGCGGTTGGCCTGGAACCAGCAACGAGGATGTTCCCTGCTAGTTGGTCCGTGTTCGCCGATTGAAACATGGAGCCGAGCAGGGACCATGACGACACTTGGTCCGCAAGTCGTATCCGGTGTGTTCTAGGCGCCGAGCTCCTTTTGTCGCTTGTTGTTGGCGCGCTGCGGGGCAGTGGGGACAAGGCTGTCGTTGTCGTTGTTGTGTCTCAGCTTCCTCCATTCGCGATGGCTGCAAATCGATCACGAATTTTTCCCAAACGGAGAATCGGACTCACTAGTAACTCCGTACGTTAGTAGTAGACGGGTGTGGCTCCCTTTCCCGCTGTCCTCCCCTGAATGATGGTGAGTCCTAGTGGGTTCGCTTTCTATAGGTTTAGCGAGATGGTTGAGTTTGCTTGTCTCGTCCAGTGTCCAAGGAATTCAACGTCACACAACAGCTTATCCCTAATATTTGCATGGTACCGATATGCAGCACGCATAGCGCTAAGCCAAGAAAAAACTCCGAGACCCCGGGCTCGCTGCAGTGCAGAGGGAGAAGAATTCCATGCAGTACGTAAGGGGCGGGAAACCCAGACGAGATTCATCGGGGTATGGAAAATGAAAGCTTGGAGGGGACAGTGGATGGAGATCGCATTGCAAGGCAACCTGCCAACCTGGGGAGCACAGGCGATCTGTCAAATGATCGACTAGCGGAAAAGAAACGCTAACCATTGGGAGAGCTCCCCCTCCAATCCCAAGCTCGCGATTTCCAAGTGCAAAAGGAGCTTGGGCCCCGAGGGACGTTGGAAACAGAGGGGATGGAGTTGGGAGCTCAGTGCAGATTGTGGTAAGTGCGTCGTGATGATTTTTCTTTTCTTTTTTCCCCCTCAAACTCTCTTTTTGCTTTGGTTCTGGTTTGTATCCTTCGTATGGAAGAAAACCAACCCGAAACATGTTTTTGTGACCGAAGGAAAGCGTAATTGTATTCCGCGAGTATTATTACCATTGCGGAGTACAAATACTCACCCGTTCTCGGGGCGGGTCCGCTAGGTCGACGGCACAGCGTGAGACCCCGGTACCTCGAACGATGGGGTCCTGGTTGGCAATGTATTGGCCTATCTTTTCAGTCAACCGTCGAGCAATTGAATGTCATTGTGCCTGAACCGTAGAACCAGGCCCCACGGCCAGACTGAGGCGCCCAGGGGTCTGGCGACTGTATGTCACCCGTGTTCTGTGATTGGATGATTCAGAAAGTAAGAACAAATAAGACTGGACAATCCCGCCAATCCAGGCTTTGCAGAGATTGGAGCATATCTGTACTGGACCTGCTTCAGGAAGTCAGTAACTAAATGACGGTTCAACTTAATAATGAATACGGAAAGTCATGCCTGAAAGTGGTGGCTGGTTGCTGATATATCGGATCTCCTGGGATAACCGTATATACATCGTTGCTCGATCACTAAACGGCGAGCTTTATCTTGAGCGCGCCGCCTGGAAATCCTGGACGTGAAAGCTACATCGGCCCAAGAGGCATCGCACCCAGAATCGTCCGCGCCAAATCTAGAAGGCCGAAATGATTTGTGCGAGGATGCAAATCCCGAGGTGGATATTGCTGTCCCTGGGGAAATAGAATCCTTCCTGTGAGGAAGGCAAGATTGAAGACAAGTATCCACCACCTCTCTTGGCCAGCGTAACGAGGGAAAAGTTCCTCCTCAAAGTGGATGGACGACCAGAAGGGACTCCGATGGTGGCCCGGTGGATCGAATCTCCCACTTTGGCTAGGCAAGCTGCTGCTTCGAGGCTAGACGGATCGCAGAGACTGACTGCGCCGCACATACCAGGGCCACCCGCAAAACAAGCTTTTCTGTGGGACGGCCGGAAAAGAATGGAAAGAAAAAAATCCATCGAGATTCAAGCAAATGGCCATGTACAGTAATTGACGGGCTTGTATGGCTGTAAAATTGGACGGGCGTCACATCGCTACCAAATAAGGCAGGCCAGACTGGTCTGCGGCGCAGTACTGTCGTGACTTGCAGTGGTGGTATGGAGCACCTCAGTACAGTACTGATATTGAATACGAACGATCGACACCGATTGGGTGCCGAGCCGACGGGGGGAAGAGTGATGGTTGTCAAATTGAGTGGTGTCTCGCGGCTCAGGCCGAACCCAAACTCTGTCGGCAACTCTATTCGTGGCGGATGAATCAAGGCAGTGGGACAAGAGTGGAGAGATGGACGGTAAGTCCGTGCCAAGAATGATGTGAAGGGAAAATTGAGAAGAGAAAATCGGATAGAAAGGATAGCCGGGAGTGTTGAGATTGAGAAAAATCGAAGGATGAGAAGGTTTGACGGTTGAGGTTTGTTTCTTTCTCACATGGCACTCGATCACGGGGACTGAATCAAAGGTGCCAATCACAACGTCACGCCAATGCATCCTTTGCGTGATGGGCTTGAGGTACAAAGTAAAAAGTATAGTGTAGAATGTTGTGTGCTTTCATTTATTTCACTCTTGATTCGTATCACCTCGAAAAAAGTGGCTGAATTCCAGCTATCCCCGATTTCCAACGCAATCTATAGGTCTAGAGTACTCCGGATTCTGTAGATAGCACAGACAGTCATATCCAGTGGATGGAAACAATCTCGAAATTGCCAACCAACCACCGCTTCACTTTCTCTCTCCCATCACCTCCTCAAAACGCCATGGTGGGGCAGGATAATGCGCGCTGTCAGATCGATCGTCGGCAGTTGAGTGAATGAATACTACTATAACCCGAAGTTTTGACAGCGATAGTAGTCTTCGGAATATGATTTAGTCCAACGGAAAAGCGTTTCCCCCCTTCTATAGCCGTTAAGTGAATTAACGATGGGCATTGTAGCCGACGTTTCATATGCTTTTTGAAGGATCTAGAAGTGCCTCTCTGGGCTAGACTAACAATCTAGTCCCGTCGAGAAATGAAGCTAAAACGATATTGAGGTCACAATGTAGAGTCTTGGCTTCCCTTTCAGTTAGGAGATAGCGAGTACCTCGTAGTTCAGTTACTTTTAGTAAGTAACGATTCCAGTCCGTGGGGGTTTTACTTAGCAGTACACCGGGCTTTAGTGACCCAGAAGTGGTCCCCGGAGGGTTTTCGTTGCGTATCGTCGCCAAACCCACTAAAAGCCCCTCTCTAAACCTAATAAGCCACAACCCTGGGGTAGCCTAACCCGTTTCGAGTAAATCTAGACGAAATGTTGGCTAGACAGCCTATGATTGGTCCTAGCTAGAGTACTTGCTAGACCTGTTGCGAATTAGCTGCCAATCTCCCGCGGGTTTTGATGATTTCCTGGCGGGTCATGTTGGTATGGACTTGGTAAAGGTGTTGATACCCGTTTCGACTCGGTAATTAGTTTAAGCTTCGGAGTTTATGCATAACGCCGGTAATTTTCCGACTTGTACGACATCACTGTATGAGAGATAGCCTATGTTCAAGAGGGGAATATGGTGGATAGTTGCTATACTGCTAGGAGAGATTGCTAATTCTCGGGAGATGGATTCTACGAGTTTTTCGACAGGTTATAATCGGAGAGAGTAGGAAGACGAAGATTACCCTCGGGTAGCATAGGGCGATTTGAAATCCAAAACGATACTGAAGACGTCCATTGAAAAGCATAAACGTCTATGCAGTCGTAATAGAAACTCAGTAATAGTAAAAGTTCCACATCTCACTCATGAGGCTTGAATGCCATATCCACAGCTATCATCCTAAATGATGAGCAAAGGTCAACTCCTGGGAGATGCCATCCAGGGAATGATTTCTGACTTCTCATCTATGGAATTTGCATAGCCAAGCCCACAGCTGCTATCAGAACATGGTACGCAAGAGTAACTGCTATATGCCACTTGGAAGCCCGCCATTCTGTACGATCTTGATGTGAATGACGACGGACCCAACCAGGTATGCCTAGCTGGAAATATCCTAAAGCACTAATCACAGAGCCCCAATCGGTCCAACTGTGAATAGACCGTTAGTCGATTGCTACGAGGCCATACAACTACTGATAGAATCATTCAAAGCTTCAACTCATTTCATCCGGCACAGCCAGACAATTCAAAATGAATTCAGTCGCTCTGCTATGAGGTACAGCAGCCGCTAAGTCACTACCTGTATACCGATGCAGAAAGAAAACACCCCATTGCCCGAAATCCAGCGAATCTATCGCTAATCCATCTAATCATCCTGAATAGCAACTTCATCCTCCCACTCGTGATGAACCCTCTCACGCGCGCGCTTAATCACACGCTCGATACCATCAAGACCCATCTTGAGCACATCCATCTTAGGACCATAGCTCAGACGCACAAAGTGATGGCAAGGGCTATCGAACAGGTCACGGCGCTTAGCCGGGTTCAAATCGAAGAAGATACCAGGCACGACGATGACCTTCTCAGTCAACAGGGCGTTGAAGAAGTTCAGACCGTCGGAGATGTTGGCCTCGGCGGGGAGTGGGGGGTCCAGGGAGGTCAGGTCCAGCCAGATGTAGAAGGTGGCCTGGGGCACGTCCTGGATGCGGAAGCCAATGTCGTACAGACGCTTCAGGACGTAGTCGCGCTTCTCGCGGAAGTGGGCCTGCAGCGCCTTCATCTCGGTGCGGACCAGAGAGGGCTCGAGCATGGGGATGGCGGCTTCTTGGAAGGGGACGTTGGCGCCACCGTCGAGGTAGGAGCCCGCGGAGCCGAGGGCGTCGACGAACTCCTTCGGTCCGACGATCCAGGCGATACGCCAGCCCGGCAGGCGGAAACGCTTGGTCAGACCGTCAATGAGGAGGACGTCTGTTGGGGTGAGGGTGTTAGCGGGTGAGTACGGATGGAATGGAGAGTAAGAGAAAGCGTACCATCTTGGTTAACGTCAACCACGTTCTCGGCACCACTGATCGTGCTACCGTCGCAATCTGTGGTGTAGTTGTAGCCACCGTAGAACTCGTCCAGGATCAGGGTGGCGCGGTCACGGCAGATGTCTTGGATCTCGGCCAGCTCATCATGCGACACGAAGTGACCGGTGGGGTTACGGGGGTTCGAGGTCAGCAGCACCTGGGTACCACGCGCGATTTCCTCGGCGATCTTATTGGGGTGGATGTGATAGTGGTCCTCCTGAGACAACGGGATGGGGATGGGGGCAATCTATTCAGGGAGCACGCTGTCAGCACACGCCTACGCCTTCGATTCCAATTGCAGAAGTGGAGTACTCACATTCTTGAACAGCGACAACATCTCCGAGTACGCAGAGTAATCGGGGATAGGGAAGGAAAGATACGAATTGCCCAGAATAGCAGCAATTCGGATCAAACCCGCACGTCCACCGGGGACGATGCAGACATTCTCCCAAGTATACTGACTCTCCTTCCCTTGGCGATAATGCTCATTGTACAGACGTGCAACGGCAGCTCGCAACGGCTTGATACCGGCGGTCGGGCCGTACTCCCGCGCAGCAGAGGTGATAGGAATCGAGGTCGGACGGGGGAAGCTGCCCTCGATCTCGTCGTCAGCCTCGGGGGCACCTTGACCGAGATTGGCCCAGCTGGAGGGATCCTCGGCGTAGCCATGCTCGGTGGCTCGCTCTGTACACCAGACTACACCGGTCGAGGCACGGGAAGCATCGAGACCGGCATGGGGACGGTGACCCTCGTGGGCGGTTCGGAACTGGCGATGAGTCTCGGACCGTTGCTCTAAAGGAGATTCGGGCCGTTAGTCCGGAAGATGCTTGGATGTTTCAATCAGATTGGGGATATTCCACATATAACCTACCGTTCTCGGAGAGTCCCTTGCTTTGCGAGAAGCGCCGGTTGGAGGGGCGCAGAATACTGACGCGGCGGCCGGAGAACGACATTTCTTGGCTGCGCTTTTTTAGATTGAGGGCTGATTACGTTGGACCAGGGTTCAAGTCTTCGATAAGCTTCGTAAGATTTTGAGGGGCAGAGCTGCCTTTTTAGAAGAGGAGAAGGTTGGGAGAGGAGAGAAGAGGGGCAAAGTAGTTTTTCCGCTCTGCCTGGGTCTTGGGGGTTTATTGGATTGACTATTGGGAGTTGGCGGTTCACGTTTTCCCGCTATTAAAAGAACCGCTGAGGTGGCTCTTCTGATCGATCGCGGCCCACGATTCGACAAAACCACCGAAGTTGACTCTCTGCATTTTCCAGAATTCCCGCTTTTTCCAACTGGCGCCGAACGGGGCAACCCAAGTGACGTCGGGCGCCTGCTTTCTGGCTCACCTTCTTTTCAAAATATTCAATAATCCCGCAGTTGCCGTCGCAGGGGCCTGAAATGGGCTCGTTCATTGCGCGATATTTCCTTCCAGGCGACCTGCGCCCGAAGAGCTGACGCCGCCAGATCCTATTGCGCCATGCAAGAGTCTAGAAGGAGCTGATCGACAAATGTACATAAACCCTCAAGGCCAGAGCTGGTACAGACTTACAGTATAGATCCAATACCGTAATCGATTATATACTTCAGCCTTGCCAAGAAGGTGGACAAAGTAAACAATAACCCGAACCTTCCGAGGAAGAACGGCATCCCGATCGGCATTATGACGCCACACGATCTAAATCCGGAGAGAAAAGGGGGAAAGACGATAGAAACGATGTAAATTTCCAATGCGCCTGAACCCTGTCCACATGCAGGCTTCCACACAAAATACAACAATTCAAAACAATGACTATGCATACATCAGGGTAAACGTGCTTCATACGTTCGTGGACACTCGAAGAACATGGTCAATAGCAGTCATCATTCGCTCCACCAGGGTCAATCCGAGGGAGCAGAGGTCATGAAAAGGAGGAGAAGAGATCCCCAAAGGTCTCCAGATACTTCACACCGCCGCTCAACACCGTTCATGCCGCACCCAAAACTCATGGAGCAGAGTTATCCTCACATAGACGTCACAGCCTAACCACACGAGAGTCGAAGAGTGTTCCAGGGGGTAGGCGATTGAAAAAAAGGGGGGGGAGAATCAAGGACGGGGACAAGATGGGGAATATGTCTAAGAGCGGTTGGTCACAATCCAATTGGGAAGAAAACGCGGAGGTGAGGAGGAAAAGAGGTAGGGGATAGGCGCCCAGGCAATGCAGATTGGAACTGAATGGCAGCGAATGATCTGATCAGATGGAGACACCTCCACAAGATAAATAGACAACGGATCATCATTCATAAATAGGGGGGAAGTTGAGACGCCATGGGATCAAAAAAATGGAAATGGCATCAATCTAGTCAACCACCTGGCAATACAGCTCAATCTCACCCACCATGCCCTTGGCAAGCATATCTCGGTGCTGCTCACGCCATTCAATAAAGGCAAGCTGAACGGCCTCGTCATTGTCAATGGTAATAAAGTCTCCATCCTCGTCACGATAACGCAGTCGAACGGTCTTGTTGCCAATGGATCGGTTGGTGAATCGGGCCAGCTTGGCGTCAACGCGGTCCGTGAGGGAGCGGAACAAGATGTTGGTGGCGATGACCAATGTGACATAGTTGTCGTCAAAGTTCACCTTCGCCTTGAGTTGAGTTGGCATATACGAATCTCCATCGGGCTCTTGGCTCAAGGGAGATGTCGCCGCATCGGAGACCTGCCCCGACCCACGAGACTCGTTGTACTCTGGCTCGGTGAAATGCGTGGGGTGAGCGTGGTGAAGGTTGGTGCGAATGGGAAGCTGGTTATTCGTGGGAGAGTTGTTCTGGCTTCGGTTGACCGGTGCCTTCATGTTCGCCATATGTGCAGGGATTGGCGGCACCGGAACATTGTCTACTGTCTGCATCGTGTGCACTCCCATATACCGCCGAGAGTCTGGACCATTGTTGTGATGGTGGATGTCGGGACTACTCGCGGAACGCATTCGCTGAGCAGTTCCATTCGAAGACGGTGCCTGTGGTCCCGAGAGCGGGGGCAGGGATGGACGCTGAGCACCCCGTCCGTTGGGTTGCGGAGGGAAATACCCGGTTGGTGTGCTACCATCTCTTGAGGTTCCACGAGACAGGGCGGGGGCAGTGTAACGATTGGACTCCTCATTCCATACACTGGATGCAATTGTCGAATTGGTGTTTTGGCGTCCGAACGAGAACCCAGACTGGGAGCTAGACCGGGTGGATGGGGTTTCCGTGGGCGAGAAATACGAATTCATGTTCCGGTCGCCTGGGGACATGTTGCCAGCACCAGGGAATTGGGTATGCACAGAAAGCGCGGGGTCTCCAGGGTATCGTGGACGGCCATTAGAGTGGGGTACAGAACCAGTACTGCCTCCGGTAGCAGATCGAGTCCTCAGGCTGGTACTGGAAGCATTTCGGCTCATGGGGAATTCGGAGTGGTAGGTGCCATCCTTGGGCATATCCTCGACATCGTACTCTTGCTGGTATGGGTTAGGCATGTTTGCCATGCCTTCCATGTATGTAAACTCGCTGTCCGAAGTACCAGTATTGCGGAGCGTTCGTCGCTCTGATTGGATGGCACGTTGAGTATCAATATCCTTATACCAGTTCCGCATAGTATCTTCATTCACATAACGAATGATGAAGTTGTCGACAACGCCAGGATCACCTTTCCAGAAGATTTGGATACGGTAGAGACCTGTTATCGATTTGTCAGAATTTCAATTTCATAACCTTTCATGAATTTTACTCAAACGTACCAGGCTTTTGAAGGCAGACGATGTCCGTAACGTTTGCCATGTAGATCCGACCTTTCAGTTGAAGACGGGCCTTGCCCTTGGATGAGAGCGAGGGCTTATCTTTGTTCATCATGAGTTTGCTCTTCTGCTTGTTGGGGTTGATGTCTTTGCAGCACAGAAGAATGCGTTCGAACAAGTAGATATGATACTAAACCAATCAAGTCAGCACCTGCAACTCACACAGTTCTCCCAAACGATAGTTCTGGGTGTATTCGAACGGAACAAAAGGGGACAAGTCCAGCAGTACATACCTCTCGCTCACTATCCTTGCCACTGTCTCCCTTGACCACTGCGAAAGTGCCAAATCGAAGCAGGTCTCCAAAGGCTTCCATCTTCAATGACTTCCAATCATCAACACGCTCGGAGAGATCCACTACTGCTGCAGCCAGATGTTCCTTGTGGATGGCCTCGTTGGCCGAGTCCAGTGTATTCTGAATGGAATCGATGGCGTGGGTGATGTCGGCCTGTATTTGAGGGTCTTCGGTTTGTTTGCGCAGTTCCTGTGTAGAGAAAATGGCTTGTCAGAAACAGATTCCCAGGGAGATAGAAGGGTTGTCAGGGTCTACCTACCGACAGCATAAGCGGATACCGGGTTAGCCGCTGGAAAGGCTTGACGAAGAATCCATTCAGAGTTTTGGGCTGTGCGACCATCTGCAGGAGGTCCGGGTGACGGGGTGAGCTCCGAATTTTATCCCACTCCTGCATACAGACCTCATCACAGCGCATCTGGTTGGCGATGAACGGTTCGTACTGCTTGAAAGCTTCCTCGTGCGAAAAAAAGAGATGACCCCAATTTTGCATCTCCTCTGGGAGCGCATAATGTTGCTCCATCCGAATCAGGAATCGCTGGGCAAAGTCCAGAAGATTGTTTAGGTTCAGGAAAATTTGATGGCTCGCATCACCGGTCAGAGCACCCGTCTCCTCCAACTCCTTCTTCAGTGCCTGAAGGTTTTGCAAGTGATGGACATAGTCGCGTTCGGTCTCCAACAGTTCCTTGAGAATATGCTCACGCTTGGTAAGCTTCACGGTTCCCTGTGCACCTACGGGAGCATCGGTCACTTCAGGGCGCTTCAGTTGGCCTTGCATTTCAAGGATATCCACCACACGGTTCACCATTTTGATGACCTTGATGAAGCCTGTGGTGCTTTCACCATAAAGATCAGTGATCAAGAAACAGTCCTGCTGGGGGAAGGCCAAGTCTTGCAAGCAAGCCTGAAGAAACTTGAAGGTGGCCGCCTTGGGGCGCTTCGCCTCGGGCACCTTGGCAGGGTCGACTACCAGCTCCTCATCCGGACCAGATGCATTGTAGATACTCAACAACGGATAGCCATTTCGCAGGCACTGCCACAACGAAGATACTGGATCCGTGTTACCCCGCGATTCATCCTCCGCAGCCATCGCCTGAAGATAAGGCTCGAAGTTAGGAACTTCCGAAAGCCGGCGCTTCAAATTCACACAACTTTGGTAGATGGATTCTCCACCGCGCCGGTTGATGATGTTGTCCTCGGCGACCGGGATTCCGCTCATGGCGGCGGTGTCGATCATTTTGGATCGCCTTGATCGTTTGAGTCAGACCAGCCAGGCTCAGTTAAAATCCGCACAGCAGACCGGGGTTATATATGATCGGGGAGAGCGACAAGTGTCGGGCAACGGAAAGCCGACCATAGGTTTGCCGCGATACGATCGATGGGGGTTCAAGGCGGGCCGCGTGGCGGGAGGCGCAGGTCTAGTCGAAAACCTGAGGCTCGAAATCACGGATAGTCTGGTCGCAATAGGTTGCTGCGTGGTTTCATGCCCCGGGAAAGAAGGGGTAAACTTGTATCGCAAAGTGCACCGCCGGAAAGATATATACTTCGAGCGCGATCTCAAAAACGCGCCCCTACTATTCTCCAATGGGAACCAGGAGGGTCGGGGAATATACTCCGACTCTGACAGTCAGCGAAACCCAATCGATGGGACGTAGGTGATCGGTCGGTCGTAGACGCTGCAGCCGGGCAGGCGTACCGAATCACAGAAAGAAAGAACAGGTCGAACCCCCTTAGGTGTCGGTGTCGGAGTCGGTATGGAAATGGCCCGTCACTAGGACTGGGCGACAAAGCAGATGGGGGGGACACAGGAAGAATCAACTTCCCAGAAGAGGAGAGACGAGCTTACACCCGTGAAGGAAGATGGAGGACAAAGGCGCAGAAGGACAGGCGGTGGGAGGGAGGGAGGGATGATGGGGGGGGGAAGAAAGGAGAGGGTGAGCCGAAGGAGAGGGCTGTTCAGTTACTCTATTGGGTTTAGCGCGTGTTCCATCGGGCGGTGGGATGTGGGGAGGGGCACGAGTCTCCATTTACCTGAGACGCGGGTTCTAGAGTCGAGTCTATTATGAAAGTACGAGATGGGGGACTAGAAGAGTGGCTAATAGCTAGATAGAAATGATAGAGTATATCTAGATGGATTGGTCAAAGTATTTCCGAGGAGGATGATGTTAAGAAAGACATGGATAGTACTACACCTATACTTACTATAATGTATGTAGCCGTACTATCAACAACCTTTGAATCGTATTTACAGTTTATGGATTATATCTCTGGTAGACCTATTATTAGAGTGATATTTTATCTATTAAGAATATAGACTATAGTTTAAACTTCATTCATAGCATTTAAGGCTAATGGCATTCGGTAAGTTCAATGTATGAACCCTCGCTAGTTCGGTGGTTATATATTACCTGCAGGAACCACCAGGATTAAAGATTATAAAACCAAAACCAACAGCTTAGAGGCCATACCTCCTTAAAGAATATAGAGAGCCTAAAAGCACAATCAGAATAAACTAACAATGAAATCAATCACCCCTCTTTTGCTAGATATATGTGTTACTCTTTGTTGATACCCTCTCGGTCATCACGTGATAACTCACACTCCAGAGTCATTCCAGAACCCTGCATTGTTCATTTCTTTCTTGCATTTTCCTCTGTTTATTATGCTTCTCATTCACCACTCAGAGTTCCAAAAGCCAATCATCATTTCAAAACTAGCTCATGTTTCTTTTGCTTCCATTTCCCTCTCATTTCCTGAAGCTTAGTGATCCGTCCGCCTGATTAGTCTCTTGGCTAAACTATTGACTGCTCCGCTCGACCTATCAACTTCGGGGTGGATCCTGCCGCCGCCAAACCGCCAAACGTGACGTGACTCGCAGCACGGAGAGAACAGAGAACACCCCCATCGTCTGTCCTACCTGTCTGCAGCGTAAGAGGGATCATCCCTCTTTGCAACCGACTTGGAACAGTGAGCTCAAAGTGAATGCGACGAGTATCCTGAGTGTCTTGCAAGGACTGGGTACCCTGCAAACCCACCACAGTTACCCGCTACTCCTTCCCCTCAGACCCGTATCTGCGCGCGCATCGCTGCGGTACCCTCGCCGTCTTTAGCATCGATGGAGGAAGACACTGGTTCTGACTCGCTATCCCGGCCGGATTTGCGGCTGCAAGCGACTACGTTCGCTGGATATACCGCTCCGTCCCTGTCACCTGCCTTCAAGTTGGATGAAGGCTACTCCGATGACACACGGAGCCAGTCAGACAAGGATCTCGTATCTGACAATGTCATGTCGCTTCCAGAATGGGTTCTAGCCCAGAGTGAGGCTGATCGCGCTGGTAAATTCTTCCTGCATGTTTTGTTTTGGGGGGCTTTCCTGGAGTTCCTCATCTCCCAACCTCCTCTACCTTTTGGCGCCCCGTGCTCACTAATGGAACTCAAATGCAGAATTCGCGTACAGCTTACTTCGATCTCTCTCAACCACTACTCTTGCCGGCGTCGTCGACCGTCTGAATCCCCTTCTCCACATGGACCCCGTCGTCAAATTACCTCCCGAACTCACCTTTCAAATATTCTCGTATCTTGAACCCCGCACACTCCTGACGGCCTCGCTCGCGTCTCGCTCATGGCGAAGTCGAATCTTGGACTCCGGCCTGTGGCGTGTGCTGTACATTGACGAGGGTTGGCGAGTCGATACACGCGCTATTCGCAACTTCGAGCAAGAGCATGCTGAAGCATTGTCACCTCAGACCCGCCGCTCGCGCCCTCGACACTCGGAGCCGGACTTGGGCGAACCAAAGCTTAAGAAGCGTGTGCCACCCTCATGGTATGACACACGAGGCGCAGACGGTCAAGGATCGTCGAATGGCAAGGTTGGACCAGATAACGAGGGTGATCACCACATGGCTGATGCGAGCGATCGAGGAACACATACCTCGATTGAGAAACCAGGACTTGCGTCACCAAGTCTTGCTCACAACTCAATCGCGTTCCTCCAGCCCCCTTTGAAATCGTCGCTACTCACGCGAACGCCAAATGGATCCGTTAGGGTGAACTGGGTGCATCTCTACAAGCAACGGCGACGTCTTGAAGCTAATTGGCACCATGGCCGGTACACTAATTTCCAACTGCCTCACCCGTCCTACCCGGAGGATGCGCACCAAGAGTGCGTTTATGCTATCCAGTTCCAGGGCAAATGGCTGGTCAGTGGAAGCCGAGACAGGACGGTTCGGGTATGGGACCTTGAAACAAAGCGACTCTGGCACCGCCCTCTGCGTGGGCATCTCAAATCAGTATTGTGCCTGCAATTCGATCCAAGCCCCGAAGAAGATGTCATCATTTCTGGCAGTAGCGACAAGAGTGTGATTCTGTGGAAGTTCTCGACGGGGCAGAAGCTCCATCAGATTACTAATGCCCATGCTGATTCGGTGCTAAATCTTAAATTCGATCATCGGTACCTTGTGACTTGTTCGAAAGATAGAACCGTCAAAGTATGGAATCGACATGAGCTATTGCCCAATGACGAGAACTACCCCCGAATCTGCAACAGTGGTGGTGCCAGCTACCCCTCGTACATCGTCGATCTCAACGACATTGCCCCCAACATGCTCGAAGCCAGTATTGCCAACGGACAAATCAAGTCCTTGAAGGCATACTCTTTGCTCATGACTGTTGAGGGCCATGGAGCTGCCGTCAATGCGATGCAACTTAACGGCGATGAGATTGTGACTGCATCCGGGGACCGCATGATCAAGGTCTGGAATATTCGCAACGGTACTTGCTTGAAGACCTTGATGGGCCATGAGAAGGGTATTGCATGTGTTCAATTCGATAGTCGCCGCATCATCAGTGGCAGCAACGATAACACGGTGCGTATCTATGATCATATCTCCGGAGCCGAGGTGGCCTGCTTGCGTGGACACAACAATCTGGTCCGCACAGTGCAGGCAGGATTCGGCGATCCTCCCGGTGCAGACGAGGCTCTACGAATGGAGGCCCTGGAGGTCGAGACTGCCTTTTGGAAAGCTCAACAAGAGGGTGCACCTGTACACCTTGGCCCAAGCGCGTTGCGTCGTGCTGGATACCAATCAAACACTGCTGGATCTAGAGATCCCCGCGATATCCGAGCTATTGGGGCTAAGATTCCTCCAGGTGGAGGAGGCAGTTCCTGGGCCCGCATCGTGTCGGGCTCCTACGACGAGTCGATTTTGATCTGGCACAAGGACCGTGATGGCGCATGGACAATCGGCCACCGGCTGCGACAAGCGGATGCTGCAGTCAATGCAGCTCGTGGGAACCTGAGCGACGCAGCACGGGCTGCTATACAAGCCCAGGTCCGACAGCTGCAAGCAGCTCAAGCCCCTGTAGCTGCGCCTGCGCCCGCGCCTGTAGTCCAGCAACCTGCGACCACCCAAAACAATACCCAAGCTGCCGATCAAGACACTGCCGAGGACACACCAACGCCACCTGCCACCAACAACAATACTCAAATCCCTCCAGGACCCCAAGATGGTAGTAGTGCCACTGGGCCATCCACAGCTGGCACCGCTACCCACCCCACTTCTCAACCAACACAGCCTGCAGCACAAGCCACAGCACCGGCTCCAATGCCTCCTCCTCCGGCGGCGGCAGCAGCAGCAATCCCACACCCAATCGCTGTTGGACATCAGCTTCACCACCCTCATCGAAATCGAGCCACACCTCCCACATCAAGAGTATTCAAAGTCCAATTCGACTCACGCAAGATTGTCTGCGCGAGCGTGGACCCACGAATCGTCGGATGGGACTTTGCATGCGGTGACGAGGAGATATTGGAAGCTTGTCAATTCTTCCGAGGCCTTTGATTCTTCTCCTCTCTCTTACATCGTTCTACCTACCCTTCGCTCCACCCCTTCACTCCCACCCCGACACAAACCTATTTAATATGGACACTTCATCCCACCACCCTACGTTCCCCATGAAACCGGTGCAGCACCCTGCACCAAACGACTCACCGAGCCTACATACGCTCATAATTCTCTCCTCAATTCATGTCCCTCCATGTCTACCATCTCATGTACGCGTGCATTCCCCCCATCTTAGCCTCAACATAATCTTTTTGGATGTCGTCTCTGCCATTCCCGGTTCCTCTTTCTGCATTGGGGGAAGTTACATATCACCATCTCTCTACCCATATTGATTCTGTTCACTTTACTCTGTCTTGTGAGGGTATTCTGTGTGTTATGGACATTGCATGGCGAAAGAGGCTTTGTTTTCGTTTTGATGTTATTTTAACATTGTGATATAGGAGTAGATGAATGTTATGGGCTTGCAAAGAAATTAGTTCAAATTCATTGTCATGATCGGTACGCGCTGAATGCTGCCAGCCTAGTGATAAGAAGAAGTTGACAAGTCTTTTACCTGGGTAACAAGATACTAATAGACTGATGGTAAGAACCGGACTGTGTCTATTGAGCAATTTCAATAATGATAGAAATCCACCGTAAGCAGAGAACAACATGAAAGGATCGAGAAAATGCGTAACAAGCATTACGAAAAGGAAAGACACAAGTACAGTACACGCTCAACGACTCGACTGAACAACACCGGACACCCGAGACGATATCACAGGTAAAACACGACCCAAACCCACCCCAATCCAATGTGGAAACTCAATCTTCCCAAACCGATTCGGTACCTCTCGAAGCTCTGCAGAGGGAGTCGTAGAATTCGAAGGCCGACTCTGCGCAGTCACGTATGTATCTTGGGAATTGGTAGTCTGCAACCCTTCCACTTCCTCAAGACGATCCTGGAAAGGACAGGGGTTCAATAGGCAGCAGAGATATAGCTGTACTGGTAGCCAGCAAAGAATCTCAGAGGCTGAATGTGTACCCTCGGGAACCAAGCCCTGGTCGTCGTCGTTATCGTCGTCGATGGCCTGAACTGACTGGAGCTGAGAATGGTGTGAAGGAATGTGATTCATGGTGGTTTCTGCGCGGCGACGGCTGGTAGATGATACACCATTTGAACGACTTGGATCGGTCGAGGTACGTGGAATTCCGAAGAACGAATGGGCTCTATCCGTAATTCCCGATTGTGTCACAGAAGACTCGGGCGTAGAGGACAAAAGTCCATCCTGGAACGGCCATAATCTCCCCATGGAAGGAGGCACGTAGTCCCGGACCCGTCGTCTCGGCTGAAGATTCACATTGTCATCCTTTGAGCCACCCCCTTCGGTTTCGGTTCTATCGCCAGATTCCGTGATAGCGAGGGTGGTCTGGTGAAAAGGGTGATCATGTATCTGCCGAGCCATATTGGCATTATGCCCGCTTTGTCGATACGGAAATCGACCGTGGACTATAGTTCCATCATCGGCTCGTCCAATGCCTACAGCAGACTGCATGCCCGGCCTCGTGTCGACCGAGGCTTGTAGACCCAAGAGTCTCCGAAAGGCATCGCCATAGGAAGTTGGGCTTTGGTCAGCACCAGTTGCGTTTCGCTGAGCGTAGAAGCGTCCGCCACCCTGTACGGCGAGAAATTGATTAGAGCAGTATACTGCCTCGGGCGTGTTGAACGAGGGAAGGCCTGGAGGGGTAGGAATTCTTTCTGGCGGAGGGTGCTGCGGTTGATTAGGCATGACTGCTGGCCCTGGGTTTCCTGGCCAGTTGGACGTTCTTTCATTGGTATGAACTGTATCGAGGGAGAGGGCTTTTCGATGAGTTTGAGCAGCTCCGATCGTGGACAATGTCTCACGCAGACGGCTCACTGGCAGTTGTGGATGATTCAGGGGATCAGAAAGCGCTGGATGGCGCCACCACAGGGTATCTGCTTTTGTGCGTTCTGGTTTCCCACTGTAATGATGTGCTGTCAAAGGAGGGCTGCTGCTAGAGCTACTGGTCTGAATGAACATGGCAAGATTCGCTGCTAGCCCTTCTTCCATGATAGGCCCCATTTGATATCCAGTGTCGTATCCACGAGAATCCCGACTGGGCGAAGGTACGACGAGGGCATTGAAGATTTCCTTTTCGTCGCTGTAGATGGATTCCGAGTCTGTGGTGATATCGTCGCTGGGAGCGAGGTGTTTCAAATCAAACAAGGACCTGCGCCGAGATTGGGGGAATTGGCGAATAACATCACCTGCTGCCCGATCACGGTGCCTGGCCATAATAAAAAAGGAGAGACAGCAAAAAGTTGGAAGAGTAAGTGTTTGTATAGAAAGAATCATTCGTGAGGATTGAACTTGGCTGGCAAGTAAAAATAGGGTAACGACATCATCGCGCTTGCCGTGGGAAGCGCTCATGCAATAATTATACAGCGAAAGAAAGTAAGTCTATATGTACAAGCCCTGATCGAAATGCAAATAAATCCGAAAACAGAAACCAGTGTCATCATCATAATGGAGTGCCAACGGGGCTGGCCATGGGTTTGCCGGTCACTTGAGCGTGCTCTTTTCTGAGGGCTCGGAGGAGACCCTCGATTCTGCGCCGCTCTTCTTGTTCCCTCTGTAACCACGGAATTAGTAACGAATCAAAACACAATTATAGAGAAGAGAGAAACTAACCTTAAGGATCTTCATGTTTTCGTTGCGCGTGTCACGCATCATCTTCTTGAACTCATTCTTCAGTACCATCGTCGATGTAGTCTCGGACGATCCATCACGGCCCACGGAGCCCGGGCTGTTCAGATTCATCCAGTTGATACGCTCCTCGCTAAGCTGTTGCTCCAGCTGCTCACAGCGATCCCGCATCGAATCAATAAGACTCTCGAATTGTTCGCGTTCCTTCTCAAACTCGATACTGGCCTTGGTCATGGCCTCATAATCATCAAGAGTCTCCCGGAGCTCCTTCTCAAGGGTATCAGCCCGTTGTTGAAGGTCGCCACCGCCTTGCTGGCCCTTAAGCATGGCAAGCTCCTCGGTCAATTCGATGTTGCGCGTATGGAGGCTATCGATCTCCTTCTGGATCTCGGGGTTGGCGGCCACCTCGGCGGCACGCTGGGCACGGGTACCGTATGCGCCGTCGAGCTCAGCCTTGACCATGGTGAGTTCAGTGGTGATGCGCACGACCTCGCCTTCGAGCTCCGTCATCTCCTTCTGCAGGCGAGTAGCGTTCTCTTCGGCTTGATCGCGCTGATCAAACGCCTCCTTCACGCGAGCGTCGGCCTGGTCACGTTGCTCGACGATCTCCTTCAGTTGAGAATCAGCGTGGTCGCGCTGGTCAAGGATCTCCTTCAGCTGAGCATCAGCTTGATCGCGCTGATCAAGCACCTCTCTCAAGCGAGCATCGGACTCGCTGCGGATCTGTTGAATTTCGGCATCGAGCTGGGCGACTTCTTGCCCGGCGCGCTCGTTGGCTTCCCTGACTTCTTCCGTGCGGTCGTGTGCCTCTCTGACCTCTTCGGCACGCAAATCAGCCTCGGCATGCAGCGAGTCCACGACACCCTGCAAGCGCGCGATCTCGCCCTCAGCCTGCGCCAGGGAAGCCTTAATCTCATCAGCAGGGGAGCCGTCGTGACGCAGAGCCTCCAGCTGCTGCTTGATCACAACTATCTCGTCCCGATGACCCTGGCTCTGATCCTCGGAAGCCTCGTAGTCTCGACGCACCTGGGCCAGCTGTTCGGTCAAGTCGGCGATATGAGCATCTCGCTCCGCATCAGACTTGCTGTTGAGCTCACGCTGCTGCTGGATTTGAGTGGTGAGGATGCTCTTCTGCTCCAACAATCCATCGACTCGACTGGCGAGACCATCCACGCCAGCCTGGAGATACGACAGCTGCTCCTGCAGACCTTCACCATCCGACGCAGCAGGAGGCGGAGGTAGAGTCGGTGAACGGGTCAAGCCGAAACGGTCGACAATGCTTTGAACTCGGTTGTTGATCTCCGTGAGTTGCAGCTTCCATGCGCCTTCGGTCTCGGGGGCAACATCGGAATCGACTGGCAAGGCTCTAGCGGAGCCAACGGAGTGGAGCGATTGCAGGCCATGCTCCAGGTATGCGATGTGTGCTTCCATATTGGATGAACCCGGGTGAGGTGGTGGTTCGACGAATTCATTCGGGTTGGCCTGAATCATCATATTGCAGAGGCGCTCGCTCAGCTCCTCCAACCTCTTCTGAGATTCAGGATCCACCGTCGGACCGGTAGAGACATTCTCTATCCTCCCATTCATCCCATAAGTGTCCAGATGCTCCGTTGTCCGGTACAGGCTGCGATCGTCAAAGTCGTACCCATCGTCAAACCCGTCCGAACCGTCCACATTTTTTGGGGTCTTCTTCAGACCCTTGTGGGTCATCTGCAAGACACCCGCGGTATGCTCGAGCAAGCGCTGAGAGATCAGATTGGACTTTTGTTCCAACTTCCACAGCTCTTGCGCCAGCTCTTCGCATCTCCGCTGGCTCATTGCGAGTTCCGAGTCGCTCTTATCCAGGGCTTCTGCAGCACCACTCCGCCCGAATATACTCCGGCTTCGCCGATGCGACTTGTCGCTACCGTTGGCGCCGTACTCGCCGCTACTCCGGGGGCTCGGGGGCTGTAGAGTCGACCGAGAGATTGGGCTGCGTCGCGAATCTTGGTTTCCATGGCGAGTTTCCGCTTGGTGCTTTCGATACGGTTTGATAGGAGAGAGCGCTCTTTCTTTAGTTGCTCCACCTCGTCGAAGGAGAGGACCTCGTAGTTGGTGCTATCGCCGATGGCGGTTTCGGTCAGAAGGTACATCATGACTGGATCTTTGGGATTTAGGAGAGCCGAGCTGCGCGGGTGAGCTGGGTTGAGCTGTTGACACCGTCGAATAGTTAGCATGACCCGTGGTTCTGGTCGTAGGCGTTGAATCCTTGGGCGCATGTTTGGGGGGTTCCCCTTACCGGATTGTACCGCGGGCGGTCCTCCTCGGGGTGAAGGGCATCGCGATAGCCATCGACTAGGGATTTGGCAGGCGGGCCGTGGACATCGGAGACGGTAGCGGTAGATAGATAGCGAGGGTCTCCGTAGGAGGACTGACTGGATCGAAGGCTGATGTTCATGGTGGGCGTTCAGGGCGGAATGCCGGCGCGGGACCGATTGGACTGGGCAAGGGGAAAGAAATTCAGGAATGGGCCATCCTGCGGGAGAACAAAGCCAGTGCAAGTGTGGGCAAGGGATCGGAGAATAAGGAAGGAATGAAGAGAATGGAAGGATGTCAAAAAGGACGGGGCTGAAGAGAAATTGAAGGCGGGGAGACGAAAAGAAGGAGGATCAGCGGAGGCTGAGGAACTCCGCCACATGATTTCGTGGTCTTTGTGATGTGTACAGACTACAGCGCAAGTATACAATTCTACAAAGAAATAAAATGATTAAGATATAGTTATAGTTTATAGATATAGATATACAATTCTATGAACGGTGGACCAGTCCAAGGATTGCCGTATCAGATCCGCCGGATCAGGAGGATCCAGTGTTCCAGGATGTATCACTTCCAGCGGGCTAGTTAGTTAACTAGAGCAGGGCTGTGACTGTACGGAGCACTCCGTAACTTATAGGGCAAACTACTGGACTAGCTTAGTGCCCATTCTACTCCGTACACTTCGCAGAGACAAGGCTCTAGATTGCGCCAACTGAATACTAAATCCATCTCCACCACTTAAACGAATGCAAATCCGCCCTGACGGACCGCCACCACCGGAGCACATTCGTAGTCCGAGTCAACTGTAAGCGAGGGCGTTGACACATGGCCAAGAATAATCCTAGTCTCCAAAAGATAATAGGAGTCGTACTTGAATTCTCCGTCTTACTATGTAGATTTCTTCTCGGGTGCTGCCGTTGTCTCATGATTTGCGGGGTCGTGGACCCAAGTTTGTCGCATGCAGAACCTCGGATCTTCTTGGTTACATCCATTGAATCTGATCATCCACGACCACGAGAATGGGCATTAGCTTTTAGGGATGTGGTCCGACCATAAAAAGCTAGTTCGTACTGGAGAGTTTTAATTGCGTTTAATTAAAGGTCTCTCGCGCTCTCTCTTTGTCTTATCTCTAGCCCCCATTTCCCCCCCCCCATACTAGTACGACTTAGTCCTCCGTACTTCTACTTCTCTTTTTCTCTCGCTAACTCTAGTCGGGGGAGAGTTGGACAGAACTCTTCCTTGTGCTTCTCTCTCTCTCCTTATTCCCCCCCACAAGAGGATGGTTGCTGGTCTGTCCATCTTCTTCGAACATGTCGACTGCCAAGGAGATGGAAGTACCCACCACGCGACCTGTCTACAAGGTCTATAAGCGACGTTTCTGGGGTCTGGCACAGCTGGTGTTACTGAATATTGTCGTGAGCTGGGATGTATGCTTAATATTTTCCGAACATATCACAAACCCCGGAGATCCTTCATCTCCGAAACTATATCTGATCTATCGCTAATCCACACTTCTGCCTTCTAGTGGTTGACCTTCTCCTCCATCTCGACTACCGCCGCCGAGTACTTCGATGTCTCCGAGAGTGCCATCAATTGGATGAGCACGGGGGTTCTCTTTGCCTTTTGTATCGCGAGTCCGTAAGTACATACCCGAGCCAACAAGATCTGCGCATGGACTCTACTCTATACTGCGTGCCTGGCTTCGACTTCGCTAAATCCGCTCTCTCTCTCTCTTTCGCCGCATCAGCTTCGTCATCTGGGTTCTCAACAAAGGCGGTCCCAAACCGGCCATCGTTATCACTGCGTCGCTCCTGCTAGTCGGCAATTGGCTGCGATATGCAGGTACCAAAGCCAATGGCGGCATTTTTGGACTCGCCATGTTCGGCCAGGTCATTATTGGCCTGGCGCAGCCATTCTGCTTATGCGCGCCCACGCGCTACAGTGACCTATGGTTCTCTGATAAAGGACGCACGAGCGCCACGGCACTCGCCAGTTTGGCGAACCCGCTCGGCGCGGCAATCGGGCAATTGGTGGACTCGGAATGGGCAACGAAGCCATCTGATATCCCCAATATGGTTCTATACATTTCCGTCATTGTGAGTTCCCCCCTCTCCCTAAAGATACATCAGTATGAAAAGCAACGAAAAATAAAATAAAATAAAATATCATAGACTAATAATCAACAGGCAACTGTCGCATCACTCCCAGCCTTCTTCCTCCCCGCAGAACCACCCACACCCCCCAGTGCCTCATCCGCCATCCCCCGCACACCACTCATCCCCGCAACACGTCAACTCCTCGGCACCCTCGAATTCTGGCTCATCCTCGCCCCCTTCGGCGTCTACGTCGGCTTCTTCAACAGCGTCTCCTCCCTGTTAAATCAAATCCTCAGTCCATACGGCTTCTCCGAAACAGAAGCCGGCATCGCCGGCGCAATCCTTATCGTCGTCGGCCTAATCGCCGGCGCAATCATGTCCCCCATCACAGACCGGTGGAAACACTACCTCGGCTCAATCCGCATCCTAGTCCCCATCATCGTGGCCTCCTATATCGGATTGATTTTCGCGCCGTCGAGTTCCGCCGGCATTGGGCCGATGTATGTCGTTATGGCGTTGACGGGGGCGTCTTCGTTTGCGATGTTGCCGATTGTGTTGGAGTATTTGGTTGAGATTACGTATCCGTTTTCGCCGGAGATTGGGAGTACCATCTGCTGGACGAGTGGGCAGTTACTTGGGGCCTGTTTTATTCTTATTCAGGATGCCTTGAAAGATGGGCAAGATGCGAGTCCGCCGGCTAATATGCGTCGGGCACTGATTTTCTCGTGTGTCTTGTGTGCGGTGGTCGCGCCGTTGCCCATGTCGATCGGGCTGTTTGGCAGGATTGTCAAGCGTCGGCGGTTGGAGGTTGATCGTGGTGTTGAGTTAGATGCGGCAGAGGTGAGTGCCCAGGGTACTGGTGCTATTGCGCTGGAAGCGGGTGTTTCTCATACTCACTCGGGCAGCGTGGTGGAAGACTCGACTTACAAGAAGGTTGAAGCCCGCGAGTGTGCATAATCACGACTTCAAATCCATGTTTCTCTGCGATATACTTTAATTTGCACCACGCCTGTTGATACTTTCCACCCTTTCCTTGGTCTATTTTGTTCCTTTATCTTTCCTTGCATGGGCTTCCCCTCGAGTTTTAACTTGGACCTTGACCGTCTCTCCCTGCATGTTCGAATCTATACCCCCTTTATCGTGCGAAGCGTCCCTCATTTTTGGTCTTCGAGGCGTGTATGCCGCCATACAGCGGACCGTTTGGACATAGTACTGGAATTAATATCTGTATATGATACTGCATGGTTTTGAGTAGGGAGTGGTGGATGGCTGATGGTTACTGGCCAGTCCAATTTTGAATTTGTAGCAGATACTAAAGGCTATAATATCAAGCAGTGTACTGTCCATATCCCAAGCATATGTCTGAACTTCTTCGAGGTGGCTATATGGATGTCCCGCCCAGACATACGACTAGCGCAAGATATGACCCCTAAATAATGGATTATACTCATGGCACTACAAGAAACTTTTGTGACACTACATTGGAACGCTAATTCTAGTTAGAAACGCACCTCCCTGATGAGTATGATCCTAAATAAATATGACCTTTCTGTGTTCTGTGAACTTAGAATATGAGGAGGCTTACCTTCATAAAACAGAGTTCCTACCTCACAGGCTATATTAACCCAGATAGCTCCTTTAAGAAGACAAAGAAGAACAATTCACTTAGCTATCTCTATCAAATCTAATAAGCAGGCCCAGCTACGAATCCCGTCCGCCTTCCCTATCTAGTCTGAGGGGCAACCCAGGTACACTTCTGCATGTCCCGCATCTATCCACTCCAACAGCAACGGTAAACATACACAAAATCCCATATACCCAAACCCATTCCACATTCAGCAATAGAACTCCATACCTACAGTACATCACCCTCGATACAAATCTCATTCCCAGATTCTCCAACCCGAACCCAACCCCATCAACAAATGTGCCCCATTCCGTCCCGGGAAATGATGTCATCCTCAACGCGGGCCGATCAATGGGGCAAAGTCGTGCCTGGTTCGCGCTCTGCGTTTGACGCCATTGGAACCGATATCCGGGATTCAGGACTGGGGCTTGTTTTGGGGGGAGAGGTCAGGATGACAATATTGGAGTTTAGTGGGGTTGTGAGGTCTTGGTTGTACTCCAACTGTAGATCGTGTATGTTGGAGTCCGAGGAGGGGGCGTCCTATGGTGTGCCTGCTAAGATGGCTGCTATAATTGATTGACATCAGGCACTTAGCAGCTAGTGAAAGTAGAGAGATTTACATAGTGAAATTATGATTTTGGAATTTTTTTAATCATTGATTGTATAAGAAATCCCGCTGTTATATACAGAAAAATGCACCTTGGCCCGACGCTTTCAACACGCCGAGCAACGCAAAAAAACAACAACAACCAAGAGGTAGAGAAGAGCTCAAGATGAGGAGAATTAGAGGAAACGCAATGGAGGGAGAAACAAAAACAGCCCCAGCTCTTCCCCTCAAGGCTTCGTCGCTGGAAAACAGAGAAAAAGAACACAACCATTCATCACGGTCATGAAATGAAAAGAGAATAGGCAAGTCCGGAGTAGTCGGTGCGCCTGTGAGGCGAGAGCCGTCTAATCGGGAGAGTCTCTAAATATGTATAATGAAGTGGGAGATATGTATAATGAAGTGGGAGATATGTATGTGTGTTTCCATATGCCCTCGAAACCACAGCCGGGATATGCAATTCAACAGAGAGAAAGGGGAGTGTGGGAAGTGTGTTGCGGTGGGTATTTCATGGCATATTCTCTCCGTGGTGATGGGATGCAAGGGAAAATCACATTGTTGACTCAATCCCGGCTGTGAAAAGCGGTAAACTGACTAGCAGTCATGTGTCGAAAATCGAAAAAAGAGTGGTATAGAAAAATGCAGGTGATGGGTGATGCGGGCGGGTTTATATTTATTCAACGTCGTCGTCCAACTCGGCCTGGTCCGCCATCCAACCCCGGGACATCTCGACGGCCTTGGACCACCGTTTGTACATGCGGGCACTCTCCTTGGGCGTAATCTGAGGTTCGAACATAGCACGGTTGGCGCGGTTCATGTGCTTGAGATCGGAGAAGTCCTTCCACACTCCGATGGCGAAGGCGGCAGCAATTGCGGCGCCGAGGGCAGTAGTCTCGTGCATGGCGGGGCGTTCGACGGGGATTTGAATAATGTCTGCTTGGGTCTGAAGGACGAAGCGAAGTCAGAGACTGGAATAAAAGATGAGAGGAAACAAGATCAAACCATACCTGCATGCAAATGTCGGAATTACTCATGCCGCCATCCACGGCCAATTCCGTCAACTTCTTGCCACTGTCCATCTCCATGGCATCCAAGATGGCTTTTGTCTGGAAGCAAGCTGCCTCCATTGTCGCGCGGGCAATGTGCCCCCGTTGCGTGTGGTGAGTGATACCCCCTGGAGGATGATATTAGCGGCAGATCATCTGGAGACACGAAAAAATAGACTTACAAATAGTTCCCTGGGCATCATCAATCCAGTACGGCGCAAAGAGACCACTGAAGGCAGTCACAAAGACACAGCCTCCACTGTCCGGCACAGTCGCAGCCAGATCACTGACCTTTCGCGAGTCGCGGAAGAAGCCCATGTTGTTCATAAGGAAGGAAACACCACTGCCAGCCACGGCCACGCTGCCCTCCAGGGCGTACACGGGTTTGCGATCTCGGCCCAGCTGGAATCCGACGGTGCCGAGCAAACCGTGCTTGGAAATGACGGGCTTTTCACCCACATTGTAAAGAAGAAAACATCCGGTACCGTAGGTGTTCTTAGCGGAGCCGGGGGTAAAGGCACAGTGGCCGACTAGTGCCGCGGCCTGGTCACCCAGACAGCTGGTGATGGGGGTGCCCTCCAGGGGACCCTCGTAGATCTCACCGAAGCCCTCGCGGTCGGCCGAGGGGAGAATCTCGGGAAGACGAATCTTGTTACGGTCGATATCGAAGAAATTGAGGAGTCGGTCGTCGTACTGCAGGGTCTCGAGGTTCATGAACATGGTGCGTGAGGCGTTGGTGACGTCGGTGACCAGACGCTTGTTCTGGGGGCCACCGTTTAGGTTGTAGATGAGCCAGGAATCCACGGTACCAAAGGCGGCCCGGCCATCATCATACGCCGATCGGACGTCGGGGAGGTTGTCCAGCATCCAACGCAACGTAACTGAGGAGGGGTATGTGGAGAGGGGCAGGCCACAGATGTTGACGAGATCTTCGGCGCCGGGCTTTTCCTTGAGTTCGCGGACCAGGTTCACCGTGCGGGTATCGGTCCAAGTGATGGCATTGTGTAGAGGCTCACCGGTCTCCCAGTCCCAAACGAGAGCGGTCTCTCGTTGACTGGTGATTCCGACGGCTTCAATATCGGATCGGGAGTGGCCCAGAGCCAGGAATGATTTCATCGCCTCCTCAATGCAGATGTAGACCGACTCTACCAATTCATAGGGGTCTTGTTCGTGCCATCTGCATGTCAAGAGAGGGGGAGATGGTTAATTTGGGGATTCTCTTGCTTCGGAGTAGGGGGAAGTGGCAGTGTTGACCACGATCGTGGTGGAAATCATGGTAGGTGGTGGTAGTTGGAGGTAGGAGGAGGGGGGGAAGGAGAGAGGGGAGAATGTCGAGTCTCATTTACTTACCCAGGATGCTCGTGAATCTGACGGAATTCCGTTTGGTACTTGGCGATGGGAACGCCTGTGCAATCAAAGATAATAAAACGGGTGCTCGTTGTACCCTGATCGATCGTGCCAATAAAACGCTCTTTTAGATCGGACGGGTGATGCTCCTCGTCCTGCAATAGAGCGCGCTCGCCATCATCGGTCTGATGCGGTCGCACGTCGACCTCAAACTCCAGATCTGTTGGGGGTTCGGAGTCCCCGTCCACGCTGTTCTCGTCGAGATCGAAAGGATTGCGCATTGTGAAGTGTGTGTGTGTGTGTGTGTGGTAGGTGTATGTGAGGCGGAGGAGAGGCGGAGGCGGATGGCCAAAACGAAGAGGAGAAGAGAAAGCGGAGAGTAGGAAGAGACGAGTCCGAGAGAGAGAGGGGAAAAGGTGGCGGACAAGTTTAAAAAAAAGTGGGGGAGGGAAACCCCAAGGAAAGTATGACGATAGGCCGTGGGACGGCAATTGACCAGAGCTGGGCACGACCAACTAATAATAATATTAATGATAATAGGACTCTCTCCTTTCTTCTTCTGGTGCCTCTTGTTCTCTCTACGTGGCGCGTCAGGTATTGGCAACGGATACGGGAGAGCTCCCAAGATCCTAGGCCAAAGACGAGGAAGAAAAAAGTGGAGAGTGACGTACGAGGGGCGAAAAGCAGAACAAGAACAAAAAAGCCAGAGAGAAGCCCGGTTCGCGTGTGCCAGGGAAGACGAGCGAGTACTTATCCAAACGGGTGGGCCATGGAGATGTACTGGAGTCCGTGGGAAGGTCGCTATAGTTCCTTCCGTTGGAAACTCCCAAGGCAGTTGTGATTCTCCTTACGGAGCTCGTGGCTGCGTGGGCTTGCGGGAGGGAGAGGGGACCAGTGGGGGTTCACAGTCAAAGCTGATCCTGGTAAATCCGGTTCAAAGACCGTTTCTTTTTTTTTTCTGATCAGAAGACCTCGTCACTTCCCCCCCCCCCACTTGGTCAATCCTGGGAATTCTTCTTCCATTCTTCGATCCTTCTTCTCTACAATCCCCTTTTCCGGTATATCTGTACAGATACAACTTATCCGACATCCGCTATATACTTCCCTCTTTAATTCTAGTCAATGCCCATTGTCAAGAGTTTCACGCTTATTTACACCACCACAATCATGACTCGACTCTTCATAACCATTACTCAAACTATGACAATCTTCTATCCCCCTGTTGAAGATCTATAGATAGCCCCCCCTTCTGTGGTCCAGTAAAAAACCCACTTCAGTGCAAGAGAGCCCCGTCGATCGGGGCACATGACCCCCTCCATTTTTTCCGGTCCCCTGGGCGTTCTAGACCTCTCGACTCTCTTTCTCTCTGTAAGACTGCCACCCCCAATTTTCTCCCTTTCCAAGATGCGCCATCAACTCCATTCCCTTCTTCCTATTCATGGAAAAAAATCCACCGGAAGAATTTTTCTCTTTACTTTGAGGAAAAATAACCACCATCGCCAACAAATGGACTACTTTAGCCGCCCACAGACTGGAATACTCTATTTTCCGGACTCCCGTACTTCCACATTCCTGGAGAAAATAATAATGGGTCCAAGAATAATACTGTCCATCTTGCCGGGTCCCCTTCCCTCGGCGGATAACTTGCCTGTCCCTGACTCCCTGGATCTGGACCGAGTCCAGATCCACTCGGCTATACATCCCCGAGCTTCCACGGCTTCCAGTGAATATCTACTAGCAGTATAGTTACCATCCTGCCATTCGAGCTGTGCGGAGGGGAATACTTAAATTTATAGTTCTTCCTCTCATCACCAAGGTAGTGATATCAACTACTTACCCCACGCTTAATTAAACCCAATCACGTCGCCGTCCCGCTCGGGTGGTGACGTCTTGGATCCAGGATTATACAACATACAGCTATACGATCCTACCTGTACCAAAGTACGAAACACCCCTCGCATCCTCCTAGTCCAGACATGCACAATCTATATCTACTCGTACTTTCTACCTCGCGGGGAAGACAACCAGATCGCCGCCCAGCCTGCCAGGGACATGGACGTGCGCGTCAGGCAGATCACGCGATGAAGAGAAAAAAGAGCCGATCCTGCGGGAACGACTATCAATATCCACATCATATATTACTTTGTATTTTCTCATTTACTGTCGTTGTGTAGTACATCTAACTATCGCATGCGGCGCGGGGGGACTGGGGCCCGGGATGGCGGTCTTGGGAAGAGTCCAGGGTGGGACGTGCTTCTCGGTACACCTTCCCTGCCCGGGTTGGACCACCACAACGTGCGTGAACGTCCCCTACTGTTCGATAGTTGCCCAAGGCACATGACCATCTTTGTCTTTTCTTGTCCCCCCTTTTTCATTTCATGGCAAATCCTGTACTTTAGGATATGTGAGATTTTTTTAGTTATTTACTCGATTCTGCCAAGTCGGATAGAATCAATAGCAATTCCGCGGAATGAAACTAATAGAGTGCACACGAATACAGCAATCCATATATATATATAGCTTTTGCTTGGATCAATGCTAAGAAATTAAAGCCGGAATCAATAACAGCTCTAAAATCAAAATAGAATAAACGAAAATAAACTCGGCCTCTATTATAGCCGGGATCGACAAACGGGGTCTCAACCGGTCTTTTTATGTCTTGTTTCTAAATCAAAACCAGGGAAACTCACTCGGCCCTCCTCGAGGTCCCGCTTCTCGTCATCGGAGCCGATCGGAAACCCGCATGTGAGCCCTATACCTGGTGTTGCCGAATTATAAATCCTTGGTTATCGAGTGCTTTCTTTGGTAAGTCCTTGTGCCCTGGCCTTTGCTAATTGACTGGATGGGCGGTGCTTAATTGCGGAGCGAAGCGGAGCAATATATTGTCAAACTTGAGGCTTGATTCTATCTGATTGGTCGGTTGCCCGTTAGCATCACGTGACCACACATGACGGTACATAACATGTGGTGTTTTTGAACCTCAGAATTTAGGCATCAACATATTGATTCAGGTCACGTGATCAATATATACTATATAGTATTTTTAAGAACCTTAGAATTTAGGTATTAAGATATCCCTACTACCCCTACTGCCTCTATAGTTAGTAGATGAGTTGGTAGACGAGTTAGTAGATTTACTACTAACCCTCCTACCTTAACTACTATACTTCTACTACTTAGCGAAAGTAAAGCGACTAGCGTGACTGGGGGGTTCTAGGGGCCGTCCCCTCCTTGTCAAGGTCATTAAACGAAGAAGATTCAGCCGCTAAGTGAGGCAATTACTCTGCTAGACCTACCCGGAACGAATCCATGGGTACGCATACAGCTTGTATGCTTTAGCTAATGCAATTCAACGCACGTGGGTTGCTAACGAGGTTCTAGAGCATACAGTATGAATCTAGGTGTAGCTAGGAGTTACCTCTTACGTTATATCCAGACATCATATAATCACAGAACCCTTCTCTATTCTTCTCATTTCTCCTCTTTTAATACAACTCAAACAAGACAAAGGAAATTCAATAAAGCTTCGGCCCTAGTGCGTTCTGCGTATAATCTACAGGAAATCACGGGGAATGCAAACAAGAGAGAACACGGGGGTTATCAGGTATCCTCTGTCCCCCCATACAAGTTGGTGAAGGTTTTTTTAAACAGCTCAAGAGAGTCTGCTCCAAAAAAAAGCCAGCAAAAAAAATTTACTCCTCATCCTGACCAAGCTCGGCCTTCTTGCGAGCCTCGGCCTCCTCCTTCTCCTTCTTCTGGAGGAAGATCAGAGCGTTGATCTTGTCCTTGATGCTGTGCTCGGAGACAAGGCTCTGCTGGATCTGCTCACGGCCAATCAGGGTGGCGACGATGCTGGCACCGACGACGAAGGTCAGCACGAAGCGGTACATGCCGTACCAGTGAGGAGCACGACCGGCAGCGGCGGCACGAGCATCGTTGTAGTACAGGAAGGTGAAGGCCAGGAACTGGCTGATCAGGGCGTACTCCACGGGGAGCAGCAGAGTGGGCCAGGCAACGGCCGGGGCAATGATACCGGCGGCGTAACGGCGGTAGCCGAACTTACCACCGTAACCAGCCCACTCAAGACCCCAGTGGACGGCACCGAGGAAGGAGAGGATCTATATAGAGTGCCAAGAAAACGTGATTAGCGGGCTGATATCAAAAGAACCAAAGCTAATATAAAGCTTTCCGATTCCCGGGCAATGAGGTACTTACGACGGCACCGTAGCCAACCTGGATGGGCTCAATCATGTGCAGCAACAGCTCGGCGCTCTGGCCGGAGAAGATCAGACCATCACCGAGAGCGGCGGCGCGGTTGATCTCGTAGGAGAGGTAGACGGTCTCAAGAGAGGTGGCCAGGTAGGGAATGACACCGGCCGCACCGAGAGCAAGAGCCTCCTTGGGGACATCCTTCAAGCTGAAGGTGTCCTGGATGACTTTCTATATTGCGCACGTGTGATTAGTCTTTGATCCTCGGTGTACTGATATCCAATTGAGTGGAATCATATGGGATATACATACAGCCTCAGACTTCATACCGGCCATCATGTCGACGTCCTCACCATCCTACAAGAGTAAAAAGAAATTAGCCATTGGATGTCCTGCATTGGTCAATTTGACTTCCTGCACATCTTACCTTAGCGGAGGAAGACGCATGGCGGACGAGAGCAGTGGTGACGGGCTTGTGAGCGGCGAGCGCGAAGCTGGGCTTGACGGCCGGGCGGATGGCGCGAGCGGACGAGGTCAGCTGGGCCTTGAAGATAGGGTTGCCCAGAATAGAGCGAGTCACGGAGGCATTGGAGCTCGAGACAGCCCGGAGGGCGGAGCGGGCGGCGGTGGCACGGTAAAGCATGGCGGGGAGAGATACAGCTTTTTCATGGAGCAAGTCGGGTTAGCGATGTCGCGGGCCAACGAAAAGACCTCGGGTATGCCGACGGGGAGAGCTACCTACCCAATTGGTGTATACAAGAGCTGGAGGGGAGATTGGTGAGTGGAGATAAGGGTATTCACCCGGAGTAAGACTCGAGATCGAAGTCGAGGAGGCCGTGGGATTCCGGAAGCAGAGCAAATCAGAATATCCTGAAATGAAGTGACCGAGTGGTGAGGTGTGGTCATCGGGCGGACTGTAGCGACCCGAGCCGCAGGTTTTCAGCCTGAGGCCGCACAGAGCTAGAGAAAAAGCCGGGGATCCCGTGATGAGAGGAGCACGTGATGTGCTGCACTCCCGAGTCAAACAACCCAAGAGAGACTAGCCGCCTTAAGCCACGCTTGAGCCACCCGAGCCACCTGCCAGCACGAGACCGACGTCACTCTGCGTGGGAGCAAGTTAGCGTTGGCTCGTAAACAAGCGTACTCTCCAGTACAGTATCTATGGGTGTTGCTCATTTAATGAATAGTAATAATTTCCAAAGTTATTAGCCAAATGAGAAGATAATCAGTTTGTTGGAGATGTAGATACTAATACACCGAGTAATATACCCTGACTTCATCAACTATGGGGCTCTCAACGGGGAATTATTTGGGGCAGCGATAAACCCCCTTAGCTTACTGCGTACCCCGACAATACCGCGTACCTTAGCCTGGCACCACCTGCGTAACCGGTTGCAAACTGTCGCAGACGCCCTCTCTAATTTCTCGATCTACGCAATCAGGGCTATTAGCTTGGCTTAGATACCCAACACTCATTTCGGTCGCAATTTTGGCCTACTTCCTCCCTACTCCAACGCCCCTCCCCTGTATTCTATTCTCTCCACCGAAACCCCCCCCTCCCCCTCCACCGGTCAAGACCCCCCGGCTTCCGCTCGTCTCGGAGGTGGTTCCTTCCGCCTCGGTATCGCGTGCAGCCCAACCTGGCTTGAATGGCTTGGGCACCTTGGAACCCCAAGCTGTGAGCGTTCCTGCTGTCGTGTGAGATCTGACCTGATCTGTTCCCCGTCATTGACTGTGTCGTCCCTACGAATAATCACTGACCTTGCCCGAATCTTAGAGCTAGGACATCCAACTATTGATGACCACCCCACGCCGTTCAGCGACAGCTTCATCTATTCGGACACCCCCCCACCCCTTCTTACCTAGGCCCGGTTAACGGCCGCCGACCGCAACCATGTTGGAGGGCCTGGTCGCCAACCTGCTCAATCGCTTCCTGGGCATCTACGTCAAGAACTTCGATGCAAAGCAGCTCAACATTGGAATCTGGTCGGGCGATGTTAAATTGCACAATCTCGAGCTGCGCCGGGAAGCGCTTGACCAGCTGCGCTTGCCCTTGAACGTGGTCGAGGGCCACTTGGGCCAGCTCACGTTATCGATTCCCTGGTCAAATTTGAGAGGCAAACCCGTCAAGGTCGATATCGAAGATGTGTTTTTGCTTGCGGCCCCGAAGGAGGATGCGGATTACGATCCGGAGGAGGAAGACAAACGTGCGCATGCGCTGAAGATGGACAAAATCGAAAGCGCTGAACTTATCCGCGAGCGAAATTCAGAAGGCATGAGCCAGGAGGAGCAGCGCCGGAATCAGAGCTTTACTCAGAGCATGATCACTGCAGTAGTGGATAACCTGCAGATTTCTATCAAGAATGTCCATTTCCGCTACGAAGACTCGATTGCTTCGCCTGGTCACCCGTTCGCCGTGGGATTGACACTCAAAGAGCTCAGCGCCGTCAGCACAGACTCCGAATGGAACCCGACATTTATTCAGTCTACCTCCGACACAACACACAAACTTGCCGTTCTGGGAGCCCTCTCTGTATATTGGAACACGGATGCGACTCTGCTTGGTACTGGCCGGGGCTCTGATATTGGCGCAGAAGCCCAAGGTATCACTCACGATGACTTAATGGCCAAGCTACGGGATGCCATCGATAAAGGCGACGGTAATCAATACATGCTTCGGCCCGTCAGCGGCCGTGCAGGCTTAGAAATGGACAAGTCTGGCAAACACGATCGCCCGGCCATGAAAGCTCGACTGCTCTTCGATGAACTCGGTTTCGTTTTGGACGACAAACAGTACCGCGATGCCCTGATGCTCGTTGATTTGTTCCACTACTTCATTCGTCATCAAGAATACAAACGTTTCCAGCCTAAATGCTCCGTGAAAGAGGATCCGCGTGCCTGGATGAAATTCGCCGGAGACGCTGTACTAAGCAAGATCCATGACCGAAACCGACGATGGACTTGGGAGTATATCAAACAGCGCAGAGACGATCGAATCGCGTACATAAACTTGTTCAAGAAAAGGAAGAGAGAAGAAGTACTCACGCCGGAAGAAACAAAGGAGCTAGACCGAATTGAGTACAAACTCAGCTACGAGGATATTCGTTTCTGGCGATCCCTCGCGCGCAATCAGCTACGCAAGGAAAACGTTGGTGTCAAGAAACCCGCTCAACAACAATCATGGTCAGAATGGATTTGGGGTAGCAAGCCAGCCGAGTCCGAGGAGACCGCCATGACCGACGAGCAGCGTCAGGAGCTCTATAATGCGATCGATTGGGACGAGAAGAAGGCACTTGCTGAGAGTGTCGACGTTCCTCGAGAATGGGTCAAGCTTCAAGTCAACTGGAGTCTTCGGGCTGGTAGCTTTACGTTGAAGCAGGACCCTCATGGCGCAGCAAACGAGGTTATGAAAGTCGTGTTTGATAACTTCCGAGCCAAGGCTCTGCAACGCTCAGATTCGTACCTCCTGGATCTCGATCTTGGTGGTTTGAAGATGTACGATGGAACCACACCTGGGACTCTTTATCCTAAGATTGTGAAGGTCAAGGACTCCCTTCCCGAACCGCCTAAGGATCAAAAGCCTACAGACGATGATGACCTGGGCTCAGACGGTAGTGCGGATGGTCTGGTTGACGAGGACAGCCTATTCCATCTGCAGCTGGAGAAGAACCCTCTGGACAGCGATGCGGATACCGCTGTCAAGGTCAAGCTCAAGAGTATCGAGGTTATCTATAATCCTCGATTCATCGTGGGAATTGCAAAGTTCTTCGAACCTCCGCAACGGCACATGGAATCGATTGGCGCGCTGTTGGATACCGCAGGAGCCACCGTGGAAGGTCTGCGGCAGCAAACCCGAGCAGGCTTGGAGTTTGCCTTGCAAGAGCACAAGAAAGTCGATGCGCAGTTCGACGTACATGCTCCGTTGATCATCGTCCCCGAAAGCATTACCCAGGAAAGCTCTCTTTGTCTGATTCTCGATGCCGGTCATGCTAGTGTCAACAGTGAGCTGGTCGACCGACAGGCTATGAAGGATCTGCAAACCAAGCAGAAGCGACAGTACGAGGAAGAAGACTACATGCAGCTTGAACATCTCCTGTACGATCGCTTCCTCATCAAACTAGACTCCACTCAAGTTCTTATTGGACCTGGAGTAGATGCGACAAAGGCGCAACTCATCTCCGGTGTGGAGTCGAAGAACTTCCATATAATTGACCGCATCAACGTGGATTTTGTGCTGGAGATGTGCATTGTCCCCAAGGTGACCCAGCTCACCCGGACGCGAATTTCAGGAAACCTGCCAGAGCTCCATGCATCCATGTCTGACACCAAGTACAAGGGTCTCATGAAGCTGATAGATATTGCCATCCCGAACTTTGATGAAGGCAAGGAAGCTCCTGAAGATATCGCAAAGGCAAAGGCTGCCGCTGAGGAGGCTGCAATCGTCACAAGAGCTAGATCGGCGTCCTTCCAACCCCCTGCCCGCCGGGATCTCCCTGTTGTCGACGACGACGAGGACGCGGAGGCAGCATCTGAAGGCGATCACTCCAAGAAAAGCCTGGACTCGACAATCAACATTCACCGCCGAGACTTTGAGTTCAAGTTCCATGTTGGCCGCCTTCGCGGTTCGCTATTCCGAGCTGACTCCCAAGACCCGCAAAAAGATAAATTGCTGGTGGAGTTGGTGGCTGAAGACTTTGGGCTCGACTTCTACATGCGCCCCTATGACATGGTAGCAGAGGTCATCTTGAAGTCCTTGAGTGTGGATGATTACATTGAGGAAAACCCTGTACCAGAGTTCAAGCGGATCATTTCGTCCAAGGGGTTCAATGCGGACGAGAACAATGATCTTTTCCATTTGAAGATGGTTCGGGTCAAGCCCGAGTCTCCTGAACTCGAGTCCACTTATGAGGGTATTGCCATGAATCTCGACATATCTGTCTCAACCATCAACCTTGTCGTCACCAGAAAGACACTGCTCACGCTTCTTGACTTCATTCTCCTCACATTCACCAACCCACAGCAGCCGGATGACCAGAACCAGCAGCTAGATAAAGCCTTGCCGGAGGCGGCTTATGCAGACCAGCAGCCCCAGCAAGCTGGCAAACTCCGCATCAAGTCCAACCTGAAGAGTATCGCTTTGATTCTCAACAATGACGGCGTTAGATTGGCAACCCTCAGTCTCAACACCGCCGATGTTGGTATCTTCCTCGTGGGCCGCGCCATGACCATTCAATCCCGAATTGGTAGCTTGACCCTGGTCGATGATGTCAACTTGGGTGCATCGGAAGAATCAGATGTTCGACGTCTCCTGACTATTGAAGGTGACAATTTTGCGGACTTCAAGTACGAGACTTTCGATCCCGATAGCGACACACACCCTGGCTATGACTCTGAAGTCTACCTGCGGTCTGGCTCTATCAAGATCAACTTCCTCGAGGAGCCCTACCGGAAGATCATCAACTTCCTGGTCAAGTTTGGCAAGATGCAGGCAATTTTCAACGCTGCTCGCCAGGCAGCCGCAAACCAGGCCAACCAGCTTCAGGAGAATCAGTCTCGCATGCGCTTCGACATTGTGGTTAAGACTCCCATCGTGGTGTTCCCACGAGTAATGGCAGAGGATCGATCCAGGAATAACATCACTGCTTACCTTGGAGAGATATACGTCAAGAATGAGTTCGTTCCCATGGATGACTCCAAGGATAGCCCTGCTGTGAATGTGATCTCCACTGGTGTACGCAATATCCGTCTCACGTCTAAATTCCACTTTGAGGATGATGTGGAGGAGGAGCTCGAAATGATCCAGAAGGTCAACCTCGACTTTAGCATTTGCCATCTGGAGCACCAGGCCAATAATCCACGCCCGGATATGGAGATTGAGGGCTCTTTGTCTCCTATCAACCTTCGTATCTCTCAAAGCCAGCTCAAGTTCTTGCTGGCTCTGTCCAAGTCCATCCCCGGAGCATTTGCGACTGATGCTGAGCAGCAAGAGCTCGAAGCCATGGAGTCTTTGCCCTCTTCAGTCACCGAGTCTACCAGGGAAGCGACTTCGAAGGCTGCACAATCGGAGACGGATCAAGATGAATCGGCCGCCAATGAAAACGCAGGCAAAGAAACATGGGTTCGACTTGACATGATCTTCAAGGTGGATAGTGTTGGTCTGGAGCTCATCCTGGCTAACGATAACCAGCCTGTTGGCCGCTTGGAAGATTCCAGTCTTTCCAAGTTCTCACTCAACGACACTAGAGTTAAGCTTCGCATGCTGACCGATGGCTCGCTCGAGTCGGAGCTTCTGATCCATTCGTTCTCGATCCGTGATAGCCGTCAGCAAGACACGAACAAGTTCCGTCACATCATGTCCTTGATCAATAACGATGTCCAGCAACAGTTCATGGCTAGCCTATCCATGTCCCCTGGACCGGACAAGCATCTTATTGCGATGTTGACGATCGACAGTCCCCGGATCATGTTTGCTCTCGACTATTTGTCCGCTTTGCAGTCGTTTAGTAATTCCGCATTCGCCTCGGAAGCACCCGACGAAGTCGTGGAGGAGGAGGCCGAATCTCCTGAGGGATCGGATTTGGACTCGGATGCTGCTACCTCTACGGACAAAGCCATCACCGAAGCCTCGGCCGGAGAGACACAGGCTGGAACAACCACCGTTTCGTTCCGCGTCAACTTGGTGGATGCCCAGGTTATCATGGTTGCGAACCCTGCTATTCCTCACTCTGAGGCTATTGTGCTTGGTACCAAGGAGATCCTCATCTCCCACCAGAATGTCTCCACTTTGCAAATCCAGAAAGTGGGCATGTTCTTGTGCCGCATGGACAAGTTTGAGACTAGTCGTCTCCGCATTCTGGATGACTTTACAGTCGAAATGTCGGTTGACAGCAGAGCGCAAGAAAAGGGTTCTGCCTTGACCTCCATTGAGGTCCATGTTGAGCCTCTGGTCCTTCGCCTGTCTCTGCGTGACATCCTGATGGCCATACAGATTGTCAACAAGGCCTCTGAAATGAGAGCGCAGAACGCCCAGCAGCTTGAAGGCGGAGAGGCGAAGAAAATCACTGATGGAAAGACCAGGGGTCGGTCTGCGAGCAAGACATCTTCAACAATTGCCAACAGAACCCGCCGCCGCATGAGCCAGACCATGAGTACGCTCGACAGAAGCGTTGCCCCTCAGAGCTCGGCTGTCATTAAGCGTGAGGAATTGTCCGCAAAGATTGATGGCGTCAGAGTCATTCTCATTGGAGACCTGCACGATCTCCCATTGCTTGACTGGAGCGTGAAGAAGTTCAACGTCGATATTCGCGATTGGTCGTCCACGCTGAACGTCGATACCAACTTTGATACTTTCCTCAACGTCTACAACTTCTCCAAGTCAGCATGGGAGCCTTTGATCGAGCCTTGGCAACTAGGATTCCACATGGCCAAGGAAGCGAACCCCGATGTCTTCTCGATTGATGCCTATTCTCACAAGACGATGGAGCTCACGCTCACATCAGCTACGATCGCGCTCGCGTCAAAGTCATTCCAATTCCTCAACACCGACGAGGATGTCCTCTCCAAACCAAGAGGCGCCGACGCCCCTTACAGGATTCGTAACTATACTGGCTTCGATCTTAGAGTGTGGGCTGATGTCAGTGTGGGAGAGGAAGGCCCTGCGGCTAAGCTCAGCGATGGAGAGGAGTATCCCTGGCGATTCGAGGATTCTACAGCAGTTCGTGAGACCCTCACTCCCGAGGGCCACGGCGGTATCGTGGGTGTCAAACTGGAGGGAAGTGGGTTTGATAGTATCAACCGCATCCCCGTTGTGCGAGAGGGCGAGGTAATCTACAGTCTCAAACCAAAGCGCGATAATGTGCTGCATCGACTTCTTGTGGAGGTCAAGCTTGGCGAGGACAATGTCAAGTACATCACTTTCCGCTCGCCTATGCTCGTGGAGAATAACACCCAGATTCCGGTTGAACTGGGTGTGTTCAGCCCAGACGACGGCCATCTTTTGAAGATTGAGAAGATTCTGCCTGGTGATGCTCGACCTGCACCAGTTGGATCAGCTTACCTGCACTCGGTTGTCATCCGACCTGATCAAGGGTTCGGTTACGACTGGTCCAATGAGCGGCTATTCTGGAAGGATCTCATGAAGAGGCCTACGCGAACCATCAAGTGTGTTAGTGAAGGCGGCCAGCAATCTCCTCCATTCTATTTCCAGGTCAATACCACCTTTGACAGCAAGGACTCCCTGACCAACTCGTACCCGTATATGCGGATTCGAATCTTCGCTCCTGTGGAGATCCAAAATCTCTTGCCTTTCGACTTCAAGTACCGCATCTATGACAAGAACACGAAGAAGGACTGGACAAACTTCCTTAGAAAGGGAGGCGTTAGCCCCGTCCACGTTGTGGAGCTATCCCACCTTCTCCTGCTCAGTATTGATCTGGAGGATAGCGTTTTCCGCCAGAGTGAGTTTGCCATCGTTAACGGCAATGCCCAGGATTACCGGAGAGAGCACACCCTGTCCCTCAAGGACGAGCGAGGTCTTCAGTTAAAATTGAAGCTTCACTACTTCAATATCCCCGACAGTGGTGGTGCTTTCAAGGTTTCTGTGTACAGTCCATACCTCATCCTGAACAAGACTGGTCTGCCCATGGATATCCAAAGCAAGGCCTTCCTCCAGTCCGCTCGCACTGCCGCTGGTCAAGGTCTCAGGGTTGATCCGAGAGATGGCGGCCGCGCTCTGCCTTACATGTACTCCTATAACAGCGAAGACACGAAGAATCGGTCTATTCTGAAGGTTGGAGATTCCGCGTGGAGCAAGCCGGCGAGTTTCGAGGCCATTGGTAGCACCTTTGAGGTTGTTTTCCCGGATCGGCAGGGCCGATCTGAGTTCCACTCTGGCGTGTCCGTTGCTGAGGGCGAGGGCAAGTACAAAATGACCAAGGTGGTCACAATTGCCCCGAGATTCATTTTGAAGAGCAAGCTCAATGAGGATCTATTGATCCGCGAGCCGGGTTCATCCAATGTCCTCCAGATCAGCAGTGGGGAACTGGTCCCGCTTCAATTCCTTCGTCAAGTGGCAGACAAGCAGTTGTGTCTTTGCTTCCCTGGTGTGAACAATCAGTGGTCTTCTCCATTCAACATTGCGGATGTCGGCACTGTCCACGTCAAATTGGCCAAGGCGAATCAGCGCCAGAAGTTGATCAAGATCGACATTATCCTCGAGAATGCCACTATTTTCCTGCACTTCAGCTTCGAGAGCCGCAACTGGCCATACTCTATGCGCAATGAGAGTGACATGGAGTTCATCTTCTACCAAGCCAATCCTAATGTGGAAGATGACGAAGATGATCGCTCAAGTGGTTGGCGGCCCATTCGTTATCGCCTACCACCGCGAAGCATCATGCCTTACGCATGGGATCACCCAGCAACCAGGAATAAGTCCCTCGTTCTGACTTGCCAAGGAAAGACACGGCATATCAAGATCGCCGAGATCGGCAACTTGATCCCCATGCGGATCCCTGCCACGAGGCCTGGAGAGTACCAGAAGATCATCGATATCAACATTGTTGCCGATGGCCCTACTCAGACTCTTGTCTTGTCCAACTTCAAGGCCTCAAAGAGTATTTACAAACAGCAGAAGGGCCAATCGTCTCAGAGCAGCATGACTGCTGGCTTTGAAGTGAAGGAAATGAACTCCGACGTCAACTTCAAGGCCCAGCTTCGCCTCGGTGGTATTGGTATTTCTTTGATTAACCAGAACTTGAAGGAGCTACTCTACATGACATTCCGTGAGATTGAGATCAAGTTCCGGGAATCAAGGATCTACCAGACCCTCAACACTTCCATCAAGTGGATCCAGATCGACAATCAGCTGTATGGTGGCATTTTCCCAATGCTTCTGTATCCCAGTGTGGTTCCAAAGACAGGAAAGGAGATGGAAGCCCATCCAATTTTCCATGCAATGGTCACCCGCGTCAAGGATGACTCTTACGGTGTTCTCTACATCAAGTATGCATCTCTGCTCTTGCAGCAGATGACACTTGAACTGGACGAGGACTTTATTTTTGCTCTCCTGGATTTCGCAAAGGTCCCCGGTGCATCGTGGTCCGAACCCCAAGAGGGCCAGTTGTGTGATGAAGACTTTAACATTCCGGAACCACAGCAGGGCGAAGCTGGCCAAGATGTTTACTTCGAGCTTCTTCATTTGCAACCCATGCAGCTCGATATTTCCTTCATGCGAACCGAGCGAATCAACGTGGAAGATACCATGCAGTCGTCTAATCCTCTGATGTTTGTTGTCAATGTCATGACAATGTCAATGGGCAATGTCAACGACGCACCTATCCGGTTGAACGCTTTGATGCTGGAGAATGCTCGTGTCTCCATGGGACGACTCGTCAACAACATTCGAGCTCACTACACCCAAGAATTCCTGCGACAAGTCCATATCATTCTTGGTTCCGCTGACATCATTGGTAATCCTGTCGGTCTGTTCAACAATATCAGCTCTGGCTTTGCGGACATTTTCTACGAGCCGTATCAAGGTATGGTCTTGACTGACCGTCCCCAAGAGCTGGGTTATGGTATTGCAAAGGGAGCCACTAGCTTCGTCAAGAAATCTGTCTTTGGGTTCTCAGACAGCATGGCAAAGTTCACCGGAAGTATGTCCAAGGGACTTGCTGCCGCGACTCTGGACAAAGAGTTCCAGGACCAGCGCCGGATGTCGAAGTCGCGTAACCGCCCAAAGCATGCCCTGTATGGTATTACTGCTGGTGGTAATGCATTCGCAACTAGCTTGGCCAGTGGAATCGGTGGCTTGGCTCGCCATCCCTTACAAGGTGCAGAGAAGGATGGCGTGGCAGGATTCTTCAAGGGTGTTGGGAAGGGTGTCCTGGGATTGGCAACCAAGCCCGCAATTGGCGCCTTTGATCTTGCCTCCAACCTCGCAGAGGGTGTTCGTAACACAACCACTGTCTTCGATGCCGAGGGCCTGGATCGCGTCCGATTGACGCGTTTCATCGGCACTGATGGTATTGTCCGCCCCTACTCGCAGCGGGAAGCCCTCGGCCAGTTCTGGCTTAAGACTACCGACGATGGCAAGTACTTCAACGAAGACTACATCGCGCACTTGGAGCTGCCCGGAAGAGACATGCTTGTCCTGTTGACATATGCACGTATCATGCTTGTGCGCACTAAGAAGCTCTACACAGAGTGGGATATCCGTCTCACAGACATTCAAACAATCTCCAAAGAGCGCACTGGTATGAGCATCACACTCAAAGGTGGTGCGAACGGACCTTTTATTCCCGTCCAGGACGAGAGCTCTAGGAACTGGCTGTATAGACAGATCGCCATTGGTAAGTGTTGGCCTATTCCTGTGTGTGGTTGAAATGACTAACACTCTTTCTCTCATTAGCGGTCAATGCCTTCAACGAAAAGTATAATCGAGGATAGACGTCTTGCCAGACCTTTCTAATGATGTTATGAAAATGGAGTGGCATTTGCGAGGGGATTAACAAAATGATGAGGGTGAAGGAATGAAAATTGCTCTCGAATTGGTGTCATTATTCTTTCCTACTTTCTTTACCCTGCTGGAAGGGATGCCTCGTTTTGTTGGCTCCTTCTGCTTTCTAGTACATAGCTTTGCTGCACATCTTGCGCTTGGGTTGTTTTGAGCTTATTCGTATAACATACACAGCGAAGACTAATTGACGATTATTACCTTTTTTCTAGCTGATACGTACCGTTAACATACGAAGCTATCTAATGAGGACAGGCTGTTCATTGACCGTTGCCCATGGCCTTTGCTGCGACTGTACAGGCCACAATCACTCGTCGAGTCCACTAGGTTCAGAGATCCCGAGATAGAGGCCATGGAAGAAGGCATGGAGAGCTACGTGGAGTTTAGTCTGTTTCTTAACTTCTTGAATCCTTGTAAATTGAACTCTAGACAGGAAGCCGCCACTTAATCAACCGCAAGAAAAGCCAAACCCAAAGAAACACTACTACGCCCGCTTGGTCATCATTTTCAAGCATTGTTACCTTAGTACATCATTAATTCGTAATCGTTTGAGCGTTACGCCCAACTACAGATCTCATGGAACTGCTTTTTGCGGCCCAAACCTGCTCTCGGTGTTTTTGACGGTATGCAGAAACATGGAAGGGAAGCAATGGCGTCCAAAGCGAGTCTCAGTTGACTGTCACGCAAGCGAAGTGTTAGTAAATATCCCCGAGGGAAAAATAATCAGCAGAAATATCAACATACCCTCTTCCCGCCCTCATGCTCGGCGGTCCTGTACCCAAGCCACCGTCTGTACATATCCTCTGCCGTATGTGTCGTGAACATGTAAGAAAGTCGGTACATGACGTGGTCGTACAAATGGTCAAAGTTCCAAATACTGTCCGGTCCACCATTGATGTTATCCGTTGTACCAGGATTATAAATTCGAGCCAGTTCTTGTGGTGTCCATAGGCCATCTGCGTAGATTGGATGTGGGACGTGGACGGCTTTCAGTCCATGGTATAGAGACCATGAAGCGCCGGTCATCTCCGACGCAAGTCCTAGTCCACGTGTTGCCTGCGCCTTGTGGATGAGATTGAGTAAGCGTCGTGAGTACCGGCCCATCGTGATAACTCCAGCGCGACGTGGAGTTCCAAGGCCGTTTTTGAAATTCCAAACCTTGTCTGGGAAGGTCCAGGCGGTATCCTTGGGGTTGAATATTGGGAGGAAAGTGATGAAGTCTGCCTCTTCTCCGACGCCCCAGTCAAAGTCGTCTTCTTCTGGGGAGTTATTCGGACGTTCGGGGCCCATGGGTCTGATCCCTGTACCCAAGATTGGTCCCCAGATCGTGTTGGCGGACATATCTCTGAGACTGCGGTTGGTCATCTCTATGAAATCTGCCCATGCACCGTGTGCACCGGGTGTGTAGAAGTAAGCGTTGCGCTCCCATAAGTATTTCCGCGGTTGTTGTTTGGCGAAGGAGATAGCTTTATCTACGAAGTGATAGATATTGCCAGTGTGCCGTCCATCCATGTCGAATTGCCAGTAGTAATCGAAGTTTGGGTACAGCTGGGAGAAGATCTGTAGCGGTTGGTGATGCTGTAGAATGGGGCTTCAAACAGTGTTAGTCATACTTGTATAGGCATTCCGTTCAGTCCATTTGACCCTGTGACTTACCTGTGTTCCTCGATCTTAGGATACCACGCCTCCAACAGCTTATTATTGAAGAATAGAGCAATATTCTGAAACTCGGGCGGAATCGACTGTCGTAACTCCCTCATGGTCTTAGAGTCCGAGAAAATCGGTAGCTCATCGTCCTTAACGTGAACTAGCAGAAAGACCTCGTACTCAGCTCCCGAATGCAGGGAAAGCTCCATGATCATTGCTCGGAGGTATTCCCGGTGGTCTGGTGTCCACAGCACATTCTGCCACGATCGAATAAGCACAGCAGAGCGAGGATGGTATTGCTTCATCCCGGTGGAGGTAGGTTCCGGCTCGCTACTTTCTCGAGGGGGCTCTCTCAACTCGAAAGAGAGCGGACGCTCGTAGGATTGATTCATCGAACTAGAGGGTTTGTATCGATCGGCATTTCTCTCGAAACAGAGGGATTGAAGCTCGCCCCAGTCAACTTCGTTCCAGTTCACCCTTGGTGGCCGGATGAAACCAGGAACATCCTCTTCGCTGTCATCGTCGTATCCGTATGCCCCAAGTCGAGAGTATCGATCCGTACAGACATCTCCATCAAGGCCCATTGCTTCGTGTGAACCAAATCGAGACTCGGGAAACGAAACTTGCTTTCCTTTGTAGACGAGTACCATGTCCTCGAAGCGAGTGCGGTCTAGATCACGACCTCTTGGCCCCAAGCAGGGCTGAAACTGACCATGGTTCGTCTTCTTCCACTTTCTACTGTTGTATGCAGGATAAGGGTCGTAGATGACGGGGCTTGGGTGTGGATCCTCAAGGGACTGGGAGCTGGTCAGGGTAAGGGTGCCGCCTAGGTAGAAGTTCTCGTCTCTGAAGAAGATATGTGTGAGAGGAATTCAAAGTAAAGCTCGAGAGTTCACAAATGATATAACAGACCTCCGATCATGTACCATGCCCATATTGTCGACTTCCACATCCTGGGCTGGATCTTCCACGGTAATGTGATGGCCCACCGGCTCCCGATATTGACCTGGTCGAAGGACCGCCAGGCGAGTGGGTCGATTCCATCCACGGAAGAGAGAGACATCAGGGTGCCGGGCAAGATGTGCGAAGGTGCAAAAGATAGTTAGCAGACTGAATACACAACCAAGCAAGCGTAGCCAAATGAAGGGACGAGATCTAAGCGACACCCTGGGCCGAAACCCGATAAGGTCCTTGCCTCGCATCGTCAAGAGATGGTCCATGGTGAGCAAAGGTGCAGTATTTCGCCACGGGAAAGTGCATAGTCTGATTCTGCGTGCCAAGGGTGTAGCTTTGGGATATGTTGGATGAGATATCTGAATAGGTGTCGTGCAGGAGGCCAAAGCAAAACACCAGGACAGGTACCGGTGGTGCGAAGCCAAAAACAATAACAGAGAGCAATCAGAATAGAAGTGTCTGTTCAACTTTCACATGCTGCCATGCGTAAAACTGTCCCTTTCAAAGTGACACGCATAGGCGCAATCTAACCGTCATGACTTGATAGGGTAGATGTCATCAATATACGTCACAAACTTCGTCTCCGACGATGGATAGGGAACATCTGATGAGAGCGGAACATCCCTCTTATCACGCCGTGTGAGAATAGACTTGCGAGTACTTTTTTTGCAGAGAGCTTTAATTGCTTGATACTTCATTCTACTGGAAGCCTGTCAGAAGAAACTTTCTCGTGAAACCTTAGGCCTGCTATGTTCATTGGCATGGAAGCACGGAAAACGGGATGCTACCAGAGGGTACAGACCAGCAGGTAGATGGGGGTAGTCTCTTGATAGTTTGTTTTAGAAAGTCTTTGAAGACAACTTGAATCTAAATAACTATTCACATACTTGGATCTCACGGGCAATGTGCTCGTCTTGGAGTACAGGGCTTGGCTCGCAATTTTATAGTGTTTCGTACCCCCCAACGTTATCTGTGATCCATATCGGAGTATGACGGAACTCAATTTCTGTCAATTTGGTCTTTAAGCCTATTTAGCTAGTGTCACTGGACGCGTACCCGCAATAGAATTTACTAAGATTCTCTTAAAATGATATAAAAATCCAGAAGACCGGCAACACAGGAACTAAGCGACTAGATGCAGTAAAGAAGGTGATGATTTCTTTTCGTAAACCCGGGTATGTACAACGTGCAACAAAGAACAGAGACACAAGACACGTCAAAGCCCATGAGAACGAAGCTCGGATTGCTCGGACTCAAGGCAGGATTTGGTATTTAGTGAAGGTGATACAGCTTCCCAAGACTTATCAATTAAGTTACAATTCAAACCCAAACCGAGAAAAGAAGTACCCTGGGATATGATTAACTAACGTAGAGACCCCTCAAGACCTTTAGGCAAAGTAGCTCTTCCAGAGGACACCCGATAGATCCTCCAACTGGTCCGGTGTGAAGGCCTAGATTGTGAGTGTTAGTACTTGGTAGAGAAATCAATGGGATTTGCGGATTGATTACCTTCGCATCGATATGCCAGGTATCTTGTCTGGTCTTCTTGAACTCGCTGATGATCGACTTCACGCTGGAGCCCACAACGCCGGGGTCATTAGCGGCGCGGGTGCTCAGCGTAGTCAAGGCTTCTGGCATCCAGCGAGGCGGGGGACTATTATACGGGAATGCCTGAATCAAAGCACCCAGACCCAGAACAGCGCCATGGCGTACGATGATCAGTCGGCTGTGCTCGGGAGTGGGTGTGCCTGCGCCGGAGGTGACCGCAGAGGAAAGGCCTGATCGGATGTTCCTAGGCTTCTTGGGCAGCGGGTTGTCTGCCAAAAGTTTTGTGAAGCGCTCCTGGAATCGGTTGACCATCTTGTTCCGCAGGAAGATGGGTGAGCAGCGGACCATGCCGGACAGGGTAGCAGATGCACCTGCGCGGACCTCGTGCTGTGGGTCTTCAAGCATAGACGCAATGCACTCGAAGAGCTTGTCACGATCCGCAGGATCCAGAAGGAACAGTCGGCGGAAGTAGATAATCTGAATGTTGATCATGACACGCAGACGCTGATGCCATGAAGGAGAGGTCTGCCCAATGCGAATGAGAGACTGGATGAAGTCCGAGTTCTTCTCCGCAGGGTAAGGGATGTTGGGGAGGTGGCGGAAAACATGGTAGGCGAGAGACTGCAGCTCAGGGTCTTCCTTGACGTCCATCATGTGCAGGAGTTGTGCAGTGAAAACATCAGGGAAGAAGGGCACGAGCTGAGTGCACTCATGGGAAGACAGGGTAGAGTCCAGCCAGAGCAGCACGGTTTTACTACCAGAGGTGTATGACGAAGGAGTCTGTTGACCTGGGGTCCTGGCTTGCCGCCATTGCTCGATTTGGTCGAAGACTCCACGGAGCATCTTGGAGAAGTCGTCAGAGGGGAGATAAGGGTACGTGCCGACTGAGGAAGCGGCCTTCTGGTCCTCCAACAAGTGTTTGAGGTCAGGGTACGACTCGTGATATCTTGTGCGGTAAATGGTCGCAAGGGTTTGACCCATTGCCTCACGCACTCCCTTGTAAGGATGATCCAAGTGACCAAGGAAGTTCTCAACAATTGGCTTCTCCAGCTGGAAGTGCCATCCGGCATCGATGATGCACTGATGAAGGAGATTGATCTTTGAGCTTTCCTTGAAGGCGGCATTCGTAGACATGTCTAGTCGGAAACTGGCAAGCCAATCGACCAAGGGCCAGGCACGACGGGGGTCACGGCATTGCAGGATCATGTGGAGGAATGTTGTCCAGTAACCCGAGTTCTCGGGGGTAAGACCGTCCGTGAAGATCCTACGCACAATGGGGAAGGAATACTCCCAGACGAGGGCGCGATTCTCCACACTGGTGTCTGTCACGGAGCTGATCAAAGCTCCCAGAATCTCGGCCGTAGCACGATGCTGGTGCTTGTCACTGCCGTCCTCGAACACAGCTTGGATCTCTTCCTGGATGTCCTTGAATGAGGCAGCAGTAAGACCGTCGCGAAGCATCAGCTCGAAAGCGTAGAGAAGCATCATGGCGCAAGACATGCGGAACTTGTCGGCGGACGGGTCCCTCGGTTCTTGCTTTAGATACATGAAGAACTTGGAGAACCACTCGCGAGTGAACAACTTGCCCATCTGCGCCCGCACATTCCACTCGACTTCATCATATTCGATATCGCGCCCGATGTTGGACTTGTACGCAGGCATCGTCTTCCCCCACACCAGCCAGCCGGGGAAGTCGTGATCGACATAGTACTCGGCATCGGGCTTGGCAAAGCTGGCCAAGTACTCCTGAGTCCAGTCCTTCTCATCCGGCCGAGTAGCCACCTTGATCTTCGATGGGAATCGCTGATGGCCGAGAATATAGTTCTTGTACTCGTGAGTGCAGATAGCCCGGACATCGATCATGGTGAAGAGCGCGATCAGTGCTTGGGAGTACATGCCCCTCAGACCCGGGTGATCATCGATGGAACCCAGGGTGACCAGCTCGATCAAGTTCTCACTAGCAATGTAGTCGAAACGAAGACCCATCGTAATGACGATCGTCGCGGCGCGACTGGCAATCTTCCAGTGGGAGACTCGGGCTAGGTTCACTAGTTCTTCCGCCAGATCGGCCTTCTTCTTCTCAATCAAAGCACGCTTATTATTGATAACCTTGCGCTTTTGCTCAATCTGCCTATTGACATCATCGCTAGGGGCAATCGCCTCGACGATTGTCTGATCCAAGATGGCCATACGTTCCATGGCGCGACCATAATCCATGATTTGGAAAACAGCGCTAGAGCAAATCTTCTGCACAGAGGGCTTGTCCACAGCACTGGCATCGATGAAAGTTCGGATCAACGCTGGTGTGTATTTCCAGTTTCGGCCAACAGTCTTTGCGACACTGCTCAGAAGCAAAGAGAACAGCGCTCCCTTGATACGGGCGTGATCGTTCTCCTTGACACCCTTCTGCAGCGCCTTGAGGAGAGGGGGGATGATGAGAGTTCGCGCACCCCAAACAGACTTGAGAGCCGATTCGCCGGCATTCTGGGCATTCCTACGAGTTTCAGTGTAGAGGGAGACACAAGACTCGGCAAGATCAAATAGCAGAATCTCATCGAGTTTGGATCGCGGTCGCGGAGCAGCATTGTGCCGCAAGCGTTGCAGATGATAGACGTTCGCCCGGCGCACGAGCAGTGCTCTGGGGTAGTCCTTGCGAATTCCGCTCATCTTGTACGGGTGAATGTCTGCTGCCAACAGGCGCGTGACGCGGTCTAGAACATGTGCCGAACGTTCAATGCCAACGTCGACGAACCAGGAGCGGTAGGCCGAGTATAAAGCGCCAAAGCAAGGCACATCGTCTTCCTGCTTGTCACTCAAGAATCGATGCACATCGTGCAAAACATATCCTGCACGCTCGCGGATCTCGTGAATCGCCGTATACAAGATGTCTCCTTCCTCAAGGGGGTATCCGGTGGGATAGGAGAAGCTCTCTTTGATCGCCGATTCATCTGAGGTATCAAGCGAGGCATCGGGATCCTCGTCCCCGACACCATTCGATAGCGAGGAGTCGTCCCTCATTTCGACCTCGTTTGTGTTCACCGAAGCACCTTCGGATGCCTTCGCGGCAGCCTTGGGATCGAAGAGAACGGAAATACCAGATAAGAGTAGTCGGAGTAAAACGAGATTTCTAGTGACTTCGTCTGACCAGTCCTTCCCGCTTCCATCCCGCTTAATGCTGGATGTCTCATTCGTCAGCCCGGAGAGGTGCTTCAGTGCGGAGTCGGCTTGATTCTTGAAGACCTCAACGGCAAATTCTAGCTCTTCTCGCTTAGGCACGTGCCAGTTGATGTTCAGATTATTGACATCAGGTTTGTAACTCCAATGAGTCGGCTGAATGCCTTCCTTGACGTCTTCCTTTTCATAGAGAGAGTAGTCACTAGTATAGGTACCGGTAAGGTTGAGCAAGAGGTGGTGAATGAAGTTTGAGATGTGCACGGTCGGAATGCCTCGGCACTTCTGCTGCATGTAGACTGCAATATCAAACAGCTCTTGTCGATGGGCAAGGACGGAATCACCAACGTGAACCACGCACATGCTCAGCATACTGACATTCCAGACCAAGCCACGGTCGCGAGGAAGAACGTCCGTGCCTGTGGTTCTGGTAGAGCCCGCGCCGTTCTCCTCGATTTCCGTGCGAATTGCTTGCGTCAGAACCGGGATGAAGCGCTTTAGGGACTTCTCAGGGTTGACCTTGCACAACGCATTGCAAATGAAAGCCATTGCATCTCGCGCTTGGTGGATGACATGGTTGGAGACGAAATCCACAATCTTGGAGAGCGCAATATCGTAGTACTCCGGAGAAAGAGAAGCCAGTAGAGGCATAAATGTAGCGGGGAGTGTGTTCACAATATTCTCCTCGGGGGACCCATTGCGGACTCGAGTGACATCTGGCAAGTTCTCAAGAAGAGTGAAAACACGGCCAAGGAACGAGATTGTGAAATCGCCAAAACCGCAAGTTGATGATCGCAGGATCATCTGCTCAGTTTCATCATCTAGCTCCGTATCGTAGTTCAATTGCAGATCGGTTCCTTGCTCCTCCATGCGTTCCATCTCGCCAGTAATCCATTGCAGTGCAAGCATATTGCAATTGACATCGTCTCTTCCCTGAGTCATATCAACCATGGGGATGTTGTAGCATGCCGACTGAATGAAAGATAGTGCATGGAGAGATTTGTCAAGATCGTTAGCGTCAATACCGGGCAAAGCAAGACCGAGGAGAGTGGTCATATGGCAGCGATAGCCTCTTGTCCGGGTAATGACGCGGGAAAGGACTTGCATGGCACGAAGGGAAGAGGTCGTCCGATGAACTTCGACCAACCCCTGCAGAGAAGGGTAGATTCTTTGCAATGCACCAGGAAGAATAAGATGCGGCTCGAGGTAAGCAAGTCCTTGCAGGGTGGACAAAGAGAATGTCATCGCAGTGCTGCTCTTGGCATAGATACCCATGAAGATTACGTCCCTCAGACACAACACGAAGCGTCGCTTCAAAGGCTCGGTGAGTCGTCGCTCGGCTGGGACTTCCATCTCACCACTTTGTTCACGATTCCAACGCATGACGAAGAAATCAGTCAAATAGTAAACTAATTGCGATAGGGTCTTTGTCCAACTACCAGAGTTTGAAGGGTGGAAGAAGGTCTCCACAGCCTGAATCAGACCCTCCAGCTGGCTGAGAATCGAGTCTTCGGACTCTAGACAAGCGGGAGAGAGTGACAACACTATCCATCGGGCAATATGATGAGCCACGGGGTGCTTGCGCGTATCCCGATCAAGCATGATACCCAATCCAGATGAAATGTCCACCAACGCGCTATACGGCGACGTAGATTGTCCTACTGGGATCTCCAGCAAGCGCAAGATTGCTGTGAAAATAAGAGAGGATTGCTCCTTTGTGAAGATACCATGCTCAGAAAATGGAATATGTCCCGCGGTAAGGGAATCGCGGGCCAGTCTGGACAAGTAGTCCAAATATGTTGTATCAAATGTCTTCGAGCGACCCACCAGCGACCACAGATGGAATTGAGTGGGCAGATGGGTTTGTGGTAGGAGGTCTTCTCTTTCAGCGGGTGGGGGTGATGTCGGGAGCAGCAGGTTGATCAATCCTGCCACCACGAAAGCGCCTTCGGAGAATGAGGTAGTATAGTGAGGGAGGAACTCTTCGAGCATCGCGGGCAGTTCGCAGGGGTCGAAGAATAGCTGAGAAAAGGCGCACATTTTCGTCAGCGTCTTGACGTTCCGCTTCAGATTTGTCGAGTGAACCAGGCCAGACTCTGTCGGGAGTACAAAGGCCTTCAGCTCCTTGTAGAGTGGTTTCCAGTCGAGAACGAGGTCTTTCACAGGTCGGAGATAGTGCTTGCGCCTGTATCCAAAATGTTAGTATCCCCCCGCCATGCTACGGATTAATAACCACGGATTTAAGCTCACTTGGTGAGGAGCATGAACATGCTAGCGAACCGCTCCGAAACACCAGGATCAATGCCCGGAGCTAGCGAAAGCTCAAAATATAGCTTCACTAGATTGATCCGTTCCTTTCGGGTCGGATCGAACTTGAGCGACAGCCATCCTCGCAGCTCGCGTGTCCAGTGTACAGCTCCGGGACTAAAATCGCCCGCCTCCACCGAGATATACAGCTGGTTCAAGATTTCGCGCAGAGTGCGATCCCGCTTGGTCTCATCTTCGAGCTCGTATGGTAGGTACTTGAAGTATGGATAGGTTCGTGGACGAACTCGAGCTTTAGGCTCGCCGTTACCATTCATGACTACGGGTTCACCACCTGGCGAGGTGGCACGCGAGATCTCGTGTGCATGGGAGAAATTATCGGAGGTGAGGATCGCTTTGGGGGCCGAGGCATCCATACTCGGATGCAGGACGAGCGAGAGGGGGAGGTTGGGGGCGACACGCGGTGGAGATGAGAGGAGGGAGGAGTTGCCCGTGGACGGACGTCAGATCGGGCTCTAAAGCAGTCGATACGTCAGCAACCGACAAGGTTTCACGAGCTTCACATCCACATCTCAACGATGGCAACAATATGGGAGAAAGCCATACTTATACCACAAAGTATGTGAATCCACTCCTGAGGGGACGGATCTTGAGGCCGGAGGATGCGTTGCAGCACAGCCGGGTTCGCATGAGGTTCTTGGCTGTCGGGGCGGGCGGAGGAGGAGCTTTGGGGGAGTGGGCTGGAGTGAAGCAAAATGGGGAGGCCACCAGTCAGTAATCGGCGCTGTGTTTCACCAGAATGAATCGGCCGCAAAGGATGGATGGCAAGACTCGAAGAAATGGGGCTGATAGCTCAAAGAGTAGATGATGTTCAATGCTTCATGTTCAAAGCTCGGCTCTCCATCGAGGTTGATGACATAATTCCACGTAACGTCGAAATGTAGCCGCTTTTGTTGGAGACCCGCGTTGACAGCCCGCCAAAAAATATAGATTTAGACTCACCTAGAACTACTTAATCACCGATAACTCCGTTCGGAAAAGGACGCAAAATATGTATAGCAAATATTTCACAATGATTCTATGTTCTTTGATTTATAATGACTGCCTCGGGCGAAACACTCCAAGAACGCCTTACCAAGCCCAACTTAGGCAGACAACCTCTTACGCAAGCGGCACAGCCGAGCACTGATCGGAGCGAATAGTCAACCACAAAGCGCTGTATTTTATATTTCACTTGTATTGGACCTGACCACACAGGGATCTCTCACATGTACCTTCACGCCGGAGGCAAAAAGGAACCGAAAAGAACCGCCTGGATTAATGCATAGGCTACCATGGCTTGCGCAGCAATCGAGAGTCCTCGGCGGCTCTTCTGGGAATCTTGGAAGCTACCCATTGCCGTCGATACAAGCCACCAATACCATACTGGGTAACCTGAAGAGATTCGATTGATAATTTGGACGTGATAGCTTGTCAAGGCCATCACTGCCAGGAGACCCTGGGGCACTGCCAGCCGGAAGAGCATGGACCCGGGGCTCACCTGGGAGGAAGATGTGCTACCGGACCCCGAGCGTAGAGTTGACGGGGCCTTGAGTGCCCAGAATGCTGATTTGCAGAGGATTCCCAACATGGGTGCGGCCAGCAAGAAGAGAGGGATATTCGACACGGTCCAATACCGGAGGAAGCCCACATTCCTGTAATATGTTAGAGCAAGCCAGAGACAAAATAGGGGAATAGTAAAGACTGTTTACCAATAAAAGCTCTGAACCCAGTTGTAAATACTAGGTACAGTCCAGCTGCACCAAGGTCGCAGATCTCCTCCGCCCATGCAATATTCGCGATAAGCGAGGATCTGAGGCACAACCATACTTGATCCCACGACACAACCCCCCACGATGATGACAGCGAGGCGGCGTATTTTGTGGACACTGAAACCTTGTGTCAGGATTGCCCACACCAGGATGGCGGCATCATAGGCAAACAAGAACCCGCTCAGAATGCCGTTACTGCGGACGACTGTTGCGACAGCAAAGAACACCGCAGCAGTCAAAACTTGCAGGTCTCGAAGTAATACAAGGCCATTATGCTCTTCAATAAGAGAGGACATGTACAGGTAATATCCGGAGATATTCAGAAAAGAGAAGATCGGCTCTCCATACGGCGCCGACAGAAAAGCCCCGGCAGGTGAGATGATGTGCAGGGCAGCCGACAAGAAACATATGAGCTTCTGGGTGGATGTTTCGCTTCCAAAGATGTTGGCAGACAGACTGTATAGCGCCAACACGGAATAATAGTGGGCGATATGGGACAGAATCACGCCTACCAAGGCCGTGTCAATTGGTCCGTCTATCCCTCCAGACCAACGGATACCTATATGGGGAGATGTGAGCTAATGGACCAATATGTACAATCGAGGAGAATTCATTGAGACGTCGTACCGGAAACAAATAAGCTCAGAATTCGGGGATAACTAAAAGCCCATTCTTGCTCAAACACATAGCCCTTCTCTGCAATATGCAGAAAGTAGATTGAATCCCATCGGACAAACTTCATTGACTGTGGGAGAGACTCCGTCTGGGTACTCGCCAGACTTGCCCCCTCGCGTGGGACCAATGTCGTGGAGGTGTCATATCCAGGGCCTGGGCAAGCTGCAATTACTATGAAGAGCAGGACTTTCCAAATCAAGAAGGCTAGGGTTAAGCTGCCCACTGGGTTGTCTAGTCGGAGCAGCTTCGCCGAGATGGACTTGCCAGCCGTTGTAGCCATTCCGGTGGCACGTCTCGGGGTGAAACGGGATGTGAGAGAATCCAGCGGGCAGGGTCTAGACGGGCGGGTCGCGTGTTGACGAACGAGGATCGGGATCACCAGATCAGCCGAGGCACCTCAATTTGATAATGCTCGATAGCGCCTTATAACGCTCAATGTTGACTGGTTAGGGTGAATGTTGTGGGTGGGAATCGTTAGGATGCATAACGGCATAAACTTAGGTAGTTACATACCGAGCGATCTGCATAATTAGTCAGCGGATACGGTGATTAAACGCGACTTCCAAGTCAAGCGGTCTGAATAACTAGATGCTGGTTTTGATTGTTAACTTAACCTGTTTAGCCCACCGAAAGAGTTTAATTGGTAGGTCCGAAATTCCAGCTATCCAAATGGGGAGTTATTATTGTCATCATAGGGCCGGTCATGCCATGAAACCTTGAATCAAGTCTAGAGAACTTTGGGTGGATTTATTTAAGCTGAGCGAGCTATCTCATGAATGAATGGCCCAGTAGATCACATCCTCTCAAGCTCAGTAGTACATGTCCATCCAAACATTAGTACCTGTCCCCTAAGAAAACAGGATACAATTATCCAAAAATATAGTGGCAAACTATAGTGGCGAGCAACACATGAAAGACCAGCCTTGGCGATACTCAAACCTCAGTCATTTATTACTAACTGGGCGTCCACCTGATGCGATATTTTTCAGGGTTTTCTGGAAACATCAAACCCACTCGGGGACTACGGGGGCAAACCTTGGCTCCATGATTCTCCTCAGCCCTATTGAGCTCTTGCTCCCGTGCTCCCAATCTTACGGAGCTTGAGTGTTCATGCTTATGGGAATCCTTAGGTAGGAAATAAGTCCGTCAGGCTGGGTCAGGCTGGCCCTTTGTACGTCCGTCCTCGCACTCGTATACTATACTTCGTATTTGGAATCATCTTTAGACGAGGCGCTAGGCCTGGAGCGAAAGAATCGAAAATGGGCTAGGATAGAGTTCTTGTCGATGACGGTGGGGCAGTAGAGCGGCGCATCAGTCCGTCCGATTCCCGCGGTAGACGGCGTTCGGTCTTTTGGTATTTGCACCGCGCCGAACCCGTCTGTAAGACTCCGATCTCTTGCGCGCTTTTTTTCACCGTGATTTGGATGCGGCCGAGACCCCGAGGTGTATCAATGATAATTTGATCAAGCCCACTCCTGGCCGCCGGTGGATAGAGAGTTGCCTAGGCATTTCCAGTGGAAAGAAAAGTCTGCTGGTCATGTCAAACGACTCTCCACCTCTTTTTTTCGGTGACAAGCGGGCCCAAGGACCCCTCGTCTGCCAGTCCGAGCAGGCCATTTCGTAATAGTTGTCTGGCAAAGAGTACCTACTGTATAAGGCTATAGGCTATGTTAAGTACCGATCAGCTCAGGTACATTGTACATAAGAGCTTACTCGTGGCTGAACAGCTGAAGAAGTTGGCACCCGTAAGAGCTGGCGATTCGCGCCACGACCAATTAGTGTCGATATAGGGTCGATGGTCAGCTTAGGAGACGAGTGGAAACCAATGGTAAGTGCAGTAGTTGTACTCGCCAAGCCACGAGTGCGAGAGCAATCTATTGACTTTTCACCATGACGTCCCATCCTTTTTTTCGTTCCTCGGCCTCGGAGCCTCACAGATCCATGATCCTAATATGATTGGAGCCTCGCGTGTGTCCGATCGTCCGCTCGGATGCGCCGGAGGTCCCAATGGCCGATCCCGTCAGGATCACTCTACGGTGGAGTTCCTTTCAAATTTCACAAACGCCGACTGGGCTTTCTCAAGTGGAGATGGGTTTGGAGGTCTGCTCTGTTGATGGAATATGGAGGGATATTAAGGATTAAGTATCGCATAAGGCTGACCGCCCATTTTTGTGTCTTCTTTTTTTTCGGTGATGGTCCCAGAGAGAGAGAGAACCCATTCTTATTCCGTACATCTCTACACTACTCTCCCCCCTCCTCCTCCCCTTCCACTCCTTTCAACCCCTTGCATTTCCCCTTCCCCGGGATCTGACGCTAACCACCCATCTATACACTTCGCACATATCTTGTTGTTGTCGTGTCTTTCATTCTTTTCGTTTCTTTTCTTTTCACTGATCTTGCGATCTCGATCTCATCTCCGCCCTCTTTCTCCTCCCCCCACCCCACTAAAACAACCAAAACTGTCCTCGCGGCTGGCTTCCCCGCAACGAACGCGTGGACAGTCTTGGATGCGTACGTGGGATTCGCCCAGACCTTATAAAACCCCCTCCCCAGTGATCGCGGGTTTGTTGGTAGGAGACCAATGTGGCTCCGCTAGAGTCCAAGAATGCTGCTGAATCTTGGCCTCGCAGCGGATGCCGCAGCAGCTCATTCAAACGACCCTTCGTCCCAGCCAGAGTCTCCTCCAGCTTTGGCCTTGCCATACTCACCCTCGTTCGCTTTCCCGGCACTACCATTCTTGGATACCTTTCGTAATCGCACTAAGCAGTCCGGTCCTGCTACGCCCGCTGAATCAACTTCCACGGCTATGAGCCCAGTCATGTCGACGCCAACGGAGGGCGAGTCTTCCACCGCCGCCTCATCTGCGCTTGCAAGGCCTCGAGCCAATCGTTCGTCAACCTATAAGAAGTCGTCGCGACCTAAGACCTCATACCAGTTCGCCCACCCGGCTTCGCATGCCCGTCACAAGCGCCTGCGGCTTCGGCCGAAGCTCTTACTGCAGGTACAGCAAGTGTCGCAAACCCCGAGACCCCTGCCCGTTATAGACGTCCTTCCTTCGACCATGTATCTGCCTCGATTAGCGCGAAAGTTTCCAGCTCTGTTTCGCCGAAAGAACGGCCTTTGTCCCTACGATGTCATTATAGTCATGAGCGAGTTGTATGAGCGCACCCGGGCAAGCATCCCTGAGAAGCACGCAAGCTCCGAAGACGACGATGAGGATCAGCGCGAGGTCGTCGCTACAGTATGCCAGATGCTTCAAGAGGAGGCGCGCCTGAAAGGGAAGGCGGAAATTTGTCTCAACTTTGGACCCGTATGGGAGGCAACCCCTCTCCCCAGTGGCTCGTATGAGTTTGTTGCCCACACGGATGATGGGATTCGGGTCATGCGATGGGCACTGCGAGGAGGGAAGAATCGCCGAGGAACTGTGTCCTCGGTATCGCAAACGCGTGATGACACGAAACGGTTCACATTCAGCGTCATTGACCCTAATACTCGTCAGCACCCAGTAATCGCATCAATGACCAAAAACCAACTGGAAGTGAACGACAAGTATTCCGCCGCCGTTGCACGAACTACGACTGGGCCCACGACCCCAAGTTCCGGCATGTCCGTGGTGAGCGACATGTCAGATACGGAGACACCCATGGATACCAATGATGTGGTTACCCTTGACGATGAGTTACGCACTTTGATTATCGTTACAGGGATCTGGGTGGCTTTCCGGGAGGGCTGGTCGCACAACTTCAACTACGCAGACCCCGTCTCTGCACCCAACGGCAAGGGTGTGACATCTCCAACCTCGTCGGCAAAGTACAGCTCGCCCACCACAGCGAAGATTGAGAATGAGAGCGGAATCGATCGCGACGAGCTTAGCCCGGTGAAGGATTTCTCAAATGGGAAGCGCTGCATGTCGATCTCTAGCATGAAGCGCGCCAATACCATGACACCATCCGAGGGAAGCAAAGGGGCTGGAAGTCTGTCAAAACGGTCCAACTCAACCGGCGCCGCATTCATGGAACGAGCTAAGCGACGAAGCGCCTCGGCAGCTAGCAATCGACTCAACCGTCACAGCATGTTCACCGGCTCTGGCGAGAATGGCCGTGATATTGTGGTCTCTCGCCCTCCATCTCTACGACAGAACTCCATCGAACCCGACGATTCCCCTCATCGCTTTGACGGACTCGACGCCAAGCTCAAAGCCAATCCCGGTCCCGAAATTCCCAAGCTGATTTCACAGCCGGATCGTGGTCTGGAGCTTACCCTTGACGGTGCATCTGACGTACCCTCCAAGGGCTCCGAAGCTGGAAAGACCAAACGTCGACACCGTCTCAGCTCTCTCTTCACGATCTTTCACCGAAAACACTGACCCCCTTCTACGCATGTATACGCCCTGCATCTTCCAGCGACTCTCTCCCTGTATCTCATACCAGCATTTTTTTTCCTTATTTCGATTTGCATTTGGCTTGGGCGTTTCTTCTTCTTCATCATCGGCATCGCATCTCGTCTGGCACGGAGCGTGGACCATTTTGACCTTCGACGTTCCTGATATATCACATCTCCTTTCTTTATCATATGAATGATTTTGCCGGTTTTTGATCCGGATTCCACCTTGACTTGGGTATTACCGTATAGAAGTGACACGAGCGATTATTGATGAGAATTGTAATATTCGTCTCCTGGAATTGGGCACACAATGGGACTTGAGTTCTCGTACCCAGCATCAAGGCAATTTGGACTTACTGCCCGTCTCTTGTCATCGTATGGATAAACAAGTCCCAATCATCTCCTCGGCTTCTATATTGAAAATACTCAGTAGTCAACTGAATGTTAGACTACAGAATCATGCATATTAAAATGAAACTTCCATTGTCTAGCACATATGTCGATCCCAAGAATAACAGGGCCCACCGACCCATCCAGAGCCAGAGGAGCTCTGAGTATCAATTAACACCCATTCAACATCTCATCAAGCCATATTCCACCACTCACCGGGACTTCAGAACTGGGCAGTCTTATTTTCCGGCGCAGCAGTATACAACTGCTCCCCATTCTTCTTAAACCCAGTAATAACCATCTGCCCCTCATCACTAATAGCCCACTGCGCAAACCTATCCGCCATCTTCTCATTCCTCGCACCCTTCCCAATCAAAATATGAGCCGGATTAAGCAAAGGATCCGCTGAATCATCAGTACCAGCCTTGTAAATGGTAGTCTGACTCTGCAAATCCGTCGAAATAGACAAATATGTCCCCCGGTCTGTGATAGTATATTCATCAAGCAGTATCGCAGCCGTCAACGCCTGAATCGGATACGCGATGTACTGGTGATACCAGGTCGAGTACGCAGTAGCCCAGGGGACTTGACCTATTTCAATCCACAGCTGGGAATCCTTGATATTCGTCGCAGACTTGTCATAGCGGGTTAGGAAGCGTACAGGGGGATGGGTGTTCCCCGCTTCGGCGGTCGTGTATATGTTTGAGAATTGGGTTTGGATGTCCTGGTCGTTAGACAGGTTGGCTGGGTTCGAGGAGGGACCGACTAGGAGGAAGTGGTCGCGCCAGGCGTACCACGCTGGGGACTTGGCGATGCCATTTTTGATGGCAATTTGTTCGGCGGCGGGCGTGTAGGTGATTCCGATGTCGACGGTGCCGTCTTTGAGGTAGTTTATTGACTGGGTGGTGTCGGATTTGTACCAGGCTATCTGGAATGGGACAGAGCCGTTTTTGACGCTGGCTTGGATGAAGGCGTTCGCGAGGACTGAATGATAACGGCGTTAGCAGGGCAGTTGCTGTATGGCAACTGTGGGTAAGTTTCATAGATTGTCTTACCCTCAATCAGCCCACTCTGGCCGGCACCACCATTTCCAATGCGAAGGACAATATACTTAGCGGAGTTATAGCCTCCATTGTAGACAGCAGCAGGGTCGACGGCGTAGGTCGATGCAGTAAGCAAAGCCTGGACCAATGTAGAAAAATACATAATAAAATGCACTGACACTGTAAAGAATGGCTCAAGCTTGAAAACAAAAATCACACTGCACAAGGCTGCTCTTTATAAACAGCGACGCACTGCATAAGTAGGCTTTTAATCCGGACCAAGCCACAATGGTGTGTTTTGTTTTTTCATTCATCTGTCGAGCGGGAGCTCCATATGAACCCGTCATCCATGGAAGCTGAAATAGCGCTAGATATCTAGATCAAGGCCGAAGGGGCAACCGATAAATCTGGTTTGAGAGAACCGACATCATGGGTCTCTGAAAGAAGCATAGGATGAGAGTATTGTGGGATAGGCACTGTCAACAACGTGGAATGACCGGCTGAGTGTTAAATCGATTTGGGAGGTGCGGGGAACTTTTGTACGAGTCTAGAAGATGCAGTACAGTATACAAGTCAGCGTCGCTAAAGTTAAAGATTGTTAATAGCATCGCATGACTTTGCAGTTCTTCTTAGCTAAGGGCCCACCGCCACTGGAATTAGACCCGCGTGCCCATGGGAGTGTGCAGTGGGGATCTCGGAGGATCTCATAGTACCTCAGAGGAGAAGATTGTCATTAGTTGCTTCTAAAGAAAGTTTTCCTTTCTGAAGAAGAATAAACTGATCAGCTTGCCTCTACTGCTGGGTTTGTCTTTGGTTGCAGGTACCCCGGACAGTTAACATTAAGCTCAGTGACGGCTGATTATGTGGTTCTACTGTATAGCTGACGTTAGTAGAGCGTTTATGGTCAAAATTATTCAAGGGAATAGTCACCAGAGATAATCTGAGGCGAGGAGAATACTGGGGAATCTGACCTAGTGGAGACGGTAAAACAGCCCGTGGCGCTTCGTACTTGTCTTTATTTGCCGGAGCTGCATGATCACATCCCCTTGTGTTGATTCTTTCTCAAAGAGGTTTGTTCACCCGCCGCCTGATGCATGTTTGAATACGAGGGGTTCATTGTCACTGTGTCTTTGGGAGTGGGTTTGTCACGTCGTTCTCTGTATGATTCAAGACAACGACGGTACACACCACCTAATACCTGATTAGCTTCTAGTCTACCTCCCCAAATCAGATAATATGTCGTGTTCAAATCATGAGCGAAATTTCTTTTCTTCTCTATATGCCGATCACCTCAAATGTGTATTTCAATCTAAACCAGCCAGGTCTTAGAACGCCACGACCCTTGAACTCATTCACCGCTCCAGCGCAGCGATCGTCTTAGGCACGTACGGCTCCTCCAGATACTGAATTTCCTCAGGACTCAACTGAATCTTCAGACTAGCTACAGCCTCGTCAACACGAGCAATGCTGTGCAGACCCACGATGGGGCATTCATTCTTATGAGTCAGGGACCAGGCCAGAGCGATCTGTGCCATGCTGACCCCTTTCTTGCCCGCCAGTTCCTCCACGCGGTCCACAATGGCCTTATCCGCCTCCGTCTCGCGGTTACGAATCAGGACTTTGAGAGCTCCGTCAGTGTTCTCACGCACGGTAGACCGTGAGCCCCACGGCCGCGTGAGCACGCCACGGGCCATAGGAGACCAGGGGATGAGCCCGACACCACTGTCTAGACAGTAGGGGATCATCTCGCGCTCCTCTTCGCGAGCAATCAGGTTGTGGTAGTTCTGCATGCTGATGAACTGGTGCCAGCCGTTACGGGCGGCGATGTTCTGCAAAGTCTGAAATTCCCAAGCAGCCATCTACATATCCATGTCCATCAACATTGGTTCATCTACATATAGGATGGGATCTGCTGTGACTCACCGAGCTAGCACCAATATAGCGAACCTTGCCGCTCTCGATCACATCGTTGAGAGCCTTCATAATCTCCTCACGGGGAGTGTCGCGGTCCAGACGGTGAATCTGGAGCACGTCGATGTAGGTGCCGAGACGCTGGACACTAGCGTCAACGGCATCGAAGATGTGCTTGCGAGATAGACCGACACGGTTAATGAAGTCACCCTCATTACGAGCAGATTGCCAGATGGGTGGGAACTGGCCCTGGTCATCGACACCGTAGAAGCACTTGGTCATGATAACCACGCGGTTACGGGGAATATTGAACTTCTTCAGGGCCTTGCCAACAACTTCCTCAGAGCGACCGTGGGAGTAGACATCGGCCTTTTTCATAGATGAGTTAAGCTTCAAAGATGGTTGAATTCTGGGCGAACGAGTTGGATATCTACTTACCGTATCCCAGGTGTTGATGCCCCGCTTATAAGCGTGCTCAATGACGTTCAAAGACTCCTCCTCGTCCAGGACCCAGTCCTGCCATTGCTTGCTACCAAAGCCCATGGTGCCCAGGACGATCTTGGAGATCTTCAGGCCCGATTTGCCAAGGCTAAGGCGTATCGGAAGTCAGCATTCAGTCTAGGATAGATTCGGAGTCCACAGCAGTACCGTGTGTATTCCATCTCCTTGCCAGACATTGTGAGTATAACGAGGTCAAGTAACCTGAATCAAAGAACTATTTCAAGCAAAAAGGAATCAGTTGAAACAGTCTGTCACTATGGGTCAATTATTCCGGTCGCTCGATCATAGTCGGCAATGACGTTGTATCGCGAGCTTGGAGGTGACATACCTTCGTAAAGGTAACAAAAATCGAATGATCACAAGCCCGTTGCAAAAGTAGTGTGCAGCTGGGAAGAGGTTTGATTCAAGATATGAGTCAAGTCGAGACTAATTAATTGGGTTAGGAACTATTGGGGGGCATCGATCATCCAATCACCAGCGCGGTGAAGGCTTCGACATGCCGAAAATAACAAGCGAACTTCACTTAGCCGACGGTTACCCGGCAAGCTTTCCTGTCGCCCACTCACGGTCCTCCGTGGCTATCGGTCGGCCTGGGCGATCGGATAGGAAAATCCGGGGTAGAGATTGTGCAGATGAGTACTTTGTATTTGTTGCATTGTGCTAGCTACATTGTATATTGTTACATCCATACTCGATGACACGGCAATAGGTATGGATCGCAGGATCCGACGGATTCCTAGAATCTACAGCTAAAGAAACAAAATGTCTCTACCTTCAAGGATTCCCCATTAGAACCATACCCGCCAAATTCAGACTCTGCAGCATAACCAATACTGCCAGCCCACTGATAACGATCTCCTCTTTGAGCTCTTCAGATAGCATCCCAATCATCTCAAAAGATCCCACCTCCGCAACCGAAAACACCTTATTGTGGAATCGGCAAAGTACTTGACAGTCGCACGTATTGACAAGCTTGAAATCCCCCGTCAGGGCCCCATCAGCCTCCCACTGCAGAACAGTATCGGGCATAGAAAGGCCTTCAAAGCGATAAGTGCGCGAAAGGATGTCCGGTCGGCGAAGCAGGACCCGATGGCCGCGAATGGAGAGCGTTACTTCCATACTCAGCTTTTTGAATGATGATGTGCACAGACCTGACAGACTGTCTGTATGGTCCTCATTGCTAGAAACATCACTGTTTTGACGCCTCATCAGTTGGACCTGAGGCATTTCGCGACAGACTTTTACGGTGTACAATGGTGTAGAATCGTCCGAGTCTAGAAGCGAGAGGAACTTGCCTCGATAGTGGATATGAATCATTTGAATATTGACTGACATATCGATGGAATATTGTTTCTTAGCTCTGGATATGGCTGATGAACTAGGTGTTTGAAGGATATCAAGAAAAAACGAGGACGGATCTTCCTTGAGGGAGCTGATGCACCTTTTAACCATGACCATGACCCTTGAAGTCCAGGCATGACGGCGAGTCAGGTTCAACGTCGTCGCTTGCAAACCAATTCCCAAGAGACCCGAAAACGATGTTATATGTCTACTCAGGGCATATGGTCGGGACTGGGAACTTATTGGCCCTCGTCATTCCCGAAGCGAACAGGCCAATGAGGATACATGAGTCAGTTGGCCCCCCCGTCTTTGATCGCGACCACAGCCTCATCTCGGGAGATACGCCGAGTCAATCTTCTAGGAATAAGACATCGGCCACAAAGTTTTAATGTTCCACCTTTCATTGTCACTCGCCTATGCAAGCAGAAGTAAAGCCTGTGCTCATGAGTTTAGCGACATCGAGGAAATCACGAGGAAGAACCGGTTGTCTCACTTGCAGGTAAACGATCCCACTTCAAGAAAACTGTGATAGTAGATTAACAATGAGTAGGGTCCGGAGAGTCAAATGTGACGAAGTCCGACCGTTATGCCATCGCTGTACGTCAACAGGCCGGATTTGCGACGGACACGAGCAAGAAAGTCAAGCCGTTCGCGACGCTGCAGTGAGAAGGAAAGGCAAGAGGCTGCTAATGCCTCAGCAACGTGTTTCAGAGAGAACGACGCTTCTCATGCCTCCGTGTCAAGTAATTTCCCTTTTGAGCATGCCGGTCGCCGAGGGCCAAACATTTGCCTTCTTTCGTGAGCATACGCTACATGGAATTCCCAGGTGCTTCGAGTCTTCATATTTGGAATCGCTAGTGCTACAACTCAGCCTACACGATGCGTCTGTTCTTCATGCTGCAGTGGCAGTTGGGGCTATGCATCGCGCCACGGGGGGGACTGTGCCCTTCTTTGCAGCTTGGTGACTGGCTTGAGCGTGGAAATCCATTCGCAGTGGCACAATATGTCAAATCGATCAATCATCTCAGAAAGCGCCTGGATGACCCGAATGACTCTCAGTGTGAACATGTCGCTTTATTGACATGCTTGTTGTTCATTTGTTTTGAGATGCTACAAGGAAATAGGCCAGGAGCCGTCGCCCATCTTCGTAATGGGCTTCGCATATTATTGACACGAGACTCTCCTTCAGTGTACCTGGGACCTGAAGTGAGGAGCATTTGGACTCGCAAAAACTCACTATTTCACACCTCACACCTTGATGAGCTGGCGGATACATATGCTCGTCTAGATTACGAGTCCACGATGTTTGGAGAAGAGACTGCTATACTCACGCTCGACTCGCCCCATGATCTTATAGGCCCAACTCTTCCAACACCAAGCACTTTCATCAATGTTACAGAGGCCAGGAAGTCGTTGGATATCCTGTCAAATGCCGTTTATCGCTTGCGCGGTGAGCTACTGCGTATGGCTGCCTCGAATATTGATAACGAGATTCATGAAGATTGGCCAGTTCGTTATTGTGTAGCCTATTCTGGGATCCGGACAGTGGATCTATCCAAGCAGCAGCAAGAGCATCTCATCCGTGCCTAAGCTAACATTCACCCTAGGAGCGGGAATCATTCCTTCTCTTTATATGGTGGCCATGAGATGCCGCAATTCAAGACTCCGACACGACGCTATCGCTTTGCTTGATCCAACAAGATGTCAGGAGGGAATGTGGGAGGGCAGTTTGATCGCCCGGTTCGTCGCAGAAGTGGCAAAAATGGAAGAAAGAGCGGCTATTACAAAAGGCGAAGGAAATAATAAACATCTCCACATTCCCCAGCCTGCACGCTTTAGCGATGTTGTTGTTGCTATGTCCGAGACTCCCGGATATGGCCGTTTGGTTTGCGCGCGCTATCTCCACGAGTCAACAGGTGCGTTGGAGATTTCCGAGAAGGTATTTCGATTTTGAATGGTTCAAGGTATTATAGTCTAGAAGCATTGACTAAAATAAAGGTTCCAATCCACTCAAGGGAATTTCAGCCCTTATTTAAACACTCGGGCAACCAATCCCTATCCTACATCGTTGCCAAGTCTATGAATTCGAGTTTGCCATACAAAAACAAATTGTGCTCTGCGCTCTGTTTTAGATCCTACCCTGCACCAGCAAGGGCTTTTCTGGGGAGCCAGAGCTAAGTGAAATAGGATGTTTTTGTTGAAGGGGTGGGATGACCCAGGGGAATCGATCGGGCACGAAGCCATCTGCTGTGACCCCGTTCCCAAAGCTCGCATACTTCTCAGCCGGGTTCTCGTACTCCAAATCGAAGTCTTCCCAACGAATAATCTCCGTTGCGGCATAGTAATGAAGTACTGTACCAGGCCATGGAACGATGATCTTCCCATTGGCATTTTTATCTATCGACCACTTGTGAGTACGTCTTAGTAAACAGACTTTTGGAAAGGAAATTGAAAACCTACACCACGAATTGCAAGGCCCGGACCATACCATATGAGACATCCTAGATTGGACCCACTGGTTGAATTCCTTTTGAGCCTGGTCTTTGACACAGACTGATCGTAGTCTATCTGTCTGAAGTCGTGACAATATTCGAACCATGTAGCTACCTGCTCGCTCAATTCCCGGTACTGCGGACCCATTTACTGGACAAATAGGGGGATTGAAAACTAACTGAATCAGAAAAAGATCTGCCATATCATGTGCTATTTGTGGAACACTTACCAAAGAAATTCGGAAACCCGGCAACCATCGCAGCCATGTAGCTTTCGCATGGTCCCTCTCGGTCCCAAGCTTTGGAGAGCGATTGTCCTGCCCGGCCAATGACTGGAAATCGGGGTTGATAAGGCTCGAATCCAGTTGCGTAGACAATAATATCACATTCAATGTTCCTCCCCGATGATGTGATAAGGCCCTCACTTGTTAGCTCGGAGATCGAATCTCTCAGATACTCGGCGTTTGGTTGTTGCAGTGCGTCCAAGTAAGGACCACCTGGTGTGAAACGACGACAACCTGCCTCGAAATCCGGTAAAAGAGCATCCAAGAGTTTTTGATCTGCAATCTTTGATTTCATGAACGACTCTGATAAAGAAGTGAACCGAGCTTGTGATCTAGTGCCTTTCCACAGACCTGGAAAGCCAGCCGCCAGCTTTTTTTCTAGTCCAATTCTGAAATCATAGTACTTTGGAGGGCTAAGTTGCAGTGCATTCTTTTGTTCAGAGGAATCTTCATGAATGTCAGTTGCCTAGTCTGAGAGCGTCATGTTGATCACACTTACAGTGCCGCTGAACAGCACCATCATCGGAGAAAACATGTGGCACGATCCAAGTTGGTCCTCGAGCAATGTTAATGACTTTCGAAACAACTAATGGACATGATTCGTCAATAATGTCGCCACCAATCTCAGCAGAGGAAGTGTGCCCATACCTGGCTGCAATGCTGCTGTACATTGAACGCTACTAGCGCCATTTCCAATAACTATTACTCGCTTTTTTTTGACATTCATTCTGGAGGGCCAGTTTGCAGTGTGAACTTGCTTTCCTTGAAATTTATCCTGCCCTGGTATCCGAGGCACTTTGTAGTTATTGAGACGACCGACGGCATAGACAAAGATGTCGGCCCAGATGGTCCGTTCAAAGGTTGATTGGACATTGCGAAAGACGATCTCCCATTTTGAAGACTTCTCGTCCCAATTTGCAGACACGCACTCCGTGTTAAAGGTCATAAACCGTCGAAGATTATGTTTATCCACCACATCTTCTAGATATTGGTGTATTTCACGGGCTGGAGGGTAAAGAGAGGACCACAGCGGGTTTGGTGCCCAGCTGAACTGATATGTGTGAGATGGTACGTCGCATGTACACCTGATTTATGATTAGTGATGTCGAAATAGAGACAAAGCAAGGAAAGATCAATAAGAATCGTCTATACCCCGGATAATTATTGAGGTACCATGTTCCCCCAAGACAAGGATTTCGGTCAAAGATTTGAAGGTCAACATCCTTCAAGGAAGCTGTCACGTCATGGGCAAATTGAATGCCCGAAACCCTGAGACGGTTGTTAGAACAAAGTATGATGTTAAGCATTGCTTCACGTACCCTGTACCAACCACGACTACCGTCAGTGGCTTGGGGATAAAAGCACTCGGCACAATATCTGTTAAATCCATGATAATTCATGATCTGAAACTTCGGTTCACGGGGCCAGAGCGTAGAAATGGAAGAGGGTACAAGTACCTGGACGTCCATCAACTTTAGACAAGCTTATCGCTTCCCGCTTTAGGAGCTCACATTACGCTACCGTGGTCGCATATGAGTTCTAAATGCAAGAAAGGGATGATATCATAAGTCAGTATCCAGGGACGATCGTGCATGAACTATTGTTCTAGGCTGCAGATCAGTAGTCTATTAGATGATCTTCATCTGTGGCGTGTGGCGCAAGACTATGTTCGCTCGCCACAGTCAAGTTACACAGGTCATTTCCAGCTTAGGATGCCCTACACTCCATTTTCTAAACCAGTCCTTTGATTCGCCATTAGCAAAGTTGGTGTTCTTGACCGAAGAAAAATTTAGGGCGGGATGCTCAGCCGTCGATCGGCAAATTAGAGTTCTCACCCAATCTATCACACATTAGATCAAGATGCATGTGCTCACCATAGTTTGGGAAGAAACAGACTGTTCTTAGCGGTGCTTGCTTTTTCTTATCCAGGGACAAACACCCGGAATACATTTCCTGGTTCACATGCCTACCTTATTCAAGAGAAGCCTCGCAGCCAAATGACATCAATTGGTAGCTTTTGGAAACCTTGAGGGTATCCACGTAGACATTCAAGGGGTTGAACCGAAAGACTCCTTCATATTGTTGACTTTGACCGTGCATAACGTACTATAGTGCATGCTGTACCACCCTTGAACGGCATCTTTGCATCCTCCTCTCTTCTTGTGGTGTACTTTTCTGGGCCCCAAGCCCTGAAAAAATAGGCCGTCCCTACCATCCAAGGCGCATCCTGCAGACCTCCAGTTGTCAAAAGTACCTAATTTTGATCCCCCTACATTTTGTATCATCCTGTCAGGAGGTGAGGATCTTGGCTCTATCGGTAAACCACATGAACGTTGCGGCCCACGAGAATCTAGGTCACACAATCACTGGTGCATCTACTTGGCAACTCCCCACCCTCCCGTCCCCCCAACGACTTCCTTACAGCTTGACTACCTATCCAGTCTTAGCATCCCAAAAGAATCTTGAAAGAAAGCTCGAAGTTGAATCTCATCATTTCTGAGCAGTGCTATCTAGTCACCCTCAAAACAGAACCGCGCTTCAGTCTTGATTAAGCTCGTGTGCTTGCAGATCTATCTACTGATAACGACACATGGTCGTCACCGCTTCGAGTTCGGTGCAGATAGTTTTGGCTGCAGATTCTGGGTAACGGCCCAACTTGATCTCGTGCATGAGTCTTGCTGGATTGCCAACGGGCGGCAGGTTGCTACAGCAAAAACCGGAAGTTCGAAGTTGTGGCCCTCTCCCGCTGTATCAGGGACCTTACGTAGAAGTTTGAATGATGTATGAGGCCTGTGCCCAATGTCTCGAATCTTGAGGTCAGCCTAAGTTTTCGTCTGATTCAAGTTGATTTGTAAGTTCCATTTGCATGTAGTCTGGGTCAAACTTCTAGAGCGACATATTCAAAATATATAGTCTACCTAATTATTCCTCGAATGACTAGCTCCAGGTATCCATCGTAGAAATCATGTGCCATGAAGAAAAGAGAATTTAGAGTGAGACGTGTCTCGCTAGACACTAGAAACAGATCATGACAGCGACTTTTGATACTTACTAGGTGGTACCTTAGAGACATACATGAAGTGTTTTGACTCAGAGCCCTTGCACGACTAGCCAAGGGTCTACTTGGGGTTCAAGGATATCTTCAAGTTCGCGGTTTAGAACAAGGCCATTCAAAACCACAGTCCTATCTCATATCTCTGATTTTTGGTAGTATGCGTAATATAATGCTGCTATGTTCACTCTGGCCTTCTCACTGCTTGGTTAGCCCGCTAATGTCACCTGTTATACCTCGGCTCCGGCTGTTCACTAATCAAGTATATTGGATTTTACCAACCATACACCATAACCTGATCCGCTTTGGTTTCATGACTAGATTGGAATTCGAGATTCGCTTAGTTGGGTTTCCCGAGGCCCACGGACATTTCTTTGATCACGTTGAAATTAAACCATAGATGGTGGGGTAGTCTCGGGATGAAATAAGGTGGTTATTGTTGCTATATATGTATCAACCTCCCGTAGAGCCCATGTTTTGTATCTGCAGCAAACTCTATAATCTTTCCAGTGATTGACAACAACAAAGCCATATTCTTAAGATGGTTGGTGGTCCTCGAACTGTCGCGATTCCTGATACATACGTCACTTCACTCGATAGCCCTATCCGTGTTTCCAACTTCCCGGACTTGGCATGTGGAGTTACGTCTGTCCAGGTTGTAACGCTGAACCGACCCGACAAACTGAATGCGATTACAAGAGGCATGATTGATTCTCTTATTGCCTTCTTTTCGACTGTCGATGTGGATGACCGAGTCAAGGCCGTAATCTTAACAGGCGCAGGCAGAGTATTTAGTGCCGGAATTGACCTGACTGGAGACTTTAGCCAGGAGAAAGACAAATTGCGGCCCACTGAGATGCGCGATCCAGGAGGCACACTGGCACTTTCGATGTTCAATTGTAGCAAGCCCATTATAGTGGCGTACAATGGCCTCTCTGTAGGGATCGGCATGAAATCAACTCTAGCGGCGACTATTCGGTCAGTGTTTGTCTTCACCCGCATGCTCTCAAAAGCTAACTTGAACCTAGTATCGCGCCGCGTAATTCAGAATTCGGATTCCCTTTTTCAAGGATTGGCCTTACAATGGAGTCGTCTAGCTCTTTTTTCCTCCCGCGTATGGTTGGATATAGCAATGCTACATATTTGTTAGCAACAGGAAAACGATATCCCGCACATTCACCTATCCTCCACGGCATCTTTGCAGAGCTTCTTCCCGAACCTAAGGACGTTCTTCCCCGCGCCCTTGAACTTGCACAGGACATTATCTCGAACGTCAGTACCATGGCAATTCACCTGAACCGGCAACTCATTTGGCGGAACCCTGGTTCCGCAGAAGGCGCACACTTGGTCGATAGCCCTCTGTTATACGACATGTTTGGCGGAAGGTAAAGTTCCTGGAAAGCACATTCTAGTCCTCTTCATGGTTATAGGATTCGCTGACTTATCCAGGGATCATCTTGAATTCAAGAAATCTTTCTTTGAGAAGCGTCAACCAGAATTTACAGATACATTATCAAGGAATGCGCCTCGTACATACCCTTGGTGGAGCGAATTATCTGTGGAGACTAGGCCAACTGCTCAAATGGCCCCAAGGGGAAAACTGTAAATGGTTTGAGTACTTGATGCTTTTTATAGGGCAATCGGGTTCCACTTATAGCATATCCCACATCCACCAGACTTTACATGCCTTCTTGCTACCACTTTGGTTCCATTTTTCATGGCATTTGGTCGTATGTAGATCCTCAAATAGTTTCAATGCAAATTTCAGAGAGGCAAATTAGACCTGGCTGACGCCAGTTCCTATTTTCTATTTTAAAGAACGATCCTGATTTGAGGGGCTGCGTTATTCGTTACTTCACGTCGTCGAACTTCATGCGTATCGACCATTATTGAATTAGAAGAATGAGGATGAGGTTTTGTATTTTAAGTCTTGCAAAGACGGCCTGGATAGGCAATTTCCGCTTTTGTAGTCTAGTCCCAGGACGTAGAATCATATACATAACCGTTCACATAGCCAATTCGTCAACGCATGGCCCTGTTGGGTCTCGTGGTTGTCGCCAAACAAAGGCCATATAAGTGGTGCAATGTGACACTCTTTATGACCAATGATGAAGGTTGTATCGGAATTAAATTTCTGCGTGTAGTTTGTCAGGTCGATGCATCGATTTTCAAGGAGAATAGGGATTTGACTGACACTGAACCTCTTCACCCAGGCCTTGATCGGGTCCAATAGCACCTCATCACTTCCAGCAAGCACGAGAGTCTGTTCCACCCAAGCGTCTTTCCACCATAATTCAGGTGCCTCAACTGCTTCGATGTAATTGTTTGAAGACCTGCCCTTTAAATACTCTTGAGACCAACTGGCTGTGACTTCCATTGCGTCAATATCCTTGCGTGCATTGTAAGTCATGCTAGGCCAATCATGACGGAAGGAGAGCCAAGGGGACAAGAGTACGACCGCTTTGAGGGGCTCAGTGATTTCCAGCTTGGGAGCATCTGGAGAGGGATGGGATAGGTGTGAGAGGAGCGCCAGACACAGATTAGCCCCAGCCGAGTCTCCAACAATGATTACCTCCCTGGGTGGGCGTCCGAGACCCTGGATGACATATTGCAGAGCTTCTATCGCCTCGCAGAACTGTGTTGGATAAGTTGCATGTGGTGTTAGGGTGTACGTAACATGTAACCAGCTTGTTGTGATATCTTCTTCTGCAAGTCCTTGGCTCACACTCTGCCAGAAATCAAGATACGGTTCCGTTGCATCCATAGCGAATCCTCCGCCTTTAATAATCCTCTTTAGTTCTCCTCTAACAGTGCCAATCGGGTCAAGTTACCTACCATGAAAGTTGATCACCACGTACCTGGCATTTGGGGAACCAATCCAGAATCCCTTGAAGCCATACTCATCTGACACAAAATTTGGCTCGGTTCCAGTTTTCTCACAGTATTCCAAGTAAAGTTGCTCGTACGACTTGAAGAGATATCTAGCCCGACAGTAAGCATTCAAATTCAACCTTCACACGGTCATGCACTCACTGGAGCTGGAGTGGACTAAATCGTCTAGTGAGCTGACAGTATTTGTAAGCCTTCGTTCTGTTAAGACATTTGATAATTATTGAACAAGGTGAGATACCGCTTTCACTGCAACTTGAATAAGATGGTGATGGTAGCTGTCCGCCCCAGATGCACCGCGAAAGGGCCCAGTTAAAGCAGCATATAGGATTTTTGTTCCTTTATGGCCGTCTTCAGCATGACCTCACCGAAGATTTTCCCTGAATAGACTTACCGACAGAGAACCAGCCTAGCCAGGCGTCAATCTTTTCCGGAATCCTCACAATACGCCTCATGATTGATGCTTCCCTAGTCATCTGCGAAACCGATGGATCAGTATGGCACCATAGACTCGCTCGCAGGATTGTTATTTATATAGGTTCCAGCTGCAGGCCTTTTGTTGCTAAGCTCTTTTTAGGCCTGATTAGTATTCGAGTTGCGTGCCGAGGCTTTAAAGTCAATTTTCAGTCTTGGAAAAATGTCCACGAACTGCGAAACTAGCTGCTATCGAATCCACGTGGTTCATTCTTCTCTCGCCAAAACGTTTGGCCGCAGTGCTGAGCGCTCCAATGCGTGATGTATACATAAATCGGAAACTTCCATGCAATCACATACAGCACAACATCTACAGTAGAAGCATTCGTATCTCAGGCTCCAAATCCAAGTTTCAAGGCTCCTACTCGAAGTCCGTTACCGAAGATAATATCCCCAAAATACATCATAGCCCCAGATTAGTAAGTCTTTCCTGCCCCTTGTCTGTAAATAGCAGCAAACCATTCCAATACCCAACTGCCCAGATCATAGGGTACCGCCAATGGAACCACATGGGATGCTCCGTAGCCCCAAACCACCCAAAATGCCTATCCAGGTTGTAGCAAAGGTAATTACACGCGCTAAGTACTAGCAGTGCCAGGATACCCGTGAAATGAGCTGCTTTTTTCCCATAGTAATGGTCGACAATGAAGCAATTGACTAAGCCGCCCATTGCCCCACCCATGCCTAGCGGGCAGAAGACAAGAGTCCACATGACTTTGTAGAAGAGGTCTCGGGTGCCGGTCATGACGAAGACGCCGACGGCGAGGAAAATGATTTCGGCGAATAGGGAGTTGAGCCAGAAGAGGAGGAAGGGACGGATATAGACGGCACGTCGTTTCTTGGCAGTTCTGATGTCGTCCACCGTGGTTATAATAGGTTGGAAGGTGTTTGTAGGCGCCATGATGAAGTTAGAGGCAATATGGGTAAATATCTGATGGCTGTTGCTTTTTTATATCTTCGTAAATCAACTTCATGCAACCGACCATTGAACTTCTATATTGAAAGTGATCAAAGAGCGTAACCGAGGCTTAATCATTTTCCCCGACGATGGCCAGGCCTACAATCGCATGTTTCACTCCGGGGGTGAGTGTTGTTGTGATGAGTGATCATCCCGACCGCCGAAGGTTTGTTACCGACAAGGCCGAAGACCCCCTTGGCTTGTTTCTTCCCTCTCAACCTGAATGAATCCGATATACACGAAATGCCACCTCACAAAGAAAATAGGAATATGAGATATACCGCGACTTCTGCAACCTTGAGTCGGGTAGAGCCCGTGTTAACGGCTCTACCAGAGGCCTCACCTAAAAGGACTGGCTTGTCACACGAGCGCCAGCAGCAGCCCGCAAGCCCTGAAAAGAAGGAGGTATATCACATGATAAAAATTAACCCACGGATGTCAATCAGGCATGTATCATAGACTGATATAGCTATAGCGACGTCGGAAGCAAGTTCGCCTAGCGCAACGGGCATACCGGGCGCGGAATGAGGCCAATACCACAGCACTTAAACAACGTATTGCCCGACTAGAGTCAGCTCTAGAACGACAGAGCAAGGCGGTTGTTCTCTTTAGCAATTTCCTGGCCGAAGAAGGGGCTCTTATCTCCCGCCCGCACGTTGCGGATCGTCTTCGCGAAACGGTGAAAATATGCTTGGATTCGGCCTTGTACGGGGAAGAGTCTGACGAGGATATTGGCAACCTGCAACCAAAGAACACATCTTCGAGGATACAAATGCCGATAAATAAGCCACCCTCACCCATGGACGGTCCTGGGTATTCTCATCCGGATATTGATTTGACCTGGCCAAGCGAATGGCCTCGCAACCGACTCTTGCCGTTTAAGCTAGACGGCACGGGGATAGTTGAAGCGCCAGTCTTTGTGCAGCACCTCAGAATAATATGTCTCTATCAAGGATTCTTGGTGCTTAAAAACCAGTCTGTGCCTCTCAATGCGTTAAAGCGGCCGTTTCGATTGCTTTTATCCCTTGTCACGAGGGAAACCATCACGTCATTCTTCTATACTTGTCTCTATGCCAGGCTGAACAATGCCCAGCCCGACAGGTGGAACGAGATTCCGTTCTTTAAACTTGGAGGCGCCGGTACACACTATCCTGAGGCGTTATCGTCAAGCCAGAGTGAGACAGAGACGCGAGTACCAGAGCAACAACACTTTCCTTTAGAAAATCATGCTCTATCGGCTTTTTCACCCGAGGCTCAAGAAGAGCTTGACGGGGATTGGTTTGACATTTGGGACTTGGCAGGTTACCTGCAATCAGAGAGAATCTCTCTTTCGACAGCACCACCAACTGAGAATACCACATATCGGAAGGTGAATGCACTAGACTTTACAGCAGGTAAGGCTCGACGATCCTAGTTATCTGAGACATGAGCTGTATAAGCGTCTGACAATTATCAGCTCTACTCGAGAGGGGAATATGTCTAGGGCACAGTCCCGGGTTCAAGCGGAGCGATGTAGAGAGTGCAATTAGCCTGTCCTCCTGGGGTTGAGCCACAGCAATTTGCACATACCAATGAAGGTTTCAATGATCTATTGCTCATTCTATAAGCTATCGCCGTTAAAATACTTAAAGACGACCAGAGTCCTGTCTTCCTCTAATGTTCCTCGACCCATCAACCACCAACGCCACTTGTGAACTTGTAGCTATCAGCTCCCCCTTTTGGTCAAGAATCATAACATCCAAGTCCGCGCGGCTCCCACGAAGCATCCTAGTCACCACACGAGAATGCAGCCATTCTACCCCCTGTGGAGGGAGCCTGGTTTTCAGATCCACATTCATGGTCACAGTCGGAAACCAGAACTGGCCAAACGGCACTTCCATCATGCTCTTTGCACTTCCTGTCTCCCCTTCCAACGCAAGAAGTCGACTTGTCTCCATAGCTTCCATCCGGGTCAATGCCGCAGGAAACATATCCGCCAAGTATAGCACAGCTTCATTGGACCACTTGGCCGGCTTCCCACCGGGCGCAAATTGCGCCCACTGGTCGACTATTTGCTTCGTCCGATCTTCCAGTCTCATGGCGGACAATGTGTGGGATGGACTAAATATCCTGAGATGTTTGGCGGCATGCAGCGCAGGAGGTGTTTGGGGACATAGCACCCATGTACCATCTATTCCGTCCTCTGCTAGCGCCTTAAAATCGATTGAACCATCTGATAAAGAGCCATGTGGCATGGGTGGAGAGAGATCCCAGAGCCCCTTAATAACCGGCCCCTGCTCTGTATCCGGCGGACTCATCGTAATGAACGCAGCCACCATAATCTCCAGCTCGCTTCCATAGGCCAACTTCTTGGTGGTTGCAGGTTGATTGGGCTTTTGGGAAAGTGTAACATGTATCGTACTAACCCTCGACCCCAACTTAATTTCTTGCACTGTCAGGATAGCAGGCCCAGTGAATGTTCTTCTTAAGAATGAAATTTGCAATCCGATTGGTTCTGGCGAGCGAGCTAGTTGTTTTCTCGTAGTGTACTTCCTGGCGAAATGGATTGTGGCAGTTCGATAGAGGACACTCGCTGTGTAGCCTCCATGGGGAACTAGGATACGGTTTGTATGTTAGGTTCGTGGGCTTGTCTCTACGGTATCAAATGGATAAGGGGTAGTTCATACCCGTCCCAATACACCAGGCGGGGTCAAGATTTGCTGAGTAGGTGCTTGAATCGATCGGTATCACGGTCATCGCTTTCTCAAAGAGCGACGAGTGGCTAGGTTGAGCCATTGTGAATCGGAAGCTTCAAAGAAGGAAGAAATCCCGCCTTGTTGAATTAACATAATGGCATGATTTCCTCTGCTACAGGGGTATTTAAGCGTCTTTGCTCTCGGGTTGGTCAATTAAGTTACCCATGGCCCGAGGAATACCAAAGCTCGCTTGTATCACTAATCAACCCGAGCACATGTGTTACGGCATACACCCTAGCATAATAATTCAATACTCCAAATGACTGAATATAAGTGAAACTCGTTTTCAGTCATGCCTGAGACTGGTATAAGTAACGCACATCGGGTTGGAGGAGGCGACGCAGCCCTGAAAAATATGAATTTAACCAGCCGCGATTCGCCCCATCGAATATTTCGATAACAGTCAATTGAGGCAATACACAATCAACCTTGGTTAGTCATGATTCATACATCCAAGTATCTAGTCAACTATATTACGCTTTTTGGTCAAATTTCGGTTAAACAGCTTGGTCGCGAGTCGAGGAGACGAAACAGGATCGGAGCATTAAGCTAGTGCATATTTTCCTTGCATTTATAAATCCAATTCCATTCATTCCATGGCTTAAAGAGTAGGATAACTGCGTTCTGGATAATCACAAAGGGATAACGTGTCCCATACTCCGTTCAGTTGATTCCATATCAAACCTTTGACTTCGCATTCGTTTCTGGAAAAGCGGCCAACGCCCCTCTCAAGATTGCATGAGGATTAATCCGTCGCGGGTATCGTCTCTGGATATCCTCCGTCAATTCCTTCCAGTTCGAGGCCGACCGGACAGCCTCTTCGAAATCTAGGATATACTGGCGCGTCTTCTGTAGATTGAACAAGCCGTCCACCGTCCCTGCTCGTTTATGCCCCGCAATGACAGTATGCGGGTCAAGCGCCTCGATGGTATCGAGTGCATGGAGCCATTCCTTTCTCTTTTCCGGGGTATTTGCTTCGCCAAAGTACTGATGTACGTCTCCATATACCGCGTCACCGGCCACGACGAGTCGGATGCTGGGAACGTGGAGCACGGTAGTGTTGTACGTATCAGTATGTCCTACTTCAATGGCGTGGAATTTGTGGCCATCAAGCTCGAAGACAGGCTCGTCCATTGCCTCGGCCAGCTCGAGAGGTTGGGGGATTTGGTTCCCCGGAAACAGGGTAAGCCATGTTCCGTTGAGGATTTCTGGCTTAATTTGTTCTTTCATATGTTCGATGGTACCGGGCGTACCGAGGGCACGCAGGTTGGGCCAGTGCTTTCGTAGGACAGTGATGCCAAACCAGTGGTCGCCATGACCGTGGGTGATATACACGTAACGGAGGTCTTTACCAGGCGCTGTCTCCTTGATCCAGGAAACTAGGTCTTCAGTTTGAGAAGTGGAAATGGGTGTGTCGACAAGAACAGCCCCTGAATCTCCATGTATAAGGGTGCAGGAGATTGGAGAGAACGAACTTGACTCGCCCAACCGCTTGATTGCGATGGGGAGGCGCGAAGAAACATAGACATCAGCTTGGAGAATGGAAGACATGATTGAGTGACAAAGATGATAGAAGGAAAAATAAGCTCAGAGAGTAGATTGCAAAATCAATCAGCTTAAGAATGCCCGAGAATCTATGGATCCTCTTTCTTAGAAGTAAATGTTCTCAAGCCGAGGATTAGGTGGATTAGTGAAACGGATTAGTGAGCCTATGGACCTATAGTTCACCGAGGTGAATATGGCCGAAGCTCGGATAACCAGATTCATGATCCAAGAGACGTCGGTCCTCGGTTGAGCGATCACTGAACCAAACATGACCACCGCAGGCATAGCTTATTTAGAACAAAACATAAACCCCACGAATGCCATTACCCCGGAACAAGTCTCGCCACATATCTCCCTTGCCGCAAATACAATCCCACAAACATGCCTCGCTGGACCTTCGAAGTCACCCCGGACACCCTGTCCAGTGACGAAAAAGATAGATTGGCCGAAGCCATCACCAACAACTACGTCGGACTGGGCATCCCCGCATTCCTAGTGAACGTCTTCTTCCACGAAAACCGAATCGGTACCTTCTACAGCGGCGGGAAAACACCCCCGAACACGGTCTTCTTCGTCCTCGACCACGCAGCTCGAGCATTTCCGAGCGAGGAAGTTCGCCTGGCTTTTATCGACAGCGTGAATAAGATTGTGGAACCCATTTTGGGACCCAAGGGTGTCAAGTGGGAATACAATATCTACGAACACCCTGCTGATAACTGGCGTGTGAATGGGATGATTCCACCGGTGCAGCAGAAGGAGCTCTGGCAACATTGGATGGATCGAAATGAGGCTGTCAAGTATGGTGAATATCTGCAAATCGACAGAGAAGAGTGATATAGTGAATCGAGACTATGCCTAATAAAGCAAGCGGGTCTAGTATTCTTAAATCACCTAAACCACCACTCGCCTAATGAAATTAAAATCCACACATAAGTCATTCAAATTTAATTGAATTTAATTGATTATTAATCATGTGACCGGGCTCTACTGGCTACCGGGGGAGGGGTAAAGGGTACATAGAAGAAGGGAAGGTTATGTAACCAGATTACTAGGTAGGCTAGAGATTAAAAGCTAACCTTATTGATTGAGTGTGTATAAGGTTAGATGGTTCAGATGAGAAGTACAGTTGTATGAATTAGTTAGCAGTGGTTACTCGATAAGATAAGTTAGTGGAGGATCTACGGATCCATGATAAGGGGCTTAGTAAGAATCTTGGCCGTCAGGCAGAAATATAAGGCCTCAACGGTAAATCTCAACGGGTGGCAGCAGCTTCGCCCTAGATTTAGAACTCAAGTCGAAGGGTTTCATCGTCTCGCAAAGCCTTGGTGACTATTTGGGCAACGTGATCTACCGTTTCACACTCAAGGTTCCGAAGAGACTTTTCCAAATAGATCGGCTTGTTCTGGATATCCGTAACAATATAATCGACCTGGAAGGGAAACGCAGTGTGGCACGGTCGAATTTCACCCGGTGAATTGATCCCCTCTGAAGTCAATCGAAGGACATCATGAAAACATGCACGTTTGTGACAGGTAACCCAAATAAGGTTATTGAGGTCAATGCTATTATAGGCGACTCGATCCCCATTCGGGCCCTCGCATTGGACATTCCAGAGATTCAAGGGTCGTTGGAAGATATCGCGCGAGATAAGTGCCGACGTGCCGCCAAAATTGTGATAAGATTGCTACCAGCTTGGCTTTTCTTTGATTTTCACTGACCTCTGATATGTCCCAGGTCAATGGACCGGTGATCGTGGAAGACTCGGCCTTGGAATTTCATGCGATGAATAGGCTTCCAGGGCCATACATGTATGAACTACGGAAATTGACATCACTTGACAGACAAGAAACTGATTGTTCATTCTGGTAAACCAGTAAATATTTCCTCGAAGAACTTGGGAATGATGGGTTGAACAAACTCTTGATTCCGTACGAAGACAAAAGTGCGGATGCGGTCTGCACTTTTGCCTTTACCCCAGGGCCCACCAGCGAGCCCTTGGTCTTTCAAGGAAGACTTCATGTGTGTGGAACGTTTGGGTCTTTAAATATGAACCATTCGCTGACCAAAGCCATAGGGCAAAATTGTTGCTGCAAGGGGACCTCCCGTATTCGGTACGTGCCATTAGAAAACTGTAGATTTCCGGGAATATAGGAGCTCACAAATAGAAAGGATGGGAACCAATTTTCGAGCACGAAGGAGAAACACTTGCGGAAATGGCCCATGAAAAGAAGGTAGAGCAATTCCCGATATGAGAGATTGTTAGTTTAGTCTGACTGCTAATGTCAAACAGAACAAGTTATCCCATCGCTATCAAGCCTTGTGCAAATTCCAAGAATGGCTGGCTACGGGCGGAAATTGACCACCGTACCTCCACTAAGAGCCACAGATACCGTCGCTAGGTGGAATAGCATTCAAGGGTCCCATATTTGAAATGAGTGATATATAATGGCATCTCAGGTATAGGAGGGGTCTGCATAATAACTTGGGTGGCTGATAGGTTCCACGAGGGACGTCCGTAAAGGGAAACATTCCCCGTCCGAACCATGCCGTGGCCATAGATTTAGATTATTTCAAGAGGACATGAACCTCATGCATATTCTCACGCCTCTGGATCCTTTAATCCAATATTGTCTCATGATAGCCTGTAGGTTTGGTCTATGTATATATGTACCTATTCTGAATATGAAGATATCATGTCAATCGATTTCGATGCCGACCTCGAAAGGGGCGATAATTCCCGCTCGTCGGGGCAGTTACCCCGTGCCGCGTCTCGCTCGCGTCTCCACACGTTTGCCCTGCCACCCTACCAACACCCCAGACATGGATCCTCTCAAACTTACCCGATTGATCGCGTCTCGGCGAATTTGCGCTTGTTCGGATTTACACGATTTGGCAATTTAGCCCTTCTGGTTATCCCCCGCAGTTGGTTCTGTTATCCGGAGGAGGCGATCAGCTGCACCGTGCGCCCGGTGTTATTTGCGCCTCAAACTGCTACAATGCTAGTGATTCAAGGATCAGTGTGGGGAGAGCCAGCGTCATTACTCAACCAGGCTTGCTGTCCATAATTGCTCTCCACGCCGAGAGGGGGTATTCTTCCCCTCCAAGCCATTCCCCACGGGGCCTAACCCCAGAGATGTGGTTGAATCTGGCTGGACCGACCATATTCTGATAACCGATCATCAGTAACCGCCGCCCCAGTGCTGATGAGGAAAATCTCCAGGATGGGTAATTTCCCCCGCGGGCTTCTACAGTGGAGGCTTCTTGCTGAGTCTCAGGGTCTCATACCCTCTCAGCGACACGAGCCCGATCGGGGAATCTTTCCCAACTGTTAACGAGACTTGATAGAGGCATAGAGATGTATTTTTATATCTGCGGGGTCCCCGGCCTGTGTGACTACATATCAAATCTCTATTATAAAGGCCAAACCATTCTCAAAACGCTTTACCTTCTTATACTACTTCATATCCATTATACCCTGAGACCATTGATGGACTGATATCTTCATGCCCAGAGAACTGGACACTCTCTATCCTTACTTCACACATAATGGCTCTCTCTCAACTATCCCAGTGGAACATCCCACCAGAGCTCCTTCAGGAGGTATCAAAATATGCCACCCCGACTGGCTTCGCCGATTATATAGCGCTGGCCATCCTCGTCGGTACAGGAGCAACCTTCCTCTCGCGAGGAATCCTGTGGGATAAGCCTGATCCATACCACCACCTTGCCTTTGAAAGGCCCCAATTGAAAAATGGTGGCCAACTCGGTGCCAATGCCAACAGAGAAACGAGGAATATTGCACAGAAACTGGAAGAGACTGGGAAGAACATTGTCGTCTTTTGGGGGTCACAGTCTGGTACCGCCGAAGGTTTTGCCCATCGGCTAGCTAGGGAAATCACCTTGCGCTGGGGTCAGGAGACCATGACGGCAGATCTCTCAGACTATGACCCTGCTACCATTGCGGAGATCCCTGACTCAAACCTGGCCATTTTCATCGTCTCTACATATGGTGAAGGTGACCCCAGTGACAATACTGCCGATTTCTGGAGTTGGATCAACAAGGCCGATGCTGTCTCACTCGCCAACTTGCGATACGCAGCCTTTGGTCTGGGTAACTCCAACTACAAATTCTACAATCGTGTTATCGATGTCATTGCGGAAGGCCTGGAGAAGTTTGGAGCAAATGCTTTCATGCCCATCGGCAGAGCAAACGATGCAGAGGGCGCTACCGAGGAAGACTTCATGGCCTGGAAAGATAACTTGTTCACTTGTTTCCGGACGCAATTTGGCTTCCAAGAAGTCGAAGCTAAATACATTCCCACCCTCATGGTTGACGAGGATGAGTCCTTGGAGCCCATCGACCTCCACAATGGAGAGCCCAACAACCAACTCGATGGACACAAGTCAGCCACTCAATCTTCGCCGGTTCGCACATTAAGCATCACCAACTCCAGAGAACTTTTCACTGCATCTGACCGAAACTGCCTGCATATGGACTTGGACTTGAGCAGCCAGCCCGATTTAACCTACAAGACTGGCGACCACCTTGCCATCTGGCCTGGAAACCCCGATGCTGAGGTTGAGCTTCTGCTACAAGTACTTGGTATCTCCTCTCGTCGCAATATTCCACTCATTATCAGGGCCATTGACTCGGCCACCAAAATCACGATCCCGACCCCGACGAGTGCGATTGCTCTTTTCCGCCACTACCTTGAAATTTGTGCTCCGGTCAACCGTGACAACATTCGCGATCTCGCACAATTTGCTCCGACCCCAGAGGCGAAGGCCTACTTGATGAAACTCGGTCAGGATAAGGAGTTCTACGCCGATTTCATCAATTGCACACACCTCAATCTGGGCCGCCTTTTGCAACTCGCATGCCCCGACCAGGCTTGGTCTAACCTCCCACTCGCATACCTTGTCGAAACGATGCCTCACATCCGTCCTCGATATTATTCCATCTCCTCGAGCAGTGTCGTCTCTCCTCGCAAACCATCTATCACTGTGATCGCCTCTACAAACCCTCTTCAAGACAATGCCAACGAACTCGTGCATGGTGTCACATCCAACTACCTCCTCGCAATTTCTCAACACCTCCACTCCCAGCCTCACCCACACGGACTTACCTACCATCTCAATGGCCCTAGCGACGCCCTAGAGGGTGGCAAAGTCTTTGCTCATATCCGTCGTAGCAAGTTCAAGCTGCCCATCACGAGCAAAACACCCCTTATCATGGTCGGTGCCGGCACAGGCCTAGCCCCTTTCCGCGCATTCCTATCCGAGCGATGCCAAGTACAGAAGATTGGCAAGGAAATTGGGCAAATGATTCTTTTCTTTGGATGCCGAAATCCCAATGAAGATTTCATTTATCGAGAAGAGTTGGAGGAGATGCAGAAGGTTCTTGGCGATAAGCTGCGCCTGGTGACTGCATTCTCGAGGGATGAGGGCTCACCGCGCAAATATGTGCAAGATCGGGTTTCAGAGCTTGGTGACGACGTCGTGAAGCTCATCGACGAGGGTGGTAGCTTCTATGTCTGTGGAAGGGCGGGGATGGCGCGCGAGGTGGAGAAAGCCGTTGGTGGTGCCATGAAGATTGCAAAGGGCTGGTCAGATGATGAGACGAATAACTGGAGTAAGGCTGTGAAGAAGAAGAACAAGTGGCAGGAAGATGTTTGGGGATGAAGGATGTTATGGTTTGATTATGTGGATTACCTTTTGTTAGATGCCATAGAGGCTGGAGTCAACTCGTGGTCAATAGACAATACTGCACTGATCATTCAAGGTATGAAAACGCGTCCCTATGCTCTAGCTTTGTGTTTTTGCAAGCCTCTACTTCTTTTCTGAATTAATCGCACAATCCGGGCGTGGTTTTTATGTCCACCGGATTAGGGTCTATCACCGACCAACTCAACTCAGATGACCAATGCGCAAGTTTCCAAATTACTGTTTATCGCAGCAGTAAGGCTGCACTTAAAATGGTCATGACCTATCTAGGATATACTAAATCTGGCGATGGGAATTGAATTATATATAACTCGTAATGTGATTGGCTATATACTATTACCCGATTCGAGGTATTATGATTCCCACACTAATCCAGCCCCTCAAAGCCCTGCAGTAAGACTGGCATTATGATTTCTCCATTCTGTGATATCAGATTCGTGACCATGGCTGAAGCACGATATGGCCAATTGTTGAGATTGTTTTTAACACCTCAGCACTTTTCTACGTCATGGTGTAGCCTTATGCCAAGAAATTAATGGCTAGAGCACTCGGGGGTGACTAAAGGTCGGCTGAGGCTAACTACTTAAGTATCCGAGGATGTGTTCCGATAGGTAGAGAGTACTATAACTTACATTTGAAGCCTAGCCGAAAGCCATCAAGATCAAAGGTCCAAAGGACTGACCACTGAAGCCAGGGGCGGATACAGAAAGCTTCTGTTCGCCTCCCATTTTTGCGTACCCATTTAACGATTTTCATCGCTACTTGACAGGCTCTGCTTCTTTCTCGTATATCTTTATCGTCGGATCTTATCAAATTCAATCATTGGAAATCGCATAAAAACCGTTTAACATACTGTCAAGAGCGTTGATTTATCTTGAATACCTCTTGAAGATAATAAAGTAAGTCCTGGGATCATAGATATGTCGTACGGGGAGCTTTTAATACCCCAGACGGGTATTCACCGTATCTGTGTCCTTCAGCGCACCCACATAACCCACATCTACTATGTGGATACGCCGAAGGGCACGGATACAATCATGATATGACATGCGGCGTCACCGAGCGGAGCACCGACTCGCTGAAACTCAATTATATCTCCCATCAAGGACGAATGAAGGCTGGCTGTAGCCGAGTGATAAAGAGCTTGCGAAGTCCATAACACGTAGACTTTGGCACCTAGCCGTCATAGGATGTACCTTGCAGCCAACCAGAGTGACAGGCCGTTCCATTGTTAGTGAGGATGCAGGTGGCTGGCAAGCAGTGGTTCCACTTTGGTATCTTTAGGATACCTCATAGCTATCCGACCATATGTTATGGTACTATTGCTACTTGATGATACTATTCAGCTACTGGAGCGTCGTCATGCGGGGCTTGCAAACTACTTGCCAGGCAGTGTAGACGTAACTATTTGGCTCGTTTCATGGTTTGACCCATAGAACGACGCTCCTCGCGATTCTTTGGGCAGAAATGATGGCTTATAGAGCTATACATGGCTTATAACTTGACAGAGTCCCCACTCAGGGTGGAGCTTGGATGCCTCGTTCCCCAGCGCATGTGAGGGGTAGAAGTGATATCAGGAAAATGAATACCAGAATAGTCCCTGCACTTCGTACTAAAGCGTTAGGTGCAAGAGCGTGTTGGAGAGAGGACATCTGATAGGCGAATATTCAGCTCCTGAAGCCCGAAGTGGAATAACTATCGTACGAATTGAAGTAAGTCTTTGGCTCCCGAATTCAAATTTGGAAGAACTGACATCAATACAGACCGGTCTATGCTTACCACATGTATAATTCCCGTGGATCTGCGACAGTTCTGGTTCCATGCGAGCTTTACTATGTGTTTGAGAATTACCGTGGACGTCTTTTGGGTTTCCGCCAATTTCCGTCAACAACCTATATAATACGGGCGAGATCCAACCAGACCTGATCAAATATCAATTCATTATTTTGTTTTTGAAACCACTCAATCGATATCTTCTTCGTCATGGCTATTCAGGACGGTGCTCGCTTTGATTTCATCGTCGTTGGTGGTGGCACCGCAGGCAACATCGTTGCTTCCCGTCTTGCGGAAAACCCCTATGCCAGAATTCTAGTCGTCGAAGCCGGTATTGGTAACTCGAAGGACAATGAGGACATCCGGACTCCCGCACTGGCAATGGATCTCCGTGGTAGCAAGCACGACTGGGCCTATAAGACGACCATGGTCAAGCGTGACGACTATGAGCGGATTGAGAAGCCTAATACACGTGGGAAGGCCCTTGGCGGCAGTTCATCACTGAACTATTTCTCCTGGGTGCCGGGTTCGAAGGGGACATTCGATATGTGGGAGGAGTATGGTGGGAAGGAATGGACCTGGGATCCTCTTGTTCCTTACCTTCGCAAGAGTGTCACTTACCATGACGACGCCGGTTTGTTTCCGAAGGAACTTAAGAAGATTGGCGGGGGTGGTCCGATTCCGATTGCCCACGCTGATCTTATGCCAGAGATGAAGGGCTTCCGTGACCTCCTCACTAAGGCCTGGAAGTCCACCGGCGAGCCTGTCACCGACAATATCTTCGACGGCAAGATGAATGGGCTCACATATAGTGTGAACACTATCTATAAGGGTCGCCGGTCGGGTAGCTTCCTCGCGGTCGCGGATAAACCGAATATTACTATTCTTCCTGAAGTCAACTCAAAGTGCCTTATTATCGACGATGCTGATCGTGTCGCTAAGGGCGTGACCGTGATCACTGGCTCTGGGCAAGAGCTAAGCTTTTACGCTACTCGTGAAGTTATCGTCTCCCAGGGTGTTTTTGAAAGCCCTAAGCTCCTGATGCTTAGTGGTATTGGACCGGCGCCCGAACTGGCCAAGCATAATATCCCGGTGATCGTGGATTCGCGTCACGTCGGCCAGCACCTCTTGGATCACCCCGGTGTCCCCTTTGTTCTTCGTCTTAAGGACAGTTTCTCGATGGATAGCCACGTCTTACGAAAGGGTCCCCTACAAAATCAAGCTTTGTCAGCGTACTCTAAGGGTCACGCTGGCCCTATGGGATCACCCTTCCTCGAGATGATCGGTTTCCCTCGAATCGACAAGTACTTGGAAAAGTCCCCTGAGTACCGTAAGGCAAAGGCTGCTAATGGTGGCCTTGATCCCTTCTGTCCATATGGCCAGCCCCATTTCGAGCTTGATTTCATCCCACTATTTGGCAGTGCCTTCCAGTGGCACTTCCCACACCCCAACAAAGGCAGCTACATGACGGTTATGGTAGATCTCGTTCGACCCGTCTCGGAGCCTGGAGAGGTTACCCTGAATAGCGCCGATCCCCTTCAGCAAGCTAACATCAACTTGAACTACTTCAACGATGACCTTGACGTTATTGCTATCCGCGAAGGCATCAGATTCACCTATGATGTCCTCAAAAATGGCGAAGGGTTCAAGGATATCGTTGAGGACGAGTATCCCTGGGACATGCCGCTGGACGATGATGAAGCGATGAAAAGAACTGTGTTAGATCGTTCTCAGACTTCGTTCCACCCCTGTGGCACTGCCCGTCTGTCCAAGAACATCCAACAGGGTGTGGTGGACCCGAACCTCAAAGTCCACGGAGTCAAGAACCTCCGTGTTATCGATGCCTCTGTCATCCCTGTTATTCCAGACTGCCGCATCCAGAACTCAGTTTACATGATTGCTGAAAAAGGCGCAGACGCGATCAAACGCGACCACCAGGATCTTTACTAGTTGCGCGCACGACGTGTCTTTCCAGAGTTTATTCATGTGTCCTCATTTTGTCTACTTCCTAGTCATTTATCTTTTTCATTAGTCTTATGATTAAGAGTATATTGAGATTGAATTATACATATCAGAATGATTACAGCAAAATCTTTTTGATGAAATGGAACGCTTCTGAGAAATCGTGACAGCAACATGAAATACACCTCTTAGTGTCTCCCCGCCAAATTGGAGCTACATAGGCGGACCTCTACAACAATATACAGTGTGTACCATGTAATTGTCCAAGTGGGGATCCAGCTGCTATCGAAAAATGGCGACATATACCAGCTTGAAACGCCCAAAGGGCTAGGAATCAGCATCTTTTGATTTTTCATTACCCCTATTTGACGGAACAGATAAGGTCTAACACGGTTAGAATAGCGATTTCACTTGAACAATTACATGGTAGGCACTGCAGATCAAATGTATGACGCTACGCGAAAGCTTTATACAGCAATGTATGTTGGTTGCTCCACTAAGCAGGTCGGAGCTGATCCGCTACCGGGTTAGGGGCGACATCAAGGTCTTGGCGTGGTGGGATTTGGTATTTATTCTAATATTTGACTAGAAATGATGAGTTTCCCGTGGCAAACCTTTAATAAAGTTCAGATGGTCCGGTTATTTCCGAAGAGGGGGATGCCTGCGTGCCCGTGTCGATGTAAATAAAGTCGGGCCAAAGTTTGCCATTGGCTAAGTATTAGTGGGCTCGAGTCTTGACAAAGCCTGCTGTCTACCCAATGTTAACTTGACGACCGATATCAACAGTCCAGCACTACCTCACCGCATCTCACCTTCGATATCGATTCATTAAAGTTTGATCTAGATGGTTTTGATGACAACATATTTTTGCACGTTAACAGCGTGAGCTTGACATTCACTAACTTGGTTGAATTTCGGAACGTCGCTGCAGGCAGCCTAGGTGTAGCTAATCCCGTCATAAGTATGGATAAGGTGAGAGTCAATGAGATTCTGACGAAGGGAATCTTTTCCATTTGCCGGAAATCTGTGCGCAGGAGGGACTGGCGGGATTAACCATAACAAGTGCAGGGGCTGCTGCGAGATGAACGTATTCTATAAGCCCTGAAACCCGAGACCGTGCTATGAACTTCAAGAACAAGGCACCCACAGAGCATCCTTGTTTATAGATATAAAAAGAAGAACAAGTGGCAGGAGGAGGTTTGGGGATGAAGGTTGTTATGTTTTGATGATGTGGATTTAGCTTTTGTTAGATGCCATCGGATTAAATTAGAGGATGGAGTCAATTTATGGTCAATAAACATTACTTGGTCTTGCAAGTTATGAAAATGCGTTTAAATGCCCTGATATGATGTTTCTGTGGCCTAGGGTCCGGATGGCAGCTAAGCTCCGCCACAGCTTGGTCGTTATACATCTTAAATCCGGATATCCATAAACTCCGAGGTTATAAACTCCGAGGTTCCAAATAAGCCCCATGTAGACGGTAGCAACGAATATATAATTCCACCGCAGGACTACTTTACTTGTCGCATTTCCATCTAATCCAGCAGGCCTGACTTGAATTTAAGACTTGAGACCAGCTGAAAAGTGATCAAAATAATACACTTGCCCCAATAGCCCACGATGACCATCTCCTCGCACTCAGACGTCGTACTTATCACAGGCGCAAACCAAGGCCTGGGTTTCGAGCTCTCTCGGCGCTTAGCCTCTGATTACCCCGGTTACCACATTTTGATGGGCTCTCGCGATACCGGCAAAGGGGATGCGGCTGTCGATATATTGAAACCCGAAGGGCTTTCGGTTGAAGCAATCAACATTGATGTCACGGACGAAGAATCTATCAAAGCAGCTGCGGCAGAAGTCGAATCAAAGTTTGGGAGATTAGACGTCCTCGTGAATAATGCGGGAATCGTCGCCGAGGGCAAGATGCCTACTGGAACCAGCTTACAGGAGACCTTCCGCGCCTGCTTTGACGTAAACGCTTTTGGGCCATTCCTGGTGACGGAAGCCTTCACTCCTCTTCTGAAGAAATCGCACAATCCGCGAGTGGTCTTCATGTCTACCGGTTTAGGTTCTATTACCGACCGTCTGAACCCAGATGACCAATGTGCGGCTTTCCAATTTCCCGTTTATCGCAGCAGTAAGGCTGCGCTTAACATGATTATGGCCCATTATGCTGCACTTTACGCCAAGGATGGGTGGAAAGTGAATGCAAATGATCCAGGATTCTGCGCGACAAACTTGAACAGCTATCGTGGATGGAATACGCCGGAGAGTGGAGTTGTTAACGCGGTGCGACTGGTGACCCTGGGGACAGACGGACCAACGGGCACTTTCAGTTGCACCGAGGGGCCAGTGAATTGGTAATAACTAATATTTCGCTGCTTTTATTGCTTAAGTATTCCTAGCTTGTGTGTATCAACCTATCCAAGCGAAACTCAGGAATCGCGGTATTCTACGTAGAAAGTGCTCGAGGACTCACAGGTGACGCATGCGCGCTCTAGTGCTGATGTCAGCCAGGATCAGGGAGATACGAGGCTCATGAGTAATGACCAAGGGGCCAATTGGTTGGAGAGCATTGGAATCAATAGTTCTAGTAATGGTCTAATGAGGCCCATCTATCTATCATCAGGTCATGTCTGCATCTATCATATCACTGCTTGCACACGGTTGGGTAATCAGTGTAGTGGAAGGCATTGTCCTCGAAAGGCCCGTAGAAACGGGTGCGATCATACGGCGCCAGCGGGAGACCCTTCTTCAATCTGTCGACCAGATCGGGATTGCTGATAAAGTACCGACCATAAAGAAGGGCATCGTACTTTCGGGACTCGACCACACCCCACGAGTTCTTATCATCCCAGCCGCCTGCAGAGAAAAAGGGGATCGAGCCGAAGATTTCCCGAAACTTGTCGAGGGAGACATCAAGCAAGCCCCAGCTCTTGAGGAAAGCGTCTTTCTCTTCGTAACTAAAGATTTGTTCATAACGCTAGTTTCGTCAGCAAAAGCTGAATGTTTATCCGCCACACAGGAATAAAGTCATACCGGCTCAATAAGGCTGACGTATGAAAGGCTTGGGTGAGCCTTCTTCAAACCTTTGCAAAGATAAGTCCAGGTCTCCACGCGCTGCTCACCGCGAGCCTGGTTGAAAAGGCCAAACGGCGAGAGACGAATAGCGAGATTCTCCTCGCCAACAGTCTTTGCAACTTCGTCCATAAGCTCAAAGACAAACTGGCAACGCTTCTCAGGAGTACCGCCATAGTCGTCCGTGCGCTTGTTAATGTTGGAGCTAAGGAATTGCTCAGGGAGATAACCATTGCCGCCATGAATCTCCACACCGTCAAAGCCAATTTCCATGGCAGTCTTCGCGGCCGCACAATAGTCCTGAATGGTTTGCTTGATATGCGCCACGGATAGCTCGATTGGCGGGTGATTCGCGTATGGGACGGGTTCGGTGGAGCCCACAGGCGGGTGCGAATAGCACTCCGTGGGCGAGTCCCACACACTGGCCGAGGGGCACACGGCAGGGGAACCAGTCATCTGGGGGATCGTAGCACGGCCAGCGTGCCAGAGCTGACAATAGATGAAGCCCCCCTTGGCGTGGACGGCATCGACAACCTTCTTCCAGCCACTGGCTTGGTCTTGGGTGAAAATACCGGGGACTCCCGGCATTCCATTGCTCTGTAATAATCACATCAACGTTTTAGAAACTGGAACCGAAATAGAGGAGCCGAGGCCCCTTTAACCCACGCAATCAGGGGGTGATTTATATGACGGGACTTGTTATGCAAGATGTACATAATTTTGGGTTTATTTACCTCGAGAGAAGGAGGAATACCCTCCGAGATAATCAGGCCACCCTCACTAGCACGCTGAGAATAGTAATCGATCACAAGATCGCCAGGAATCCAAATACGATTCGGATTCTCTGCAGTGCTGATAGGGTTTGCTGGCACTCCACGATTACGGGTCAAAGGCGCATGGATTATGCGGTGGCGGAGAGTAATCTTCCCATTGGCAATGGTCAGAGGCCGGAAAAGGGCCGAGTTTTCGGGGCCAATATTGTGGATAGTCATCGCTGTGGCTTTGTGTGGACTATGCTTATGTGGAGGAACGATAATCACAATGGAGATGAAAAAGGGGAATATACGGAGAACAAAACAATAGAAGGCCGCTGCCCCCCTTTTTGCATTTTTTTAAATTTTCATGTCCCAAGACTTGGGACGTGCTGTCAAACCCGTCAATTCGGCTAGGAATTAGTTTAGGGTTTCTTGTGATAGTCCACTTATACCGCTTGTCAAAACGACGGTGCCATTTCAACGTGGGAATTATAGTTTCTTAGGAGCTTTCCGGACCATGCTGTGAGGTTGGATGCGAGACAGCAATCCACTGGACTTTCCCTGATGGAGTTGGCGGAGTGTAGATTGTGGAGCCTATTGTTACTCACGAAAATCGGAGGCAACCATGTCATTGGGACCCGCCGCGTAATTGACTCCGACTTCCGAGCATGGTCAAAGTCTATCGGTTCATTCAGCAATCATAGATGACAATTAGTGAAGAATGGGGCCCGGAAACCAGCCGCCTGGAGTTCTGGACTATTGAGCGTATGGTCAATAGTGTTCCAAGTTCCACTATTAAACTTTTTTTGCCGCCTACCGTCGTTTTGTTTTATCACGAACTGCGAATCGAACAGTGGGATCGACGAGGCTCGACCGCCGTCATATTCTTTTATTTGTCCAACGGCTCCCAATACTTCCTTTTTTTCGCCTGCAAACAATAGCATTTTGTGTGTGATTTTGGCGTCGGCTTCAAGATGACCACGAGCCAACCACACGATGTCTACCACACGGTTAATCTCGTAACGCAATGTCTGTGCATTCCGATCGTCTCGATCTTCGTGGCTTTGCGCTTCTACACCCGATGGCGATTCAAGCAAAGCCTCGGCGTTGAAGATTGTAAGTTATGCTTTCTAGAATGTTTTCCAAGGTACTTTTGCTAACCTTTTATGATTCTAGATGCGTGCGCTGTGGCTTGGGTATGACTTGCATTGACTAAATGTGTAGTACGTGGAAGTATACTGACATCATCTAATAGGGGCTGTTCATGGGATACTGCGGCATCAGTATTGTCAGTAAGTGTCGAGTATATGCCGGGCTTGTTGAAGGCGGCTAGCTGACCTCTTTCAGTCGGAAAAAATGGCGGAGGTTACCACTTCGACCAGTTAAGCCACGAAACCCAGGTCCAATACAAAAAGTTCTGCTATATCGCCACCATCCTCTACTGCCCGATGGCCCTCTTCGTCAAAATTGCCCTCCTATCGATCCTTACTCGCATCTTCGCTCCGTATCGTGGAAAGGTGTGGTTTATCTACATCCTACTCGGCTGCCTATGCACCTACTACATCATCGCCCTCATCATTAAGATCCGAATGTGTTACCCTATTCCTCTATACTGGCTCGGAGAACTACCAGACGGCCAGAAGGGATCTTGTCTTGATCAAACGGCTGCCTTGATCGCCGACTCGGTTATCAGTGTTGTTAGCGACCTTATCATCCTCGTCCTACCGTTGCCATTGACTTGGTCCCTACAAATGTCGCGCAGTCGGAAACTTCGCGTTATTGGACTCCTTGGTGCTGGAGGTCTTGCTACTGGATTCAGTGTGTATCGGCTGATCCTGGTGCTGAAGGATGGCAAGTCCTCTGATATGAGTATCTTGTTCATGTGTGTTATCATGTCTGGGTAAGTTGTTCCACCTCGTCTTTGAAGTTGTATCATTTCTGACAATCACCAGTAATGCCGAGGGTGGTGTCGGATTGATTTGCGCCTGTCTTCCCATTCTCAACGTCCTCTACGCCCACTACCGGAAAGAGTACTCGTCCCAACGATACTACAACCAGAGCTCCGATATTCACATGGGCGACCGCAAGTCTGGGAACAACTCTCAGTCTGCCAGCCGCTTTGGCAAGACGCCAAATTTCGGTGATCAAAATGATCAAAGCCATCTGATCTCCTTCGCTGGAGCCCCAGAGGCAAGCGACTCCATCTATAATGATGATGGAATTAGAAAAACGGTTGCGGTGTCGCAGACCGTGGAAAGTGCTGACGGCGATAGCCGATAATACGAGTAAGAGATGTACTATAGAATATACAGAGATACCACATACTACATAATAGATGTTCAACGATTCCTTTATCCATTGAGACTTTCCTCACTTGAATAGCTACCTCATCGCAGAGTTCGGATCAAACAATCCTGAGTGATGCCACAGTCCATCCAACCCAGAGTCAAACCCGACAGACCAAGACGCATCGATGAAAGGCCATTGAAACATGTCAGTCTCAAGATCAGGATGACTTCCTGTGGCACTTTGATCTTTTTGGAAAAATGCGACTTCGCTTTCGTTGCCAGGGGATGAAACTGTTGGCCCATGTGCCTGGTGCGTGCTATGTACTCCTCGAGCCTCCGCCGTCATTGCTTTGGTTGTATGTAGCTCACGATTTGGACGTGAACGGATGTCACCATATTCGTCCAAGCCACCCGCCAATGCAAACCGCCTGGGGCTGTGCATGCCCGATTCTGGGTGTGTCTGGGTGCTTTTCACAGTCTCGTAGAATCGGTTCGCATCTTGCACGGTTCGCCACTGTGATTTATTAGGTTATCTGAATACCGATAGGGGAGTTTTGGAATAATTTCTCACCCAGCTTCGACCAACCGGCCACAATGTACTCAGTCGTTCGAGGTACATCATGTTATGTGCCTTTTCGTCCTCTGCTCTATCGAGTCCTCCTGGATATCGTTGGGGAACGAGAGTCCCATACATGTTAATGTGTGCAGCAACGAAGACGCTAAATCCCGAGTAAGGGGTCATCACGGATGCCTCGGAGGCTTCCAGTGCTGACAAAATGCTGCTGATATGCTGTGCAGCTTCAAATAGTTGTTGAATTGTGTCAGGATGATATTGATCATCGTCGGTCATGTCGTGGAAAACATCGGAGTGCGGCTTGAGATTAGACAGAAAGCGATCACGGTGGAGGAAGACGATGCTGTGGTTAGATGATTAGATTCCTCCTTAGCTGTGTGGAGGCATTTTCAGAGCGTACCTCATGAAATAAAGCAGATTGATATATGCAAACAATTCTCCATATCCCAAAGCGACATGAGCCTGGGCACTAGTATCAGGGTATCTGACAGTCCTATCTTGAAGTGACCGCCATTCGTCCAGCTCAGATTTGAGCCGATGCCAAGTTTTATGGAGGGGTGAGGTTGGCGATTCATCGGAGTTGAAAGATGCCAAAGAGCGCCGGTGTTCGTTGGCAAATCTAAGAATCCGGACAAAGATATCGAACCCTCTGATTACTATGGCGAGGCCATTCTCAATTGTCAGGTTGTTTGCTTCGGGACATTTCTTGTTCATGTCAACTGGCATCAGCCTCCTTTCTGGTAATTGATTGAACGTGAAGTCGCGGTCACTGATAGGAAGCGGGACTGATATTTGAGAAAATGATAGCGCGAAATGTTGCCGAGCACCTGAGCTCAGCTCACAGTCCTGTGCGAAGCAGCACCAATAAGTTCGAACAAGCTGCTCGTATTGGGTTTGAGATGCATGGAATTCGTGTGGACTGTATTCCATGCTGTCGTCTGCCATTTTTAGAAGTGACTGGATCATATATGTGGCCATCCCTGATGAAGTCAGCCTTAATCCCCATGTTGAAGATAGCCTTTTCCCACACATACCACTATACATCCAAGCCTGATAGGGCCTACCAGTGCCCCATTCGTAAAACGAGATCATAACCAAAGACTGAGCGAGATAAAGTGAAGGGGCCTCCATCACACGATGTGCAAGATGTTTCTGCGCGTACCCCGCATACGTCTCCTCGTCTTCCAACCCATCGCCGCTCATGAAGCGCACGCATAGTGAGAGAAGCGAAGCAATAAAAACTGGATCTACCGACTCAAGATTTGACGAGATATCTGATATCAGTGAAGGGTAATGCAAAAAGTTCGCAATCGGGAATTTCTTCCGATAAATCTCAACCGCACTAATGATTGTCGACGCAGACAAGGACGCGATTGGATCCTCAGGAACATCCTTGACATTGCGAGAGTTTCTCCGAGTTGTGTTATGGCCACCCTCCGGTGCAGACGATGAATTGGCGGTAGCTTTTCGCTTTCGCGAGGACGTCGATTTGACTACGCCGTTGCCTTTTTTGGGCCTTGATTCCCGGGGATCCGTTAAGACGCAGTCATCGGTCTTGGCTTTTTGACATCTTCGACAAGGTGGGGTCCCTTCATGGACGCATTTCACCTTTGCTCGCCTGTTGAGGTTAGAATAAGATCTTAAATGCTTGTGTGGGCAAACATACCGACAGGCATCACATGATATGGATAGCCTCATTGGAGGGTTCGGAGCGAATCGTTAGCAAGAGACGATCTGGTAGTCAAATCAGCTCCATTTGTGAGTCCTCTGGGTAATTGAAAGGTTCGATTGTGATGGAGGGCTGCTTTCAAGCTTTATCGCCGTGAGGGGCGAGTAGTAGGAAGGAGAGAAGCATCGGAATGATCCCGAGAATTCAGGTGTCCATTGTACTGTACTGTCTGCAGTGCCATCAAGTCATGTGACATCTAAACTATTCTACTTGAACTACAGTACTAGTCAGGTAATCTTTGTGGGGAATCTTATGAAAATAATATCTGAATTAGGCTCTATTAGGTAATGCTTAGGTATCTATATGCAACGCTCCTAATCAATGCAGACGTCCTTGTTCGCGACCGTCCACTGTAACACCGACGCATTGAACTTGTCGACCTGCAACTCGTCCGTAGCCCAAGAAGTAACAATCCTCACAACGACCTGTCCATCATCCAAATGTTCCCAAGTATAAAACCGGAATCTCTCTTGCAGGGTCCGAATCAACCGTTGCGGCAGAATAACAAACACCTGATTAGTCTCCGTCTCCGCAGCCAATTTATACCCCAAAGTCTCGAAATTGGCCGAGATCTTCTCAGACATGACATTGGCATGGGTAGCCAGAGTGAAAAACAGGTCATCCCGGAACAGCTCCATAAATTGAACACCCAAGATACGGCCCTTCGCCAGCAAAGCGCCGTGCTGTTTGAGGTGGAAGACGAATCCCTCTGCGAGAGGCTTCTTCACCACGATGGCCTCGCCCATAAGCGCACCGGCCTTGGTTCCACCGATCCAGAAAATGTCGGCGAATTCAAAGATATCTCGCAGAACCATGTCATTTTTCCTCGAGCACAAGGCGGTTCCGATTCGAGCTCCATCCACCAGGAGCAGGAGATTTAATTCTTTGCATAGCGTAGAAAGAGCGCTCATTTCGCGCTTAGTATAGACCGTTCCAGTCTCCGATGCATTAGAAATATAAAGCAGACGAGGCTTCGCCATATGTGGGAAGAACTGATTTTGCTGGATGGCTTTTCGCAGATTTGTCGGGGTCATCTTTCCATCGACTGCAGGGACAAGAATAAGTTTGTGTCCAGTTGCTTCAATCGCGCCAGCTTCTTTGGATGCAATGTGTCCAGAATCCAGAGTAATAACAGCCTCATACGGACGGAGGCAGCTGGCGATTGAAATGAGGTTTGCAGATGTTCCACTGGGAACGAAGAAAATATCTGCCTCATCCTCGGTGCAATTAATCCTTTGGCGGATCAATTGTCTGGCTTGGTTGGAGTACTCATCATTTCCGTAGGAGACTTGTTGTGTTGAATTTGTCCGAAGAAGAGCTTCCAGGATTTGTGGATGGGCTCCCTCGCTATAATCGTCCATGAGGCTGTATGGAGGACATGCCTCGTCTTGGCAAAGACTGGTAGAGGGCATTGTGTACTGCCACTGTTCCCGATTTGGATATAGTTGAGTTTAAAGAGGAAGGCTTGGATGTGGAAAAGAGATGCGACTGATTTTTTTTGGCTGGAAATCAAAATCCTCTTTGTGGCGATTTGAGTCACCCAAAGACCTAAATAGAATCGGCGGGAATAAAAAAAAAGAGGGAAGGAGCCGGGAATGGAGTCTCGGGAATAAAAGTGGCATTATTCCCGAGACCCGCGATCCGGGAATCCCTTGCGACCCTCATCAAGTTATTCTCATGTAATCGGTGGGCCAGACCCGGAGATGCATTTTTCGACCCAACAAAGACAAGACCTGATGATCAAGCTTGCATACTAGGCCGGTGCAGGCCTCGCTGGAAGACTAATAGCATCGTCAAACCGGGTGGGTTTCCGGAAATCCGGCGGCTGCTCGAACGTCGGCCTGTGTACTCCGTAGTCCTGCAGCAAATGTCTTCACGGAAGACCTGGAATGAAAAGTCAGTGCAACATCAAGGGGCATGGATCCCTTGATCAATGGATGCCCCGCAGCTGGCAGGTTTGACAAGGTCCACTATGGTTATTCTCGGGGTTGTGTGGGCACATCTATCATCCTCGACGGGTTAAAGACAAACAGGGGAATCGAAATCAAATTGTTGACATGCAAACAGATCCAATTGATGCGCTGTATTGATCAGCTGAGACGGTAAACATGACCAGCTTGGAGGCTATGTACGAATGAAAAAAAAGCACGCCATACCAGTGTAAAAACACTAATGTACACATAAACTCCCGCAACCCATGCATGCACGATGGTAAGTCAAGGCAACCTGTTACCTCGAGGAACTCAATCGGTCATTTCCGGTCGGAGATAAGCTTCTTCCTCAGGAATTCCTTCCTCCATGGGAACACGCTGGTATAACCGGACCCGCCAGCCACGAATCAGCATATAGCTCGCCATGATACCGCACATCAAGGCCAGGAGCAAGATGAGGGCGAAAAGACCTCCTATACTGCGAATCGTCTCGTACGTGTTCATCAAGGTCAACGTGGCCTTGCGAATTTGAGCATCCGCCGTATCATCCGCGGACGGCAGAAGGTCATCGTCGCTGGTCCAATCATCTGCGACAGTGCTAGTGTCTTCCTGGTGGATGGTCGCTGGGTTTTGAGGTCGAGGACTGGAAGAGTACCCGTTCCACCCGGAGGTCTCCCAGTTGGGGAAGCTGGTTCGGTGCACCTTCGAAATGCCAAAGGCAGTGCCGTTGTGGTCGACGGCCTCGACGGTGACCCAGTCGAGATATCCCTTGGCGATGAACATGGTCTCGAAATCGGTCTTCGACGCATTGCCTACCAATACAGGCTTGTTGAATTGGGATGCCTGGGCATAGAAGTTCCAGTGGGCGATATCGGTGGCACCGTTCCAGCTGACCCAGAACGTGGTAACCAAGTTCGACTCGTCGGTTCCGACCACGGATGAGACAACGTCAGGAGGAGTGTGGGGGCGACCAGTGAACTCGAACTTGTAGGCACGATAGTTGGAGTAGCGAGGGGAGGTGAATTGAGCACTCATAAGAGGATCGCCCTCGAGCGAGAACTCGGAGATATAGCCACCTTGACTCCAGCAAACAAACATGTTCTGGTTCGGAAGCACCTGGGAGTTACCACGAAGTCGAGTGAGATCGCCATCGGGGCGATTGTAACGGTGGAGGACCCGAGCGGTCATAGGCACTGTCCCCGATTCCACCTCGATGATCAAAGCGGAAGAGACTGACTCCTCGGCAAATTCCTCATCGGATGCATTGTTCAGGAAAGAGATAATATGATGAGTGCCCGAGGATTCCAAGAACTTGGCATCATGTTGTTTTGAGAAAGTAAATTCCTGGACAAAATCGCCACCATGCTGTCCATTGAGTCTCCAGATGATATGACCATCCACCCCAGAAACCAGGTAGAGAGTGTTAGTGAAGCGCATAGAAATCAGATAATCGCCGTTGTCGTTCTTGTCGACTGCGTTGATGTGCACGTAATCCCAGCCAGGGGGACCCTCCACCCCGGCATAAGGGGAATAGTGAACACTCTCAGCCAGGGGGATCTGATTGTACGATCTCCACTCGTAAGTCACCTCGGCAGTGTTCAGGTCGATCTCAGCGAAGCCGCCAGTCTGCAGCCAAGTCTGTTCCTCAGGGCGACCATATTCTGCCAGAGAAATCTCCTCCCTCAGATAGACCGTCGTCAGGGCGGATTTTCCGTCCTTGAGGACATTGAACTCATGGATATCGAAGAGGCCGAGATCTTGTCGCAGAGGAACCTTTTTGAATACTTCATAATTTTTATCCAAGATCATTCCATATCCACGTGAACTTGAGTCGTAGGAATATTGCGAAATTAAGGAGATGTGCGGTTCATTGCCAATGCTGTGGATGACCTTGAAGTCGAAGACATTATGATTGTCGAACATGGGCGACCCGGTCCAGATGAGGTGCTGTAAGCAGAAGGATTGAGTTAGTCAGGCCTTGATACGGTGGTCACACCAAGAAATAGGTGATCTATCGAGGGCAACATACCCCATCTTGATCGTAGATATGCGGGCCAACCTGGTACTGCTCGTACAGGCTGGTGGGCTCATCCGGAGAGATGTGTAAATACGGCGAGACAAACCAGTATCCCGGCGCAACACGACTGCGGTCTTGGTAGGTGATGTCGAATCTGACGGCTCTCACATCCGGAAGCTGGACAAGAATACGAAGATTAGCCGATCCACCATCCACATCTGGGCACAAAAACGAAGCACCAGCCACTCACGGTCACAAAGGACATCAAATCATCGTCGGAGTGCCAGGCAGCGACATTTTGCAGGCACAGCAGCAACGACAGGCCGAACCAAAGCATTGTAGTTCAAAAGAGGGACGCGGTTAAACAGAATTGGCCATGAAGGAGAGGAAAGGTGGCCGAAAGATAAGTCGGAAGGCCCGGTCGCATAACAGAAGAACCGAGGGGCGGCGGGCAGGCGAGGAGGGAGAGTGTCAGACGGGATGGAGGTTTGGGTTGGACCCCAGTGGGGCCAATTAGGGGTCGCGACAAGCATTTGGTCTGGGCCCCAATGACGCAGTCCGGTTGTGTACCTGAAGTCTCGAACAATCAATCCATACAAGGATAACTATTGTTGACGCTTGATGAAGGATCCACATAACCATCAAGCTTCAACGAGGTAACTACGGAGTACACACAGTCGTATTCCACTCTTCGTATTGCTATACCCCATGAAAAGATCAACGGCTTATCACTCCAGACACGGGGCGTTCTTTACGCGTAAAACCCCTGGAAATGGACCCTCCCTGGTTAAATTCCTAGCATAACTACCGAGCCGCCAGGGATCTCGTCCAATCGCGAATGAGGTTGCCTTCCCAATGAGATTGTGCTGTTAGGAACTATTTTCAACACGAACGCTTTCATCTACCACGAGGGAATTATCCATTTCTCAGAATCTGTCGATCTTCACTCTCTCAGGGGGTGGCGAAGGTAGTCAAACAAATTACAAGTCAGGTGACTCGGGGCAGACCCCAGGCTTAGTCATTCCTGGCCTCAGGCCACATGAACCCATTACTAGTGACTCTAGTGAGAAGTAATTGGAATATAACGACGTCGTAACCATGAACTAGCATAGTATCCAACGCATATCAGATTGTGGGGTTTAAGCTCTGCCCGTCAGATTTAAACTACAATAAAAAGCGGGGGCGTTGAATACGCTTCAGTACCCAACTGAGACAGGACCCTGTTTTGACATAATGACACAATAAGGCGCCATCCAATCATGACACCGATAGTCCCGATAGACGCCGATGTATAGCCTTGACATGTAGAATATAAGAACCTGTTTAATAGACCCTGAGAATGACAACTCATGAATAGCACAGCTAGGTATCGGTCCACGGCTTTGCACCACGGCAGTCCAGCTGGGGCTTCTAAATATCATGATATTTCGTGCTATAACCTTGTGGATGAATGTGTTAGCGCTGATACCCTTCTATATCTGTATGCTCTAGGCTAAAATATCTAGAACATCCAACGGATCGTTTTATCTGCTCGGTATTTTTACAATCCGGGCGATGGCCACACTGCCGCATCCACGGATGTACCCAGTTAGAGAATAATTATTTTCCACTTCAAACATCGAGCGACATTCTTACCACTGGTAGCTCCACCATTCCTACCAATCGATGGCGAGACTGTGAAAACCTGGTACGGCAATAAAAAGAGAGGCCTATCTCGCGATGCTGCATAGAGAAGTGCTCCGCCACCCTGTTCTAGGTTCGACCCACCCGACACGAGGTCTGCAGTCAGCCTCGAGTTCATCACGAGCCATAAGGTTTAGAAGTCATGTACACGGTGGGGTATTTTGCCCTCAGCCCGGCGAACATTTCACTAGAAATAATATTATAAATGGTGTCTTCCATTCCTTCCATATACGAAGCTCATTTCCGACGCATCGAGGGCATCCTCGTATAAAAAGGAGTGTCCTCCGATACCACCCTCAACATGGCCCATCAACCAGAACGTCAAAACTCAAACAATATCTCTACATACGATGAGGACCTCATGGTATCTAGTCCCACATCACGACTATTCCATGTATACAACAAACGGCGCAGAAACGACTTCGCCATCTCCACAGCAGACAAAACCCCTTTAGCATACGTGCGATGCTCAACTTTCACCATCGGCAAACCTGACCTGACATACCACGCCGGTGAAACAGACCAAGCCCCCGTCGCCGCGATATGCAAATTCATCAACTTCTCACGGCACTGCAAAGTCGGATTTGGCGATTCAAACGATCCTAATATCGTCTGGGAAGACTTGAAGCGGTACAAATTAACGACTCACTATCGGATTGAAATGACGCTGGACGGAGACGCGAGAAAGGCCTTTGTGTGGAAACGAACACATAATGCCGGTATTGGAAATGATACGCCGTCTAAGCTGAGCACGAAGAATTTCAAACTTATTGACGAGCAGACGGATGAGTTGGTTGCAGTCTATTTGAACAATGGAGTTAAGAGTTGGGAGAAATGTGGCAAATTTCAGATCAATGTCGACTATGGGAGGCAGTTTGATGTAATGGTGCTGATCACGGGGTTGTCGTTATTGGAGAAAGAGAGACGTCGGGAGAGAAGACATAATAGCTAGAATGAAGCATTGCTTTAATGTCTCCTGATGTATAAAATTGAGTTGTTTACATTATGATCCGTCCGGACGTGGCAGTCCAGGCCTTGGAATGTAACTCGAATACTCGAAATGCGAGCTGAGTTATATAGCCTTAGAGGGCTTTACCTTTTTAGTGCTACGATCCAAAAATACTACGTGTCTCATGTGTCAAGGAATTTCCGTAACCAAATATTTCACTCGCTCAAAACTTCTGGTCTCAATGACCCTTTACTTGTCTGCTTAGGCCTAGCATGCACTACTTGATAGTGAAACTACTCTTACTTGATCAAGAGCTCTCTCGAGTAAGAATGATTGTGTTCTTCCTATCACTAATACAACATAGCAATATTCAGCAAAGTAGCAATATGGCTTCAATCAACAACCAACCAAGCCGAGCTCACTGAAGCTCGTTCAGTTAATATTCAGCGCATTGCTATTCCGTAGATTGAGCACAACCTGAACATGCTCGAATCCCAACTCCTTCTGCTGAGACCAAGCCAACAGGCTAGCAGTCTTGATCGTATTCTTGATCTGTCGACCGTTCAGCTGCGCAACGGCCAACTGATCCAGCTGTTCATCCGAGAAAGTCACTGTGTTGGGAGAGCGAGTCAAGAACTGGCTCCAAATGTGTCGTCGCGAAGTGGCGTCGAGTTCCTTGTAATTCAGCGACAGATGAATCCGAGATTCGAATGCCGGATCGATGTGCTCGGCACGATTGGTTGTAAGGAATAGGATGCCCTCGTAGTATTCTAGCATTCGCAGGAAAATCGATACCAGCTCGTTGCGTTTCAGGTCAGTCGAAGAGCGAGCTTCCATAAAGACATCAGCCTCGTCAAGTAGGAGTACAGCACCCCATTTGGGTACCATGCGGAGGATGTCCTTCAAAATGTGCTCAACAGCATCAGCGTTGGTACCTAGGTCGCCTGCGCTCATGGCGTACAGCGGAACCTTCATCACCTCGGCCACACTCTCTGCGGTCAAAGTCTTACCCACGCCCGGGGGCCCGCTGAGTTGTAGGATAATGCCACGACCCTTGCCACGAACGACGTCGTCGAAACTGTCCAGTTGCTTGGACTGGGCCTTGGCAATGGCCAGAAGCAGGTCCTTCAGGTCCTGCTGCTCCCGAGGAAGCACGAGAGACTCAAAGGCGTGAGAGTTCCATTCAATATCCGACGCGTTTTGGATAGAAAATTTTAGCCATTCCTTGTCATTCAGGGAGTAGCCGTAGACCATGTCGGAAGTGATCATGCGCTGGTCGTCGGTCAACTCCTTTCCTATGCCCTTGGACCCATGTACCCGGACAGGCCCGTGTGAATGGAAAACACCGAAGGCCTCAGCGTCGATAATGATACGACCTTTGACGTGGAACTGTCTGGGTGGGCCATAATCCGAGGTTCCAATGACCAGTCCTTCATATTGCCGGTAATGGTATCCTTTGTGCTCCTCCCAGCGCTTTCCCCGGGCAATGAGGTTCTTGCGCACAACTTCCTGTTCAGGATGATGCTTTAAAGGATAGACCGACAGAGACGTGATGGGCTTAGTTCCAATGAAAGAATCCACGGTGAACTCCTCTTCCTTGTAACCGAAGTTCTTGCCATCAAAGTCAATGTGTTTGCAGGTGAGGACCCATTCGCCGGACCGGCCGTTCGTCACGTTAGAGAAAAGGTATGCCCGAGGTGTGCTGCCGTTGCTGATGACCACGTCGTTGGGTTCAAAGAGTGTCCAGATAAGCGGGTGTGTGATGACGCCGTTGCGAACCAGGTCCTTCTTGCGCGTAAGCATGCCCTTCAGTTCCTCTTCAAAGACCTTGTGGAAGAGATCAACGTGTTCTTTAGTAGTGGGATCCAGCTCTTCCTCTTCTCGAAGCTGGACAAAGTTCTCCCACCGATGAAGGAGAGGCTTGAATGGCCGAGTGAACTCAAGATGGTCAAGAGAAGCAGTCACTCCGGGGTACCCCTTAAGGACCTTCCCCAAGAAGGTCTTTAGAGGCTCGCTTTGCACAACAACCGACTTGATGGAGAGGCTCTTCCATCCATCATAGCATTTGATGTTCCGTACGATCAGTGCGTATTGTGCAGATTCATTGTTTTCGACAGGCTCGACCAATGTCTCGGGCAGGTCCTTGGTCCACGATGTCTCTCCATCTTCATCGGGCTGGGTTTGATAAAGGTTTCGGACGTCGCAGATAGATCCACGGGGGGCATACACAATCTCGGGCTCGTCTGATCTCTCTGCGGTGTACGTCAGTCGAAGAGGCTCACGGTATTGAGATATGCCCAGCATTGTTCACTTACCCGATGCAGGCGTAATGGGACTGCTGGTGGTTTCTTCCGCCATGGTAGAGAGAAGTGAAAGAAAAGACTGTGTGTTGTGACGGGATAAGCGGAGGAGGAATAGATCAGGACGTAGATTGAAGCCGGAAAGAACGCGGGATATGGACAAGAGAGACCCTAAGAAGTATGGAAGGAGCTCCAGATGCACTTTCTCCCAGCGATCGCCGAAATATGCTTAGCGGAGAAGGAAAGGCCTATGGAGTGTCAAAAATGGAGAATTAGGAGAAGTCCATCTAATTTATAAATTTTGCTAGCATTGGATCAATTTTAAATATGCATGATAGTATCAACTACTTGTATAAGCAGCTAGGGTATGATGTTGTCTCACTGAATCGTTGTCAGGTATGTGCGGCTTTCCCGCCTGTCAGCCTCAAAGCTCCAAGCATTGCGGCCTAATGCATATCCTATCAGCTCAGAGGATCATATCAGGGCGTTCTTTCCGATGTTCACTAGAATTAGGCTTCCGCTAGTTGGCATCTATTCCTAGGCTATTCGGGGCTGAGTTCAGGGAGTGTACTCCATTGGTCTTTAATGGCGGGGTATTGGCATCTTCATGATGCTATTGGATATTGGGAGGTGATTATGTCCGTTCCATGTTAAAAAACAGGATCAGAGTCAGTGCCTGTTTCTTCTTTTGGGAGGGCGACTGTCAGAACCTTGCCACAGCATCGCCTCGGAGCATGGTTTCTATACAAACAGAGCCTCAATACTGCTCCACCTTGTACTACATGTAACCCTGGAAGGTTCATGTAGGAAGGTGTCATCGTCCAACGCTAGGGTGTCCCAGACAAACAATCTACCAAGGCTCAATGCTTGACGTTACACAATGCAAGGAGCCCGTATTTTGTTAAAGCCTTACAAGGTTGACAAAAAAGAATTGATCTGGTCATCATTCATCACTTTGTATATCACCGCAAGAAGTTATCTGTATACTCCACTAACCCCCGCTTTATGCTAGGTACATGTGCCCCGTTCGCCCCAAATATCTTCAATCTTTCCAAATGGTATTCGTCTTCAATATTTAAGCCTCGGTCTTGAAAGCCACCAACCGGGCCTTGATAGCCTCATCCGAGTCGGAGGTATCCAACTCGCGAAGGACACCAGAGCCAACGTCGTAGATCAGACCATGGACCTCGAGACCACGCTCTTGAATGGCCTCCAGCACGACGCTCTTCTGAGTCACAACGTTCAAGCTCTCGCGAACGTTGAGCTCAACCAGCTTCTCAGCCGCCTTGTCGGGCGAGAGCTTCTGCAGAGTGGCGAGGTTGCGCTCGCGCACCTGGCGCAGAGGCAGCAACCAGGGGTCCAGGATGCCCAACTGCTTGCTGCCCATGGCGGCAGCGACACCACCGCAGGATGTGTGACCGCAGACCACGACGTGCTTGACACGCAGGTGCTTGACGGCGTATTCGATGACGGCACCCGAGCTCAGGTCACCGGGGTGCAGAATGTTGGCGATGTTACGGTGGACGAAGACATCACCGGGAAGGAGACCGAGCATGGAGGTCTCGGCACATCGTGAGTCAGAGCAGCCGAGCCACAGGATCTGGGGCTGCTGGCCATTGGCAAGGGTAGGGAAGAGGTCGGGGTGCTCGCGAGCGGTCTGGGCAGCCCAGTCCTTGTTCTTGCGCAGACCAGCGGCGTACTTGTCTGTAGAGTCCGAGTCGGTGGAATTAGTTTGTGTGGTCGGTGCGGAGGGTTTGTGGTTGGCGCAGTAGGAAGGGGCGGAGGTCGAGAAAGGAGAGACACGAGGCATGGCAGTAATCAAAGGAGAGGAAGAGAGTGTCAAAGGCTGACGACCTGCGATCTGGCCAGCGGCCTCGCTGGCGCGAGCGAGAAAGCGAGATCGCATCGCGAGTCCTGCAGCGCTCATGACGAACGGTGGGGTGAAGGAACAGGTGTTCGGGGGTAAGACCAATGAGAAGGAAGGAAAATGAAACACCGGACACCACGTAGAAGTACAGAAAAGAGTATGAAAAGAGTCACAACCCCGGCCACCAACTTGCCCTGGACTTTGACTGCAGAGGGAGCGCCGCGAGTATCCGACGACCGCGGAGGAAATTGAGAGATGTTGGGGAAAGAATTGGGGAAGAAGGAAAATCCCGCCAAGAAATGATCAGAAAGGTTGACCGGCCGTGCACGTACCTTCAGACATGGCGATGGATTTATCTTCGATGTGAAATTGGGATGAAGAGAGAAAAAAAAGGCTGAGAGGAGCAGGAGAGTGAACTGTTTATCAATGTGTAGTAGAAGAAGGAAACAGGAAAAGGAAGGAGAGTCTGAGCCCAAGGCGGGTTGGCAGTTTGGAGGGGCGATTCTTTCCGAGGAGAAATGGAGAAATGGCTGGTTGGCGGGATCGGCGGCTGCAGTTTTTGGTTGACCGGGACGATCTATACATTTTCTAGGAAAACATGGCGCACCACTTGGCAGCTGGCGCTGTCTACGAGTACCCGAGGGATAATGCTGAATTGGAAATTTATTCGTTCGCAGATAAAATGCTAGCACTTTTCTACATAACCAAAATCATGCCACCACTGGCTATAATATATAGATCACACCACTAGTCTTTAGGCGGCACCACCACGACCACCCACGTTCAGAATCATCTTCTTTTGCTCCTCCGTAATGGGCACGGGGGGCAGGGGCCGGGCACCGGCGACGGTGGGCGCAGGGAGGAACCCAATTGCCACAAGATAGGAGGCATACAACCCGATCAACTCGACGGTAATACCGGCACCGGCAGAGGCGTCAACGCCAGACCAGGCCGCATCAGCCTTCAAGCCGGCAGAGGCGTAGGTGTTGTCCAATTCGGGTGCCTTGCTGTTGGAAGGCAGGTCGGAAACCACGAAGTGGTAAAGGGGCATCCTAAATAATCGTTTAGTTGATCGCTCAGAGCAGAGGGGGGATTGGAGAGACTACTTACAGTGCATGCTGAGACTCCTTGTCGTTATGCTGGCCGTCATTAACGTACTGCTCCAGAGAAGACGCCCATGGGATATAATCAATCTGCTTGATGGGGTATCCGTAAGTCTCCAGAGCTCCAAGGAACTCATTGAAGCGGAGACGCGGCTGTCCAGTAACGTGGACAACACCAGTGGAGTTGGTAGGGGGGTGGAAAGCAGCCGAGATAACAACTCGCACGACGTAGTCGGATGGGCAGGCATTGATGGAGTTGCCGATATTGGGGCGCGAACCCAACTGAACGCAACCCTTCCAGAAGCGAGTCAGGAAGTCGTCAGTCACACAAACACCCGATGTGGAGTCACCCTATTTGAAACAGTAAGTATCCGAGTATCCTGATATTGACGGATCGATCGGCAGTCAAAGCTTACCAAGATATATCCAGACCGGATGATGCCGGCCTTCAGACCACGGGCCCGTGCTGCGCGAACTAGATGCTCACCAGCCCACTTACTCTGGCCATAGCCTGTACCAAGGCCAACGGCACTGCCTTCCATATCGTCGTCCTCGCTCACGCCATTGCCACCGGCAGCAAGGCTACGGTCAGATTCCTGCACGTAGTGGTCGTTGTCCAGGGCACTAGTAGAGCTGACAAAGGCAAAGTGCTTAGCCTTTCCGGCAGCGCACAGCTTCAATGCATCGATAGTACCCAGAACGTTAGGGCCCCTGAGGGTAGAGTAAGGGTAGACCCAGTGGACAAGAGCACCGTTGTGAATAACCACATCAACACGGGTGGTCAGATCATCCCAGACAGACTGAGACAAGCCAAACAGAGGCTTGCCAAGGTCACCACAGGGGGTTTCCAGGCGGTTAACCCATTCCTCGTCCCAGAAGCCATAAGCACGGCAGGTCGAGCGAAGACGCTCGAGAGCCTGCTCCTCGCTCTTGGCTCTGACAAGGGCGACGACCTTGGTAGAAGGCGACTTGCGAGTAAGGAGGTCACGAAGGATATGAGCACCTAAGAAACCAGTGGCACCGGTAAGGAAGACAGTCGGCTGAGTAGCAAGCAAGTCTTCGGTTCGGGTGGGGAACTTCTCGGGTAGCTCGTTGACCAGCTGGCGTGCATCCTTTGAATAGCCGTCGTCCGGCTCGTTGGTATCCTGGTCAGCCTTGTCACTGGTCGCAAAGGCTTCCACGTCAAGCAAACGGTCAATCTCGCCTGCAAAGCCCTTGAGGGTTGGGCTACGGAAGATAGCGCTCATGCTGATATCAACGGTACGCCACTTGCGACGCAGTTCGAAGAACATCTGCTGGGCAAGAATACTGTGACCCCCGAGATCGAAGAAAGAATCATCAGGTCCGATCATACGGGCAGTCACGTTGGGGATCAGCTTAGCCCAAATCTGGGCGAGAGCTTGCTCAGTCTCAGACAGCGCCTGGATCGCAGAGGAGCGACGACGAGGAGCAGCAGCGCTGAGTTCCGCGGTGTCGGGGAAGGGCAAGGCAGGCTTGTCGATCTTTCCGTTGGGGTTGAGAGGCATACGCTTCAGCGGAATGATCACCGTTGGCACCGCATAGGCAGGGAGCTTGCTGCGGAGGTGGTCACGGGCATCGTTGCGCAGAGGAAGGAATCGACGAAGCATGCCGACCATTCCTTCGCCTGAGTCATCATCCGTGAGGCCCTTGGACTCGAGCCACTCTGACCACTTGCTCATATCAGGGACGAAGTAGCTGACAAGAGTAGGCTCCTCAAACTTGTCACGACGGACAAGAGTCACATTCTCACGAACCAGGGGATGGCGGGACAAGTGAGTGTCAATCTCACCCACTAGCGAACAGTTAGCTTGAATAATCCTCACCATCACCGCACGTCAGCAAAGGGACTCGACATACATTCAATACGGAAGCCACGGATCTTGACTTGAGAGTCAATTCGGCCGGAAACCTCGACATCTCCAGAGGGAGTGTAACGGCCAAGATCGCCGCTACGGTACAGGCGATCTCTAGGACCGACGTAGAACTCCCGCCAGGGCTCGTTGCTGCTCTTGTCCTTTGCAGTCCAAACCTCGGGCTTCACGAACCAGTTGGTCAAGAACTTCTTGGCGTTCAGATCAGGGGAGCCAAGATAGCCCTCAGCCAAACCAGCGGCGCGAACATAGACCTCACCAACCTCACCGATAGCGCACATACGGGTCGGGTCGAAGGGGTTCACAACCAGCATCTGGACATCCAGCATACCACGGCCAGCAGGGATGATGTCCTTCATGGTGTCCAAGAAACCTTCCTGGCTGGAGTAGCTCGGAATCTCGTAGTAACTGACGGCACGTTGAGTCTACTCCTGGTTAGCCTCGAGGAACTATCAAATTGCAGGGAGATCATATCCTTACCTCAGTTGTGCCGTACATGTTGACAATGGAGACGTTGGGAGCAAGACCCTGAAGCGAGCGGCAATCACGCTTGATCAAGATGTCTCCGACAAAGAAAGCGTGGTGCAGAGCCGGGAACTGCGCAGAAGCACCACCCACAAGAATCTGACCCATGGCGGGAGTAAGATGGGTGACGGTAGCACCGTAGTTGCGCATCCACTCAGCCAGCTTCTCGTTCTGGATGTCCTCCTTGGCTGGAACCAACAGCTGAGCACCCAAGAACAAGGGAGTAAAGATATCACGCTGGATGGGATCGTGGGCAATTCCAGATAGCATGGCTTCAAAGGGAATATACATTAGAGTCGGATACTTCTAGTTTGATGGAAGAACTTACAGAACTTGTCGTTCTCGGACAGCTTGAAGGTCTCGGACATCCAGGGGAAGTAGTATGCCAGACTGAAGTGGCGACCGCGAACACCCTTGGGTCGGCCTTCCGAGCCAGAGGTGAAGGAAAGGGTGGGGACTGAGTCCGGACCAACGACGACACCAACAGACTGAGAGCGCAGGTCGACCTGCTGGGTAAAGACATCCTGGCCCTCGATGGAGCCACCAGTCAGACTACCATCGTCGTGGAGGGCGAGAGCCGGAATTTCAGTGCGGAGCTCCAGATTCTCGTTGATAAACGAACGGACAATGTCCGACAGTTCCCCAGCGTCCGTAGTAGCCTTGGCAATGTTGATCAGAGCACGGGGACGGGCAACGTCAAGGTAGATATTCTGGCGTTCGGGTGGGTAGGCGGGGTCGATAACGGAGAATGTAGCGCCAGCCTTCAGGATACCCATCACGGCAACCACCAAATCCACACCACGGTAGGCGTACACCATGACAACCTCTCCTCTCTGGATGCCGGACTGAACCAAGTGGTGCCCGAGAATGTTGGATGCCTCGTTAATCTGCTTGTATGTGAACTCACGGTGGGGGGAGCTGCTCGACTTGGTCTCCACGACGCAGAGCTTCTCAGGGTGCTTCTGCGCATTCTCAGCGAAGATATCGTGGATGGCACCACGGAACTTGGACCAGTTGAGATCAGCAGTGGGATCGGGAAGAAGCGCAAGCTGGTCCTCGGTAATCATATCGATACGGCCCACGGCCTCCTCTGGGTTTGCGGCAGCATTGCTGGCAATGCGAACCAATTGCTTGAGGATGGTGGCGATGCGTGCACTAGAGAAGAGACGCTGGTTGTAGTATGCGCCAAGCTCAGATGACACATTGATGACCAGATCAGTGCTATCGAAGGTGTTTGCGGGGTATTCTTGTGAGGCGGCAGGGGCATCGTAGGCAGCGAATCGGAAAAGGATGGGAGTGCGTTCGGACTTGGACTTGTCTTGAATGTACGAACGAAGGCTACCCAATGGTACGATATCGGAGGCACACTCATTGAAGATCTAAAATGTCAAGATCTGGTTAGAACCAAGCTGCTGGGGCGAGAGATATGAAGCGAGTGCCCGTAGGTATATAGATAGCGCACCTTGTCAACCTTGGCATAGAGCTGGCTGAAAGTTTCGGCAGGGTCATAGAAGACTCGAAGCACGAAGGGGCGGGAGTCTTCGGCCAAGTTTGTGGCAATTGCAATACTATAGTCATGATTAGCCGCCCATTCCCACACAGAGCTATAAGAAAGTGATGACGCACTCCTCGTCACCGGTCAAACGAGCGACCAGAAGCACAAATGCGGTCAAGAAAACAGTGAACTCGGATGACGAAGATCCGGAGAGCTTCTTCAGAGCCAATTGAGTCTCCTGGGGGAGCTCGAGGGTCTCAAAGGCCTCGATGGCCCGCTTGGTATCGGCTGGGGTATCATAATCCCTGGCAAGAGGAGAGACAGTGAGGTTATTCAGGCGTTGCGCCCACCTCTCCAGGCGGTCCTGTAGCGAAGCGGATCCCACAGCCATGGTGCTGTGCAATTGCTTCGCGATGTAATTTGAAAACGATGGAGAAGGCGAGATGAGTCAAGCCGCCATTCTTGCGGAGGGGCACCAAAAAAAAGGTCCGATTTCGCCGTGGGCGCCCCGCGGTTACTATTGGCCCCGGCCCCCCACACATCGTTAGATGCTTCACCGCCTTGCTCTCATGCGTCATTTGTCGCTAATCCCGCTATACCCGACATTGTCGACAATTACCTCATGAAAAACAGATTGGAAGCTAGGTTTACTCTGCTAGTCCCTTATTAGTTTATTATTATACCGCAAGGATCTATGCTACTACATTCACTAATAATCCCCCCTTACAAGGACAAGTCATTGGTAATCTCTCTACTTAGGATCCTTCGTATAAATAATGTTTGTGTGAAGGGCTATATAGCTGAATTGATTCGATTGTATTAGGCCAACATGCTGTCTGGAGAGCTATAAAGGACCTCATTTTGAGGGCATCTCTAAGCCGAGAGGCTACTCCGTAGTGTTAGTATGCTACGACGCGCGTTGCTCTGCATTGACCCTACTGGTAAAATGCCACCTCCTCAACCCGACAGTTAACATTGACTGGAATAAACAGCAGCGGCCTTTGCTGCATCATTTGCGCCATCTAAACTTCCTGGATAACGCCTGATAAAGTATGTTAACCTCTGTAAATCAGGCGTGCGGAGTTAAGAAAACGGCACATACCACAAGCCAAACGTGACCCTGAATTACCATTCTTTTTTGAATTTGGATTGTTGCCCTTACCGAGATCGTCGGCGCCCGAGTGAATAACTATTGATCTCTATTTTATCTATATTAGCTAATATGGATGATGATATTGATGATGATATTGATAGCCTCATACTCACATCCAATATAGTGTATGGACCATTGAGCGTAGCAACACGATCATTGAAGGAAAGACGGTAAGGCGACGCGGTAACATCAATATTTCCAAAGTCACCAACGTGGCGCACTTCGTCATCGGGTGCTCCGTGGTCGACATTGGTTGGGTTGTCTATATTGATGCGAGAATTAGTAAGTTATCCTGTTACACGCCGGTATTCACTGTTCTTCTGTAGCCGCCGAAGAGGGTTACCATGGATTGATGACAGACATACAGTGACCACCCGCATCGGCACATCCGTTGCCCGTTTTTCCAAACTCATGAATATGAATTCCATGAAGTCCAAATGTCAAGTTAGACAGCTCGCCCTCAATAAAAAGGCCATCCTCCCTCTCTTCGAAGGCTAGAGTTCCCTCGATTTGGCCTTCGAGGACCGCGGCTTTTCAATCGGTGGAGTTAGTCATACATAAAGCCGTGACAGGAAGGAGGTTTGGGATAAAAGGGGTGTTGATTTAAGGCCATATTAAGAAATTTTTAATACAGCCAGAATAAAGGAAATTCTATCTAATAATGCATAAGTTCTTCGAGGGAGACGTACTGGCGCGGATAGATGCCGTGACTTCAAGTGACATGGCCAAGACGGCAGGCAACACGTAAAAGAGATTAGGTAGCATATTGAAGTCGGATTGATATGATCGTAAGTTGTAAGGTTAGAAGACAGCAGATACAGCTCTGGGATAGGTACTGATTGCTTAAAGAAAAAAGGGGGATAAGGGTAGAAGGAAAAGCTTTATGGTGGTCACGGACCGACTGTCCATATATCATGTTCCTGCCTACGTATTAGCCGATAGTGTATGGATACGACTCCAGGTTCGGATTGAGGCGTTACGATAATACATATAATGTTTGTTCTTATAAATCTAACCACTACTTCGCTCTCTGTAGAATCACTGCATGTAGATCCTCGCACTATCGGCCGCCCGCAGGGCCCTAGTGTAAAGGTGATCCTTCGTAAGGTAATAATAGTTACGCCATTCGAAATCTTGACTAATTATTATTGAGCATCATCTGGTACATAGGCTATTAGAGCTCACTAGTTCGATTAGTTAAATTTTATAGTTATCACTCAGCTAATGGTTATGGAGGTCCTTGCAAAAAGCATTGCGCAGCGCACGCAGCACTAACGTTAGACCAAACAGATACACAAAATATTCTTCCTGGGAGGATTAGAGTTTAGAAGCTTGGCAGTACCTCCTAGAATATGTACCCCTCACCGCTAGGTATGGGTTGAAGGCACGGCTATGTCCTTCTTGATCATTCTCCAGTTTTGAAAGGTTATCTATGGAAAACACTAAAGCTAACAGAAACAGTTTGCTTTTATATTGACCTGTATTCGGTTTATGCTACTTCCTTGCATAAACACATTAAATCACCTAGACGGATGAGTTAGAGTAATTATATTAATCAGAATTTCAACCGTCCTAGTCTTTTATGATTAACAGGAACCCCATTCCTTGTAATTACCAGACTGCTAAGCATTGTGATTTATTTCGTAGCTCATCGCAGTAAACAGCACCCCTGCTGCTTTTGACCTCACTTAAATAGCTCGATTTCTGCGAAAGGCAACTTTGATTTCAGAATGAAGCAGTTCATTCCCTTCATTTTCCTCGCTGCGGCAGCAACTCTCGACAGTAACGACGGCGAACGCATAGCATGTGGCAGTCCGAAACTACTCTCGGTGAACGAGGGCCTTATGGCTAATCACAACGTCCGAGACCAAATCCGCGTATACTTTCAGTCCTTTAACACAACTTATCAGGACGGTTCCTTCTTTACCACGGTTAGGAAGTTCAGCTCGGAATTTCTGGACGATATAACAAAAACAGCCAAGTAAATAATCCCCCCCCCTCCTCTAAACAACCCTCTAAACCCAAACTCCGAAAATGGTGAAGTTACCACTGGTGAAATCAGGACAGAACATAGGGTTCATGTTGTCTACTAAGAGACCGACCTACTATAGAAATGATACAGATTGTGTTCTTCTTTCTAACGAAAGTCCATGGGACCTTATCGCAGACATCTCTGGCAATGCGGATGCGGTGGAGAATAATCTAGGAGGCCAGGTGGAGAATTATCCGGACTGCCAAAAATATATCTACAATTACAGAAATTGTGTGGTGGACAACTTTCGTGGGCTTAATCATTTCGCAAAAGAGCTTCAGGAAGCATGCCCGGTAGACCCTAACACTGGTGCCTGAACAAGCGGCAACTCACTAGCGGACGAGAGATAATACCCGTTGATTGGCGTACGCTTTCTTATGCGGAGCTACGGCTCTGGTGTTGTGACGGCCGAGTGTCGGTGTATAGGATCAAGGGGCATCTTGGAACTCAATCTGGGAGAGACACATCTACCTCTGTCCACATGAAACAATTGACTTTTGCTTTAGAAGCATAAATACCGTTTACTCAACTATGTACACGGTACCTGTTGGTAATATCAACAGACGCCGTTGCATTCAACAAAGTCTGACTATATCAGGTGGCTTACTTCTATTCATAATGCCGTAGCTTTGAAAAAGCGGTATCTTTTTCAGAATTGATTTCCCACTTTACGTGCATAATATCTAAGAGGCAAAGACAGTTAGGATATAGTGTCTAGTTGGAACAAAGCTAGCTAGAGCTTCATTGTCCTGTCTAGGAAATGTCCAAAATATCAGGTGTCAGCGGTGATGTAATGTGATGAGTCAGCCCGTGTTTGCAATGCCCCAGGCATTCGAGGAAGCTCCCGAGACCGAGTGAGCCTTGGCTCCTTCAGGAGAAGTGAATTGTACTTTTTTATCCCTCTGACATCATTTTGGAGGCAAGGGTGTGGCAGAATCTCCGTCGCATTGACTTCATCCGATGGAATAATTCGTTGACTCTTCGAGATACCCGTCTTTCCCGTCAAGAACTGGACCTGGTTTGACCTACCCGAATCCGGTGTGTTCGAGGTCAGATCTCCATGAGAACAGCATCGCGGCCGCGATTGCACCGCCTCTTTCTTGTATTCACATCTCAACCGGCTCCCACTTTCTGAGCAGAGGTTGTAAAGAAACATGATTCCTCATAGGAGCACGGGGCTGTTGGCTATCATTGTCTTTGTCGCGCTCCTCCTTTTTATCTTCTCGGCCTCTCCCATCCCTGAGCCGACACTCGAAACGGAAGAGGGTGAAGAACCCACGAAGTATCATGTCCCGTTACCGAAACTCCCGTCGCTGAGCAACTTCCACCTACCGTCTTTCCGTCCTCCATCGCACGAACCCCCGGCCGAGCAAACAAACAGTACGAGCGGCGAGTCGAAATGGTTCAGCACCTGGGAATGGAAGAATCCCTTCTCGTCGGCCATTACCCTGGATGAGAATCGCTCCGTCCTTCCTCCGCTGCAGGAACGCCGTCGCATCTACACCTATTACAACCCTAAATATAACCCGAAGAAGCACAGTGGCAAGGACTTGAAGGACGACCACAATGCTGATGATCAACTTCTGCTCGCCTGGCGACGAGCCTGGTTCGCACAGGGATTCCGGCCTGTGATCCTTACCCCCGGTGACGCTATGAAGAACCCATACTACGAGGTCGTACAGAAGCTGAAACTCAATGCGGATTTGGAAAACGAGGTGTTCCGTTGGTTGGCTTGGGGCCACATGGGAGCTGGAATTCTGGCCGACTTCGAATGCTTCCCCATGGCTCGATACGACGATAATCTGTTGACGGCTTTGCGACGGGGAATGACGCCCGAGTTCATCACACGTTTTGATAACTTCCAAGGTGGACTCTATTCTGCTGAGAAGCAGCGAATTGACCAGGCCATTGAAGGTGCCGTTAAGAAGCTGGACGAGAAATCTACTTCCTTCTCGGATCTGATCGACCCAGCGTTGTTCAAGGTGGAGCAGCCAACTGCCCTGGCATACTATAAATCCTCTAGCATCACCTCGCACTATCCGACCGTCCATGAGAAGATTGGCCAAAGCCCCGCAGCGGGCCGACTACAGCTTGTGGAACTCATCAATGGGCATCTCCACAACACTTTCCAGAACGCCTTCCCAGCCGGCCTGGCTGTGTTGAAGCCCTTCCCTCAACATACCACCGCGCTGGTGGAACCGGCCCTACGCTTGGCCAAGGCTCTCATCCAATGCCCGGAGTCTCCGATGCCAAACTCTTGCCCTCCCAACATTCCCGAATGCCGCCCCTGCGGCTCCGCTAAGTCGCCCATGCGGATCAGTCAGCCAGCAAGCTTCAAAAACACCACCTTCTTGTTCACCATCGGTACTCTGCCTCACCCGTATACCCTGATCAGTCTGCAGAAGAGCTCCGATCAAGTGGATACGCGCCAGATCCGTCGTGAGACTGAGCGTGATACTTGGTTGACCGAGGTTACCAAGGAACACCTGGGAGACGAGCTGGGCGGCTCCTCCCGGGGCACAGTATTCAAACAGGTTGTCGCTGGTGACCAGGCCGTTGCCAACTCCCTGTGGATGACCGTCGAGTCACTTCCTGCAGAGGCTGGACAAAGTCTTCCAGCCGAGCTTCTGGATGAGTTCGAGTGGCAATTGGGATTCAAGATCCCCCGTAGTGGTGCGATCGACCCGAATACGGCCGGTGACAAGGAGAGCGTGCAGAACAAGAACCCTAGCCAGCAGGGCGTAGGCAAAGAGTATGAATTGATTAGAAAGGCCCGTGAGGTGATCAACAACAAGAACGTCGAGGGGGTCAACATGAAGGATGTCGCCGAAGCCTGGAATCTGGCGGACACCGAAGTGTGGCGATTCGTAAAAGCGTATCGGTGAGTCTTGACCGAGTCATTTTCGTGCTGGCCACTTGACATTGGGATCAATGCTAATCATTGTTGATTATTACAGGGCTCGAAGTGTCGTTGAGCGCAAGCAGTGGGAGGAAGAGGAGAAGGCCTTTTCTAGCTCCTCTCAATAGGCGCAGTTGCTTCTTGAGGATTTCCATGTTTTATCTTCTTCTGGTATATGGTTTCTTGTACTACCGCATTTCTGGCGCACTATGGGAATTATAGAATACTATTACTGTACTACGGTATACTTTATCTTGATGTTATCCAGCCCTGGCGCAGTGTTTAGTAATCCCGCGGACTCTGATAGGCGTCCGACCCGGCGTGTGGCGATCCCCGCAGAAGCGGTGCGGTTCCACGGTGGAGCCCAGTGGGGGTGCGGGCGAGTTGCTCTATCTCGTCCTTTGATTGTGCTTGCCCTTCTGATCTCGTCTCTGCTGGACTTCCCCTCTTCACCGTCGGCTTGAATATCACTCTGGTGGCTGCCGTGAGAGTTTTGATCTCGTGACAACTTTAGGAAGGTCTTTGCGATCTCCCCCAAATATACTAAAGAGCCCCGTGTCCAGCATGAACCATTGACCGCCGCTCGTGAACGCCGTCTATACTTATCGCGTCTTGCCACTGCTCCCTTCCCTTCACTTATCGCAATGGCGCCCGCAAGCAGTACGGACTCTGACTCGGTCGGTGAAGTCGAGCAGGAGATGGCCAAGGTCACCTCGCTCGCTCAACTGACTGAGAAGTGGGACGATACTATTCGATTCTATCTGAACGGCACGAAAGTCGCCGTCGACACGCTTAACCCGGAGCTCACATTGTTGGAATACTTGAGAGGTATTGGGTTGACTGGAACCAAGCTTGGATGTGCTGAAGGAGGTTGTGGTGCTTGTACAGTGGTAGGTAGTCCTCTTGGAGGGGCTCGAGGCGGGGCTTTCATTGACATTCGAGGAAATATATAGGTCGTTTCACACCTTAACCAAACAACGAAGAAAATCTACCATGCCTCCGTCAACGCCTGCATTGCTCCTCTCGTTTCCATCGACGGAAAACATGTCATCACAGTCGAAGGACTTGGTGATGTGAAGAAGCCCCACGCGATCCAACAACGGATTGCGGTCGGCAACGGTAGTCAGTGTGGCTTCTGCACGCCTGGAATTGTCATGGTACGTCCTCGGAGTTGTTCCGATAGCGCGGAACCAGTATGAGTGCAAGTAAACTAACGCCATGATAGAGTCTATATGCATTGCTACGAAATGACCCCACTCCCTCAGAACATGCTGTCGAAGAAGCGTTCGATGGCAACTTGTGTCGTTGCACAGGATACCGACCCATCCTGGACGCCGCCCAAAGCTTCAACTCACGCAACAACTGTGGTATGGCCAAAGCCAATGGAGGATCTGGCTGCTGCATGGAGAAGAAGGATGGTGGTTGCTGCAAGGGTTCTCCTGCCACCGAAGAGACCGAGGTCGTAGAGCCCATCTTCCCAGCGCCCGAGTTCAAGAAATACAGTCCCGATACAGAACTGATCTTCCCCGCCGCCCTACGAAAGCATGACTTCCAGCCCCTCGTCTTCGGCAACAAGAGGAAGAAGTGGTATCGACCTGTGACTGTGGAGCAGCTGTTGCAGATCAAACATATCCACCCCGAGGCGAAGTTGATCGGCGGAAGCACAGAGACCCAGATTGAAATCAAGTTCAAGGCTATGCGCTATTCCGCGTCCGTCTACGTGGGCGATATTCCCGAGCTGCGACAATTCACCTTCCATGATGACTGCCTCGAAATTGGTGCCAACGTATCGTTGACTGATTTGGAGCATATCTGTGAACAAGCCGTGGAACGCTACGGACCTAATCGCAGCCAGCCTTTCAAGGCGATCAAGAAACAGCTTGCGTACTTTGCTGGACGTCAAATTCGAAATGTTGCGTCGCCGGCTGGTAACTTGGCTACTGCCTCTCCAATTTCTGATTTGAATCCTGTGCTCGTGGCCACAAACACTATCCTGGTCGCCAAGTCTTTCGGGGGAGAGAAAGAAATTCCCATGACTGAGTTCTTCCAGGGCTACCGTAAGACAGCTTTGGCGCCCGACGCTATCATTGCCAGCCTGCGGATCCCAGTTGCGCAGGAGAATGGAGAGCACATTCGCGCCTACAAGCAGGCTAAGCGAAAGGACGATGATATTGCTATTGTCAACTCAGCGCTTCGTGTTTCGTTGTCTGATACGAACGAGGTTACCAGCTGTAACCTTGTTTTCGGCGGCATGGCTGCCATGACGGTCTCAGCGAAGAACGCTCAGGATGCGCTGATCGGCAAGAAATTCACAAATCCCGAAACTTTGGAAGGAGTCATGTCTGCTCTGGAGAAGGACTTCAGTCTGCCCTATGGTGTGCCCGGTGGAATGGCCACTTATCGGAAGTCCTTGGCAATGGGCTTCTTCTATCGATTCTATCACGATGTTCTCTCGGGCCTCGAGGTCAAGGCCGCTGATCTAGATGCCGACGTTGTCGCTGAGATTGAACGAGCCATTTCTACTGGTTCAAAGGACCACGAGGCTTCTGTCGCTTACCAGCAGAAGATCCTAGGCAAGGCTACTCCTCACGTTGCTGCGCTCAAGCAATCCACTGGTCAAGCCCAATATACCGACGATATTCCAGTTCAACAAAACGAGCTATTCGCCTGCATGGTCCTTTCAACCAAGGCACATGCAAAGATCCTAAGTGTCGACGCCTCCGCAGCGCTCGAGATCCCTGGTGTTGTCGATTATGTGGACCACAACGATCTACCAAACCCACAGGCCAATTGGTGGGGAGCACCCGTCTCCGATGAACTTTTCTTTGCCGTGGATGAAGTCAATACTGCTGGTCAGCCAATTGGTGTGATCGTGGCGCAAACTGCCAAGATCGCCGAGGAGGGCATGAGAGCTGTCAAGGTTGAGTATGAGGATCTTCCCGTTATCTTGAGCATGGAAGAGGCCATTGAGGCGGAATCGTTCTTTGGTCATTATCGCTTCATCAAGAATGGTGACACGGAAGAGGGCTTCAAGCAGGCTGACCACATCTTTGAGGGCGTCTCTCGCATGGGTGGTCAAGAGCACTTTTACTTGGAGACTCAAGCTTGCGTTGCCATTCCCAAGCCTGAGGATGGGGAGATTGAGGTCTGGAGTGGCACACAGAACCCTACCGAAACGTAAGTTCCAGCATACCCCGTCTGACCAAACTAATTCATGCTAACATATCAACTAGTCAAGCATACATCGCCCAGGTCTGTGGAGTCGCAGCCAACAAGGTTGTCTCTCGTGTCAAGCGTCTTGGGGGTGGATTCGGTGGCAAGGAAACGCGCTCTATCCAGCTGGCTGGAATTTGTGCCACTGCCGCAAAGAAGCTTAATCGACCTGTTCGATGCATGCTGAACCGTGACGAAGACATCCTGACATCCGGTCAGCGCCACCCCTTCCTCTGCAAATGGAAGGTTGGTGTTACCAAGGAGGGAAAGATTCTTGCTCTCGACGCCGACGTGTTCGCCAACGGTGGCCACACCCAAGATTTGTCGGGTGCGGTCGTCGAGCGAAGCTTGTCTCACATCGACGGTGTCTATAAGATCCCCAACATCTATGTGCGTGGTCGAATCTGCAAGACGAACACCGTCTCCAACACAGCCTTCCGTGGCTTTGGTGGACCTCAGGGTCTATTCTTCGCCGAGTGCTACATCTCCGAGATTGCCGATCACCTCAATATTTCACCCGAGCACATGCGGGCCATTAATATGTACAAGCCGGGTGAAACTACCCACTTCAACCAGGAGCTCAAGGATTGGTATGTGCCGTTGATGTACAACCAAGTCCTAGAGGAGAGCAACTACATGGAGCGCCGCAAGGCTGTCGAGGAGTATAACAAGGAGCACAAGTGGTCTAAACGCGGCATGGCCATCGTCCCGACCAAGTTTGGTATTTCATTCACAGCTCTTTTCCTGAACCAGGCCGGTGCTCTGGTTCACATCTATCATGACGGCAGTGTTCTCGTTGCCCACGGAGGTGTCGAGATGGGTCAGGGTCTTCACACTAAGATGACCATGATCGCCGCCGAAGCTCTCGGAGTGCCACAAGACAACGTCTTCATTGCCGAAACAGCGACCAACACGGTTGCCAACACTTCTTCAACTGCAGCATCTGCCAGCTCGGATCTCAACGGTTACGCCATTTTCAACGCCTGCGAGCAGCTGAATGAGCGACTCCGCCCATTCCGGGAGAAGATGCCCGACGCGACTATGAAAGAGCTCGCGCACGCAGCATACTTCTCCCGTGTCAACCTCTCCGCACAGGGCTACTACCGGACTCCCGATATCGGCTACGTCTGGGGTGAGAACTCCGGCCAGATGTTCTTCTACTTCACTCAGGGTATCACCGCGGCCGAAGTCCAGATCGACACTTTGACTGGAGACTGGACTCCTCTGCGCGCCGATATCAAGATGGACGTTGGCCGAACGATTAACCCATCTATCGACTACGGCCAGATCGAAGGTGCCTACATCCAGGGCCAGGGACTCTTCACGACAGAAGAGAGCCTGTGGCACCGCGCCTCGGGCCAAATCTTCACCCGCGGTCCGGGTAACTACAAGATCCCCGGTTTCCGCGATATCCCCCAGGTCTTCAACGTGAGCTTGCTGAAGGATGTTGAATGGGAGAATCTGCGTACTATCCAGCGGTCCCGTGGTATCGGCGAGCCGCCCTTGTTCATGGGTAGTGCCATGTTCTTCGCTATTCGCGATGCGCTCAAGGCTGCTCGGAAGCAGTGGGGTGTTGAGGAGGTGCTGAGCTTGGTTAGCCCTGCTACCCCGGAGCGTATCCGTATCAGCTGTGCTGATCCGATTGTTGAGCGGGCGCGGGTGACTCCCAAGGAGGGCGAGCAGAGTTTCTTTGTTGCTATTTAGTGAGAGCGTGTTATGTTATATACGAGTTACGGCATGGCATGTACAACGATGTCCATTTAGAATTTTATCATGAGATTGTTTAAGAACTACGCCGTTCAATGTAAGCTTCCAACGCGGAACCGAGTTTAGCTCATGCATATGAGAGATCCTAGTCTATTCTTCAAGCGATGTAGATGATCAAGAAATGCAGGATGCAATTGGGTCATTAAGCCAAAAACTCCCAGGTAATAAAACCTTTCCACCAGCACCTTGACATGCAAAAAGATGATACACGAATAGAATAACGCTCAATATCAAAAATGAATCAACCCCTCTTCACATCATACTCGACATAATTACTTTTCCGCAACGCCGGCTGCGCATCAACCTTAAGCGCAGAATCATAATCCCTCTGCCCCGCAAACCCAAGCTTCTCATCCGTCAACGACGTCTCACCCCTAGCCTGCGCAGAGCTCGCAACGGGCGTCTCATACCGCGGCACAGCCTGAATAAATCCAAGCTCATTCCTCGGGATAGCAGTCAGGGGTATATCGGTGAACTCCCTAGATTCCGGTGCGGGGGCAGGGTTGTTAGGAACGGGGTCCATGGCATGACCGCCTCCATCACCGCGATTCCGTTCGCGTCCCCAGAAGAGCGTCATTGCGCGGAGGATACCGATCAGCGCGATGAGGACCCAGAGTAGAAGGATGGCGGTGGCGATGAGGGTTTCTGTGCGTAGACCGTCTTTGAGTTTGTCGATGACTCGTTGGACTACTTCTGTGATTTTGTTGGAGGTTGTATCCCCTGCGTCGGCGAGGAAACTATCGGATGCGTTCGTGTCGTTGGAGATACTAGCGTTCGCGCCACGAGAGAATGTGTCGTTTGGAAGATGGGGGAAATCAATGTGGGCATGGTCGTGTACCCATGTGAGACCCTTTTGAACGCTCTCGATTTTAAGGCCGATGAGACAGTCAAAGAGCTCTTGGACAGGTTCTTCGAGGAGCGTGCCGCCGAAGGTTTCATTCAGGACGTTTTGAGTTTTCACTACGAAGGTCTCAAGGGTGTCATTGACGGCCGTCGTACTGGTATTCACCCAGCCAAAGATTTTGTTATTCAGATCATCGTCCATGGAGTCGATCGCCTTGTTTGCGTCGGTAGCCCATGCCACGGAGGCATTTGTTAGCGCACTCACGACTTTATCGGCGTATTCACCGACTTCGGTGCTCAGTTCGGGGACGACTTTCTCGACACTTCTGAGAAGGATGTATTGGCAGAGACAGGAGAGCAGTGCTGCGATGGCGATACCGAGTACGAATAGAGCCGGCATGGAGGTGGCATATGCGACGGCCCAGCGCACTAGAATCTGGCGACGACTGTTGCTGAAGCGGCTTGCAGCCTTTATTCCTGTCGCGGCAGTGTATGGCCGAGAGACGATGTAGACGACGTCCATGGGGTCGTGGGCTTCCTTGCGGACAAGTTGGGAGCGCTCCTTCATCTGGCGCCATCGGCGGATCTCCTGCCATGCGACGGGAACGCAGGCCAGAACGGCTGCAATCAGGATGACGGCAATGAAGATTTTTCGTGCGGTGACTGCAATGTCGGTCACTCCTTGGAAGAAGCTGTTTATACCGTCGTTGTCATCGCAGAAGGAGAGCTGCTGCTTTTGTGGGACGGACAGAGCGTTGCGATCAAAGCTGTAAGTTCCCAATGAGCCGTTTACCAGTTTCTTGACCTCTTCAAAAGGTAGTCGGATAACGTTCTCGGTGAAGTTCTGTACCTCATCAAATGACGGAATATCGTCACTGAGTTTATCGAGAGTGGTGTTGATTGAAGACGGAATGGCGATATTATCCAAAGAGCTGAGTGAACTATTCAGATTCAACGTTGGCAGATCAGCTCCCAGAGCGCTTGCAGCCGTGTTGACTAAACTGGCGAACTCATTAAGTGCGTCCTCAAAGGTAGTGACCGTCTTCTTAACATCCTTCACCGCTGCTTTGATGGTGGTGTTCAAGAAGCCCGCAACCTCCTCAATCAGCTCGGTAGCAACATGGACACTGCTTCGCACCACCATCGTAGCGAGACAGAGATAGGTCTGGTACATGATCTTGATGATGAACAAGATGATCTCCTCCACACCCGTGATGGTAAGCATAAGCATAGTGTTCAGGCCATTCACCGCATGGTCAATTCCCGAAGCAGTGAGCTCGTTGACGCCTGAGGCCAGGTAGTGCGGCATGGAGGCCATTGCACTCCCCATGGACTCCACGGAGGTACACGCAGACAATGCCTCGCGCTTAGCTGAGGCCATGTCACTGCGAACACCTCCGATAGCAATCAAAACTCGGACCAGGACTAGGATCAGCAATATCGTCCAGCGGTTGATCCAGACTTGTGAGAGTCGGGCGCGCAGGCCAAGATATGGCGTAAGGCCATCTGGATGCAAAGGAATGATTCGCCCGTTGGAAGGGTCGTGGGCTCCATATGGAGGGAGTAAGGGAAAGACTGATCTCCCAGATCGTGTGAATATCATGATGTCGTTGTGGAAGGGAATATGTTTCGACGTCCAGCGGGAAACACGAAATGGCGACTAAGTAGTCGCAATCGAGACTGTACAGCGGAGAGGAGGAGAGGAGGGTATTTCACAGGAGGGATTATAAAAAGAAGTAAAGGGTTGAGGTGTTCTAAGGGAGCATAGTGTATAGAGGGGATGTTAGGCAGTGAAGGAGGGAGATGTTAATCGAGAGAGGATGCAGCCTAGAAAAGAGAAGAACAATCAAAGTAATAAGTGTCAAGGCAACCGCCACGGAAAATGAGGAAGCTGGAGACCAAAATAGAAAGCGATGAATAGAAGGTCAAACAGAATTCCAAGCCCAATACACAAACATTATTTCTGGAAGCCAGCGCCAATCTATTACACCTAATCCATCTCCCAGGAGGCTGATCTTTTTATAAAGAGGTCCCATTTGAAGCATTTAGCGACCCCGGAGACATTGCCATGACCAGTCAGAGGGTGTCATGCCCAAGCCGAAACAAAGAAAGGCATAAAAATAAAGCCGGTTGACAACTGATCGGAGCCAGGATCTGTTTCATCCTGCATCAAAGCGCGTATATGCCTCGTCTAGTGCTGAAGAGTCCCAGGGTCAGTCAAATTTAGACCCTGTGAGTCCCCATCGTTGCTGTGAGCGCTTAGTGGCCGCTTGCTGAAAGCCAATCGCCGGTGTGTCACGATGTCAGACTCGAACGGGTGGGTCTTTCAGGACCCGCTCCGGTGTTTCCAGTGTCATGTGGCGCTGACAAAGAGGCTTTGTTTGGATGGCGCTGGCTGTTAGTCCTCTTTGTTTCCGGGGTTGCTGGAGGGTAAGGGTGTCTCGAATAACGCGAGAGCCAAAAGAGGGACGAGCGGGTCCACAGGATTTCCGGGCTAAATCGACTGTCATCTCAACGGACGCAGGTGGTTGGATGGCTCCGTCAGAGTCACCGTGCCACTAGATCAGACCCACTTCTCCGTGTGACGAATCCCCTTTTGAGTTTCCCATAGACTGTCAGGCTGTCAGCGCTTCATACTTGGGGCAATATACAATAACATTGAGATTCCAACCCTCGCAATCAAAGGAATTCAGCAAGATGGAAATTCATACCAGCGGACAGACCTAAGCAGAGCCAGAGACACGGGAAGCTCCGTCCTGTTGGCTGCAGCCTGCAACCTGAGGAGCTGCAACGGTTAAGCGCCCGGCAGAAACTTGGCTCATCTTCAGCCCGGGTTGGGTAGGCGGTGTGCAGGGACCTTACATACATCACGTGCCACTTTGTACCCTAGTTGTGACGACCTCCCAGGACTCTAAATCTCCAAGGTCGATAAGAGACAGGCAGGAAGTTCATTTAAGCTTAAATCTATATCCGTAGCATGGCTCTCACTATGGTAAATATGTATGTCATGGCCCGTAAGATTCCATTTGAAAATTTCCGTAATTCCGTTCCAACGAATACACCCACTATATATCTCGAGGGAACAATGGATATTTTGCTACACTGTAAACCAACAGAGCCCCCATCTTCATCTCACCGCAATAAATCAACCCAAGGAAATGGGCCACATCCACCATCATTGCTCGAATATCTTGAGAAACGATGGAAGAAGAGTCTGCACGCCTCCTGTGCATCTCAGGATCACCCAGCGAGTTCCGGAACAAAGCTATTGTGGTTGTTCACAATCCCGTATCCTCTTGATTGCATCCACGTAACCGTGCGGACTTTCTGGACCTCGTTGTAGATATCTTGATATCCGTATTCGAGATTGCTTGTTAAACTGGATATTTCTGCGCTGTTCGTTCAATTCCGGTAGTTTCTCCCCTCTCAGAGAATCACTTCCAGAATGTACAGGGGAGACAAACGAACTGTTCCCGCCTTCAGTACACGGGATGGTTATGATAACCATAAGATAGCCCTTGAAGGCACTGGACTGTAATGCCGCGGCCACGAATATGACTTTTCCAGCGGGCCAGTTTTCCTATGCTTAGTCGTCGAGTGGTCGTTACCTAGCATGCTGCGTTTGCATCCTGAAGATGTAGAGACTCCTAAAGTAGGTTGAGGGAGCGTCTAGTTCTGACCCGCTTAGTCGTCGATTGCTGTCGATTGTCTTCGTGGGTGATGTTGTCGGCGATGATGTCGTCGATAGGTCGCGCGGTTTCTGACGATGCGATTGCCTGTCCCACGACGCAACACAAAACCCTCCGTCTCTTCTTCTCTCTCCTCTTCATCTTTTCCATCCTCAACACACCCAGCGCATTTCTTCTCTCCCTCATCCATCTGGATAGAGTCCCCCTTCTCCGTTGAAGCAACGCCTGCCTCGTTGAGGCTTTCGATAGTGACGTCTCGTCACTTCGCTGTCGTTTGCAACAGCATCCAAGGTACGTCCACCTCTTGTTTGCGAGTCGAAGGCACCAGCTTCGATATCGACTGCAGGGTACTGCTCCTTCGTTTCCTTCATCTCGCTGCCCGTCCTGCACAATCTTTCCTTTCCCCATCTCTCCCCCTCGTCCTCTCGTCGATAGCACCGACGGGTATCCCCAACCTTGGACAGCACTTTCCCGTCACCTCACGTCACTTCACAACATCCTTTGACCTGGTAACGCGCCCGTGTTCTCTCATCATCACCATCTCTTGCACCTCACAACTCATCACCCACTTGACTGCACCCCTCAGGTTAGTCTCGATGAGACAAGCCACCCATCAGACCCTGATCGTCAAGGCTAACAGACCGTCTTTGCAGGTTCCAACATCGGTTGGTGTGACGGTTGCTCCTCGGAGCTCACAGCCCACCGACACACATCATCTGTAAGTAGTCGAGTATTTCACGCACCTGGATCGTAGATAATCATGCTGACATGTCTTCGTCACAGCCTGTGTTCGGACCTCTTGATCTCGACATCTCGTCCAGGTCTTCGCCACCCCCCTTCCCTGCGAGAAACTCATTTTTCTCGTAAGTGTCTCCGCTCATGGAACATATGTCCTATTGCTGACCAGTATCTCGAAGGCCTTTTCTTTAACCTCGTCCCTGTCGACGTTCAAAGGATCCTCATCAACATGGGCATCCAAGGAAGTCGCCTCACCGATCAGGCAAACCAGCTTGACGGCGAATATGCCCTGGTTCTGGACTCCCAGAAGAACGTCCACCACTTCCCAGGACCTGAAGGAGTAGATAATGAGTCTGCGGACAACTGGCTGGAGCTGCAGATCTTCCAGTGGAGGGAAGAAACCCCAACTCTCATTCTGAAGATGGCACCTGCATCTTCAGGCCCTGAGTTCCAGCAACAGCTAGACCAGTCGACCGACGCACTTAAGTTCATCTTCCAACTGCCGGCCGAGTACCCAGGAGGCCGAGTTGGACTTCTTCGTACCATCCAGGATCTGGTTGCCGGCGTCAACCCTTACGGCATCGTGGAAACAGTTGTCGGGAGAAGGGTGACAACCAGATTCCTGACGAAGAAGAGATGGGCGCGTCAGCATGAGAAGGAGCATTCGTGGACTAATGCCCCGAAGGCCTACAACTGCAAGGTCGGCTGGACGCAGTTCTCATCCCAGTACTTCTTCAAGTTCCGGGTAAACACAGGAGAAGCGGCACTCCTGGCGGTGAATCGACATGCTGACGAGTACAAGTCTGCAGTGGGTCAGCGACAAGTAAGTAACACGCCTTGTCAGAATGATAAAGGAGTTCTGAAGCTAACTTATCAAAAGACGCCGCAGCAACAGCTGTATTTCATGCAGCTCATGACCCTGCCTGTTCGGGTTTGGATGTGTGTTCGGTATCACCGACGCCCAAGTTCCGAGGATGAAAGTGAAGAGCGTGAATCCCAGGCTGAAAAGCCTGATGCCGAATTCATCCACGACGCATCACCTCTTAATACTAAAGAGGGATCGTCAACCGGTATCTTGGGCGAGTTCAAGAAACTCATCAAGGACTCGACCCAGCAAGCTGCTCGTAGCGCTGCTGACGTGGTCGATGATGATGAGCTGGTGACGGGAGAGCACCCAAGCCTTGACAGCCAGGGCCCGGAAAAGAGTGTGGTCTCACCCAGCGAGGGGAAGACAGAGGAGGAGCAGGAGGGAATGTCAAACACGCCGCTTGACCAGCCCCACGCGGTGGTGTGTGAGAACTTGACGATGGGAAAGACGGGGTTGACGAAGAACCAGAAGAAGAAGAACCAGAAGAGAAGGAAGAAAGCCTACCACAAGGCAGTAAGAGAAGCGCACGCAGATGCACAGCCGCGGCAAGTTCAACCAAACGACGAACAGTCAGCGTCCGCAGCGTGCGGCGCGGCTGGTCAAACCCTCGTCGTTGGGAATGTCGACCTTATTGAGGTCGACTTGCGGTCCCCAACATCTGGCAGTGCCTCCTTCTTGACTGCGCGTTCGCAGTCTCCCTCGAAAATTTCCACAGGTTCTCGAAATTCCCATACTCCTCCCCTGGCCCCCAATGTTTCCTTCACTGGGGAGTCTGATGAAGAAGGTGTTCCAGGTAAGAAACGCCCAATTGGTCGATTGCACGGTTTCCCATATCCTTCCGATCTATAGCCCACACCTTCAACTATCGAGTTTGAAGCTAACATAAGAACTATAGAACACCAGACAAGCAGAGTCGAATCAGACTCTGAGACCACATCTCTGCCCGGGGACTCTCGCGAGCCCAGTCAAGAAGGTAAGTTTTGGATCTCCGCAACTCATTTGTTATATTGAGTTCTGCCACATTGATATGACTATCTTGCTAACGCTCATCGTAGAAGTGATCTTTTTGGAGACCATAACTGGCGCTCAGCCAGAGTCTCATGTGCAGCGGTTGTCTGCAACAGCGACCCCTGCAAAACCCACCACCCATCCCCGGGAGATTTCTCCGCGTTCGGAGCGCGAATCTCCCAGTCCGACTTCGAAGGTTGAGCCGGTACTTGGAGCAACGTCTCCGCTGCTTGTTGTCGGGGACAGGCATGAAAAGCGGGATTCCAAGGCACCAGAAGGCCGCCAAGACGCCACGAAGTCGGGGGATGAACTGGACGACACATGCGCAGCAACAGCTCATGTCGAAGCTCGTCAGCAAGAGGTTTCGCCGCAGGACGTGTCTGGTATCACTGACCAGCCCCTGCAGCCTCGTGCTGAACCCTTATCCGGCCCTGCGACTCATCATCAGCCGCCAAAGAAGGCCCGGGGACAACAACGAGCTGGAGACATCACGACCTTGGCCAAAACACCCCAGTCGCTTCATTCTAGCCAAGAATCCACTGCATCCGCAGAGGATCAGTCGAGCGTCTTGGGACCAGTGACTCCGCGACCTACCAGCCGTCAATTGCTGGTCGTCAGTCCGGAATCAGCTGAAATTCGGCCATTGTCGACTGCTGCCGTGTCCGCAAGCCACCCACAGCAAGACGAACCCTCTTCGGCGACTACCCCGACCAGGACGCCCGGGTTATACCCTAAACGCATGGCAACAGTTGGGAACCCGACTCAACGAGGGGCACCTGTAAAGCGTGTACCGCCTGCCAAGACGCCCCGCCTCTCGAGAAAGGCAGTGGTACCAGCAGGACGTGGGCGCAGAGGTGCACCACGGACCTATGCTCACCCAGCCAAGACGTCTGGCTTCCACACCGCGGTACCAGCAGGGCGCAAACGGGACGGTGGATTCGTCTCTGGGGTTAACCCAGCCAGAATGCCCGGTCCTATGATGGCCGTGGTACCAGCGGGACCCCGTGGGGGCTTTGCTCCATCTCCAACCGTAGCACCTGGCTACGGTGCCTACCAACAAAGTCCTTCTCAATGGCACCAGGCGCCCACACCTGCCGCAACGTCATGGGAAGGGAACCCTGTAACCAGCCAGTCCTATGTGCTGGGGAATCCCCATCGACCTTGCGGTGGAGGTGCGTATCCAACGCCTCCGACAAAAACGGCTCCGGGTCCCTCTGATGTACCTGGAAGGAATGTGGAATACAAGCAAAAGGAACCAGAGATTGGCAAATTCTTCTGGGACTTGACATTCCACTCCTTCCGGTGTGCAAAGGCGGGCTGTTGGAAGCAGTGCAACCTGTGGGATTGTCAATCTGTCGTCTGTCCGTTCTGTGGACCTTTTTCGCGCGTCATGTACTGCGGGAAGGAACACATGCGGGAAGATGTCAAGATCCACTGGCTTCACTGCGGACAGGCATCGATGAAAGATCCCTGTGTGGATAATTCGATACCCCCGGACATCCGAGTCGGACCTCCCGCAATCCCTTGCAAGAATGGCTGGGATAGTCCTGAGCGTCACCGGCAGGCAATGTGGTTCACTACAGCGCGTCAGGAAGGTGACTACTTCCTCTTCGCGGACTGGGAAGACTCCTTTGTCTCTGGTACAAGGCTGGACGAGTGGGAAGGGCGGTGCTCGCCTCGTGTGGCCCTGATCGTGCGCTTCGCCGATCCGGTTGAGAAGGACCGTTTCCGACGGATCCTTGCAGTGTGTTTGCTGGAATCAGTTGAGGTCCAGCCACTGGTTGCCTACATGTTCCGTTTGCTGCGGGACAGGCTCCAAGCCAAGAATCAGTGGTCGCCTCAACTGGACTTCGAGCTTCGGCGCCAGATATCCTGGGAGTTAGGTGTATCTCTTGACCCGGAAGTCCTGGGCCTGCGACACGCTTGCGAGACCGAATGGAACGGCCGACCACCCCGTCATTGCCGGGACCCGATCTGCTTTGCTGAGTGGCGGAACCTCTTGGGCACGTTAGGATGGGATCAATGTTTCGAACGCCTTGTCAGCAATGAAGAATGCAGTCACTGGCTTCTTCGAGCGCATCGAACCACCCATCCCACTGTCACAAGTGTGTACGACCGGACGCGCGGAGAGGGATTCGACGATGTCGTCGATGAGGAGAAACGACTCTTCCGGCGTGGCGAGGCTTGGGATGGTCCAGGGACAGGCCTCATGGAGATGGAAGGTCCAGAAGTGTGCTAAGATGTCCTTTAGCACGGGTGGTGGTCTTGGTCGCAGAAGGACCGCACAGCGGAGAAGTTGTGGTGCGGACGGCGTGTGCTGGTGGGTTTCTGTGGTCAAGGAATAAAACCGTCATCAAGCCTCCCCGGCTTGAGCTCCTTTGCCAGAGGAGTTTGAGTCGAGGAAGTGCCCGGTCCTCCCTCAGACTCTCATTAGCATGCGGCGATCCGATTAACTTTCTTTTTGTGGTGATGGGAGGGGCGGGACTCCTACCATCACTTGTTTGGTGTACGTGTACGGCATCCGGGTTCTAGTGGCAAATTCTTTTCTGCGAGTGGCTTCTTCTTTTGTTACAACATAAAGCCCTATAATTCGGATGTCGTTGATTGTTTGAGTAGTGGGGTCCTCTCACCACTGTGTCGCAACGGACAGTCCCCCGCTGCGCCGTGGCCAGTCGTGATGACCAGATGATTAATTTTTTAGAGAATGACAATTCTCTTCCCGGATCGTCAAGAACATGTTCAATTTCCTGTAGATATGAAATGCCTGTATAAGGGAATTGACTGGATAGTAAACCCCCAGTCATCAATAAGATAAACGTTAAAATAGAGCTACTAGTCAGTGCAATTGGTGGTGGTCAACAAGATATCACAATAAATGTTAGGGAAGAGGCGCATTGAAAGTTGCAAGGTCTTAATATAAGCGGCTGTCCGGTCTCTTTGTATTTTGGGAATCTATGGATGAGTACAATAAACTGGAGGACTTATTTACTGGGTAATGTACTTCTTCAAGCCCCGCAGTCTCTCCTTCGCAGTCTCCAGAACATCGTCATTCTTGCAGACAGCAAAGCGGAGATAGTCTTCGGCAATGTGGGCATTGGCGTCGGTATAGAACTCCGTGGGCGGGATGGCAGCGACGCCAACCTCGTGGATCAGGAACCAACAGAGCTTGAAATCACGAGGGCGGCTCGCCACATGGGGCGGGAAGGGATAGTCGGCCGGCAGCTTGACAGATGCCATGTTGGCTAGCACGAAGTATCCACCTTCGGGCTCGGAGTACTGAAGGATACGATTAGATAAGGTGGACCGCAACGAAGGGCATATGCATGAATGCAATGTTAAACATACCGGGATACCGAGCTCATCAAAGACCTCGCAGAACAGCTTCATCTTCTGCTGCATCTCATTTCGGCTCTCATCCCAGAAGCCGACCTTATCAGCCTGCTCAAAGGCCACGGCGGCAGCTTCCTGAAGGGGAGACACACTGCTGTAGCAAATGCGGGTGTGTGCACCGGCAACGTACTTGATCAGATGCTCCGGTCCAATCAGGTATCCTACACGCCAGCCAGTGGCGTAGAAGGCCTTACCGGCCGAGCCCACAGTGATAGTACGTTCGTACAACTCGGGGGACAAGGTGGCAATCCGGGTGAACGGAACATAGAAGAGACGGTCGTAAACTTCATCAGAGAGGATAATCAGGTTGTGCTTGACACAGAGGTCACCAATACGCTGGAGCTCCTCCTTCGAGAAGACCTTGCCAAGAGGGTTGTGGCTGTATAAGTAGTTAGCATATGAGAGATCAGATGAAACGGGTATCTTAGCTTACGGAGAGTTCAAAACCTAACATTGAAACGTTAGTATCAGATATCACCTTGTTCATTGGCCAGGAAAACTTACAATCATCTTGGTCTTGGAGTTGATGGTGTTCTCAAGCTCCTGGAAATCAACAGTCCACTCCGATGCAGGAGAGGTTCTGGTTGCGCCATCCTTGGGCGGGTGCAGAGGCACATATCGGATGGTGCCACCGGGCATTTCAATATTGCTGATATACCTTTTCAATGCGTCAGCTATTATATAAGCTTGGATGGAGCGTGGACCTGATGTAGTGTGAATCTTACTGGTCGAAGAAGGGCTCGAAAATAATGACCTCGTCACCAGGCTCGATGAAACCCATGAAAGCGCTCAGCATGCCTTGATGATAATCCATTAATCAGTTTTGGTTGTCCGACACTCTCGCGCGGGATCACTCACCCTCATTTGCGCCGGTGGTGATTGTGACCTCAGTCTCGGGGTCCAAGGTTCGGCCAAAGGACTTTGAGTATGCCTCTGCAATGGCCTTCTTCAGACGAGGGCGACCCTAAAAAACCATGAGCTAGAGCTCTATAATAACCTTTATGAATCCGGCGTCATATTACCTTGGTCGGGGAATATTGGTTGCACTCCACGCGATCCAGGGCCTCCTTTGCAGCATCAATTGCGAACTTGGGGGGATTGTAGCCACTGCACAATGAATGATATATATTAAAAAAAATTGTCCTTTCAAAGAAACCACACAGCTTATACAGCCCAATGACTACTCACAAGAAGCCTTGGCCCATGTTCACAATCGGCTGCACGGGCGAAGCCGCAGCGGCTTCGTTGACAATCGACCTATTCCCCTTGATCAGAGCTCCTTCCTAACACGTATTTGCGAATCCTGGATGATGCGCCGCACCAGACATCCTGTCGCTGACCGGCGACTCTCTTTGCCGGCCGAAAAGGGTCGGGCCGCGAAGCTGTTGCGGACATTGTTCTTGCGCCGAGACTAGGAAGGCGGGGTAGCACCGAGGGAACGAGGGGCGCGGGCAGTCTAGAAGCAGTTGGCTTGGATCGAACGAGCGTGGCGAGAATAGACGGGCGACCGACAATCATGAGGAAAGAAGTGTCGAGGGACAATGAGGAGAAATTGCGGAGTCAAGAGTCATCCAGGGCTCGCGAATGGCGTGCTTCTCCGTCCCGAACGCGGGAAACCCGTTGGAGTAACATTCTTCATCGGGTAGTTGCATGGTTGTGTACAGACTATAGCGTGATTGGTACTTTGAATACATGCTTTTTCATAAATCTAGATAGTTTAGACTTCGGACCATTTTCTTTTCTATCCCATCTGCCACTCAGCTACCTAGACTTTCCAAATTAGCAAATCCAACCATGTCAGCAAGGCACCAAGGCCGACATCCTCGGAGCTCCGGCCGATATCTGATTACCTAAGCAGCTATCGCGCTCGACGCGTCTCCGCAATTAACCAGCTGCGTCTGCGTGACGGTCACTGTAGGGAGGTGACAATTCTTTCTCGGGGAATTCAATCGCCATGGTTCTGTGTCCAATCTGTGAGAAGTCTGTACCACAGCTCAAAATCAACGACCACATTGATTCGGGCTGTCAAAGCTTCGTGGAAGAACCCTCGTCTTCCCCGAGTGATCAACCGTCATCTCAGAAAGGACCGGTTCCCAGCATATTCCAGCCACCATCCGCACGAAAGGCCCAGAGCCAGTTCAGCCAGACCAAAGAGTCCCCTTCACGTTCGAGTATAACTACACCACGACCAGTCAATGGCAAACGATCCTTCGCACAAGATTCCCCGCTGTCCCAAGAACACATTGGCGTGAAGCAACCACACGAGGAAGCAGGGGAGCCACAGACCAAGCGGCCAAAGGTCAATGCATTCCACAGGGCAGCCCCACTGGCAGAACGAATGCGCCCGAAGACTCTAGATGAAGTCTGTGGTCAGGAGCTTGTCGGCAAGAATGGGGTCCTCCGAGGCCTCATTGAACAAGATCGGGTGCCCAGCATGATTCTGTGGGGCAGTGCTGGGACAGGCAAGACAACGATCGCCCGAGTGGTAGCCTCGATGGTTGGAAGTCGATTCGTGGAGATCAACAGTACTAGCTCCGGCGTCGCAGAGTGCAAGAAGATCTTCGCCGAGGCCCGCAGTGAACTCGGTCTCACTGGGAGAAAGACAATAATCTTCTGTGATGAGATCCATCGGTTCTCCAAATCACAGCAAGATGTGTTTCTCGGTCCCGTGGAGAGTGGCCAGGTCACTTTGATTGGTGCAACCACGGAGAATCCATCCTTCAAGGTCCAGAATGCGCTGCTTTCGCGGTGCAGGACATTTACCCTGTCCAAACTGACGGACGAAGACATTATTTCCATTCTCCAGCGAGCACTCAGAGTTGAAGGGCCAAACTACTCCCCATCAGAGTTGGTCGATGACGAGTTGATCCGATATCTTGCTCGATTCGCTGATGGTGACGCTCGAACCTCACTCAACTTGCTCGAACTTGCCATGGACCTGTCGAAACGACCGAGCATTACTAAAGAGGACATCAAGCAAGCGCTGACGAAAACCCTTGTCTATGACCGTGCTGGTGACCAACATTATGACACGATATCAGCATTCCACAAGTCGATTCGAGGCAGTGACCCGGACGCGGCGCTATACTACCTTTCTCGCATGATCCAGTCAGGCGAGGATCCTCTTTATATCGCTCGCAGACTGATAGTTGTTGCTTCAGAGGACATCGGTTTGGCCGATAACAGCATGTTGACCCTTGCGATCTCGACTCACTCCGCCGTGGAGAAGATCGGCCTACCAGAAGCCCGCATTAACCTGGCACATGCAACGGTGGCAATGGCTCTATCGAAGAAGAGTACAAGAGCATACCGAGGACTGAACAACGCCTTTGCTGCGTTGGACGAACCTGGTGTTGCGGGGCTTCCCATTCCTATTCATCTGCGAAATGCACCCACCAAGCTAATGAAAGAGCTGGGCTATGGCAAGGAGTACAAGTACAACCCGAACTATCTCGATGGTAAAGTACAGCAAGACTACCTTCCAGAGAAACTTATGGGACGCACCTTTCTGGAGGATTTGGACCTGGGAGCCAAACGAGACCCCGATTTGATGACTTCAGATTATGATTATTCTGGGGTCTCTTTTTAACTATTCTGACAATCTCACAACCTTCCAAGAGATAGTCACAATGGTGCCGTTCAATCCAGACGAGAATTATAATACGACGGTCTGCCGTCACAGGCCTTCTGGCTGTTGATATCGCTGCCGCTGGCTACTAAGCTCAACTTGGAAGGGAAAACCGTACTTGCCCTTTCGAGCAATGTCCCTCCCCCGTGGGCAATCCTCACTCGACCCTCAGTTACCTAAGCGGGAAGGACCCTGGGTACCTAGGGTTATGCCAGTCCTTCCTACACCTTCAGGTCATCCTCGTTCAGCACCCCAGCCACAAGCTCGACGCTACCATTCTTCATTCTGCTGCATTATACCTATCGACTTATTCCATATACGTGCTTCGCATCTGTGGACTCTGAACACGATGTATCCAGGCCGCGGGCCAGTGTTCAGGTCTGACGAGTCTGTGATGCACGATATCAATGAAAGACGACTACCAACTCCTGTCAATCGTTTGAATACTTTTCGACCTCCGCCTCCGGGTCCTCCCAGCTCATGGGCCCTTCGGCCAACGATCTTTCGCTCGGAGGTCTCTTCGGGGTCAGTATCACTATCAGCGAGTCACGGACATTCAAACTTTGTTCAGACCCCAGGCTCTGGAAGATCCACTCCATGGGCACTTCCCACTGGAGCTTCACACACGCAGAATTCTTTTGAGTCGACGCCTGCATCAGCAGCTCAGCACAGCTTGAACACTGGCCAGCCTCTTGCTTCGGGGTCACACGCTCCGTGGGCTCTAGGAATACCCTTCGTCCGTGGTTCAGTCGGTGCGGTTCCTCAACCAGCGCTGAGCAGTCAGTCGAACTCTGGTCAGCCTTGGACTCCGGCAGCCCCTACACCATGGGCCTTTCCTACAGAAGTGCCCCACATGGATGGTGTTTCTGAGCCTGTATCGCAACGCCCGTTTGATTATCATTATCATACTCTTCCCCAACCCAACAACATGCCCCGGACCCCACGGGCCACTAGACGAAGAGCTTGGAAACCTTCTTCCCCGGCAAGAGCTTCTCGGCGTCAAAACTCGTTGACAAGTTCTTCTAACACAAGTCCTTATGTCTCGGGCGTTCATGAAGTTAGCATGGATGAACACTCCCCGCCGCTCGTCGACCGAACTTCTTCCGAGCGAGCAACCCACGACCGCGCAACCTCCAGAGCGAGGTCGGCATCCCCAGACATGAAGCTCAACATCATCCTAGAAGATCCTCCAAGTGGGCAACTGTATCGTGAAAAAAGAATCCGGAGTCGAGAGGAGCTTGACAGCCAGAAAGAAGGTATGCGAGTCTTGAAGGACAACGGGGGAGCTTGCACGGCCTGCTATAAGAGCAAGAAACGGTGTGGACCCGGCGACCCTTGCCCTCCTTGTGCTGCACGCGGTCGCAGCTGCGTCAGACTCAATCGAGACGATGGTGAGATTGTGTCTGCTGGTGGTCAACCCGTGTCTACGTCTACTCAACCTGTACCCACATCATCTCAATATGTCTCGACATCTCCTCAACCTTCCTCTTCACCTACCCAGCCTGTCTCTGCACCCGCCCGCCCCCTCTCCCCTGATATGAGACCTGACACACTAACCTTGGTTCAGAATACTCTTATCGATCCTCCCTGTCTTCCAGAGCGCACTCCATGTCTTCCAGAGACCACTCCCTATCTACCTGAGAGCATACCGACCATGCCGACGGAACCAGCCCCGAATGAAGACCTGCCATCTCTGGACCCGGAGCCACTCGAGGATTATGTCGACCCATTTTTCATTGATTCCTGGGAGTCTGGCATGCTTTGCCTCGACAGCGCCTACGATAATCCCGGATATCCATGGGCTGGAAGCGATGGGGGTCATATCACGATCTGAGGGTGCGCTCCTCCACATTCATTTCCTGAATCCAGGTCCTTAGGTGAATGCCTTTGCCATGTTTATTGGTGAAACGCGCTCGATATTTTCCTGTTTTGAGAACGGGCGTGCGAGAACATTATTCTTATTACCAACCGCGCCTTTTGTTTACTTTCGTCTCGGGTTGGGTAGATACTCGTCGCTCACCACATGTCTACTGTCCACTGTCCTCGTTGTTAGCTAAATACCCAAATACCCCCGGCGCTCTTTGCTTTCCGAAATGGAATGGAATAAATATCAAGAGAAGTACTATGAACTCTCAAAATCGAAAAGAAAGCCGTAGATCAGACTGTGCAATAAGATGGGTGACACTACTCCACAGCCCGCGGCATCCCAAACGGTGGCTGATTTCCGCCCGCGGCGCGTCTCAAGAATCCTCTTCCTCTTCTCCACCGCCAAACACCACCAGCCCAAATCCACCACCTCCACAACACATCGGGCCACGAGCCCTAATCCCTTCAAACCTACATCAATTGGCATATCCCAACCAGCACACTCATTTCATCGCCCTGGACTCCCGCATTGCCATCCCCGCACAAGTCTACCACCATGGCCTCCGGCCAACCCTTCGCGTCGCGCTCTTACGCGGGCGCAAAGATGCCAGACCGCTCTGTCAACACAAACGCCATGCCCTTCAGCGCCTCGTCCTTTTCGAGGCATCGTGGACTGGGCAACACGGCCCCTGCGGACTTTGGCGGGCCCGAGGGGCCTAAGCAAACGCAGCAGCCTACATCCGCGCCTGCAGCGACACAGTCCCACCCGGGGCAGGATGCGAACCCGTTGAGTCGGTTGACTGAGGAACAGAGGGAGGAGATTAATGAAGCTGTAAGGATTGAGTTCTCCGCATCCCCCTTGTCTCTGCGTCTGCAGTTCCTCTGGGAAGCAGAGGGACCCGCAATGACTGCCATACCTACCCAACGAGCGAAACCATCGAATCAATAGGAATGACGCCAAAAAAACTATCGCTAACCAACAACACATCCATCTAGTTCACCCTCTTCGACCTCGACCGCGACCGTCACCTAGACTACCACGAACTCCGCGTCGCCTTCCGCGCCCTAGGCTTCACCCTCTCAAAACAAGAACTAATCTCCCTCCTAACAACCTACGGCGTCCCCCGGCCCCAAGTCCAACAACAACAATCCGCCTCCAACCCCCAACAACAACCAAAGCTCAACACGGGCTCAAACCCACAACACCCCTCCAACCTCCTCATGCCTCTATCCTCCTTCCAAGCCGTCACGGCCCTGAAGATCCTAGAGCGAGACCCGCGGGACGAGATCCTCCGCGCGTTCGAGCTGTTCGACGAGGGCGGGAAGGGATTTATTGATTTGGAGGATTTGAGGCGTGTGGCGAGGGAGTTGGGCGAGACTGGGTTGGAGGAGGAGGAGTTGAGGGCTATGATTGAGGAGTTTGATCTTGAGGGGGTTGGGGGTGTTACGAGGGAGGCTTTTGTGGGGATTTGTTGGCAGTGATTGTCATTCCCCTTGAGTAAGTACTCTACTCCTTACTATAGGGGAGGGTCGTGTTGTGCCTTGCATGAGGGGGTTTTTGGTGTTGGGTTTTATATCTACTTTGTTTTGGGTCTTTCCCTACTTTTGTTGTATTCGTTTGGGTGTTTGAATTTGATCAAATTTCTTGTTTCAAGTATATCTTGTCGTGTGTAGATATCGCCCATTGTTCGTTTCGACTATTCGACTACGGATGAAGTACAGAGGGTATGCAATCGCTGAGGCGCTACCATAGATAAATGCAGTCGTACTAGCAGGTGAATTCAGCCGTAGTGGCGTCCACTCCTCTCGAAATACAGATACGCGAAACAGAAAAGGCAATTAAACATTGACAAGAAGATGAGAAGAGTTCACACCCCGTATATACCAAGGAGCAACCGTTTCATTTGCACAGATGACTTCCAATATTGACGCCAAAGAACGGAAACCAAACCATAAGCCCAAGGCCAACCCTCAAGCTTTAACCCAATGAATGTAGCCCGTAACCGAGGGAACACGCAATGCATGCAAGGACCGATGTATACCAAACTCAACAGAAAAAACTTATGCAAAGGAAAGAAAGAGTCGTCATTAACCGTACCGAGGAGGGGGGACGTCGGGATATCCATCGTTATGATAGCCATACCACTGGTTCATAGGCGGACCCGGAGGAGGACCGGGCGGAGGGCCCCGAGGAGGTGGTGGTCCTTGAGGTGGTCCTCGAGGTCCACGACCAGGCATAGGGCCAGGATAACGACCCATTCCAGGTGGAGGGCGGACATTCTTGGCCATACGACTCCTTGCCCGAGCCATGCGACACCGGTTAATAAGACAGTACAGCAGGAAGAGGACGATAAGACTGCCCACACCGACGCAGAGGCCAATAACGAGCTTCTTGTGGTCGCGAATCCAGCCGCCTACAGAAGAGCCCTTGCACTGACCGCTGTAGCATTTACCACCGGCGTTGCAGGGCGTACCGTCCAGGTAATTTTGGAATAGGTCAATGCAATCGCCGGCGTCATACCCCATGATACTGTGGCGTGTACCGCAGATCAGGGTGCAAGATGGGTCTACCGTATTCTCGCAGGCCCAGGTATCGTTGGTGTTGAGAAGGGAGCCCATCACGGTGCGGCACTGGTAGTTACGACTCGTGCACTGGCCGCTCGCACAGGTGAGACCACTGCCACAAGAGGATCCGTCGTCCTTGTACTTGTCACTAGGACAGGAGCTGGAATTTCCAGAGCATGTCTCGGCAATGTCACAGGAACCGGTACTCGCACGGCAGACCGTGTTTGCGGGTGTAAACTGGCATTGACTGCAGCAGCTGTCGTTGGAGTCGTCGCAGACGGCGTTGTTCTTGTACTTGCATGTGGTGGCATCACAGCAAGCATTATTTCCACAGTTTTCCTCGCCGCCACAGTCACAGTCTTCGCCAGCCTCGACGATGCCGTTGCCACACTTGCTGCCGCTGATGGTCACGACTCCGCGATTGTCGGAGAGACAGGTCGACTTGATACTATTGCGACCAATGGCAGAACAGATATTCCCTATAGTGCATGAAGAAAAGTTTGTCATGCTCGACTCTGCGTACGGATTCATGATGTACTTGGCATTCGCATTGCAAGTAGTTGCTGATAGTGGGCAGCACTGGGAAGAGTCTTCCAGATCCTGAGTACATGCATCTGCATCGCAATCGTGTACGGCGCCAAAGGTGTGACCGGTCTCGTGAGCAAAGATCTGCCATGTAGAGCCTTGATTGCCGACCACGACATTCGCGCCCGAGACTGAATTATCCCCTGAACTGACGAGCTCGGAACTGCACAGACGACCCATCCAGGACACACCAACCTCCTGGCCAGTAGGGCAGCCGGTCATCAAAGTCCAGTAAGCGTTGCTGTCTGCATTACTCGAACGCCATTTGGAGAATTCATTCAACCGCCAGGTAATATTCCCACCGCTGCAGCCAATATTCCACGGGAGAGCCGAAGTAGCAGTCGTGGGACAAGATTGATCATTCACAGTGAGATTGCGCAAACCGATGGAGATATTGAATGAATCCTCGTACAGACTCGATGCCGTGTTGACCAGGTTAATAACCCAATCCTTTGCCGCGTCCTTCGGGGTCGAGTTGGACTTGAAATAGTTGGTCATTTCACAATCCGTCGCAACGCCAATCAGAGCGACCTTCTTAGTCTTGGGGCATCCCGACGTATCGCCGACCGTATTCTTCAAATTCACACCGGCCGTACTACCAGACACTCCACCCACATCGTTGGATTGGCGCTTGCTAAGTCCAAACAACGAATTCAGCGACGTAACTCCCCATTGACCATCGGACTGATCGAGGCCAAAGGGAAAGATGGAGTTGGTCAAATCAGCATTATAATCGAGTTTATGCGCCGAGCAACCTGTAGAATCACCCAGCGACCGCTTGAGTTCAGTGTGGTGTCGAATCATATCGGTGTCCCGGTAGACAATCATGTAGTCGCCGCTTCGATGCTCGATATCGGTATCGATAGGGCGCTGTTTGGCGAGATATGTCGACTGCAGCTCAATGTGGTGTTTGTTATAGTCGATACTGAACGCGCCCTCGAACAGTGGCTCGGGGCCATCCCTTCGTACGGTGATCCGAGCCCAGCCTGCGGGTGTCCATCGTCCCTTGCCCGAGCCGACCAGGGCGCGACCGCGAAATACTTTGTGTTCGTGTCGCTGAATGGGTTCGCCTTGCCAGAGACCATCGGCGCCAATGTATTGGACGTAAGCATCGTCGGCGAGAATATCGTTGTTTGGCTCGAGCTCAAGCTTGATCCGCTGTCCATCGCGATGTAGTTCGAAGGTAAGATCGAAATGTGATAGGTGGTCTATTTGATGAGTTTGGGTACGAATAACAGCATTATCGATAGGCGTAGTCTGGCGGATGGCGTCTGACGCTTGAGATCGCGCTGGGAAAGAGAAGGCAGTCAGCAATCAGTACTCCGTACAGCGAGACGAGACACACCTTGAACGAGTGTGAACAGCGCCGAGACTGCCCCAATAACGGGCAGGACGCTCGGTCGCAACCTCATTGTCGGGCAATGATGGGTTGAGAGAGGAAGCCGGCAGAGAGGAGATAATAATTAACGAGTTGCTCAGCCTCTCGGGGTCGGTGGGGGAGATTCCAGGGTTTCCAGGGTTTCCAGGGTTTCCAGGGTCCAGCCAGGCAACCATCGGGGGACCAAAGAGAAGATTCAGGGCGCGCAGGGTCCACCCGGAGATCCGCGGAGATTAGAAATCGCCAATCACCACTACAGAGCAAAACACTCGAGGAGGAAGTAAAAGAAGTATGGGGGAGAACAAGGAAGAGGAGGAAGAAGGCCAGGAAGATGATAATCAGCCAAGCGCCCTGCGGAGTCCCCCAAGAGTCCAAGACTCTCGCCAAGCACGACAAATGCCAATCGGCCGACGAGGCTTGGACTTGGCAGACTGAAACATCACATTTAGCATAATCATTGCTAGAACTAGTAATAAATTGGTGCAGATATGATAGTGGTAGTACCTAATTTGTTACTATTCTTGTCGTTGTTGTGGTCAAGGTCTATCTCCCCAACTCCATGCTCTATAACTTCAAAAGTATACTTCTTACACATCATTCTCTCCTCCTCATCCGGCCTCGTTCTCCGCCGCATGGAATGTCTCATGCGCCAACAGAGCAAAATGCGGGATGGAGGCTCCACACAGCGAACATTCGACATTCGCCAGACTCACTCGCCACAACCCGTCGGACTCGTCGTCTTCCTGCCATTCCCCGTCCTCCCGATCTGAAACCACATCACAACCACCAGGCTGCTGCATTTTTTCTTCGCGCAAAGGGTCTTGGCCTCGACTTTCATTGGTATCAGGACCCTTGTCACCCTGTTCTCCATTCTCCGGTTCTGGCTCATGTACCCTCCAGTCCCGCAGCACAGCCTCTTGCTGACGGAACATCTTCCCAATGTCTCGCCCACTGCTTTGCTTCTGGTCCCCAGCACTCTCCACTAGATTAGTGACGGCAATATTCATCAGTTGCAGGTCCCATCCGGACTTTTCGGGGTGGAGTTTGCGGAACATGGTCATCGCATGTTCATGGACCAGTCGCTCGGCGATTGCGTCGATGTTCTCGTCAACATGGAAGACGAAGCTCGGCAGTGGCGCCGACCGGGAAATGCGATTCCAATTATATGACCGTGCCCCGTCCGTCTCTGGAGGGTTCCGTGGGCGAGTTGACAGGCGCAGGGTGCGTGGGTGGCCCAGCCACCGAGGCTGAGGCGCAGTGCTGTCAGTTCTGTCGAGCAGATCCGTCCTCATTCGTCGGATCAAACTTCTCGCTAGTACTTCTAGCTCGCGTCGGACATTTTCTATCGTATCAAGCCGACCGCGCCCGTAGGTATCTTCGATACTGATCTGGGTAGGTAGGTCGCGTGCTTCGAGCACGTCCATATTGTCGACTCCGTGCAAGATGCTCCAGACCTTCATCCCGATTCCCTTTGGTGCGCCGGGTCCGCTGAGGGTCTTTTCTAGAGCTGGCGGCCCCATTCCAGGGAATAGGCGAACATCTCGAACGGTGAGCTTTTCTTCCCCCGTGGTTTGACCAGTCACTTTAAGTCTTAACTTCTGGGCGAGCCGTGATCCGATACCCGGAATCTTTCGAATCTCGTGGTCATCCATGAATTGGGTGACATTGCTGCCCTCGGAAACGGAATCGCCAGGGGATTCGTAAGGAGGGAGAAGTGTAGTTTGGTTGTTGGGTTTGTGTACGCTGCCGACCAACTTGGCCAGTAACTTCGATGTCGACACACCCCCTGTAGCAGTAAAGCCCTTCTCAAGCTCCATTCGGCTTCGTAGATACCCAATAAGATGGGATCCCAGGAGCAGCCTCATGTCCAGCGATGATATCTTAGGCAGTACCACCGAGCCATCTTGCATAGGCGGATAAGTAGCCCCAAGGAAGCGAGAAGCATCGTACACAAATCCAACGGTCGGGTCCTTCCGATCCAAATGAAAGAAAGCAGTCGTCAAGTCATTTGAATTTAACAACTGAACATTGTAATCAATCATCTCCGTAACATCCAAGGAGAGCTCATCAAAGCCCAGCCTCTCCACGCGTCCGCCCCAAATGAAGCCGCGCACAAAAGAGTACAGATCTTTAGATGCATCGCGAAACTTGGTCAGGTCCTCGCCTAGAACGATGACCACATCGGGACAGATACGTTTCGCATCCTTGATGAGCTGGAGCTTGTGCAGACCACGCCGTCGCGCTTCGTAGTTGCACGTCACCACGATTTGCTTCTGCTGGACTGCTAGAGGCAGGGACTTGAGTGCTGGCTGCTCTACCTCGAATACTGAGGCATAGAAACAGTCATAATCCTAGATTTCATGTATTAGCGGCGATGGAATCTCAGGGTGGGCTGTATTGGGGACTTGGAGGGTGCTGTACCAGGTGGAGGATGACTCGACGGTCATTACGCGTCGGTACTGCAGCCATCGACTCTGAGACTTTGCAGCCTTCTCCATGAGTACCGGGTGTGTTGAGCCTAGTTGCTGCTGTTGGTTGAATAATATGCAGCTATACAGGCGGCTCAAGCTCGCGGAGTAAATATCAGCACGGTCGCATGGTTGGTGCCGGACCGTTCAGGCACTGATTACTCACCCATCAACACTCACCAGTTCGCTGGGCGAGGGCGATACTGCGTCTTCTCTTCTATACCCGACCAGAGTATAGGTACTCGATGTCACCATCTGGTATGTACTATAATAAATCACAAAATTTTGTATGTCTTACCTCTATATCCACTAGCTTCATAGATTCTATCTCTTGCACAAACGGCTCCGTCGAAGTGGGAGGCCGAAAATGCACCATCGGCGATCTTCCTAATTGTCACGGATACATAACTCAAGAGTTGTTTCATGACGCTATTCGATACCAGGGCACTAACACACGTACCCACTGCCGGGCTAAAAGTTCCTCGTTTTATAGTTAGTCACTAGGCTATACTGAGTCATAACTTGAGGCTGAGAGGTACTTACAAACGTGGCCAGGTCAGCCTCGTTCGAATAATACGAGTAGAAGTAGCATGTGATGGGAAAATATGGAACACTTTAACAGCAACTCAAACAGACCTGTTGAATTGCCGCCCGAAATTTGTGGACAGAACAGATGCCATCGACTGGCGTAAGATAAGGCCGTGGTACTTTGCTCTAGGGTGAACATGTTCATCCCCGCATACTCCACAGTCCGGGGGCCCCGTAGCCTGCGCTTAGTGGAGTCTACACGGCAAGGGCTTGTCGATAGAGTATAGAAGGCCATGAAAGTCACTGCCGAGGCAAGCAAGTAATATAAAATAAAGACTGATGTCTATCTGATGGTTGTCCTATCTATCTATGAACTAAGTGCACGGTGTCTTAGTGTCCCGCCACGTCGAGGGCTTGATGGGTAAACGTAATAGCATTGAGGCTGAAACCCCTGGAGCGTGTTGGGCTGCCTTCTCCTCACTCTGCTGGGGTCTTCCTTACACACCTATCTTCTCGCAAGCTAAAGTACCCGCCTTATTGCTGTGAAATCCTTCGTCCAAATCCATTACTACATCCCGCCAAAAGACCCCAGTGGCTCGTTTTCCCTTACCTCGGGTCAGCCTGGGATTTGTTTGAGTCAAAGTACACCCATAACAACCGTTTTAAGCCCCACGTCTTTTGCCTAGTCATTCTCTTGGGCTTTTCGCCCCCATTTCGGGCCAGATGAGCTCGAGTGTGAAGGTGGATGACCTCCGGGAGGAGCTAGATAAAAAGACCTACAACAGAGGCACACCCGATACGGCATTTATCTCATACGATAGAATCCAAGAGGTATGGGGTGGAGATCGTCTCGCGCGTTTCTTAAAGGCCCACGCGGATGAGTCTATTCCACCCGAGGAAATCGAGATCGCACAGACTAGCTTGCTTCGCATGATTTCTCTTCTGATTGCTATTCATTGGGATGGATGGTCAAGGTTCAGACAAATCTTCTTTCTACATCCCGATGCTCCTGCCAAACGCCGCGATGATAACATCAAGAGCTTGGACGATGAAACCCTAAAGCACAAATCATTTCTGGGCGACACCTCTTTCCCAGGGAACTTCATCACGAAGAAATGGACCTATATCCCTGTGACCCTAGATGGTTATTCACTTGTACCCCACGACCAAGGTACACGCCTACCCTTAGTGCGAGACAATAATTGGCTCAGAAACGGTGGGTTTGGCGAGGTGACCAAGGAAATGATACCACGCAACCACATTGTCTTCAAACATTTGAACGACCACCTTGGTCTGTACACAGATCAAGCCAACTCTGTAAGCAAATAACTAGGAATACATTGAGGTCGGATACTAACATATCTTGTCCGACTTTGAGGCTGAACTCATGGTTGCTCGGAAGCGTTTCCGGAGTGGGCGTTATGAAGTCGAGATCAAACTATTGAAATTTATCCAGTCCAGCTCATCCAGCCATAACCGAATTGTTTACCCCCTTGCGATAGTCATAGTTGATCATGATTTGAACATCATTACCCCTTGCGCGACTATGGATTTGGAAGACTTCCTCTCTGAAGGTTACCAATCGATGCATTCAACCGAGTATTCGCTCCGAGATCTGCTTAACGAGTCCTGTGAGCTCGCTGCCGCACTTGAATTCCTACATCGGGGCCTCCAGGCTAAATGTGACTGGCTTGAGTTTCAACACCAAGCACTTTGTCACGCGGACTTTAAACCTCGAAACATTCTGGTCTATAAACAGGCCGGTTCGCCAACAGGAATTTGGCGAATCACTGATTTTGGTGTCTCTCGAGTAGCAAGACGCAGTATATCGGGGGAGGCAAGGTATGAATCTGACTTGTCTACTGCCCAACCTTCAGTCCCCGCCCCTGTTGGTGGTATATATCAAGCACCAGATGAACATGCCGGACGAAGAAGCGATATTTGGTCTTTCGGGTGCATTCTAGTCCGGGTAATTGCCCTGGGCCTTAACCATGGGCGTCAACAACCTGGCCGCGATTCTTGGAGAGATATGCCAGTGGAAAGGCCGCCTGTTCCAAATCGTTACTACACAGAAAATCCTCTCGCTCTGGACCAGAGTGTGAAGGAATGGATCATGGTCCTGCCAGAACAATATCGTGATTCATATAACCTGCAATTCTTGCACGAAATCCGGGATCTTCTTCTTTCAATGCTTCAAATACATTTCAGCAACCGACCATACGCAGATGAGGTTCACATCCGCTTACACAGGCTTTGTAAGATGCCTATGGATCCAACACCAGCCTTTCTGAGCCCTCGTTTAGCACCGTCTGCCACTGCCATTCCGCCTGCTGCTGCCATTCCACATGTCACTGCCAGTCCGTCAGCCACATCCACCCCAATAACCACTCCCAATACACCTGGAACATCCCGAGGAAGTACTTCCACGACGAGAACCGTCGATCAACTGCGGGATCCATTTGAAATCGATTTCCTCGTGGAAAAAATAAAGAGTGGATCAGTGGTCGTCGTTGAGCAATTTCTGCGAAGCCGACCTGATCTAGATATAGAACAACACTGCGGGGGAAACCGGCCTTTGATCCACGCTATTGAAAGTGGGAGTGCCGGTATGATATTTGTTTTGTCGAGGCACAAGCAGACTCTGGATGTGGAAAGTCGCTCATCGCAAGAAGAAACGCCCCTCAATCTTGCCGTGTTGAAGGGTGATTTTGACAAGGTGAAGATCATAATTGACATCTTGGTCCGACATGGCTCTGAAGCTTGTTTAAATGAAATTTCTCAGGCCGGAAAGACACCGCTCATGGAAGCAGCTTCTCAAGGTCACGTTGCTATGGTTTCAGAGCTTTTGAAGCATGGTGCGAAACCCACAATATTCGATGAAGACGGACTGAATTGTCTGCATTATGCAGTCGACAACATTGAGTCGACCGAAGATCTTCTCAGAGCGTTCAAAGGATTCATGCATTTCGATCATTCTCCACCCGAAAGCAAACCCGGGTATGAGACGCCTATGATGCGGCACATAAGCCACGGAATTGACGGAGCCTATGGTGCCTTGGATATTAACCCTCTGTGGGAGAAGAAGTTCCACGTGCTCCTCAGTGGGAAGGCAAATGTCAATAAACGTTACCCGATAAAGAGCCCCTTGCAACTTGCTATAGCACAGAATAAGGTTCATATTGCGGAACTGCTTCTCAAGGCCAGGGCAGTCCTTCCCCATGCGGAGAAGGGAACGACAAAGGAAATGCAAAAAATGCTTAAAAGATGGAGAAAATGAGGGTGCCAATGATACATGCTTTATTTTGAACATTTCCTATATTCCAAATTTCAACGATAAATAATTAGGAAGAAGGAGTTTTTGTCTAGTGCCTTGATACCTAGCTATATCACGTAATTATTTACTTGAGCTTACTGGCCTGGATCTTAGTGATCATGCAGTCCGCATCGAAAGACAGAGACGATCGACCCATCCACTCCCGGCAAGAGAGACGCGCAAACCGGATTGGATGAGCCTTACAAATGAGATATAGCCACTGTCTTACTGGGCTTTTCTACTTGATTTACATAAGCTTGTTCGTGTTGCGTGATCAGTAATTTAGACCCTGGCCCAAAACTTAGCTTTCTAGGGAAATAAATTGATAGACACCAAAGGGGCATCTTGCTCTAATCTAACAACAGTCCATAAATCATGAATATACAGCTCCTTTAATCCAGAAACATTCAAACTCATTCTCTCCACTTATACTTCAACAGTATCATTTTCTCTGGTTGGAAGCTCTGTGTCTTGCACGTCTGCCTGGCGAACGAATCTCCCATAGAAAGGCCTCAGAGGGCGGAGATGGTCTTTAAGATGCTCCATGGTTGAACGATCAACTAAGACATTAGTTAGAACATTTCTCATATTATAATAAAGTTAGATTCAAGCAATTGAAAGGCTCACATATTGCGTTCATGCCTTCCAGCGATGGGTAATTAGTTTCAGGTACCTATTGGGTCAGCGGGATTCATGGCGCTAGCAAGTAGATAAACCAACCAAAAGAAAAATCAAGATTAGTGCCAAGAAGTTGAGTCCCCTTTTCAAACATTAGTATGTAACGAGTAGCGGGATTTGGGCATCTTACGTGAAGAAAAACAAAATATTTGACTGTCCATCGCAATGGGTTTGGTTGTGCATCCCACAGGTCTTCCCATGTCCAAATGCCTTGGTCAATGATGGTACAGCAAATACCAAGAGACCAAGGAAAAGGAAATTAATCATAACACTGAAACTCATTCCCACGTCTAGCAGATGTTAGCGCTCGCCCAGTGTACGATAATAGGGACAAGCGAGGCCGATCAACTCACCGCGCACACATAATGGAAACACTTCTGCACTCAGGGTAAATGGGATGGGTCCAGCACCGATCGAGTAGAAGAAAACAAAGAATGTGATGCTGAAGGTTGATACCAAAGCGAGTCGAGTGTTGGGATCGGTCATTTTGAAGAATCCAGCGACAGCGGCCAGACTTATCAGCATCCCGGTCAATGAGACAAGTAACAGGGGCCGGCGTCCTCGCGAGTCAATAAAGCGGTAAGCTGGGAAAGTGAAAATAAAGTTGGCGAGGCCAAAGCCTGTCTGAAGTCAGTCGCCTGTCTTGTCATGGCCCTCCTCTATGTCCACATACCCAAATTATAACCTTTGATTCTGGCAAGGGAGTTAGACAACGTGTCGGATTTTATGAGATCTGACGAATAAAACGCCAACGCATTCATCTACCGACGGCGCATAAATCTTTAGCCAGGGAGAACCCTCTGAATTTTGATGTTTGGTTTCAATAACTCACTCCACATAGTTGTTGTGATAACATCACGATCGACGCCACTATGCACGCCCTTCGAGTTCGCGACTTCGTAAAGAGGTGTCCCATTCGCTTGAAGAAATTACCTTGACTTATCCATCTTTGGTAAACATAGAGCTTGTGCTCATCCGACCACTGCGCTTCTTCTGGTCTCCATACATTGATTGCTTCGGCCTGAAGCTGCGCATGGATGTTGTAAAGGTCGCGAGCGGCTTGTATCTGGGTCCCTCGAAGCTCAAGTAAACTTTTGTACGCCTTGGCGTACCTATTCTTTTGTATCAGATAGCGCGGCGACTCAGGACAGATGAACACCAAGAACAGCAAGACGATAGCGGGGATTATTGCGGTCGCCAGCAGCACTCTCCAACTATCCCGAACAAGGAAAGCACAAAGAAAGCCGAGAAATATGCCACTAAAATTAAGATATTAGATAGCCCTTTACCCAATGCGGGAACTTACAATGCATCAAAGAGCTGCCACATCATCAAGACCTGACCTCGATGTTGGTCGGGGGCTGCCTCAGCCGCGAACACAGGTGCAATCGAAGCCTTCGCGCCAATCTGCTCAAATTGCACATATTAGTATTTTAGCACCGATGAGAATGAGAAATTAATATGGAACAGGTGGGAGGGACCAAACCTACTCCAATACCAAGTACAAATCGGCAGATAAGTAGCTGTTCCCACCGAGTGCATTGAGCGGTCCCTAGTAAGTGATAAACATATGTTAGGACCCATCAGTAGGCTTTGGGGCGCCACAATGATACTAATTACCTATCACCAGACCGATGCAGAACAAGGCAGCAACGAATAGCGGAAGACGCCTTCCAAATCTATCTTGAAATGGATCGCTCAACCATGTTCCTCTATAACATCGTTAGAGTTGGCATCTCAGTGCTAAGATCGACTCAAAAGGTGATAGTGTCACCAACATCAAACTTCCCGAAATCCACGGGGCTGCGTTTATCAAACCGATGAGAAGCTCATCCTTGTTGGAGTCGAGGCCCAATTCCTCCGGCCATGAAAACAGAGCGCTTCCGTTAATGGTGGATTGCTGCCATCCCCTATACGATAATCAAAAAAAAGTCCACAGGTGTCACAGTCGCAATAGATAGACATACTGTGTGATAGCCGCACAGGCTGTCGCCATGATAGTAACTAGGAGCCCCCTAGTTTCCAAGAACGAGTGCGAATCTTCGTTTTCTATTGTTTCATATTCTGGATCACTGAGACCGATCACACCAAAATTGTATGGCTGTTTTGCTAACTTGGCGCCTTTGATGAGAGTGTCGAGATCAACAATATTCTCAAGTTTAAGGCGATGGTGGAATAGTCTTACGTCTTCCACCAGTTGACGAACACTCGTGAGGATTAGAGGGTGGTCGATTCTAATTCATCAATCAATGTCAGTAATACCCGGAAATGATTTTTAGATTTCATGTGTACGAAGCATACGTAGCGGGATGGCCATTATGGTGCGCGTTTGTACTCATCGTGTAACCTTTGCAGAAACACTTCGGTGAAGGCCTAGAGATCTGGACATGCCACAAAGATATACAAGATAAAAGGAGCGTGGGAGTTCTGCGAAGGAGAAAAAGAAGCTAAGAATTACGTCTCCAAGATCAACTCTGAGGAGAAACTTGGGGCTTAGGGGCTCCACATGAGCCTCAATTTCCAGAAAGTGGTCTACAAAGTTCATGCCACAATCAACGCCATAACATAAAGAGTATCGATCTTCAGCCCCGCTTTGCTATTTGGAGCAGACTAGACCGAGGGTGAGATTGTGATCTCGAGACTCACACCTTCAAACAATAGATTCTAAATTAAGAGATGATGCGTGTTTCTTTTCGAAAGGTGAAAAGATCCGATTCAAAAAGTCACACACCCCTCGGTTTTATTTCCCAAAGGGCTCGTTGAGTAGACTACTTAGGGAGAGAAGTAGAGTGGGCTGAAACGTGAATTTGGCTAACACCAAAAATCTTGGTAACTACCCGACTAGCAAAACCTTCACCCCGGACTTACCACATGTCGAGTGCGGGTACCTTTCGGACCTGCCAAAATAAGGTAGCAGGAGAGTATGTTATTCATGCTCATTGTGAGATATCTTTCGCTGTCGGGAAATGGATCGCATCTGGACTAGTCTTGACGAGACTTATTTTGCTTTTTGCCCCCTCTTAGGACCCGGGTGGAATGAAAAGCATGCTAATCGTTGCCGTCAGGACTAAATCACCGAGGCCGTTAGTCCTATCCGCGTTCGCCGCGTGGGAACCGAAAAGCAAACATGCATTAGCTTGTGCATGACAGGACCGTGGAAGATGAATCATTGGAGGACGGCCATTCAGCTTGACAGCCACGTTGATCCTTACTAATAGATGTTTGAGAAAACGAAGGGTCCGATGACATCCGACCTCCAACATTGGTTGGTACGTATGTTTCTTGGCGGCAACCCTCAAGAAATATACAAAGAGATTCTTCGATTTGAAGACTTTACCTCGACCCCCAGATTCCCGGACCGACCAAGCACTGATGTCCTTGAAATCGCCCCTCAAATACACAGGAACATCCTCTTCCTGTCTCTAAACTTAGTGAATCCCTCTTGGCACGACGCCCTGGCCGTCAAAACAGGATCAGAATTGCCCACTATGTTCTCACCTGGCACCGGCTTTGGATCAGCAGTTACGACCACGCTCTCAGAGGATTTAAGTGGCTACATTAGGAGTGAAAAGCTTGTGAGTAGGCTTTACGAGTTATTTGGACAGAAAATCCAGGTTGAAGTAAGCATACAAAGACTCTCGAAGGTCGGCCTTTGGATTGAGGCAAGGTCCAACACATTCTTAGTTTCGCCAAAGCCGATATACTTTCCAAGCCCCGAGGGAAGTAGAAGAGGTAAGTTTTCTATGATAAAGCCATAGGCTTGCTGTTTTGTTTCTGACATTGCATTTTATTCTTCCAGTATGAAGTAGCGTAAGTAGATCGTCCACATCGTTTCTCTGGCCGGAAATTGCTTATGTTTTGGGTAAACCAGCGATCTTCGCGAGTATGAAAGGGTCCACTGGGATTGACAATGGAGGATTGAGGCATATTTTGAGTTGTTGACTGTAGCTTGCAAATATCAACGGAGAGAAGAGCCGCAGGCTTTGATATAACTGTCACGTCGTAGCAACCGGATCCCGTTGCAACCGGCTATGTCCGCCCGGCTGGGTTAAAATAGAGGCGGTGCTGTGCCCGACAGGCCAGTAAGGGGCAACTCATGGATGATCCTTGTAGGCCAGGCTCAAGAGGCCTAAACTCACCCGGCGGCTGCTCCGCCCCATGGCTATCCCACCGTAGCAGTACTAAGCATTGAAACACAAACACACACATTCTGGAAAACTCTGATACCCTATCTGTTGCCCCATCGTACTGATAGCATGGTTCGCTTGTACATACATCATCAGCCCCTAGCAGAGGATCAAAGCTTGGACCCAAGGCTCTCCCGATAAACGCCTCACGCCTCCGCAGGGCCATATTTGAACAGTTCAAGGGCTCTAAGTATCATATTTATGTCCCTAAATTCTCTCCTCTACATCCATCGGGTTGAGTACGAGATAACCACGCGAAAAGTATCACCGAAGTGTTGAAATGGCCATCAAGGCAACATATTCAACTTTCTGCGAGCCAGACGATCCGGCGAATATTTCTATCTACGAGAGCGATGGTGGGTTTGACAACATTGGAAGCTTAAATCCATACTAAGCTTCTCTTCGCAGGAGCCACTCAGGACAAACTTGCCACAAAAGTTTTCACGGAGAACGGTCTGTTTCAACAGCACATTGACACAACTTTGCGTCCACACTTACGCATCGTGTAAGAGTGACTTCATGTTTCAAGTGTATTGAATGTTACTTACCATACAATCTCGGAATAAAGCTCGATCCATTCTAAAGCAGCATTAAGCCCACTACAAATTTCAAGGGACGCCCTTGCGATTCTACAGGACAAATACAATCTCGGACCTGAGCTATGGGACTTGACTGCGACATTCGGTAACAAACCTCTAATTACAGCTGCCGGAGAAGGGGCAATGAGAATCAAAGACGGTGAAAACGGCGTCCGAGGTATATATTTCTAGTAAAGCAGCCCTTTGAGCCCAAAGTATCTAACAAATTATTAGATGTTTCTCACCGATTCACGTTTCCAGTGACAGGAGGCCCCGGTCGCTGGACTATGCGACAGATAGGAATTTTCCATCGTCACGATCCTAAAACACTTCAAAATCTCTGGATTTTCCTTCATGCCAACCCCAATACACCTGTGCAGAAGGAAATTGAGAGTTTTGCCTCAAAGTCTTACAAGGACTCAGTACCTGATTCCACTTGGTTTACACTCCATCAGGCTGTTCTAACACCTTGTCTGAATGGCTGGCGCTCCTACGTGAACCATCTAGGTAACGACGTGGATAGACACGTGAGTTTGTACCACCCACAATTTGGGCCTGTCTAACATCTTAATCTCAGTTTGACAAAGCTCTCACTTTCGTCTACGAGAGCATGAACAATACTGTCATGGCAAAGGGCGATGGCAATCTTGCGGATATCCATAACACACGCAATCGTCTCTTGGACATCCCATCCAGATTAACGACAACTCTGGATACCCTCCAAAGGCTTAGGGATCTGAGCGTTACTCTTGGCTCTCACTCCAAGCATAAAGACAATGGCTTCAAAAAGCTTGCTGCAAGTGCAGCATACTACAACGAACATCTCGAAGCACTTGTCAAGGGGGTTGAAATTATGAAGGAGAAGGTGACAGATATGTTGAAAATGGTACGTAGCCCCTGAAAATCTTTCCATGCTGATAATACTCCGTATCTTACAATGTCCAGATTGAGATAGGATTGAGCTTCAGAATGACTAGCAAGATGCTCAACCTCAACATTTCAATGGTTGACCTGAACAACCGCATGCTCAGTGCCAACGAACAGCTACTCCATCTTGGAAACAAAAGCTTTGACGACAATGCTACCGTCAAGGTTGTGACCATTGTAACGCTCATATATTTGCCAGCAAGCCTTGTATCAGTAAGGATTATCTTAAGCATTTATTTGGTGTGATTCGGTCTAATTCGTGGATCATCCAACAGTCAGTTCTCGGCATGAACTTGTTCAAGTTTGATGATGGCACAACTGATGAATTCAAGATATCCAAACAATTCTGGATTTTTATCGTTGCTACAATCATCTTGGCTGTCATTACCCTCAGTGGATGGTTTATCTGGACTCATAAGGAAGAAGTGATGAGGCGAAAGTCTCGCCTTCCCAGTCAAGATCCACCACAGGCTTCTGAGCAAGATATTGAACTCGAGGAAAGTTGAGGTATCATCCGTGGATATAGAGTGCATTGTCTTTCATTTTCTTCTCATTCTTTGTTCGATTCTGTGTGGTATTACCAGCGTTAGACATTCGTCTTTTTATTTGATTCTCTACGACCGTTTACGACAGTGCAGACTTACGACGACAGCTCTTGTCAGTGGCATAAGGGGAATCACCTAAAAGGAGGTCGCATGGCAATGAAGCTAGCAGGTTTTGTATTATTGAGCCAGCTTTACCACGTCACTTTGAGTCCTTTTCTAGGTACTAGAGGCCTAGGTATTTCCAGTCCGAAAGCTTAGTAAGCAAGCAAGGATGAGGCTCTGCCAGGTGGACATGAGTGGATTATTTTGTTTACGGAATGATCACTGAATCTCAGAGGATTTGGGTCCAAAGCTCCGGCGGCTAACATGCAGGGATTCCTGTCTTGACCAAAAAAAACATGAACTTTCCATCGATTTGGCCCCCAGCACCATTCCGCAGCCCCTCCATTTTCGCCCGGTTACATCCCACCCACTGGCATTGGATGATACAAACACCATCTATCTGGTTCAAATATTTCATGGCCATCCAACATCATGTCCCTTTCCCTAGATTTTCGATCGGCGTCAGGGCGGGAGTTATCCTTGCTCTCCACTCCGGACTCGCAGACCCTAGGATCTCGACCAGTCTTGACAAATGAGTTTCCAACACCACCTGTACCTTCTCTAGACGAGCTTCTACCAGTGCCACCATCGCCACGACAGCCATCTCCGCCTTCCGCGAAACCTCCAATTGAAGTTGATCGCCCAGGCCGCTACTATCTGCCGCCAGCCATGACAGATCTCAAGCTAGCCATGGACTACTTTTCAATGCCAATCACACCGTTCCGCTACTTTGTTGCCCCAGAAATAATTTCATCGCCGGGGCTGTTTCCTCAGTTCATGGATTTACCGCCCGAAATTCATCGAATCATCTTTCGCTTCTGCGACACCCCTACGCTGTTCCATCTCATCCACACGTCTTCCTACACCCGACAGGAATGTTTGGGCCTGTTCTGGCAGTTTTGCGATGAAAATACTTGGTATCGACTAGAAAAATGCTCCGAAGCCTTTGATGGGGAACACCCGAGGATCTACGACTGCCCTGATTTTGCTTCGAGGGTCACACAGGTGGAAATTACCTTACCTTTTCACTGGTTTGGCATGAAACGGGAATTCTGGAGAAGATTTCAAGACATCTTTCCATCAGCGCAACGAGTGGCATTCTATGAACCCCATTTCGAACCCTCGTTGTTCCATGCCATGATCAATCAGCCGCTGGGAAGTGAAACTTCTGCGCTTGATACAATTGCAGAGCTTATGGCGCAGGTGCCCCCCAATATTACCGCTTTGCTTGCAACATCTTACGGTGGAAAGGAGAGCGGGATGCGCTCCCGACTATGGCGCATTCAAGGCTCTGAGCTAAGCCAAGTACTAGATCCGTGGACTCCAATGCGAGTGGTCCTACCTCCAAAGCAGATTCGCCCTGGCATATTAAACCACTTTTTGATAAGTGAAAGACTTGGCACAGAGGCGATTCGCGAAATGTACGGCACAGATTGGCTGAAATGGGAGACTTATTTGCGTTATCCTGATGCCAGCGGGATCGAATGTCCACACCCCGGGTGTGACGACAATTTCCCCAACGAAACTGACTGGAATCAGCATCTTCTTTTGGATCATGATGAGAGAGACCTTAAAAACGCGTTCAACCAAAGCATTCTCACGTATTGTCGAAATACTCCACCTGATGTGAAAGCTATTCTTGATGAGAAGCAGCGTCGCCTCGATGAGGCAAACTTTATCAGAAGTATTATGGTTGAGGAACTGATGCAATGGTACCAGGAGAATGGAGACCAAGGCAGACGTCAATTTGAAGACACGCTTGCTCAACAATTGAAGGAATATGGGTTTCTCACATATGCCGAATCACTCAGCCGATGGGAACTGTTCTCTGACTATGTGTCTGCATGGCTGAATGACTGGGGTGACGAGCCGGGTGATCATGGGAATTACGATTATGACAATTACGAAGTAGAGTCTGATGAGGAGTACCCAGAAGACGAGATATCGGATTATGATTATGCTGGGGAAGAATACTTTGTTTATGCAGATTGAGTCGATGGCTTAATTATGGCAGGAAAAGTCCCATTAAAGACGGGTCGACAGGTTCATGATAGAACATGATAAGCAGGACAGCTCCACTATGTACCGAGGAAGAGCTCATTGTACAGGGAAACATAGTGAATACGACGCAAGAAATCTAAACAATATAGATCATGCTCTCAGCATCACGGACAAGCAACAGCACAGTGACTTTGGATGGCTTCCCTCTCCGGAACGAGCCAAGTCCGCTGTCCGCTGCTGAATCGTTGAGGATCTACTTTTCAGCTGCATTTTCTCTCATCTCCCTACCACAATGCTTCAAGTGAGATGCGCAGGGCCATACCCATTACCAAGTGAACGGCCGGACAGGTTATAGCACCCTCCTCGTATTCGTGTATTTCGAAGAGTCTTGTTTGGCAGAGTAATTAGGCAATTGCAAGTTCTGCTTGCAGCGAGTCCCATTCCCCGAGGCACTGCGGGTGCCTGCAGTTTATCTGAAATCGGAGGCGTGGATCTACACGTCCAGCGGTTCTCCCAGTTACGTATCTTCGATGCGCAATGCTTTGCACAACGGAGATAAGAAGGATAATCCGACACTGGTAACGAAAGCGCTCGTTATATTTGGACCCAGCTCAATTGAATACGATATGCTCTCTGCACTGGAGCATATCAGCAATATGCAAGAGGTGAAGTTTTAACTTCACGGTCCTATAAAAAGCCGAGTGGGCCTCGAAATGACACCCTCCACAAGATGGCGTTTCCTTCCACACTACGGAGCATGGTGTTTATGGACGCAATCGGCAATTTGGCGACGATCAACGAGAATTACGAGGGCGATCACTTCGTATTGCGCGGAATGGGGCCTTTAGTGCCATCGAGTGGGGGCGGAGATCGATCAAATCCCCAGGGGGAGTTTTGCGTCATCGCTTAGGATGGAGGAGTGATGTTGCGAAGTATCAAAGCTGGGAGTAGGAATTCCTCTTCATGGTGGTATACGAGAATCGCAGAGTATCTCAAACGAGGGCCTGGGTTTGGGGGCTTCTGGAATACGGGGTGGATCCGAACCACAGTTGGTTGACCGTTTGAATCACCCACGGACGATCATTCTTGGGGAGGTGGAGATTGGCTTGTTGATGGAATACGGCCGGGATGTGAGGTATGTGACGGAGCTAAGTAGAAGCGAAGTGTGGATGAGGAATCCATGATAAGGAAACAGGGAATCGAGTCGTTAGTGAGACTCTTGTCTTGTTGAATCGAGGAGTGTCGCGGAAGTTTAAGGAGATGGGGACCAGAAGTATTCCGCACGGACGCCACCATATTTGGGCACGTGCGGAGTGGTGGAGTACAGGTGAGAAGAGGCGAGAGTAAAGACTGAAGTATGTTGGAACAATTAAAACATGTGGAAGCAAGATGAATACGATGGATGATAGAAAGTTAGTCCGTGGGACTAGGAGCCATGGAGAATGTCACTGCGAAAAGTCCTCTGGACTCTGGACTCTGGAGAAAAGTTCCTCCCGTGTTCTAGAACGCAACCTAAAATCCTAAAACGCTATAAGCATAAGCGAGAGGCCTACGGACTACAACTACTATACTGGGGAATTCACAGAATATATTATTTCCTCTCTCATAGTCAAGTCCATCAGCTGAACAGAGAAAATTCTTCCACCTTGACGACACGTACTTTGTGTTCAGAATAATCACGACAGGCTCGGCCATTCGATGAACGGCCCCACTTCGTGTCGGGATCTCTTGGGATCTTTTTATAGAACTTCCCCATGAGCCTATGAGGGGGCGACAACCAGGATGACTAACTTTGGGGGGGGATCGGGGCTTCTTCGTATACATCCTCAAGGGCTGGAAGAATAAGTTGAGACGATAGCTGGAGGTAAAGAGCAGTTATTGGTTTGCCTAGTTCATACTTCCGTATTCGAGAGAAATAGAATTGCCTACGAGAGGCTAAAAGGGCCCCACGATCGTCAATCTCCTGTCTCCATAGAGATTTCCTCGTTACACCTGGCCTTTAAGTTTATTTTAGAACAGGCAAGACAGGCAGGGTCGAGGCCGATCCCCATCTCCGGCCGGACTGGTGGTGGCGTCGATAGTTTGCCCGTCCAGCGTCCACACCCTCAAGAGAGAAAAAAAAAATCTGCGCGCCCGGTCATAGATCTTGAAATTAATAAATAAGTATACATCTCGAATCTTTGATTCATACACTTGTGATTGACGGGCGATTTCTGGGGTGGTATCTTTTGTACCTCTACTTTATCGGCACGTTCCGATCACCTCGTCACATTCGCAAGCGCCAACTATTCTTAGCGCAAATCCCCCGCCACTCGACACGAAGACTTGAGAGGGGCTCTCTCTGCATATCACTGATTGAGACCTTTCTCCATGTCATGCTCTATGACACACCTCTATACTTCTTCCTCTGAAAATCATCCTCCTCAACCAACTTCATGTTCGACAACAATGTCCTGTCTCTCGTCGCCTCCCGGTGACCACCGATCAATCACATCCAGACCCAAACTCACGTTACAAACCACATCTCTCCCGCGCACGTTTGGCAGTTCTACTACCGGCCTCTCTCTCTCCTTCGCCGCCGGTCCAACCGCATCACCGACCGTCCGTAATACCTTTAAGAATGCTTACGATGTCGCCTCCCCCGCCTCCGCGACAAGTTCGCCCTCCTCCAAGGCCCCTCCCAGCCTCCGATTCAACGGCAACAAGCCAATCTCTCCATACGTCCACCACGCGAACAACAACCCCAATACCTTCAACTACCGCCCCTACCAACTCCCCATAGGCGTGCGCAGCATCCTACGCAACTCCCCCCTCGAATCAGCCTCGCGGCGCCGCTCTGGCTCCATCTCCGCAGGCACCAGCGGACCCGGCGGCGCAGGCGCACGCCGCGTTTTCTTCCCCGCCAAGAAACAAGTCAGCTACCGGAACCCACTCGAGGAGGAGATCCGCAACGAGCGCTACACGGCGCAGCACCTGGACCTGTTTCAAGAAGACGAGTCGACCGAGGCTGTGCACGGCGAGGCACACCCGGCGCCGGAAGAACCAACGCCCGAATCCGCCGAGGGCGACGACTCTGATTCAGCTAGTCTGCTATCACTTTCAGAGACGAGCAGTGCTTCCAGCGATGATGTGAGCCCGAATGACGGTGCCAACACACCGCTGTCCAAGACCGAGCGCAAAAAGCGGCGAACCCTGCGCGCAGAGCGACAAGTTCGAGCTGTCGCACTCCTCGACGGCTTCGATACAGATCCCTACGCTTCATCTACACCTCAGACTCCCCGCCAGGGCCGAGTCAAGCGCCGTCGTGAGTGGAAGTGGACACTAGGCCCCGTCAGCGCCATCTCGGACGACGCGCACGCCGAATTACCGGTGCAAATACCTGCGCCTCAGCCGGTTGATCCGCCACCTGAAAAGCCACCTAGCAAATGACTATATGGCTGGCAAACAATACTACCATTTTGCATATTTTCAATTCTTGCTTGCATAATGGCGATGCATATATACTATTCTGTTTGACGAATCATGTTCTCCATCACATATAGAGGCGCTGGTGGCTTTTTTCTTGTTTGTGGGTTAGCCCTTTCTGGAGGGGCATCTTATACTATTACATATATTACCTTCTATTGAGGACCAAGCTTCGATCTTGGTTCATTCTTCTCTTCTTGAATATAATTTATTTTTTACTTTCTCTTATCTTTCTCCTGGTCGGTGTTTATCTCAAAGCTCTGAATCCATAGTACGACTATGCCACACTTGTACTAATCATCAAGACAGCATTAGGGTAAAGGTCAAGCGCCGTGGCTGGCAGTATCCCAGAACTATGGCGTCATGCAATCAATGCTAGACAGCCACCCTGGCGGGAAGATGCACGAAGGGGTGCATAAGTGGTCTTGGCAAGTGACGGAGGATGCAGATGGAATTATGTAGCTTGTAGTTTGGCTGTTCCCCGCGAGTTGAGATCGGAGCCAGTGCTACCGACAACTTTGGTGTCCACATAGCCGAGCAGACCTTTGATCCTCAACTACAATAAATGATCAATACCCAGTACTCTCCGACGAAACTTCAAAAGATTTCATTCGTTACAAGTTTAACGATGTTCCAAAATATGAGGTTTGAACTCTTGATTTGTGCCACATGCCTGGAACTGATAGATAGAAAGTTAGCTCCACCTCAAACGGTGTACAGGACGTGTTTTCTCCGAGATGCCATGAGATAGGTCATTTCCGATAAGACTCAAGCCCTAATCTCCCAGCCCTAATTTCCTGTTCTGGTCATTGATTGATGATCGGCGGACTTAACTTCACGCGTCGGGACGCGCCTACCCCGGAGATGCTAATCTATTGTTGAGCCCCTGAGCGAGCTTCTGCTCAGCATCAATTCTCTTTCGCCCGTGTCGAGTCATCCACCCTCATTCAACTATATCAATCATGGTCAACCTCCAGGACCTCCCGCCGGAGCTGTTGACTCGCATCGTCTTCTTTGTCGCCCCGCTTAGAGGTCCTCTCCCACCTGGTTATCTTGAGGAAAAGCTTGCTCAGAAGCGTGACAACAATGTCAATGCGAGCGCCGGGGCCTGTGCTAACACCAATGGTATCAACAATAATGATACTCTTGACGGCGACGATGGTTGGGATGACGTGGACGAGATGGACGACCGTAAAGAGCCCAAGAAGGAAACGCTGTATAGCCGGGCGCACAGGGATCTACGGAATCTCTGTCTAACGTCGCACATGTTTCGAGACCTGGCGCAACCATTCCTGTTCTACAATTTCGAAGACACCGGTATGGCCGGCTTCCTCAGCCAAACCGTCGCTTTCACTCGGGCCCTCTACCTCCGACCAGAGCTCGGAGAGCATGTACGGGAGCTCGATATCATGTACCCCTTGGATGATGAGGATCGACCCAAGCCTCTTGCGGCTGAAGACTTGGCGCTCTTCGAATCTGCAATCAAGGATCTCCAATTGGGCGACAAGGAGAAGATCTGGTTGTCCGGACTCAAGCGCCTGGACCTCAGTGTCCTTACAGCTCTACTGATCAACAGAGCCCCCCATCTGCGTGAAATGTTTCTGCCAGCAGGCCAGGTCCGGATGGATCCAATCAGTCACCTTCTCGACCAAAATCCATCGTTGCTATCTGAACTCCAATCGATCTCCCTTGAAGGGGACGACGAAGAGCTCGATTTCGACCTTGCGCCTTACAACAAATTGATCACACTTCCCAAGCTCAAAGAGGCCAATCTTGAGTTTGGTACTATCACGAATGAAACATTCCCTGCGACCTGGGCACCAGGTACAATTGCTGCCGAAAAATTGTCATTCCTTCGTTGCCATATGGATGTCGTTGGCATGCAAAAATTCATACAAGCCTGCAAAAGACTTACATCCTTCAGCTATAAGAACTTTCGTATAGATTTACACGAGGAGATGCCAATTTCGTGGCGCAAGCCCGAGTTCAACGCTCCGCAATTTTATGAAGCTATTCTTTCGCACAAGGATTCACTTGAAAATCTGTTGCTGACGTTCGCCTACGATCCATGGGACCTGGAAAATCTGGAAGAGCACCTTGCTCGACGCGGCAAGCTGGGGTCGTTCCGCGATTTCCCCAACCTTGGGACCGTGTGGATCGCTCATGCTCTTTTCCCGGAGCATCCCGAATTCCCACCGTCCCTTAAAACGCTGCATGTCGCGGACTGCGAGTCGTCTATCCGGGACATGGTCGGCAATATTGCGGCAGACTGTCAAAAGGGTCTTTATCCGAACTTGACCGAGTTCAAGGTTTTCGCTCGCGATATCACCCGACCCATCAAACTCCCCGGGCAAGTCATTCCAGAGGGAAAGACCCCCGAGCAATGTTTTACCAGCCTTCGAGACCTATTCAAAGATACCAAAGTGGATTTCCAGATCGTGCCGGATCAATTATGGGGCTTGAGAGATCTCATGGCAGAGGATGATTATGAGGGCTACGGGAACTACGACGACGACGACATGGACTATGGTGATATCGACATGGATGAGTATGAGTTCCAGCTGGGAAGTGATTTTGGGCCCGAGCGAGGATTCGGACCGTCAAGTGGAGCTATTCTGAACGCTTTGGCGCGCGCTCTAGGGAATCCACACGCTGCTCATCCCTTTGACGACGATGGCGCAAGTGATAATTCTTGGGAAACGGAGGAGGATGACTGAGCTGGTAAATTTGGCACGGACTTCATTCATATTCCTCTTTTTTATTTTCCCTTCCTTTCGGGCTATGTCCAGATTTAATAATGACCTTATGAGACGACGTTATCCTTATTTGCAGAGTTGGAAGTGGCCATGATATCAGATGTTCTCTAGAGAAGATGAACTGTCATTCAGGAGTCAAAGCAGGCCGCCCGGAGCTTTAGAACATACCATTACAGGGGAATTATAGGTATCGACGGCTTTAGAGCATCGTTTGTCTAAACCTACGTTCAATTCGAGGATCCTCGAGAAACTAACACAGATGTGAGATATCCATATTCATAGAGGCATAAGCATCGTAATGTGTCACACAACCGCCAACCAACGCCTTTTACAGAAACTCTGAACCCGAATATACACCCAATCACCATCCAGCGGGTCTACTCAACTCGTGACATCTCGTGATATGTTCATCTTTCTCATGTCTCTGTCTCAACGTCCGGCTCGCGACCAGTCAGATCGCCCATCCCAATCTTCTTTTTCATCTTCCTCAGCGCAAACTTGGCCTCGTCCTTTGCAAACACAGCATTTCGCGCAGATTTCCACTGCATCATTCCACGTTGCTGACGCTGCTCACTTCGCTTATTGACCTTGTTGATCTGGCTCTGGCTTAGCTGGCTACTGCTAGCCCGCGATGATCCCGCGTCCGCGGTGGGACTAACAGTCGACGGGGTCCAGGACGAGGATGACTCTGTCTCGGAGTCATCCGAGTCGGAGGTAGCTTCACCATCGTGCGTATTCATCACCTGAGTCCCGTTCTGTGCGTCTGAATTGGGAGAAGACTGACCCTTCAATGGAGGCGGCGTAACAGGGTCATGCTGTGGCTCGTCGCGTCCAGGCTCAGCAACCTTATGACCATTAGAGTCTGTGTATGCGCGGGGGTCGTGACCGAATGCACCGCTCCAGTCATGACCGTCACGGTCAATCCACCGGCGTCGCTCGTTGGGATCAGCTTGCTTGAGGACATCGCGGCCATCAATGAGCGACTGCTTGTGTTTCTCTTGGGTTTCGCGGGGAACCTCGACTGAGACGCTGCGCGAGCGAACACCCTGCGACATGCAAGCTTCCCACGTCTCAAAGGTCTCGCGCGAGTCGTTATCAGTGACGAATTGCTCGTGCGACTCGTCGATGCCCGGGGAGAACTTGCACTTGAACTGCAGCCGGCCAACTTCGGTCAGGTCTTCCAGTCCAGGGACCTCCTTAGCTTTCCAGTTCTTTTCGGTGATGTAGTTTTGTGTGAGGCGGGCACCGCTCTTTGTTGTCCAGATTGGAATGTCGATGTCGGTTTCTTCGTTGTCGACTAGATGCTGGAGCCAGAGGACTGCGTATGCGGCTGCGCCCCGCTTGCCTTGGTTGTGGAACTCAAAGACAACTGGGGAACGGTATCTGTGCTTCACTGGCATGCGGAGGCTATCTCGGAAAGTCTCGTCGGAGATATCGTAGCTCAGATCGTTGCCATCCAGGTTTCCAGCCTTGCGAGTAATCTTGCCCGTGCTACCGCCAGTGCGTAGCTTGATCTTGCACTGTCGTCCATAGTCCTTGGCAAGGATCTTGTTGCTAACGAACTCGAAGGTGCCAACGTCCCAGCCCAGCATGTTTGGTGGGAGCTTGGTCTCAACGTGGCGAAGGAGAATGGAGATACGAATGCGTCCAAAGCCGACACCACCATCGAGAGGGTACCAGCGGGTGACCTGTGAGCTGGTCTGCAGAAGATCGGAGAGCTTGATGGGAACGACGCCTAGAATTGGGTCGTGTTCGCGATAACGCTGGTCTCGCACGGTGATGGTGACCACGGCAGATCGCCAGTCACGCACAAAGCGCTCTGTTCCGGCATTGAAGATGGGCTTGGAGCTCACAGCCTTCGGACGAGTGCGGTAGATCTATGAAGTTCTGGTTAATACATGACCTGAAAACACGGGGCGTAAAACATACCAACTGATCATTGAGCATGATCTTGCAATAACTGGTGGGCAAATGGTCGCCCTCTTCCTCGGTGTTCTCGCCGAAGGGCTTCGCAGGTTCATACTCCCTACCCTTGCGGTTCCCTTCACTGCCCTTGATGTTATTCAATTGAAGGTTCACGATCTGATGCACCACAATATGCACGATGCCGCTAGGCCAGATAGGATCCGGCGGGGTGTGCATAACAGCATCCTCTTCATCATTAGTGATAGTTCCCTTCTCATCTTCAAACCTTGGGTCTCCCTTAAGGTTATCAGGAAGATCCTTCTTCTTGCCATCTGTGCGCAGCTCGGGGCGCAACTTGGGCTTGCCAAAGTATCCAACTTCCCAGTGTAGCTGACCCGGCATCTCGCTGCCATCGTCTAGACCTTGCAGTTTGGAGACCTGAGGATACATGCGGCCGGGATGCTGGAGCATTTCCCGAATGGGTAGCTCAACTTTACCGCAGATATCGTCCGCCGTGTTACGGTCCGAGTCCCAGAGCTCAATGCTAAGGTTTTCATCCGCTTTGATCAGCTCCGGTGTGACAATAAGCGCAGCAGTCTCTTCCCAGATGGGGTTGAGGTCGTCCGTGATAACACGAGTGCAGTACATGGGCTTGCCATACTTTGAGAACGACAGGTTAATGTACGGGTCACTGCCACCACCTTCACTACCACGTCGGTCTTGCTTGCTCAGGCCAACTGCACGGTGAATACGAATCCACATGACACCAAGCGCTAGAGTATCCTTGTGGATATCGTCACCCTTTAGCATCATGCTAAGATCCATAGTCATCGACTTTGGGGCTGCGAACATGGCGCAGGCGGCACCGATAGCATAGTTGACAAAATTTGAGATCAAAGGAAGATTAAGAATGTTCACACCACGACGGATCATAGGCACGCAGCCTGCACGTACGTGTGGAATACCCACTAAACTGAAAGTTACCTCCTTCATGAATGGTGGCTCAGGCATCAATTGGAAGCGCAGTCGGACTGTACCAACCAGCTCGGTCAACTCGACAAAAACCGGGAACGGAACCCCAAATAGACCACGGATACCCAAATAGAAGACCAAGTGCATATGCATATTGCGAGCCTTCGACGAAGCAGATCCGCTACTAGGCTTTGCGTGGTATGCAAAAGAAGCTTCCATATTGTAGTAGCTCCCACCTTCTTCGGCGGCTGCAGCCTCTTGTGGATCCTTGTTCTTGATATTTTCCTCATGAATGTTATCTTTGAGATTCTGGACGTGCTCGTCGGGTAGAGCACGCATACTAAGGATTCGCAAGGGGTTGTTTCCTTGGTCTATCTCCGCAATTCGGACGTTCTCGACGACCTTGGGAGCGGATGCTTGCATAATATCTTCGATTGTGTCGGCCATGGGTGTCAACATCTCAGGATTCATAAGTCCCCACGCCACGGTCAGGAAGGAATTCATCCATTCGACAGATTCTGGAAGTAGATTCGCAGTGGCCTTTTGAGATTATCTTTGGTCAGCATGTGAAAATATCAAGGCATTGATTGAAAGAGGTGGGGATTGTACCATTTGACCGCGCATCTGCTCACTGCTCCATTCCATTTCCTTGCCACTCTTGATTACCTCTTGCACCCATAGCCAGACACCGCTCGTAACGCAAAATGCTAGCGGAATGAGTCCGAGGAGGGAGCCTCCAAAGGCCCGCCCGAGAACAATGATTGCAAAGGGAATTGCAATACATAGTGCTGTTCCGCGCTTCTCTAGTTGGTCAAACATAGGCTTGTATGAGACTGTGGGAGTAGGGTGGAAGAGGATGTTGGTCTTCTCGCCACGGATAGGAACGTCGGAGGTCGTGCCTTCGGCAATGGGATCAGGAGGAGCGGTGATGTCTTGCTTCTCCTTGTACTCGGAGAGCTCTTGATCATGGCTGGTTTTGTGTTCCTAAAGATCTCATCAACACTGTGCTTCAATACAAGTCATATGTTACGGATTTGTGCTCACAGTCGGTCGACCAAGATTGGCGTTGGGTACGGTTAACTGTGGAAATTGATCAGTCAATGGTATTCGTAAGGCCTATGGCAAGAAATGTGACAAACCTTTGGGTTCTTGACAGCTTCCATTGAAGAAGGTCCTTGATCCTCGACTCCAATCTCTTTTCCAGTTGTCGGATCGGTCACCATGCGAACATTGGCTTGAGCAACTTCACGGGCCTCATGGACCATAACCTCTGTTTGTGCTCCATCATCCGGTCTTCCAGACTTATATTGCTCTTGCTGTTTCAAAGCTGCCCGTTGCTTTCTGGCCTTGTTTTCTGCATCAATTCTCTTGTCCCGCTCCTTCTTCTCCACGTCGAGGCGCTCGATGAATTTCTGCACAGTAGGAATGGGATTGGCACCGCTCCAATGTTCACCAACGCGGTGGCGGTCGGGTTCACCAGTTCCCTGGCCGGTAGACGCCATTTTGGTCGTGCAACACGGATTCTAGGAACGCGTATATGCTGGGAGGTATCAGTGTGGTCGTGTGTAGGTGGAAGTGGTCAAGCAGGATTCCCTCGCGACAACCCCCACTTCGTGCAGAAGAAAACTGAGGAATTGGGCAACTCAAGCAAACGGGGAGCTGTCAAAATGATTGATATAGAACCCCGAGAGAAGCTGTCAGCCCATTAGGCCTGGCAGCCAGCGCGGCCAAAGCTCTCCCCAGAACTACGTCATCGGCAGCCGAGAACCCGGGAAATGTTATGACGATGCCAATCCCCATTGCGATTTACAATTGGCGGGTCCATCATTTATCTGCGGACTCTGAAGCCATAAATAAATGATCTACTTTCCTTCCCCACATCTCTTGGCTCCATACCTGCTGGGGGGTGTTGCCCTCTTCGTCCAGCCCAGCGGGATTCTGGTCTTGGCATGGTGAGTCCATGCAAGATAGCGGATTTCGCCAGAGAGCAGCTCCTGGAACTCTTCCTATATCTCATTAATTTGGTCTATGAAATTAGAATCTCGCAAATTTATTAGTACAAGTATCACCAAGGGAAAAAATTATAAGATTTTGCATTCGTGATTGACCATCCGCTGGCTTCAAGGAGAGAGTACAACAGTACAACCAAATGATGTCACCAGAATCCCTTACGATGATATCAATGATGCCTATCACGCATAATACACGATTTTTATGTCACCAAAGAGCATTCTAGCCACATATATCCCTCGCTGAGGACTCTGGATATTCAACCATGTTCGTTGCTGAGGCCCCCGCGCGATTGTGTTGTACAGACGTCGGATGTATCACATAGGTGTCGATATTTCAACCGTCGATCTGCTAGTTCAGCAATCGTCATAACATCTTTTGAGTGCATTACCATCATCCACTAGGTAGAGAAGAACAGCTCTATCAATTCTAGAACCTTGTAACTGGCTTTGCGCGGCCCTGGCGTGTCGCACCGCAAGATTTGCAAGGCCATCGGGCATCTTACGCCCCATTGATCAGTCGCTGGATAATTAGTAGGCAGCTATAGGTATGCGGGGGAACATGAGAAGATACTAGCCACCTGAGAGCCCTGTGGAACCTTATGAAGAAGGTCCACGTCCTTGTTGGAATGTAGAAGCTATAGGTAGGTGTTTAGCGATATATCTACGTAGGGGTTCGGCTGAGATCCACAAGTCCAGACATGCCTAATGGAAATCAATTAAGATCTCAATCACAAGGGTACCGATATATTGTTGATATTTGAAGGCAGAGATCAGACTAAACCTAAGCTAATTTCCGTCCAATCGTTTAGATAGATCTACTCGAGGTGGATGAAGTGTGGTGATCGAGGATAGAGCAAGCTCAACCTTGACAGCTGGGTTTTAGTGGAGTGATAGCTGTGCTTATCGCCACGGGACCTTCTCACCTCCGCCCACTTTCGGACTTCACCTCGTCACTTGCGATCGCACATCAGCCACAGTATCTCCTTTGCATCACCAGCCAGTGGATTCCTGACGCCTATTCGCACCTAGACTCCTTTTGCGAGCCACTGTGTACCGTCACCCATCAGCAATGTCTACTCCCGAGGAGTCGCCCGCCCAGCGCGCCGCCCGCCTGCGACGTGAACGCCGTGAGGCGAAAATCAAAGAGAGGAGGCTCAGCTCGCCTGGACAAGATTACTAGTCTCAGTGGCCGTACTCCCCAGTCAGGTAGGTCTTGAAACATGTGATTCAGATACTCCGACGCCTTAACCGCCTAGGCTGTCTCAATGTGATGCCATGTGGCTAACGGCTTGGTCCCATACAGTGCGCGAAGAAGCTTCACCATCTCCCCAGCTTGCAGTCTCGCCATCTCCTTCTCCCGTACCACAAAGCCGTCCAGCATCAGCTCCTCAACCAGATATGCCGTCCGCAGATTCCCTCCAAGCCCAACAAGAAGCCTTCCGTGCCATGTTGCGACAGGTGGCCCCAGATCAAGGACAACAGAATGATGTCGAGGACCCAACACTGAAGCTACTGGAGAATCTCTTGGGCGCCATGCCTGGTAGTCCCAATGCACCCCCACCCGGCGCTCCAGGTGCCCCAGCGGCCCAGGGTGCTCCGGGCGCTATGCCTGGCCAGTCGGCGGCAGGATTCTCCCCTGCTGCCATCGCATCTGCACTCGGTGTGCCACCATTCCTCGCCAACATGCTAGGTGGAGCATCTCAACCGCCGACTGAGCAGGAGCAGAAGACTGTAAGGATATGGAAGGGCCTACATGTCGTGTTCGCGCTTGCGGTGGCCATCTATCTACTGTTCATCATTGGGGCATCAGTTGCGACCTTCGGTAGCCCACCACCGAAGCCCGCTACTGCCCAAAACCCGTTTTTGATCTTCGTGACTGGCGAGATGGTCCTTACTGGAGGACGGGTGCTTTTCGGTGGGAAACAAGCGGGGCTTGGGATGGTGGTGCAGCTATTCAGGGACATTGTTCGAGACGGAAGTCTCGTACTGTTTGCGCTTGGTCTGGGTGCTTGGTATACCCGCGAGTGGCAGGCTGTTGCTTAGGAGGCTTTCGATTTGATTGATTCAAAATTAGCGTGGCATGAATGATTGACCTCTCACGATATGAATTGTAGATCATTCCTGTATGAAACGGAACTCCTCAGTTTGGTGCAAAATAAAACATATATGCTTTCGAATTTACGCTGGTTCAAATTATCATTTTAGCCCCCCAGTCTTGTCTCCCAATAGAAGCAAAGTGGGAACGGCGCTCTTAATCGCTTTGCGTCCTTTATCCTATGTCAGGTTCATATGACCAGGATATTATGAGAATTTCATTATTCGGAGCCTTCTTCATCGAATACTACATACAGCAGGCTTTGCCAACGCGAGCCGCACTCGTTGTCTATTTCTACATGCAGAGAACGCGGCCCTTTGTTCAAGTCGAGGGACTGGCGATCGCCCTCTGAGATGGCAAAACAGCATTCCGGAGAACGCCCATGGTCGCCGAGTCCAAGCCCCAGTCACCAACCCATTGATCCATGCGTGCCCCATTCCTAAAGTGCTCCGCCAAGTGCTGAGCTCGAACGGCCCATGTAGGCATGGTAATCTCGCAGAATCCGCACCGACTTTGAACATTTGTCCCCGTGCCACGCCATGCATCAAGGTCTGGAGCGGGGGGTTTGGTGCAGGCATGGAACTTTCGCAGGTGCTGCCATAAATAATCTTTCCGGCTGAATGAGCGCTCGGCTATAGGCTTCTCAGCACAGATCTGGAATTCATGCTCTTCCCAGTGATTAGGCGTCGGGAATGGTGTATCGCAAAAGGAGCAGCCTACTAGCTGAACACTCCATTGCTGTTGTAGCTCGATGAGATTCGGTGTACACACCCAAGAATCCAGTTGAAGATGAACACTCTTTTCATGGCGGGTCCAATCATGTCGTTTTTTGAATGACTGCGTGCAGAAAGTGCACTGATATTGGTGTTCTTCTCCGTTGGATTGTTGGCGTGAATGCCCACGGCGACGAGGTCGTCTTGCCTGTGAAGGTCGTGGGAATGAGCTTCTTCCCCCTTCCCCACCCGACTGATAGCTCCATGCAGACGAAACGCTGTCCGAAGTCTCCGAGGCCCTACTCCCCACACTCGAGATAGATGATGCAAGATGGGAGGATGTCTCGTCGAAGTTGAATAGATCCATAGGAGAGCGATCAAATTGGAACGGGTCCATCAGAGCGTCGGAATCACCAGAAGCTATAGCTTCTTGGATGGCTGATTCAGGGACAGACTCGTCCTCTGGTGGTGATGCTTGCCATCGCTCCATTGGAGTCATGGAGCTCAGCGTGCTCGTGACGAGAGGGGAGCCGGCCCGGATGCAGGTGGTAGATGCAAGATTGTGTGATTGAATTTTCTGCTTTTGCCGCCGGCGAGCGTTGGCAAACCATGTAGACAATCGCTTTTGAGAGAAGCCTGTCTCACGAGAGAGTCGGGCTTTCTCATCATCATCGGGATAAGGAAATTCCTGGTGCTGATAGAACCATTCCCGTAGGACTCGTGCACCCTTCCGAACGAATTGTTTGGATTCTTTTCGTTCCTCTCCATAATGAGAGTTAGACAGCAAATCTCCATCCTGATTATAATAGTCAGCCGTGTCACTTGATTGATTCTATTCTGGGCACTCACGATATTCTCCGTGTGCTCAGGCAGGCCATGCAGATGGCCTAAAACTGGGGTGTAGGTCTCAAATCCAGCTGCGACACGCTTTTCTCCCTTGGCAAGACTGCACTCCCGGAACAAAGCTACACAGCTTGAGCATGACGTGACCGGGTTTGGATTTGCCGATGTAGTGCGTAAAATTAGACACTGAAGCCGGTGTTTGCGACAATGGCTGCAAGGGACTGGGGGGCGGTAAGCTCCATCAAGCCACTGGGAAACATTTCCAATACTTCGAAGGTGGAGTTCAGAAGTAGAGCTCCCATCCTGTAGATCTTGAAAGGGTTGGGTTGAGATATGGCCTGTGTGAGGCTCTGCGTTATTCTCCCCGGTAGGCGACGTGAGATCTTGATTGGTTTCAAGACCCGCCCATTGGGGCCAATCTAGATTGGTGGGCTCGGACGAGCAAAAATAGAAATCGTTCAAGGCACTCCAGTCAGCAGTAGGGTCATCCAGTGCCCAGCCCCCAGGAATTTCGGATTCGAGGATGCTCTGTAGGCCCGAGTCTGGCAGTGACTGTGGCAACTGCCGGGACGACGCAGGGTCGGAATGTTGTTGCGAGTCCATGGGGAACGGGTTCTCAGCACCTCTCCGGTCGATTTCGTAGAGACGCATGTCCGCCTTTTGGCTTCAAACCACGAAATATCCGCTCTTCATTTGAATAAATTGCATGTGACTCTTTGGCGTCGTGATATTCAACCTTGTATGTCACTGACTCATCCCCGCTAACCCAAGGCGGTTAAGGACACAGTGGAGTTATCCCCCAAGTCATGCTTAGTCAGCATGTACTCCTGAGACGGTACCGGAGCAGTTCATGCTTATATTGAACTACAGTAACTCTATAATCAGGTGAACAAGATGATACGAATAAAGATGGTGAAAGATGGAAAAGAGAAAACAAAAATGTTCTAAATATGCGATAATAGGAATAGAGGCTAAATAAAAGGTAGCAACGCGTAGATGGACAATAGAGACTAAAGAGGAAACAAAAAAGAAAAATCTAAAAGAAAACACTTAAGGAAAGACCGAGAGAAAAAGGAAAGAAAACATGGTAAAATGAGGTACTACCAGCATTCTGACTCCTTGAAATGCTCAAAGTGTTGAAACGGTACTTGCAACTCAACAAGGGTCTCTAGAAACGGAATATTAGTGATGAGCCTTGAAACCTCAAGTGCAGCCCATTGCCAGACTTACAATTTAGAAACACCCCCTCTCACTCCAATGTAGTGACATAATGCAATGGCCAAAGGTGCTCGTCAAGTTGCATCAATTTCGAAAATAGCATGAAACAAATCATCCGCCCCAGGAATAGTCGGCTCCCCCATGGTATTTCTGTCTGATATTTGGAGACAAGAGAAATTCCAAAGCCGGCATCTTAGCTTTTTCCAGATTTCACCGGTGCTGAGCCTTTTGTAGACTCAGATTTGACTGTGGTATTTGAGCTCGCTTGCGGCTTCGATCCTGAGGTTGGCTTGGCTGTTGAATCGCCAGTCGATGTCCCAGAGGAAGGGTCGTTCGAGCCAAAAATGGCCAGATGAGAGGCACCGATGAGCATGTTTTAAGTATATGTAGAAGCAGGTTCTTCCTTTTTGCTTTCTCTCTGTACCCGAGAGTTCAATATATCATAGAAAAAGAAGTTTGGGGGGGTTTGTGATATCCCAATTAGCTTGACGAGGAGCATTATATAGTACACTCCCTTCAAGCAATCTTGAGATATCTAATTGAAAATAGGCGCTGCGTTGCGATATGCTGAAATTGTCTCAAGTGATGTCCTACTTACATTGAATTTGCGACATCGCTGATTCGCCGCCGGAGTGAGGTTGGGGGCCGGCTTGATCTATCAGGAACCAATACGAACGATGAGACTTGGGGTGGCTGAATATTTCTGATCTAAATAAAAGCTGACATAAAGATAGTCTCAGAAGCTCGGCCCCATTGGACCCATGGTTCATCGCGAATCAGGGACTGATACGCTTAAACTTTGATACCACTTCCTATGATTCACGGGTTGGCGGCGGATTAGGCAATCCATACGCCTCGTGGCCTCTTCGCATAACTGATGAGCCTTGGAAATCGCCTTTTGGCCAAGCGAGAGCCAACAGTGGCCATGTTCCAAACGAACATGGCCCTTTGCCGGCCTTGTTTCATTTTCATGGTGTCTCGGAGAGTAAAATTAGTATAAACTTCCTTCAGTTGCAGCCCTACAGTTGGCTAGGCCAGCTACCGCCAAGGATGCTGTTGAAGTGGTAGGATAAATCGACCATGACAACAGATCATTGGAGCGGCTGAGCTATATGACCTGTACAACTTCTCATATATTATTGGACCGAACTATTTCGTTACTTTCCTTGGCATCCCATAGCCGATTAGAAGGATGAGACTAGTCAGATTGTCGCGGGATGATGGTCGATCGTGCCCTAAAAGAAGTAATACGCCGCGGCCGACAATCAGACCTTAGAAATAGGCATGGGTAAAGACTGTTATTTTCACAGCACAGAATGCGAGATGGTCGTTAGAAAGGAGCGCACGATATTTAATTTTCTAGACATTGTCATTTCCATTCTATACAAAAATGTCATCGCTTACCATGGACTCCTTCCTGGGCTGGACAGGGAATTCCTGTCAATATCAAGTGGAGGAGGCTTCGCCAAATTTTGTTCTTAGTTTTCTTCCATTTAAATGGGGACGTCGTATCGTTGGCTATTACCCGTTACCGAGAAGCTGCACGAACCTGATGATGCTCTTGCAATGTTGGATTTGGTGATTACATCAAGGAGACTTCAATATTGCATGACCTCAATATTGTACGATAGAATTGGGCCGTCTACGCAGATGAAGAAACTAAAACCCTCCTCATATATCAACAAAGAAGCTCGCAAAAGATAAGGCAGCGTCCACTTTACCGCTTTGGGACCCCGACGGGTTCACGTTGAACCCCACACCTTGAAAAGATTGAGTCCCAGCTGCCAAATTGCCGTATAATCCATTCTTTCCAAGCTACCATAGCCAACTTTCAAGGTAAATCATGACAGGATTATCTCAGCATATCCAAAAAGTCCTTGGGAAGGTGCCATCTCTCTATCACGGACCTGGTGGGGCCGTTGCGGTACTGAGGGACGGTGAACTCGTTGGCCAACATGTTTGGGGCTACGCAAACCTCGAACAAAGGATACCCATGGAGAGCTCTACACTCATGCCGATCTGCTCGATTACGAAACAAATGCTATGCATGATCCTAGTGGACCTCGAACGCAACCCTACCCCGGAGATAGCGAAACGGGGAGACGTGCGCCAGCAGCTAGCAGACAGTCTGAAAGAGGTAGTCAAAGTGGAGATTCTTGAACATACTGGACTAGATATTGAAGACCTCTGCAACAATCAGTCCGGAATTCGCGACTACTGGGCCATGTCCATGTTTTGGGGTACTCAGCCGGACGGAGTATTCACACTGTCTGAAGATGCCAAGAAAGCGCTTGGTCGGACAAAGTCGCTGCATTTCCAGCCAGGAACACAATACGCTTACTCCAACCTCAATTTCCATATTCTCGCTCGCGTTATTGAGAGAGTGGCGGGGTCCACGATTGAGGATCTCCTGACCGAGCGGCTGTTCTCTTCCGCCCGCATGTTGACTGCCGCGTTTTGCGAAGATAATGCACATCTCCCTAGACCTTGTGTTGGATATGAAGGCAATGGGTCATTTGGTTTTATACCGGCTGTCAATCGTGTTCAGTGGTCTGGCGACGCGGGTGTGGTAGCTTCGCTGGAAGACATGATTGCTTATGAGCAGTACTTGGACAAGTCCTGGTTTGAAGAGCAGAGTCTCTATCGCGCAATTGCAGAACCACCGTTGTTCAAGGATGGGACGCCTGCAAGATATGGACATGGCCTGGCTCATGTGAGAGTTGGAGGTGTCGATACAATTGGTCATGGAGGCTCCCTGCGAGGGTTCTGTCTGCATAGACTCCAAGCACCATCCGAACGTTTGGCGATTGTGGTCATGCTCAACCATGAAATCGATGCTGAGATCATAGCTGAGTATATTATGAAAGATGTTCTTGATTTAAATCAACCGAATTCATCAACCACTGGTGATTTCGGGGTCAGCCATAGCTGGCTTGGGACATTTTTCGATCCCGAGGCTCAACTAGCCCTGACTGTCCGCGAAGACGGCCCTAATCGTGTGAGCATCCGCTACGCAGACCACGATGAAACGGCGGTTCTCTTTGATGTGAATAAGGCAAGCTCAGGAACGATGTCCGCAATCTTCAGTGATGATTCGATTCAGCTTCATCGCCAAGATGATAACCGAGTCGTCAACGCGAGGCGCATCCGGAAACCCGAGGAGCAGATCAAGACAGATTATGTTGGACAATATCGGTGTGCTGAGATTGATTCAGTCTTCACCTGCTCTGGAACAGGAGGCATGTTGTATGGATCGTTTGAGGGCTTCTTGGGCCATGGCCCTATGCACTTAATGCGATATCTAGGGGAGGATATCTGGTTCCTCACGTGTCCGCGAGGTCTAGATGCTCCTGCACCTGGAGATTGGACTGTTGTCTTTGAGCGGGATGAGAATGGTGCAATTGTCAGCGTTGTCATGGGCTGTTGGCTGGCAAGGAACGTCCAGTTTGACAGGCTATAAACGCTCTCTATCTGTATTCTATAGTAACGAGAGACTAATTACAAAAGTCTCGTGCGAGGCGAGTGAAAGCCTTCTCCATCTCTTTCAAGCTTTGGACTTCAACCCACTCTTCCTTGCTATGTAATCCTGCGCCTGTAGGGCCGAAAACGATTGATGGGATTCCGGCTTGGCCCAAAAAGGCTGCATCACACCAAAATGGTACACTTTGCACAACGGGCTTAGTTCCAAAGATGGCAGTTCCACATTCAACCGCCTTCTCAACGAGAGGATGATCTGTAGCAAGCTTCTGAGTGGGCCGGGACATCGTGATTCGAGGATCGGCGTATCGGAAGTGAGGGTTTTCCTTGGTGATTTCCCGAAGTATTGTAGAGATGTCGCCGAGGATGGACTCTTCTGATTGAGCTGGGACAGTCCGAAACTCGACAGTAATCGTGCATTTTCCAGGGTAGGAGGACGGCTCTTCGCCGCCTCGAATCAAACTGCAATGCATTGATGCTTGCCCGAGAAGGTCATCCACCGGTAGCTTGGCTTGATACTGGTCGAGAGCCCGCAAGAACCATCCAGCGTGCAGAATGGCATCGACTCCTGCAGATGGGTCGGATCCGTGAGCAGCAACACCCAAAATATCAACCTCGATCCATACGAAGCCTTTGTGTGCAGTCGCAATGGCTTTCATCGTTGGCTCAGCAACGACTGCTGCATCGGCTCTCCAGCCAGCAGCCAAAATGTCCTGAGTTCCTTGAGAAGCGTCTTCCTCGTCGGACACGGCAGCGACGATAATATCGCCCCGCGGAACTTGACCACTGGATTTAATCGACGACAATGCAGCCAGTGCAGCTGCCACTCCACCTTTCATATCCAAGCTGCCTCTACCGAAGACAACATCTTTGCCGTCTTTCAAGCCCAATGCTCCAGAAAGCGGGTCTGCTTCATAACTAGACAGGCTGACTGTGTCAATATGTCCATTGAACATGAGAGATTTGCCCCCGCCAGTTCCCCGAAGGACACCAACGACGGACGGCCGGCCAGCGACTGGCTCCACGCGGTGGAATTCGATGTCGCGGTGCGCAAACCATGCCGAAAGATAATCTGCAATTTCACTCTCACCCACACCATCGCTGACGGACAGTGTGGGGTTGGAAGAGTTGATCTGGGTGAGTGTTTGTGTCAAGCCCACCACATCTTCCACGGAAACATCGCGTGGGAGAGGATATTCGCGTGCACCTTCGGTGCTAAGAAGGACGACAACGGAATCCTTGTTGAGAATGTAAGATCCGCTCAATTCTGCACCTAGCCGGCGCAATGCAGCCAAAGATGCGCCGCCACAAGGGCCAGCTGGAACCGACTTGGAGGTAAGCAGCTGGACAGCGGCATGACTCTCATAAGACGAGACCGTGACAGACGCATCGACAAGCCGCTGTAAATCCGGCCATGCAGTCATCGAGACAGTGCCACAGTTCATTCCGTCCATGATTGTAGAGGTTGTCTCCACGCTGACTGACTTTCCCGCTTGTAAACTTTTGGACAAACAAGGAGCAGAGTCCGGCTCAACGGCAACGACCGACACGGGGGTCTTTCTAGACTTGCAATGTCGCACCACTGCATGTGCGAAACTACCGACCCCAACCGGCGTGACCATAACAGTGGTAGTGAGCCCGAGTTGAGCGACTTGTTGCTCGGCCTCATTCATCATGGTCGAATATCCCTCCACAATCCATGCAGGAACACTTTCGTATCCTTCGAATGCAGTGTCTTGAATCAAGAGAGCACCAGGGAGCTTAGTTGCCCTGTCTGATGCCTCATAGACTGCTTGATCGTAGCATCCCGGCGATATCACAACGCTGGCGCCTTCCCCCGCAATGAAGCCGCGGGTACGCTCGTCCATTGACCGAGGAACGAAGATTTGCGCATCGATTCCCAAAAGCCGGGCCATGAACGCCACAGCCCTGCCATGATTTCCTTCTGTCGCTGCGACAAGAGTAATGGCGCTCGCTTTTGCGCCCGTCGAAACTTCATCTAGAGATGCAGTTGGCGGCAATCCAAGCTGCTGTGCAACGGCACGGAAACACCCCCACGATGCGCCCAGAACCTTGAAAGAAGGCAGGCCGAAGCGATCACTCTCGTCTTTGACGAACACGGCCCGAACTCCCAGTTCAGCTGCAAGCTCTGGCAATGGAACCAATGGAGTCGGAGAATAATTGGGCAGCGACTGATGGAATTTCGTGACGGCGCCCGACTGTGGCTCTTCACAGCGTTCCGTCGCAGCGGGGGAGTTGATATAGATCGGTCGTCTCGACGACATTATGCCTCGGTGTTTGCGGTTGTCGTATCAGTATGCAGGGCGGTCTCTTCCAAATGGTGGCTGAGGCTCTATTTTATGGTTAAACGCTGCGCCATCTCCGATGTCAAGTGGCGGCAACATTGGTTCGAATGCCTTCCGAGAACATTGTCCCGCGCCTTCTCACAACATAATCCGCCGAGAGAGTGGATCTTGAACCCACAACAGTGGACGCCTCAACATTGATACGAAGGTTTCGCGGCCGGACCCCGGTTATACGGCTTTTTTAGTCACTAGATTGTGAAAAGCGCCTGGATAAACAGCATCCTTGGTAATCGGCTATACTATGAATTTCTACTGGTATTGAGAAGTCGGGTTTCGAACCCAAGGGATCTTCAAATGAACATTCCAAATTACAAGTTGCATTTTCCTAGAAGCTCAATGGTTATGGACGCTAAAATTTCTGAATTTAACTTTCTAGATTGAGCGCACGCTATTTCGTTGTCTTTACGCATTCAGGGCGCTAGTCTGGTCATAGTGCACCACAGCCTCCAGCAGTGCCTGGGTTCCAAGAGCACTATGGGTACTGGTTAGAAATGAAGCGAAATAATAAACAGTCGAAGGTCACTTACCAGTCCTCTGGAGTACAATATTCGGTCGGATGATGGCTCACACCGTCCCGGCAAGGCACGAAAATCATGGCCGACGGACAGTGCTTGCTGGTATAAACAGTGTCGTGACCAGCACCGCTAGTCATGTACATCGACTTCTCAGGCCCAACAAGACGATCGGCTGCTGCCTTGATCGATTCGACACAACCTTGATCAAACTTGACGGCAGGCGAGTCCGTATCCAAAGTCCAGTCGAAAGAAACACCCTTGCCGTCCTCGGAAGAGATATTGGCAAAGGCGTCAAGGCACTCTTTTTGCACAGCATGCACAGTGCTGTCCTGAGGGTGTCGAATGTCCAGAGTGAACGTCACATCAGATGGAAGGGTGTTGGTAGACGCATTTGACGGCACTCTGATAATACCCGTAGAGGCCAGCGCATCGTGTCTCTTAGCGATTGCGTTCGAGACAACAATCATCTTAGAAGCTGCGAGCATAGCATCGTGACGAGCACTGAGAGGTGTCGTTCCAGTATGAGCATCCTTACCCTGGACAGTGACTGTCAGCCATCTGTAACCCTGAGCACCCTGTACAATGCCGATTGACCGTCCAGTTTCCTGGAGAATGGGTCCTTGCTCAATGTGTAGCTCGAAATGAGCACCCAGTGGGAATCCCGCAGCTCCATCGCTCGAGCACGCAATGTCGCCGAGATAGCCATGTCGCTCAAGCTCAGAACGCAGGGTCACGGTTGGATCATGAATATCACGTAGGTCCCACGCTTTTTGAATTGGAATCGCCCCAGCCCAAACTCCAGAGGAGCACATTGACTTTGGGAATCGAGCTCCTTCCTCGCTGTTCAAATTAAAGATCAGTTATGCTATCGTCGATGGAAGGGAAGAACGGGCAAACGAACTTGGTCCAATTAACGATGCCGACATCATAGTTTGTCTTGAAATTGTTTTCTTTCATCGTCCGCAAAACTTCCAGTGCGGCCATCACGCCCAAAATTCCATCATAGCGACCGCCCCGAGGTTGAGTATCGAGATGGCTACCCATGGCAATCATCGGCGCAGAAGACTTCATCGACCCTGACTGTCGGGCAAACATGTTTCCCATCTGGTCCACAGAAAGCGAGCATCCCAGCTTTTGCACCTCGTTTGCAAACCACTTTCGTACTTTGGCATCGTCATCGCTAAGAGTTAGACGGGCCATCCCTGTCTCCGTGGGACGGCTGCGCACGTGTAAGTTTCGATATGTTTAAAAGGAAATAGGCAGACAATACATACCCGCCATATCTATGTGCCGCGCCCCATTCGCATGTTTTGTGTAATGTCTCCCAAAGACGGTCCTCATTGATTTGGAGGCTTGATGTGGAATAGAATCTAGGGGGTATGGAAGATGCCCTTGGCGCATTGAAGCGTAGGACGCGTGTTGCGCATTTTGTTCCGTGCATCTTGATGAACAGGTCGAACGTCTAGTTGTAATTAAACCAAAGGGACCAGAGTCTCTAGAGCGGCGATGAAGTATTTATTGCGACTCCTCAATCCTGGGCTCGGCTTGTTGACCCCTTGCCGGCCTTTAGTTGCCGATATGTAAACCTGGCAGAGCGCCTTCTCTCGACAAGGGTGGGTCGAAGACGACAGAAACGAGCGTTTCCACTCAAGAATTCCTTTTGGGAATTGACGAACTGCCATCAAGTGAGTGGCGGAGGAGACGGTGGAGGGCGGACCCTTCGGCTTGTCACCGACGGCGCCTTCCCGCGACATCTTCCGTCTTGAAGATTCTTCGAACTCCAACGCCAACTCAAATGATGATTTCGAAAAAAGGATCTTCAAAACGTGGGCCATATTTTAGAATTTTTACTTTGATTTCTCGTGATCAAAGAAAAATGACTAGAACAAAGAACCAAGATTGGGATTCTCGCATTGCCACAAACAGCGACATAGTTCAGGTAACGACTGCTGGTATGTACAACCCGAAATATCTCAGAAAAGACAAGTATAGCGAAATCTCCAAGCCTCTAAGCATGAATGACGGCTTTGATAAACTCCCAACCCAATTGAAATCATCAAAAACCGACCAGATAGCAAGGATAACATCAAATTCTCGTGAAAAGTTTACCGAGCATAACCTTTTCCCCGGCAGCAGCTGCCAAAACACTGATCTCCTGGGAACGGTTAATACTCATGAACAATCTAATCAAGGTGCAGGAATACCGTTATATGGAGTCGGCGCAGTCTCTTGAGGTCCCCTAGATGAAGAATATGTGCCCCTTGAAGATTGCTCACTGATAATCGGTTAGAGGAATGACGTCATGTTATTCGAGCACCTTACTCCAATGTTCTCATAGAATCAGTATCAGATCTGGAATCATTTGTTGGAATAATAGCCCGCATTTTAGCCTTAAGGCTCCTTGCTCTTTCTCTGCCGATCATCTTGGTCTGTTGTGTTGTGTTGTACTGAGGCAAATTGCAATGTTGAAGAGTGGCCAAACTTGTTCAACTCGGGTATAACAATATGTCTAACCTCACGAGATTATTGCTGCGGCTTGAATCTCTGAGTGTATGCCTGGGCGAGATCTCGTTCAAATATGTGCCTGTGAACGCCACTGTGGTACACAAGATTCGGATCTGCACATAGTGACATGATTGTGGAGAAAGATCTGGGGAAGGATGCTTCGGCGAACGCCGACATCCACGGGAAACGATCTAATCTCATATAATATGCCAGGCGCCTTCAGTGAAGTCTTCGGCGACCTCCCCTTTGATCAACAGCAGATCAGACAGATGGAGCTTATCTTTCATCCGAAGTGAAACGATCATAATGGTGATTGGCCGTGGAAGATACCTCATCATAAGATCGTAGTCTCAACCTTCCTCACTGAGCTTCACCTTAAGTAATTGGCGACGTGTGCCTAGCATCCTTTTACCTAATTGAATCCTATCGGTGGTGACTTAGATCCGTCTCATAAAGAGGCTACTGTGGCATCCACTGAAAAAGGAGTTTGCCCATATTGAATGTGGTATCACTTAAATTCCATTTCTTATCATCGAACTAATTTTCAAAACTTGGTCTTAAACGACCAGCCTCGACAAATTCCACGAGCCACAGCAAACGCAACAGCAGCCGCCAGATAGAGAACTCCACCGAAGATAATCAATCCCCCGTACTCCCCTCCATCCCGCCGCAGAATCGCCCCTGCAATCGGTATGCCAGTCAGAGTACCAACACTGGAGATGGTGAACGTAGTCCCGTTCCTCTTTCCATAATCTTCCGTGGCACATACTTGAGAAATACACACCGGCGTAAGACTGATGGCAGCTCCACTCCAGAAGCCAAAGAGCACGGCATAGCAGATGATCGCTGCTAGATTATCACTTGCGCTAAACCAAAGTGCAAGAGTAAGAATTGCGCAGACAATCGATGTCAATACCATCATGTTGAACCGACCAACTCGGTCGGCCAGTAATCCTGGCAAGAAGCGTCCTGGGATAGCTCCAAGATTGAGGAAGGCTATAACGAGATAAGACATGGTATCTTCCACGTCGACATGTATCGCATAAGATGCAATATATGTGATCGGAATGAAGACTGCAAATTCTACCAAGAAGATTGCGACTGTGGTAGAAGCATACTTGACATCCTTCAACGCCTTAAAGTCCACAGATGTACCTGCCTTGAGGTTTCCGGGAAATCTGGTCTTCAAAAGCAAGCAAGCAACGGCACACATCAGCGCGCTGAGGAAGGCGATGATACGTATAGCCCATGGAAATCCGATCTTGGGTGCTGCAAAAATAATAATCAAAGGGAAAATCACACCGCCGATCCCACCAGCTGTGCTGGCGATACCGGTTGCGTAGCCTCGCCGAACATTGAACCAGTGACCAACCACAGTGATGGCTGGATTGAAAAGGGTGCAGGCAGATAGCCCACCTAGCACGCCAAAGGAGAGGAAGATTTGGTAATATTCTGGCAACTGTGAGCTACTTGTGACCTTGGCAGATTGGCCACCACATACCTTCGCTGAAACTCAAGCATATTAAAGAAACAACCATTGCGAACGACCCTGGGATAACCACATAATTGGGGCCATATGCATCGAATATCGGCCCTGTTGATCTAGTCAATATCCAGGAATAATTTAATAAAGAACTAGATGGCTGACCTATTTGAGCACCAGCAAAGTAAAGGAAAAACCCATATGCGCCAAAGATCCATCCAATACTCGACTCCGAGTAGTCCTTCAGTTGATGGGTGCTAGTCCACGCATGAAGAATACCAAGGCTATTCAATAAGCCCATAGACGGTATCATCGCGCACCATGCTCCAAGTACCACCGACCAGGCCTTGAACCCTCCCTCCGGAAAATCGCTTTCTTCGCTTCCTTCTGAAAGGCTAAGGAGCTGACTTGGATCTGGAATCTCGGTCACCTCTCCATCGTCTTTTGTTTCACTAACTTGTATCGCCATGATATGTCCGTTGCTTAATTCAGTGTGAATAGTGAGACGAGTTTATCATTTTATAAGCTTCAAGGCGGTCATCTTGAGCTGAACGTCCGTGATAGACAAAATCTTCCTTTGAAGTGTGGGGTCTGTCTGTCTTATCTTTACCGATTTGGGGGTTTATCAGCGCAATTTCTGGGCGATATCTCAGCGAATTTGAAACCCCATTGGTTCGCTGAGTGATGCATTCATACTAATTGAAATTTATATTCAGATTCTCCAACCAGGTAATCCTCACTGACACTATAGAAAGGTCCAAGTGGGCGCCATGGAATCTCTACTTCCGGCGTGGGTTTCTCAGATTGTGCCTTGGGTATCCCTCGGGATAAGGCGATCCGAATCAGATGAGACTGATTAGAAATGCTCCGGTTCCGCTTTGAATCGTGCTGCATATAATTCGATCATGGGATGCGGGCACTCATGGATAGTGGATCTGCAGCCTAGATGTCGAAATTGTGATTGCAGAACGCCTTCTAAGAACATTCTAATCGGGTAGTCCCTAGGTTCTGATTAATCAGACCGTCGGTTCGTGAGCCGTCTCGGGAAATGTCTCTAATTGGTAATTCACGTCATGCCGATTCTGACAGAAATAAGGTTGTCCTCTTAGAAACTTTCGAACCTACTTTAGGTACTAGCGGCAAAGGCAGCGTCGAGTTCCAGAGTAGCAGAGCGCTCTGCTAAATGTTGGCGTGAAGGTGATATGCTCGTTAATGTCCATTGCAGATATAGCCAACAAGGGCATGTTGAGAATAAAAATACTATTCTCGAAGAGTTTTTGTCACTGAATCCCCCGGACCTTTGATGGAACATCTTATCCGTCTTGTCTTTTCAAGCGCAAGAAGCAAGTCACCTTTGCTAATTTGGTGGACTAAAATCACAGCACAAGCGAGTCTTTGTACCTGGTCCCTGTCAATAATATGTCGAATAAGCATAGCACTAGGAACCAAGTCCTCCCTGCCGCCAAAAGTACAGTATCGGGGCTAATTCGGCTTAATAGATTGTGCGAGACCGGACTGACGCGGAAGTTCCTCCACCCCCAACATATCTCAAAAGCGTTGGAGTATCGATTGACCAATAAAGACTCCAAGTAGCCGCAATTGCCGGTGGAGAGTGGTATATATAGAGCGTGTCAGCGTGCGTTCCAGACATTGGCAATTCAACAATTCTCTGTGTGCGGAGTCTGGAGATAATACGGCTTTTTCTCGGTCTGGAAGTGCCCGTGTTAGTCCACATTTTTGCTGGAGGCGGCTGAGAACCAGCGGGTCGTATGGGGTTATTATTTGAAGAGTGTGGGAGCTGTTCCACGCTTTTTGAAGCAGCAGTAGTGATCCTTCGAGATACTGTACAAATCTAATGAAACAGGAAAGTACTTTTGTCAGAGGCTAGAGTAGCGACGTTTCATTGGGCCATATGCGATGCACGTTAAATAACCTTTTGCACTGACCAAGTGACAGTTGGACTGTTTATGAACCTGCTAGTTTAAGTGGCTATGGTTACTAGCGTTAACAAGCACAATAATAAGAGCTTGTTGCTATGATAAAAACGCTTGTTTCATGGACCCATTGGGCAGTCAAGACAATACACTTGTCGTACGGCGTAAAGAAGAGACGAAACAGAAACACTCTGCAATGGGCAGGTTAGCCCGAAGAGGCTGCATGGTGGAATTTTCTGTTGGGACCCGAAGTGGGATGAGTGGAGCTCACTAAGGCCATGTAAAGTGGCTAATGATCAAGGACTGCGATGTGGCATAGTCATTATTGAACGAACGATTCTCTTTATTATGGTTTGATTGAGGCGAATAGATACATTTAGCCAGTATATTTCATCTTGGAGGTGAATAGGCTACTTGATTTACTCATGATCATCATCCTAGGGGGTGTGTCTTTGGGTTCTTTGTGTTTATGGTACCCACTGATCTTCGCTACATCCTGTACGGTTCGCATGCTACGGTCGCACGGAGGAGTGGCAGATCAAGACCTCCACTGTATACAACTGTAAACATGCTCCATCTGATCAGTTCCTTTCTCATTGACCGGGTTTATCAACCATCAAGAAAAGCAGGACTGTGTACTCTATATACTCGGGATGCTTGGGTCTTTATGCAACCTACAATTTGCATATGCCACGCATCATAGAACTCAAGGAAGCATTGAATCAGCTGGCAATTTCTCGAGATTTCTATATTACTCCTAGTTCTTGTAGTAATTTTACTAGAGTCAGTAATTTCCATGAAAGAGGGGCCAAAAGAGGGACACCCCTGCCAGCGCTGCCAGGTACACCCACAGCGCGTCCCACAATGACTTACGGATCCCCCCACAATCCAACCGCCTCCCATCCACCACATGCAATTAGCATGATAACGGGGTTGGACGGATTTTACCTTAAACACCGGACCTTTTACCGCTTCAAACAAAGTCCCAACCAGTGGAGTAATCTTTAGCAGGAGATTGGCGGGCAGCGTCGCAAGCCGGGTGGCTCGAGCTGGTATAAAAGCAAATGGCAGATCCATGTCCATCGACATGGAACTAAGTCTAGTTGCAGCACTAATTTCACAAAGTCTCTCGACCTCGACGCAGGAAAATAGACTTCGAAACCGCGCTACAGACTAGCCGACGCTGATGAAGGAGGAGTGCCAATCAGCACCCTCGAGGCGGTTGGCCTGCTGAGTCAGGGCTGAGGCATGGACATTAGTTACGGCGATCCAGCCGAATGGGTCTGGTCTGGATGGGACAATATGCTCGGGCCAGCTGATCTTGCAGTGTTCGCAGGTTGCAGATTTGCAAGTTCTTTGGGTGTGACTCGGGAATATCTCCAACCGGTGATGTAGATGTTCGGGTCGATGACATCGGGGAATGGCGGAAACCGGGGAAAGCAAGAAAGCTGATCAATTATACAACTGGCGAAGAGAAAGGACGGATAACCTAGGTTAACCTGTCGAGGTGCTGGCCATGGCGGTCCTCCTCCTCCCCCAGTCCGTCCGAAACGCCAAGACCAAGAACACTAGAAGGGGGCCGGGGTCAGCATCGGACGAATGGTTCCCACGGAAGATGCAGTAGTTGGGTAGTTGGGAAGGAGAAGGTCGAGTGGATGTGAATGCCAAATGGAAGGTCAGCTTTCCCCGGAGGAACGGAAGAGCCCCCGCATGGCCGAGTTGCCCCGCGTATTGTAATGGTATGGGTATTATTGCCCGTATGGTTGAGCTTTGTTTATTCCTCCTATCCCTTGTATACGAAAAGTAGAGTAACACAGCATGATACTCGATCTCTTAATGAACCAATAGAAAATATAATGTACTGTCCCTACCTGCAGGGCCTTGAGGCAAGCTGGAAGAGGAAAACGGTAGGCCGCAAACATGCTTGACGGGGGAGTCAGGAAAAGCACGGCCCACGCCGCATCGGGGCTGTTCTTGGTGGGCATTTTAGCCGTCTTGGGAGTAGCTCTTTATCTCAGCCCCCTCGTAATAATCCTCGACCGGGATAAAGCTGGATGAAAGGATTCTAGAATGTAGAATTACCAATATTTTCAGATAATAAATCATAAATCATCAGTCTACTGTAGGCTATATTCGTTACAGAACTATGTACGGCTAGGGAAGAGGTATACTTCGTAACTCCATGGTATCAATCATCTATACTCCGTAGAGCAAGTAATAAAGGGTCATAAGAATAACGATAGTTGGTCACTAAACACTTTGCACTAGCACTACTACTACTACTACTGTACTCTCCTTATCCCGAGTAGCGTAGCCTAAATAACTGGGTCCAAAAGTCCCTCAGGTCCGGGAACGAGTCTCCTCCATGCCGAACGGTCTCCGGATCCATTTGGAGTGCAAATTACCAAATAACAATTCTTTAACAATTATTTAATTCCAGGCCCTGCCCTTTCCCCCCTCCTCCTCGAGCTGCTCTTGCCTTTCGACGCTTTCCTCTCTTCCTTTTCCTCTCTCTCTCCCTCTCTCCATCTTTCCTCTTTCTCCTCAATCTTCCCCCTTCCACCCTCTCGGACTATTCCTAGAGTAAGTGTGATCTTCAACACCTCCCCACTCTCATCCCACCTCCCACCCCTCCTCATAGTGGGAGCTTATTGATCCCGCCCCTCGCCCGCAATTTGACCGCTGACCTGGCTACTTGGGTTCCCCCCTTATAGAGTGGTGTTTGCGCTCACCTTCGCTTTTTCCTCCCTCAATTTGAGTTTCTTTGCGTCCAGGAACTTACAATCATGTCGGACGCTCCCAAGCCCTCCGTGGTGAGTGTGGATCCTAACTTGGGGAACGCTTTTGCACCTGCGATCGCCTCTCCAAAAAGGATGGGGTTATTGCAAATGCGAGCGGGCTTTGCAGGCTGCGGAACATTCCTGGCTAATCCAGATTATCGGATAGGTGGTTGAGGCCCACGAGGTCGACACTTTCCACGTTCCCAAGGCTTTCCACGACAAGCACCCGACCGGAACCCACCTGAAGGACCTCGACGAGTACAAGAAGCTCTACGATGAGTCCATTAAGAGCCCCGACACTTTCTGGGCTCGTATGGCTCGTGAGCTCCTCACTTTTGACCGCGATTTCCAGACCACTCACTTCGGCTCTTTCGAGAACGGCGACAATGCCTGGTTCGTCGAGGGTCAGCTGAACGCCTCATACAACTGCGTTGACCGTCACGCTCTGAAGAACCCCGACAAGGTCGCCATTATCTACGAGGCCGACGAGCCCAATGAGGGCCGCACCATCACCTACGGCGAGCTGCTGCGCGAGGTCTCCCGGGTCGCCTGGGTGCTCAAGCAGCGCGGCGTCAAGAAGGGCGACACCGTCGGCATCTACCTGCCCATGATTCCCGAGGCCGTTATTGCCTTCTTGGCCTGCTCCCGTATCGGTGCTGTGCACTCCGTCGTCTTTGCTGGTTTCTCCTCCGACTCTCTCCGGGATCGTGTGATCGACGCCCAATCCAAGGTCGTCATTACTACCGATGAGGGTAAGCGTGGTGGAAAGGTTATTGGTACCAAGCGCATTGTCGACGAGGCTCTGAAGCAGTGCCCCGACGTTACTACTTGCCTGGTTTACAAGCGCACCGGCGCCGAGGTCCCCTGGACCGCCGGTCGCGATTTGTGGTGGCACGAGGAGGTCGAGAAGTACCCCAACTACCTCGCCCCCGAGCCGATGAACTCCGAGGACCCTCTCTTCCTTCTCTATACTTCCGGTTCTACCGGCAAGCCCAAGGGTGTTATGCACACGACCGCCGGTTACCTGCTCGGTGCGGCTATGACCGGTAAATACGTGTTTGATATTCACGAGGACGACCGTTACTTCTGCGGTGGCGATGTCGGCTGGATTACCGGTCACACCTACGTTGTCTACGCGCCTCTGCTCCTTGGCTGTGCTACTGTCGTTTTCGAGAGTACTCCCGCTTACCCTAACTTCTCCCGCTACTGGGATGTCATCGATAAGTACGATGTTACTCAGTTCTACGTCGCCCCCACTGCCCTGCGTCTGTTGAAGCGCGCCGGCGATGAGCACATCCACCATAAGATGAAGTCTCTGCGTGTCTTGGGCTCTGTTGGTGAGCCCATTGCTGCCGAGGTGTGGAAGTGGTACTTCGAGTCCGTTGGAAAGGAGGAAGCCCACATCTGCGATGTAAGTTCTTATCCCACCCTTGTACGCATACTCAAGGAATATCTGGCTAACAAGAGAATTTCCAGACCTACTGGCAAACTGAGACTGGCTCTAACGTTATCACCCCTCTGGGCGGCATTACCCCTACCAAGCCCGGCAGTGCCTCTCTTCCCTTCTTTGGCATTGAGCCCGCGATTATCGACCCGGTCTCTGGCGAGGAGATTACCGGTAACGATGTCGAGGGTGTCCTTGCCTTTAAGCAGCCCTGGCCCAGCATGGCCCGCACCGTTTGGGGTGCCCACAAGCGTTATATGGATACTTACCTGAATGTGTATAAGGGCTACTACGTAAGGCGCCGATCTCTCTATCTATTGCAAGCTCACCAACTGACTGATTACCGTATAGTTCACCGGAGATGGCGCTGGTCGCGATCACGATGGTTACTACTGGATCCGTGGCCGTGTTGACGACGTTGTCAACGTTTCTGGTCACCGTCTGTCCACTGCTGAGATTGAGGCTGCCCTTATTGAGCACCGTAAGTTCATCCTTTAGAAACGGAAAGACACTTGACACTGATTTTCTCCCTAGCCATGGTCGCCGAAGCTGCCGTTGTTGGTATCTCCGACGAGCTGACCGGCCAGGCCGTCAACGCCTTCGTTGCCCTGAAGGACGGCAATGAGACCACTGACCAGGTGCGCAAGGATCTGGTCATGCAGGTCCGCAAGTCGATTGGTCCCTTCGCTGCCCCCAAGGCTGTGTTTGTGATCGACGATCTCCCCAAGACCCGCAGTGGTAAGATTATGCGCCGCATTCTGCGCAAGATTCTCAGCGGTGAGGAGGACAGCCTGGGTGACACCTCGACTGTAAGAGACCCTTTATGCTTCCACTATGCTTGGAATATAAGCTAACACATTCTAAACAGCTGTCCGAGCCTGGTGTTGTGGACAAGATTATTGCCACTGTCCACGCCGCCCGCGCCAAGTAAAAATTCGAATATATGAATTGATGATAATGATGCTTCAGAAGAGTTTGCTCTTTTTTGAAAATTCTTCTTAGGTGTGCTGATTGGTATTTTTCTTCGATTCCCATGTCGCCTCGAGGACTGTCCGTAATGTGGGCAAGCGAGATTGATATATTTCTCCGTTTCTGTTTGTATTTGAGATTCCCTGGTCTGTCTATCCAGTTGTAGTGTGAATAGTATTATGCTTCTGGATTTCAATGATTTTGTCCCTCATCATTTAGAATGCGCTGTAGAACGCAGGTAGTGTTGGTCACTTGGACATCCATGACATGAGACTGGAGGTGCAGTAAAGAGGACGTGGTATACACTTGAATTAGCAAGCAAAAAGCTAGTAACTGAATGAATGCAGTTGTGGGTAAGATTGAGCATTCAGTCAACGAACGGATCCTCTCTTTACCCTTAGACGGAATAGCGCGGCAACAATGTAAATGTACCATCCATCAGGTGTGAGCCAGCTGCACGATCTGGCAGATTCCTGCATGCGTCCGTTGGCATTGTTGTCCTCCATCCACGTCCGTGCGTTAGCTTGCCAACCCAAAACGGGTAAAGCACGGGGAAAAGAAAGCACCTCATTGGTCAAGTACCCTCGATGCTTTGTTCAGGCAGCAGTGACTCACGTGACGGACCACGGATGGCCGTGCTGAGGTAAGCCATGCTTGCCTGAGCTGGCAAACTTGACCAACCTTGACTTTACTTTTCTGGCGCGTCCGCCTCCCTCTCTTCCTCTTCTTCTTCCTCCACCACACGCGCCACCACTCATTCGCCTTCGCTGCGACAGCTATTTCATCCTTCACATTCGCACCATCTACGGTCATCTCCTCTCTATGAAAGCATAAATCTTCAACTCCCACCGACACCATGTCTTTCGGCTTCGGAGGAGGAGGAACTGGATTTGGGCAGACCAACCAGAGCTCCGGCTTCGGTACGGGCTCTGGCTTTGGAAGCTCTAACACCGGCACAGGTAGGTCGCTCTTCTCTTGCGCACTGTTTCATTTTCATCTGTTTCTGCTTCATGGGTCGTGAATGGGGGTCCTGGGAATCTCCCAGGGTTGCTATTCCCCTCTCACTCTTCGCTGCTTTTTTTTTTTTTTCTCTGGGATCTGGGTTGGCAAAAGACCCTCAAAATCTCCTGGAAGGGGTGCTCCTGGCGCTGGACAACCCGCGATGGCGACGACACGCGCAAAGTCAACGACCTCTTTCCATACTGGCCCAACTTTGCTCGTGCCCACGGAATCTCCCGCGGACTTCCTCGACGCTCAGCGACACTGCGACAAGGGAATGGGGTTGCAAGGGTGGCCTTGGATAAATCAGTTCTCTGACAAGCGATCCCACTCCGTCATCTAGGCTTTGGCTCGACCACCTCTGCGTTTGGTGGCGGAAATACTGGAAACACTGGCGGGAACCTCTTTGGCAACACGTCCAGCGGCTTCGGCACCGGCACTAACACAGGTACGTGCTCAACAACGACCGAGCTTAGCGATAATGGCCCTGGGGTTTTCGCCATTCGCCCTCGCGTCTGAGATGGCCAAGGTTTCTCGCGTCGCGGGGATTGACTGCGTCGCTTCGTGGTCCGCCTATCTTTGCTCCGGTCGCCATCATAAAGCTCCTTTGTGGAATCCGCTGCTTTGTTGTTGCATGCGCAATGAATACCAGCTATTCCAGAGAATGTCAATACCATTGGACCTTCCGGGAGCCCTGAGGCCTTTGCACCCATGGATCCCAGTCATCCGTTGAGCTGCTATTTATTACTTGCTTTTGCTTGGATTGACTTTTTGAACCTTTTACTAACCTGCCTATTCACTTCCATAGGATTCGGTTCCAACACTCAGAATCAAACCACATCTATGTTCGGCTCCGCAAATCAAAATCGCACCTCTGGATTCGGAACAAACACCAATACTGGCACCAGTCTCTTTGGCAGTACTGCCCCAAACACTGGCACAACCTCTGGCTTTGGTGGCACTACTGGGTTTGGGTCTACCTCTGGCACTACCACTGGCTTTGGCGGCAGCGCCAATACTAACACTGGCCTATTTGGCAACAAAACTGGTACTGGTTTCGGTACTTCGAACACAGGCACCACCGGCTTTGGCTCGTCTGGTACTACTACTGGATTTGGAGCAGGCGCAACAAACACTGGCTTCGGTGGCACGGGCACTGCCTTCCAGGGTGCGCAGACTTGTGAAGGTACCGGCGGTACTCCTTTCAACCCATTCACTGAAAAGGATGCCAATTCTACCGCGACCAACCACTATCAGAGCATCAGTTTCATGCAACCTTACAACAAGTTCTCTTTCGAAGAACTAAGACTTGCCGATTACCAACAGGGACGTCGTTTCGGTAACGCCAGTGGACAGCCCGGTGGCTTCGGTGCTCCGGCCTTCGGTTCGTCTACTGGATTTGGAGGTCAACAAGCTACGACTGCCTTCGGTGCCAGCACCACTACTCCGTTTGGTGGTGCTGCTGCTACTTCTGCGCCAACTGGCTTCGGCGCAACCCAGACCACCGGTGCTTTCGGTACCGGCAATACCGGGTCAAACCCTCTCTTCGGTGCCAAACCTGCGACCTCGATGTTCGGCGGTGCAACTCAGACCACTGGTCAGACAGGGTCCATGTTCGGTGGGGGTGCTGCAGCGAACACCACCGGCGGATTCGGTACCAACACTACCACTACTCCTAGCACTGGATTTGGCGCAAACACGGGCACCGGGCTCTTCGGCCAGCAGCAGAACAAGCCGGCTTTCGGTACGGGTTCGACTGGCACTGGGTTCGGTGGCGGATTTGGTACCACTCAGACTACCACCGCAGCCAACCCATTCGGCAGCACTACTGCGACCACAACGCCATTTGGTGGAGCTCAGCAACAACAGCAAGCTGCGCCTGCCTTTGGCGGCGCCTTCGGTAACACCCAGACACAGGCCCAGAAGCCTGGTGGCCTATTTGGTGGCGGCGGGTTCGGAACGAACAACCAGCAGCAACAGACCGGCACGGGCTTGTTTGCTAATGCTCCCAGCACTGGCCTAGCGACCACTGGTGGCTCTTCGCTCTTTGGCGGTAGCCAGGCTCAACAGGCGCAACCTGCAACCTCTATGTTCGGCAGCGGTCAGGCTCAACAACCTGCTGCTGGAACTAGCATGTTCGGTGGCGCTCAAACCCAGCAGAAGCCCGCGACTTCGATGTTCGGTAACACGGCCACTACCACTACTGGTGGCGGTTTTGGCAGCAGCTTTGGTAACACCCAGACTCAGACGGGTACCGGTGGCCTGTTCGGTGGTGGGCAGGCTCAACAGGCCAAGCCTGGCCTTTTTGGCACTTCCACCACTTCCACCGGCGGTTTGTTCAATCAGCCTGCCGCTAATCAACCTGCAGGAAGCTCGATCTTTGGTGCCAACCAAAGCCAACAACAACAGACTGCCGGAGCCAGCATCTTCGGTGGCTCGCAGCCCGCACAACAGCAGCCGCAACAGCCCGTCCCCGGCAGCTTCCAGGCCTCTTTCAACGATCCTAATCCCTATGGCAGCCAGTCTATCTTCTCTGGCCTTCCAAGCCCGAGCGTGTCTGCCCCTGGCCCTCTTGCTACGCCACTCTCCTCCAGCATCAAGCAGAAGCAGCGAACCCCCCTGCCCGTTTACAAGATCACCCCCAATGCTGCCAACCGACTCATTACCCCGCCCAAGCGCCCAGGCTACGGGTTCTCATACTCGACCTACGGCTCGCCCTCTAGCACTGCTAGCACTCCCGGCTCTGGCTTCAGCAGCAGCCTTTTGGGCGGCGGTGGTGGCGGCAGTCTTCGCGGCAGCGTCAGCGGTAGTCTGGGTCGTAGCTTCAGCAAGAGCTACTCCACCAGCAACTTGCGCAAGTCGTTCATTCCTGACGAGGACAGCGTTCACTCTCCCGGTGCTCTTCTGCCTACCAGCGCTCGCAGCAACGGTGGTAGTCTCAAGCGCCTTACCATTGACCGCTCCCTGAGAAATGATCTATTCTCACGCACAGCTAGCACCTCTCCTGCCCCCATCGCTAATGGCGATGATTTGCAGTCGGCTGACAAGCTTAAGAAGAAGGTCAGCTTTGACTCCGCTCCTTCTGGTGGCGAGATCGTCCCTGTGGAGGCCAAGAGCCCTGAGCCCACTGCCGAGGAGCTCGGCTTCCTTCGCTCCACCCGCAAGAGTGGCACCCTTGATGGTATTGATGGAGAGCGTCCTGAGATGGAGTCGGTCCGTCGCGACCTCGCTGTTGTTCCCGAAAACGCCGAGGCCGGTCCTGATGGCACCTCCGCCAAGCGCGCTTCCTTTATCCCCGGTGGCGACCCCAAGCCAGGCGACTACTGGATGTCGCCTTCCCATGCCGAGCTTGCCAAGCTGCCTCGTGACCAGCTGAAGAAGGTTGTTGATTTCACTGTTGGCCGTCAGAATTGCGGTGAAGTTACTTTCAACGGTGCCGTCGACCTCACTACCGTCGACCTTGAGAACATCTTTGATGGCATTGTCGATATTGGTGTTCGTAAGATCACCGTCTACCCCGATGAGAGCCTGAAGCCTCCCATGGGCAAGGGCCTTAACGTTCCATCTACTCTGCGGATCCAGAACTCCTGGCCTCGTGGCCGCGACCGCAAGAACCCGCTGCCCATCACCAGCGGCCCCCTCTTCGACAAGCACGTTGAGCGTCTGCGCAAGGTGACCGATACCGAGTTTGTCGACTATGAAACCGACACTGGCACCTGGGTCTTCAATGTCCCCCACTTCACCACTTATGGACTTGACTATGACGAGGACGAAGGTGAGAGTCTTGAGCAAAGCACTCTGGGTGCAGGCCCTGATGACAACCGCACTCCTAAGGCTCACCACGACCACCCCGCGAGCTTCGAGCAGTCCGCTACTTTCTCCATTGACGAGTCATTCGTTGGCTCTATGGCCGGTGTTGACGACGACACTTTCGATTTTAAGAAGCGGAAGATCGTCCCGGGCTCCTTCGGCAGCCAGGCCATGCAGGCGGAAGATGCGGAGATGGGATCTGAAGGCGACACCGAGTCTTTTTTAGAGGAAGGCTCTGCGGGTTCAACTACTGAGCATGACGATGACTACGTCACTGAGAGCCAGCGATCTGGCGACTCGACAGTTGGATCTGATGAGGATCGGGCAATGGACATGGCGGGTTCCTTTCCCAATCTTCATCGCACCGTGGAGCAGGATGACGCCCAGAGCATCGACAGTGATCTGGACACAACCCACCCCTTTTCGAAGCCATTTGGCACCCCTGGCAAGCCACGTCTCGACTTGAGTGGCGACTGGGCTGAGCAGCTTCAGCGAACCATCAGCCCCCGCAAGCAGAACCGTGATGCACTGCGCGAGATTCAGGCCAATGCCTTTACCGATCGACCCCTTCTGAACGATGGATCGCCGGTCCAGAAGACAACCGTTTCTCCCAAGAAAAACTTCACGACCAGTATCGACCTGATGAACTCTCTCTTCCAGCAGCCACCGCGGAAGCAGAACGTACCCACTACGCAAAAGGCGCAGCCCAAGGGCTTTGAGGTTCGAGCTCCCTCCTTGCTTTACACTTGATCGTTTATTCTTTATGCATTCCCATTCACCTCTTCACACCTGATCAATCTTGAATTTGTGATTATTTTCGCATTCCCTGCACACATTAGCCTGTATCCCATCATATCATGTATCTAGCACCAAACCCCCGCAGATAGTTGACCAAAATTTGAGAAGCTCTTTGCTAAAACTTTATCTTCTTCTGTACAGTGGCCCTACAACAAGCAACCCAAGACCTTCGCCGGGGATTCGACGCAAATGGACCAGAACGATGCCGCTTTCCACGGCTCCTTCAAGCCTCGCTGGGGTCCTATGGATTCGATCGTTTGCGCCCGAAATGACATTACCGGACCTTTGTCTGAGAGCAACCAACGCTGGAAGGAGCGTTTTTCTGTCTTCAGCGAGGGGCGAGATGTTGCTGTGTTGCAGTACAGCCAGTCCCGTACTGTATGTATAGGATAACTAACCCTCCGATAATGGCGCTAAAGCTGACCCTTTTACTACGTAGTCCAATGATTTGCTTGAGGTGCAAAAGCAGCAGTCCACCATCCAGCGTGTCGATGGGACTCCCCGGGTCCGTCTGGCCAAGGCTGACCTCCGTCAATTCGCTCTTGGCCCTGCTCAAGATGAGGAGCGATTGGTGTGGCAGCTGACCAACATTCTGTTCAATGACGACATTGAGGATGACATCTCTGCCGGTGTACCACCACAATTGCGATCGAAGTTTGCCCACCGAATTAAGAAGGACCGATTGACTCGCCTTTGGGAGTCTGTTATCCGTGGAAAGCACGCTCACACACTCGATGCTATTCGCTCCCCTGAGGAGCGAGCCGTTCACCTTCTTTGTTCCCACCGTGTCGATGAGGCATGCAAGACCTTGGTGGACAGTCAGAATTTCCACTTGGCCACTGTGGTTGCACAGATTGGCCGTGATGCTACCTCGCGGTCCGACATTGCCAGCCAGATCGACGTGTGGCGCCAGAATAACGTTTTGTCGGAGATGACTGAGCCGGTCCGTGCTCTCTACGAGCTTGTTGCTGGTAATGGTCTTCGGAGTGAGGGCAAATCAACCGGTGCGCTTGAGGATCGAACTTCGTCCTTTACCTTTAGCGAGCGCTTCGAGCTTGATTGGTTCCAGGCGTTCGGTCTTCGTCTCTGGTACGGAACCAACGAGGATGAGCCCATCGAGGCTGCTGTCTCCAAGTTCCTTGATGACCTCGCTACTGGACTTGAGCCTGCTTTCCCCTATCCTTCACACCACGCTGGCACCCGAACAAGCTTGCAGCCTGGTACTGATACTCTGGGCCGTGAGTCTCCTCTGTGGGTGCTTCTCAAGGCATACTCGGCGGCTAGTGGCCGTGCCAATGTTCCGCCTGTGAAGCTGCCAGCGGCTCTACTGCCAGAGTCGGTGTCCGGGGATCGTCTTGCGAACCGCCTTTCCTTCCAGCTCCATCATGTTCTTGCAGCTGTTATTGGCCAGAACGAAGCTGTTCAAATTGACCAGACCCAGGTTGACCGCTTGGTTTGGGACTACGCTTCGGAAATTGTTGCTGGTGGAGAGCTTGCCTCGTCACTCTTTGTTCTTCTTCACCTCTCGCAAGCTGAAGATCGCAAACGTGCCGTTCAAGATTTCCTTGCCCGCTTCGGTGCTACTCTCCCCAACCCGACTGCCGAGGATGGATCGACCGCCGACCCTACTTGGCTGAACCTGACTTCCGAGCTCCAACTGCCCGAAGCCTGGATCTGGGTTGCCAAGGCTCTGCACGCCCACGACCGCGGTGACGCCGCTCGCGAAGTTGATTGTCTTATCCGTGGCAAGTACTGGAACGATGCGCACGCCACCTTCTGCAGAGTCGTTGGCCCTACTGCTATCATCTCGCGTGACTACCACACTCTCGAGCGACTGGTCTCTGGCTTTGGTGATGGTCCTGAGCGCAAGATGCGCGGCTGGACTTCTGGTGGTGGCATCTACGAAGATTTCCTGCGCTTGGCTATTGCGCCCCGTGGTCGGCGTGACCCGACCCGCCTTAGCCGCCTGGTGAATGCCCTCGTCGACATGGGCGAACGTACGCGCAACTCGAAGGGTATGGACGGACTATTGGAGAGCGTAGCTTTCAAGGAGATGAGCCGTGCTGTTGCCGGGTGGATTACCCACGAAGATGTTCATGTATGTGTTTCTGCTATTGAATTTTTACTCGATGCCGTTGCTAACCGTCCTTCCCAGTCCGTTGAGTCCTCTGCTATCCTCGGCCTTCCCCTCAATGGCGACGCTCGCGTCTTGCAGACCGCGGAGATGAGTCGTCGCTACTACGGAATCATCATGGCGGGCGGTCAATAGGTGATCCTGGTGGATCAAAATCTTTGCTAGAGGTGCATGGTCATCTACGTGTTTTCTTGTATGCTCCCATGGCTTCTTCGGTTCAGCGTTAATTCTCCTTTTTCCCGATGTCTCTTCTTTGCTATCTTCTCTTTTGTGATCTGAACCCGACATGACTGTATTTTATCAATTGATCACTGTTTAGTGGCATGGCTGCTCTTCTGTAGTTTCTTGTAGTGCTCGTAGTGCTAAAGTAGATTCATTTTGTTGAGCATAGAAGCATCATCATCACCTCACTCTGTATACAAGCCATCCCGGCTCAGGTCCCGGCATTACGCTTATTGGCTGAAGTATAAAACTTGTATGCAATCACCATGAAGCATTCTTTCCTTTAACCTCATTGTCTTCTTTTCTATCGATATTCTAACAAGGGACACCCATTCCTCTTCAATTTACTATTTTAGTATACAATTCTCTATTCATGGCTTTGGCACTTCCAATGATAAGCCGTTGTCAGCCCTAGCATAAACATAGAGGCCATAACTGGGCAGAACTATAACAAGATCAGTCAATAGGTATGCAGCACTCCTCAGTTGACCACCTAACTCTTCTAATCGGTAACATACTAGCTCCATCCCCAAGATCTCAAGGAGATTCCAACCTTTTATACTCCACCCAAACTGTGTTACGATGAACTCTTTCATGTCACAGACAACCGACGCATGATTGGGTACACAGCCGCTCTTCTCTGCATCGACCCGGAAACCCATGAGCCGATACCAGGAAGGTGCAATCGATTTCAGGTGATTACTTTTTCGATCTTTCCATCGCAAACGTTCACAATTTAGGCAGGCGGGGGTCGCTTAGTCGTCGAAAAGCTGCCAGGCGCCCTTCTAGTCCGAACCACGAACCCAGGCAAGTCATCTATCCAAACGTTTCCTTCCCATCATTCACATGGACCAGGTTCCCTGTGCATCTCTGGTCGCTTTGCATCAGCGTCTTTTGCGATTGCATCCTCCAGGGCCCGAGGATCGTCAGTATCGTCGTGTTTGGACCCATCGTGTGTGGACCCGGCGTGTCAGGATGGGCTCAACTGGAAGACTGCGCTGGGATGTGGGTGAGCATCCTCGGTATACACCCGGCAATGTCCATGTATCACGTCGTCCCCTCCCCAGTGCTTATTCACGCAGTAGGCTTATCCCACTCGAGACCATCCCCAGTCGTTCAAACACCAGCCAGCACTCCAGCAACAGCCGACGTTCCAACAACAGCCAGACCTCCAACACCAATCAAGCCTCTAGCAACACTCAGCATTCGCAGACTGCGGCAGCCAGTGATGGAGACCACACGGATATCGGAGCTCATCTCGAGATGGCGGAGACTGGACCGGACGATCGTCCAGCTCATTCGGCTTTCGGCAAGTACCAGAAGATCTTCATCGTCGTGATGGTCACTCTGGCTTCATTTTTCTCTCCTCTGTCTGGTCAAATCTACTACCCGGTCATGCCAACCCTCGTCAAGAACTATCGCCTCACCACTGCCCTGGTCAATCTGACTATCACCACCTACATGATCCTCCAAGGCCTTGCACCAAGCTTCATGGGTACCTTTGCAGACAATGGTGGTCGTCGTCCCGCATACATTGTCGCCTTCGCCGTCTACACCGCTGCCAACATCGGCCTCGCGCTACAGAACAGCTTCGCGGCGCTACTGGTGCTCCGCTGTCTCCAGAGCGCCGGCAGTAGCGGTACAGTCGCCTTCGGATACGGTGTTATCGCCGATATTGCGACTCCTGCCGAGCGTGGCAAGTACATCGGACCCATGTCTGCAGGTGTGATGGTTGCGCCAGCTCTCGGTCCTGTCATCGGTGGCCTGCTATCGAAATTCCTCGGTTGGCGCAGCGTCTTCTGGTTCCTCGTCATCGTCAGCGGCGGGTATCTGATTGTGTACATGATTGCTATGCCGGAGACAGCGCGTGCAATTGTCGGAGATGGCAGCTTGCCACCAAAGGAGTTCTGGCGCATGTCGTTGGTCCAGTATCTTTCTTCTCGGCGCTGTGGACGGACGGCAGCAAATGAGACAAATGAAGAGGATTCAGAGCAGCAGCCGCGCTCCTCGAAGCTCAAATTCCCGAATCCACTTGCCTCGTTTGCTATCTTGCTTGAGAAAGATGCGTTGATCATTATTTCTTACGTTGGACTAGTCATGTTTGGTAATATCGCCTTGCTCACCAGCACGCCTAACCTATTCCCTCGACTATACGGGTTCAACGAGCTTCAAGTTGGCCTGTGTTTCCTGTACGTTCAGTCCTATCTGGATACATGACTATCAATGGTACTAACTTGCAGTTTCATCTAGTCCCCTCGGCGTCAGTGCATGCATCAGCGCTGTTCTAAATGGCAAGCTAGTCGACTACAACTACAAGCGCATTGCCAATAAGCTCAATTTCCCCGTTGACCACAAAAAGAGCGACGATCTACGCAACTACCCCATCGAAAAAGCTCGCCTCCAATGCGTCTTCCCTCTCATGGCAGTCGGCTGTGCAGCTTTCATTCCATACGGATGGGCCCTACAACAACACACAAGCCTAGCAGTCCCGCTCGTCCTCCAATTCATCATCGGATTCTGCTTCATCGCCTCGCTGAATACTCTAAACACCCTCCTGGTCGACCTCTTCCCGAACCGTGCTGCCACCGCCGCTGCGGCGTGCAATCTCGTGCGTTGCTGGTTGGGAGCTGTCGGGGCGGCGGTGATTGATCAGATGTTTTCGGGCATGGGATGGGGATGGACGTTCTTCTTCCTGGGCTTGTGTATGGCTGTTGCTATGGGCTTACTCTGGGTCGAGTTTGTGTACGGCATGCGTTGGAGACAGACTCGGCTGGATGGGATTGAGCGAAAGAAGGCTCAACGAGCTGAACACGCCGCAGATGAGGAGGCCCAGGTCGGTGTGAAGAGTGACGGAGGTGAGAACAAGGATGTCGACATCAATGGAAGTACCAAGTGAGATATGTCTTGTTAGGTGGATTTTCATCCAGATTGCTCATCGCCAACCCGGTGATTCGAAGCTCTGGATTTGCTGTTGCGTTTTCTTTCTGAGGAGATGCTACTATGAGCTTAAGCAAGTACTGTTTATTTCTTAGCTTACATCTCTTAATGAAACTGTTGATGTCTGTTACATTACTCCACGGGAAATCAGGAAGACATAAAATGCATCAATTTGCTACCGACTGTACATGGAAGGAAAAAGACCTAGACGCGACAGAAAGGGGATCGAACAGGAAAGAGATATAGGAAAATAGTAGAGACAACCTCTGCCGCAACCATCACCAGGTGGGGTATGATTACCAGCCAGCGAGAAAGGGAGAGGTCCAAAAAATAGAGATCTAGTTCTTAAGAAAGAATACCGGATCCGGGTTCCTGTATCGTTTTTGAAGAGACAAGATGGGAGTTTGGGGCATGTGAAAAGAGGCAGAGGGGGAGGAGAATAAGTTGCTTTTTTCAAATCGGTTTTACATGCCAGGGGAGATCAGCTTGCCCTCAGCACGGGCAGAAGGCTTCCAGCCACCAGCGAAGGGAGCACCGCCAATCTCCTTCTCGTACTGGCGGATGCGAGCCTCCAGCTCGGGACGGAAGTGGCGGATCAGACCCTGGATGGGCCAGGCAAAGGCCTCACCCAGAGCGCAGATGGTGTGACCCTCGACCTGCTTGGTGAGCTCCTGGAGCATGTCGATCTCACGCTCGCGAGCGTTACCGGTCTCCATGCGCTGCATCATCTGCATGGTCCACTTGCTACCCTCACGGCAGGGGGTGCACTGACCGCAGGACTCGTGCTTGTAGAAGGTGGACAGGCGGGAGATGGCGCGGACGATATCGGTGGACTTGTCCATGACGATGACGGCAGCGGTACCCAGACCGGACTGGGAGTCCTTCAGGGCGTCAAAGTCCATCAGCTGGTTATCGGCAACGTGCTTGGGGATCACGGGGGTCGAGGAACCACCGGGAATGACGGCCAACAGGTTGTCCCAACCACCACGGACGCCTCCACAGTGCTTCTCAATCAGGTCGCGCAGGGAGATGGACATCTCCTCCTCGACGGTGACGGGGTTGTTGACGTGACCGGAGATACAGAACAGCTTGGTACCGGCGTTGCGCTCACGGCCGAAGGACGAGAACCAGCTGGCACCGCGGCGGACAATGGTGGGGACCACGGCGACGGTCTCGACGTTGGTGACGGTACTGGGGCAGCCGAACAGACCGACGGCAGCGGGGAATGGAGGCTTCAGGCGGGGCTTGCCGGCCTTGCCCTCAATGGACTCGATGAGCGAGGTCTCCTCACCACAAACGTAGGCACCCATTCCGCGGTGAATGTAGACGTCGAAATCGTAACCGGTGCCGCAGGCGTTCTTGCCGATGTAGCCAGCGGCGTAGGCCTCGTTGATGGCCTGCTGGAGAACGGTAGCCTCCTGGTAGAACTCGCCACGGATGTAAATGTAGGCGGCATTGGCGTTCATGGCGCGGCCAACAACCAAGCAACCCTCGATCAGCTTGTGGGGGTCCTTGCGCATAATCTCACGGTCCTTGCAGGTACCAGGCTCGCCCTCATCGGCGTTGATGACCAGGTAGCGGGGGCGGGGGTCCTTGTCCCAGTCCTTGGTGTTCATGAAAGACTAAATTCCAGCAAAAGAGAATCATCCGGTTAGAAACACGTCCCATCATATACCCACTCATCACCCAGCAACCTCAATTGGATCTGGGGCGACTTCATCTCACTTACGTATTTCAATCCGGAGGGGAAACCAGCACCACCACGGCCACGCAGGCCGGAAGCCTTAATCTCGGAGATGAGCTGTTTTCAAGAAAACACACAATGTCAGTAAACCCGAATAACCACGTCCGCCGAGCACACCCGGCCTCCGACACAAGCAAGACGAAAACGCACCCAATCGTCGCCCTTGAGGACGATATCCTTCGTCCGGTGCCAATCACCGCCATACTTCATCGACGACTTCAAATCGGGGCTGTGGTGACCGTAAAGGTTGGTGAAGATGCGGTCCTGGTCCCGGAGCCCGCCATAGTGCTTGACCGGAGGAGCCTCCTGCACGGTCGCGAACGAGCGGGCGGCCGCCCCCTGGGCGCGGAGGGAGCGGCTCGAGAGGGAGGCGAGGGTGGAGGTGGAGGGAGCCGCCGCTCGAGATATCATGATGGCGGATTGGGACAATGGCGTGGAGAGGATCAAGCGGTTCTCTGGAGAGAAGGGAAGGGGGAGCTCACGGCAATTCCTGCGCTTGCTGAACGATCCGCCATTACGTGAGCGCTGATTGGGGGAGAGTCACGTGGTTGCGTCGCATCTTGCTGAGTCATCGATTGCTCCCGATTCGGCCATGACGCAACTTCCTTTTTGGGATATCTTATACTTGTGATATTCATTGTTTCTTTTCAATTGATTCTTTCTTAACTCTTTGACTGCCTTCTTATATATCTACTCTTGTGGCACATACAAGCATCCCAGCTTCGGCAAGCCTGGGTTCTCCGTCGCCAACACCTGCAGTGGCTCATGAGGAATCAACACCATCTCCGCCTCTGCCACAGTAAACGCCCACGCTAGCCAGTTGGAATCCAGCCATCCACAGTCATCAGACAGCCAGTGAACTCCATCTTGAACTGCCCATGCCTGGGCTTGCTCGCTCTGGACAAATTGGATCAATTGACCCATGGTCTCGCTAGTGCCAGATGGGACAGCAGACAATGGATACTGCTCAACCAGGAAATCCACCCATCGAGTCAAACGCGAGGACAATTGCGGTCGTGCATGAGACGATCGCCCAGTAGCGACCAGCAAGCAAAGTACCAGGGAAAATAGGGCCTGCGGGTCCGTCTGCAACGAAGGCACCTGCTGGCCAGCTTGTGCAAGTACATGATTAAAGCACTCCCGACTCGCCGCCTGCATTTCAGCAGGTAATAGACCGAATAGCTCTCCCAGTCGGAACAGCTCTCCATTCTTCTTGAGTAGTGACTCTCGCTCCAGAATCCGCACACGGATCCTCGACAATGTCTCTGCTGGGAAGTGGCCTTCCGGGATCTGTGACATATGCTCGTTCAGTAGCGTCTTGATATCCTCCCAGCTTTCACCACGAGTATGCTCCCGTGCCCGAGCAAGAGTCCATGTCGCAATGACTAGTGCGGCCTTGTCGAGTGTAAGCAGTCCGTTGCGGTAGATTTGGGCAAAGGTCTGTTTCAAATTCGTAGGCTGCAGTTGACGGTCCTGGCCGGTAGCTTCCAGCATCATGATGTGTGAGATCAGCTCGAAGCTAATTTGCGATAGTGCTGCCAGCTTGCTGTGGCCGTTTCCATAGGCTGCTGGAATTGATATGGCTGATTCCGTGATTTCGATTTGCTTGCGCTCGCGCTCGTTGGCGTGCATGATGGTCAGGGAGTTGAAAAGGGCTGGTGAGAAGATAGAGTGCTCCATGGCAGTATCAGGCCCGAGAAGTGGGTAGAAAACATTGAAGATATAGTAATGATCCTCTTTGTCGTTGGCTACCTCGGGGAACATCTCAATTTGACGGGTCTTGGCTTTGCTGAGATGGCTGTCTGGCTTCACGCCCAGCTTGATGATGCGGTAGTCTGTTGGGTTATTCGGGAGACAGAAGCCATAGTTCATCAGTACTATTCTATATCAGAATACTCATAATCTCAATCTTCAAAGAGGGCAGGATCACTCACGTTGCTCGTTGTTTCGAGGTCCATAGTTGTTTGAGATCTCATGGCCTGGGCCAACGTCCTCCAAAACGACCATCCCAATATCGGAAGATCCAGCCCGCCACTCTACTTTAGCCAGGGGACGGTGATTGGGAAGATCAATAAGCGGCAGAAGCACAGACACGCCACTATCCTCTGCAAGCCTAGAGGCCTCGACTACACTAGAGAGAACCTTGGGCGAAAATGCTCTCGAGGAGATAATAGTGGAAGCCCACAAATACAAATCCCTGTTCAATAATGCGCATTAACCAAACCAGTCCTTAGTCAATCTCAAATCAGGTACTTAACTTACCAAGTATACTCCTCAATCCCTTCAAACCCAACCTCCTCCAATTTAGCCATACACTGCTCATACCTCTCATCCCAAACCTGATACCTCTGCACCGCCGCCTCAGGAATTCCAGTCCCCTGAATCCAATCAACATCCTCCTCCCCAAAGAAAAGCGGCGTATTCAACTCTCCCGGCTGCGGTAAAGTCCGCAGATACGTATACCAGAAGCCCTGCGAACCACGCAGGAATTGGCCCATCAGGAAGAAAGTGCTCGTTTCCTCAACGGCCACAGCATCGATAAACGCCTGAGGCAGCTCGACACCATGCTTGGAGAAGGTTGCATCGGGTGTTTGAAACCCAACGGCGTTGAAATAGGACATTGTTGCGCCTATGGGCGTGCTGAGAACTTTGGTTTCTTTGCTGATGGGTTGGGGCCAATCGCCCTTGACCTGGATGTGGACCCCGCGCGAGGCATCTTGCGCGACGCGGACACAGTCGTTGAGGGAGCCTCCTTGGCTGATGATCCAGTCTACAAGCTCCATGTGCGCTTGGAGCGAGTGGCCGCTTTCTTGTCTGTTGTGCCTGGTTAGTCTGACTGATGTTGCTGGAAGCTCTGGTATATAGCCATTGTGGAGTGGCCTAGTGCTAGGGATGAGTGGAATTGAAACTGCTTACTCTGTAGACGATGCCATGTTTTCAATGTCTTGTCAGTCTAGGACCAAGAGACTGTCTGGAGGCGTGTCAAGCACAAATCAGATCAACTAGAGGAGCTGAACAAAGGCAAGTGATATCATTGCTTGTCGAAAAGATTCGGCGGGATGGTGGGTGATCGGGCCCACTTAATTTTCCCGATAGAAACCTTGAGTGCCACGACACTCTCTATGTGATCTAGCCGACTTGAACAACCAATCGATTAATTCCAAATCGGAGTATATCTAAAGTTAATCTTCTATGAGCCATAAAGATTGCGTGAAGGTAGATTAATCTCAGCTGCTAAAATTTAAGTACTCTCGCACAGTGCCTAAACGAAACGCAGGGAATACCTCTAGCATTCTATACGACCACTATCTCATGAATAAAACATCAATTGACTTCTCTAATTCAACTATCGTACAAGGGCATCATCATCCACCACCTTAAAAAAACCCCACCAGACTCGTCCCATCCCGCAATGCATGCGACGGCTCAAAAAAAGCACGATACAAGCTCTCACCACCCCCCATGCGGACTCGCGACCTCAAGACACAAAAATCAAAGGAATCATCATAATGCAGCCCTCCCCCAGATGGACCAGAAGATGGAAACATATATACAAATGCCATGCCACGGTTAGCAGCATGGATGTAAACATCCCCCGACTGACGAAAATCAAGAAAGAAAACGAGAAAGAAAAACATGGAATAGAAAACGCGACAAGGAAAACTTGGCCATCGGAAAGATATTGCTTTCTTTCAGAATGGAAACCCATTGATCAAAAGACATCGTTGCTGGTGTATACGAGCAGGAAAAACAAAACATGATGGGTGCAAAATGCACGACAAAGTGGACGCGAAAGGGGAATCAGATCTGAAAATTGGAAGCCCGGCTCTAGTTGGAGGATGAAGATTTGCGGCCAGGAACGAGAATCTCTACCAAGCCGTCGTCTTCACCGTCACTGCTATCGTCTTGGTCATCGTCAAAGTGGGAACTCACAGCCCGCGGCCGGCGGAAACCGCCGTACCGCGTCTGGCCGGGGAGGTTGGAGTAGCCCAAAGATTCGTTGATGATGGCTTCATCTTCGTCGTCCGAGTCAACCATTCCGCTGGCACTGGGTCCAACCATCTCACCCATCTCGTCATCGTCATCTTCCTCGACTTCGAGAGGGACACGAACGCGTCGTCGCAACCCTTCTGCGCGGCTATCACCTTCCTCGTCGGAGGAGTTGGTGGATAGCGAGTCAGGTGGACTGAATCCAGACTCGGGGAACGTGGAGGAGAACGTCTGATCCGCATTGGACGCGAAATCGGTATTGGGGAACGCCGAGTTGCCACCTTCGGCATCATCGTCAATTCCTGCAATGATAAAGGGGTTGGAGGACCACTCCCGACCTTCTTCCTCTACATTTCCTTCCTCTCCGCCATCTGCGTTCTCCGCTGCTTGCTGTTTCTGGGCCGCAAGCCGTGCTGCCAGCTGACGCCGAGCCCTGGAGGGGCCCATACTCAACGGGGCAGGGGGTGGAGGCAGAATGGGAATGGGCTGGCTGGTAGAATTTTCAGAGACCTGCAGAGATATAAGTCAGCAAATAATACACATTTAGAATGGATAGTGTAAGGCAATGAATGGACTATGACAGGCGTTCCATGGACGAGAGCCAACTCGACACACAGGCCAGCTGTGCATTATACAGTTTGTAATCAGGGGAACAGAAGGGAAGGGAAGCTCCGTCCGAATGGGCAATTAAAGCCCAGAGTGGATATTGCCTCTAGGACATTTCACATCGACCACAGGATAATGCAAATCATGGACGAAGAAGAGAAGAGTGGAGTAGGGAAGGGACGGAGAAAGAGTCATCTCTGGTAGCAAGTTCGAGTGCAAAACCAACCATTGCAGGATTGCACAACCTTTGTTCCCCTGATCAAATCTCTCACCACCCTTCCCAATCCAGCCTCTTCCCCCCGATGTGTACATAGTGATGAAATAGGCGGCGGGAAAATAGAAGTCTCACGAATGGAACAGACGATCATGCATCGTGCCTCGAAAGGTTGGTACCCACATTCTCGGAATCGCCATGATCGGCACCGACAACATCTCGGTCTTCTTGGTCTTCCATCTCTTCATCCTCGTCATCACTCGAGCTGGCAAAACCACTCAAAAGCGAGGTGCCGCCGCCGCCATAGGCTCCACCAGAAACGCTACCCTGGTTAATTTCAAAGCCCTGGAAAGTTGAGCCACCAATTCCGCCGTTCAACCCGGCATCGGCCAAGGCAGATGAGTTGTTGCTGAATCCTTGGCTGGATGTGGACGTGTTCATTGTGGCTTGACGAGGGTTGACAGCCATATCAGGCCGAACACCACCCAGGATGGCGTTGTCACGTTCCCGGGTTTCGGAAAGAGTCTGCTCGACGTAGTCAATCCAATCCGGGTTCAGGACGGACTCCATGACAGATCGTGAGAGCAGCTCTGGCGGGTGACGCTCGCTGAACTTGACGACCTCCTCGGCGACCAGGGTCAGGTGGCCCATGTAGCCAAGACGGATCTGCTTGGTGCGCTGGACCTCGTCACTACGTTTTTGGCCCTCCACAATGGCGTTCGTGATTTGGCCAGTCTCGAACACATTGATGGCCAAAGCTCGGTTGTATCCACGTTCCATAGGGCCGTTGAAGACCTGCTGGATCACGTCATATACAACATTGTGAAGGAAGTTGTTCCACGGGAACCGGAAGAAGAATCCCTAAAGATAAGATGTTAGAAAAAATACTACTCGGAGTAGCGAAATATTGGCTACACGTACCAGTATGGTTGGCACCACTTGGTTCTCGACAAACATAATCTTCAAGTAATCTCCAACCACGGGACGGCCATCCGTGTCGTACTGAATGTACTGCTCAGCAGGATCCTCGGCTCCGCCATCATTGGCGGGCTGAGTTTCTTGTGTCTGTTGGGTTGGCTCAGCAGCTCCCTCTGCTTGAGCAGTAGGTTCCGACTGCAATTCCTTCGCCGCAAACAATGGAGGGGGTACATCTTCAGGCTGAGCAGTAACAGGCGCATCCTCCTTCTCGTTCTCCGTAGATGCCGGCTGCTCCTGCAAGGATTGAGTTCCAAGATCCATCTCACCAACTTGGTCGGTCAGACCGGTCGTTGGGGTCTTTGGCGATGAGGGTGTGTCTGCCTCTGTCTTTGGCGTTTCCACAGAGGGCTCGGCGTTTGACTCGGATGGCTGTTGCGACTCTGGTTGCGGGATGGGTTCCTTCTCTTCGCCCTTCTCACCGACCAGAACGCCAGAGGCACCAACATCCTCGAAGCCCTCATCCTCAACAACACGAGCCTTGAGAGCCTCGGGCGACCCAGTGTCCATGACCGAGCCATTGGTGAAATCAGCAGTGGTATCATTGTAATCCATGCCTGACTGCTCATCCCGCTGCGGGTTAAACACGCCCTCGCGGATCAACCTATCGCGCTCCTCATTGCGATGCCGGACATAATCCTCACTGCCAGGCTCGTTCAAAAGGCCCATGTTACTGCAGTGCAGCAACTCTGCCATCAGCTCACATGTCTTGAAACGATCAAAGCCAAGCGGCTCGATACTAGCGCCCCACGCGGAGTTCAAGCGACCACGGTCAACAGACTTGAGTGAAACGCCGTCGTGTACAGCATGCTTGGAGCTTTGTATGAGGGTCATGAAATCGGGGATATGCTGCGCAAAGAGGCGAAGGAGGTGTCCGAGATAAATTGGATCGTAAGGCGTCGGTATGGAATCCGGGCCACCCATCTGCTCTGGATCATAATCGGAGTTATTCTTGCGAATGACTTCGATGACGATGCCCACACCCACGGTCAATGGGTTGCCACCTTTCAGCATTGCAGTGATAAGTTGCTGCACGCGCTCGGGCGAGACGAGTTGGCGGGTCAGGGCTGTTGGGACCAATGCAGGACTGGTCATTGGGGGTTGCGTTTGCGGAGATGGTAATGATCGCCTTCAAGAAATCACCCGCTGATGTTTGCACGGATCCCGGGTGCTCTGGAGACAGGAATGAAAGGAGACTCGGGATCAAGTCCTGCGACTGCAACCAGTCCACCGTTCCTTGGCCGCCTTCGGCCTTTTCTAAGCTGATAATCTTCAACAGAAGATCCATAACCATGGGATTATCAACGTGTTGCAGCAGTGCCGCCACGATTCCATCTAGCGACTTGAGGAATTCCAGCATCTCCTCCGTCTTTTTATCAAGTAGGGTCTCGTTCACCTTGGTGAAATAGCTAGCCTGCAGGGAGTCCAATGGAGCAGGCCTTCGGAGGAAGCCCCAAAAGTCGCGCAGGTAAGCGGGGTTGGCCATCATGGACTCCAGGATAGACCAGGTCTCCGAGGAGAGGATTTCGCAGGCCACGTAGGCATGCTTCAGACGAGCCTTCTCGACCTTGTCCAAATCTTCCGGGTCTAGGACATCCTTGAGAGGGTCAGACTCCTTCTCGGCCTTTTCTTCCTTATTCTCAGTATCGGTCTGGTCTGTCGGTTCAGTCGTGGCGCCTTCAGCCGGAGAGGCATTCTTTTCGTGGGATTCGTCGTCATCATTTTCTTCGTCGTCATTCACCAAGCTAGGTGCAGTGACATAGTCCATAAGCCGTTTCAAGACATGATCCTCGCGCAGATATTCTATGAGTTTTGTATTATGCTGTTTCAGTTCCTGAATGATTTCCGGCTCATCCAGTAGGTCCTCGAGGGTGACTTCAGGTTTGTCAAGAAGGGTATCGATGGTGGAGATACTTGCATATCCCCCAAAGCGCCAGAACATGATGGAGTATATAGCCGGAAAGCACGATTCATGGGATAGCTCGTTTCGTCGGTCTCCGAGGTATCGTAACGGGGCGATCTATGGTACACGAGGAAAAGAGGGTGTCGTGGTTGGGGGGTTGAGAAACGGAGGGAGGGGGGGGATCCCGCCAGCAAGGCGATTACAGTGTGTCCACACACAAGAGGTGGTCGCGGAAAGGTCCAGTGGGGTCGGAAGGAGGAATCTCGATCGTCGCACTCCCGGGGAGAAGATCGGAGTAGGATCGCAATATGGACCGAAGCGAGCCCGGCGCTGTTCAGTTGGGAGGTCAGCGATCACGGGCGGACTGGTTGCATCAACCACGGAGCTGATGATGTGTGCAGGCGGCAGGCGGCTCGACCTTTTGCACGGGGATTGGGCCCCACGAGACGAGGCCTGAGGGAATGGGCAACAGGATCAGGTGAGGGGAATAGCGGATATCCAGGCTGGCTTGATCGCCACGTACCTTCAAGAATCAGAGAGTGACGAGGAGGAAGAGGTCAGGATATCGGACCTCCCGTGGGTGGATTGGAGTTGGTGGAAGGAGAAGAAACGGGAGTGAGCCAAAATGCGGGCGGGAATGCAGGACTTCAACGCCAGTCCATCAAGGAGAGCACGATGGAGTCAAGAGATACGATGGGAGGAACAAGAGAAATATGAAGGTGATTGATTATTATTCCCGGTCGGAGTATTGAAGAAGAGTCGGGGATCACACAGTCCGGGGTGTAATCATCAGGACTCGGTTCCCGACTTGGTTGCCCTACTTGGCTCTCTTGACTAGTGATGTCTCTTTCTACCCAAAAGGCCGCAAGGCGGGGATCACACTCCCGACCAACTACGATAAGCAACGCTATAGATAGAGTCACTCCTCACGAATTTCCTTTCTTCTTTTTCTCACATGGTTCGGTTTTGTGGGACTAGTCCCGTCTCTTCAGTCTATACATGAATTACTATCTGCTATAGGAAAAGGCGTTTGTCTCCTCTGCCGCGTCGGAGGAGTGGAATCCTGCGACCAGCATTCATTATACTGGACCACCCAAAAAGATCTAGTGGTTTTCAATGAGGCCAAAGAAGGTCTTAAAGCCACCGAGATTGCCAATAGATCTGGCTAGGTGGTTTTCATAGCCTGAAGTGCAAGATCTTGTTTCAGCATCCGGTCACCTGGATCGGGCTCGATGGGCGAGAACTACCCCGTACTTCATGCACTCCATATAGTACCTCACTGAGGCTATGCTGACTGCATCGTGTATGCAGAGTCCCCAAGACATCCACTATCCAATAATCCAGACGCCCGTAAATCAGCTGACGACGTCGGATGGTCCTAGCAGACTAGTTGTGATATAGTCGTTAGGAGTATACATCCAGCATGTATATATCACTGTAACTGAGACACTATTTATGTGGAATCTTGAACTCAAGAAGCCCCGATAAACATATAGACAAAGGACTGCAATATTACCGAATAATGACGAAGAGATCTACTTGGAATAAAAGTGTAAAGGTCATAGCTGGGGTAATTGAAAATGATCGTGTCATTATTCATCTCGAGTGTATGCCTCATTTCCTCAGGCCACTAAATTCCGCACTCCCTTAGATCACGTGGCTGTATATGCCCGCGGTTGCTTCCTCAGGCCCCAAGGCCCCACTGACGTCGGGCCTCCGCATTATCATCACATTATCGGTGCCTGCCCACCGAGTGCATGGGGTCTTCTGTTCGGACAACTACAACACTTTAGCTGCCGTGCGCCATCGGGGCAGCTCTATAGCCACACTTGTCAAAGACCCTGGTCACTTTGACCACCTGCTAGGCAGCAGAACGGGGTTCTCCCTCCCTGATAACCCTTTCCCTCCGCTGTTGCCCCTCCCTGGGCCGACAAACAACCACCATGAATCGCCTTTTCGGCACCAAGAGTGCGGCTCCCAAGCCCACTCTCGACGGTGCAATCGCCAAGGTACATATTCCCATTCCACCTAGGATGATCTCCAAATTCTCTCCTCAGAGATCTTACCAGCTAACCACCCTCCGCCCAGGTCGACGACCGCATCTCCAGCATCGACGTCAAACTAACCGCCCTCAACTCCGAACTCTCCACCTACCAAGCCAAACTCTCCAAAATGCGCGACGGCCCCGGCAAAAACGCCCTCCGCCAAAAGGCGCTCAAAGTCCTCCAACGCCGCAAACAATACGAAGCCCAGCGCGATCAACTCTCCCAGCAATCCTGGAACATGGAACAAGCCGGCATGATGCAAGATAATCTCAAGAACGTGATGACAACCGTCGACGCAATGAAGACCACAACCAAGGAACTGAAGAAGCAGTACGGCAAGGTCGATATCGATAAGATTGAGCAGATGCAGGATGAAATGGCCGATTTGATGGAGGTCGGGAATGAGATCCAGGAGAGTATCTCGCGGGCATATGATTTGCCGGAGGAGGTGGATGAGGCGGATCTTGATGCGGAGCTGGAGGCTTTGGGGGAGGAGTCGTTGTTTGAGTCGGAGATGGGGGCGGATGCGATGCCGAGTTTCTTGCAGGATGAGGTTGCGCCGCCGCAGTTTATTGATGAGCCGCCTGAGCAGGCGAAGGTTAAGGAGGCTGCTGGTGGAATTGGCTAATATGCCCTTGCGAAGGTCCTTATTAAGGGGACTAGGAGTTTTTTTTTTTTCGTTTGCCGGAGTTGTGCCACCTATTTTCATTTGTTCAGGTTTTATACGAGGCCTTCTGTCTCGGTGAAGACGAGATTTGGAGGTTCTCATTTCATGCATTAAGAAATATCATATGCAGCGCTAAGTCTATTGACTATCTATATGGACATGAAATGTAGAATACGCTATGCGATAGTGGAGGGGAGTTCGAGAATCGAAATCCCCTCATGCAGTCGTGCTTTGAATAGGAAGCTGAAGAGGAATAGCCAGATCGCAATTCTCAGCTTACGCCTTGCCCATACCCACCAATACTAGCAAGGCCACATTCATCACGGCAATGAGAAGCCACACGAGTATGGCTACCAGAGAGGTAAACCAGTGGTTGCGCATGGACACTTGGTCGACCTGGACATCGCCTTCACCTTCGCCATCGGCTGTCTGCTCAGTCGAGACGGTCATGTATTTACTAAAACATGTGAACCAGATGAGCGGGGCAGAGACGAAAGGCAGGATAACGCTGAGGCAGACCTGGCTAGCTGTCAGGGTCTTGTCAAGACCTTCTTTGCCGACAGCTGCCGCGATGATGATACTGGGAATAATGCTGATGCATCGAGTGATGAGTCTTCGCAGCCAAGGCTGAATGCTCCAGTTCAGCATGCCTTCACTGACCATCTGGCCGGCCATGGTACAGACAATGCCGGCCGAAATACCGGAAAGAAGGAGAGCCAAAGCAAAAATTAACCCGGCAGCTGGCGAGACGGACGAGGAAAGAAGGTCGTGGATGCCGAAAAGGTCGGCACTACTTCCGCCGGCAACATCGTAGAGAGACGCGCCCGCGACGATGAGAATCGCACTGTTGACGAACAATGCAAAAGTGAACAGGGACAGTGCCAGTTCGATGATGGAGTATTTCATGCAACCGCGAATGGCGTGGAGGGTAGGTCGGTACTCTACCTGGCCGCCATTGCTTCCCAGAGGCACAGTAGACTCGACGTATCCCGCAGTAACATCAAAGTCTTTTAGTCGAGCTTGCACCACCCCACTACCTAGGAAGAGGGAGTGAGGCATGACTGTAGCACCCAGAATACCGCAACTTTGGTAGAGACTAGCAAAATAATTAGCGTAATTCTAGTGTCGATCCCTCCGAGGCTCGTATCGAAATGATATCACTCACCCTTCGGATTGCACAATAGCAGAAGATGGGAGGTAACCTCTGAAGACTTCTCCCACCGATTGGTCCTTGATGAGGGATAGCTGAATGCAAAAGCAAATCACCACGCCAAGGACCAAAGCCATCACGAAGAACTCAAAAAGGCGCAGGCCCAGCATCGAGCCATTCGGCCGCCAGAACAGCAACAGGAAGAAGACATCCACTAGAGTGATCGCACATCCTGCGACGAGAGGAATGTGAAGAAGCAAGTTCAGCGCAATCGCAGAACCAACCACCTCTGCAATATCGGTGGCAATGATCGCCCCCTCGGCCATAATGTACAGTATAATGACCAGCCATCGGGGGAGATGCTCGCGACAATTCTCCGCCAAATTGAGGCCCGTCACCGAACCCAGCTTGATGCACAGAGATTGTAGAAGGACCGCAAAGAGGTTGGACAAGAGAACGATAAACAGTAGAGCAAATTTAAACTGTGCGCCGGCGCCGACATCCGTGGCATAGTTTCCCGGATCGATATAGGCGACCGCAATGAGGAACCCAGGGCCGATGAAGCGGCCGAATTTGACCAAACTGCGCACACAATGCTGCGTAGAGGCAGAGAATGAAAAGTTAGAGAAAGGACGGCGAGGTGAACCGCAGGTCCTCGAAGGTGATTCACACCTCGAGGCCGCTACGGTCACTTCGCCGCCCGGTCTCTTCTCTATTGCTGGGTCCGGGTTTTCCAAACTCTGCGGTCGCGGATCGATCGCCATGGTATCGTCGCCGGCGGCGCCCCCCGTCCCTGCGGCATGCTTGCGATGGACTCGCGCGTTTGCAAGGCCGTTGAAGTCGTTGCGGGTCGTAGTATCTGGGCTAAAGGGAGGTGGGTTCTGATTCCAGCCGGGGTTGTCGAGGGTATCGTCGGTCCGCGAGGGGCAGTTCATGGTGGTGGTGGTGGCGGCGGTGATGCGACACTCGTGTTTGCCTGTCTGGGTCGCTGGGAAGGAGGGTATGATGCAGGTTTTAATACGGTCCTTGCAGCGTCGGGTGCGAAATCGCCGATCGAAAGTATCGAGACGACAATGAGAGCCGAGTACCCTGTGGGGAGAGTCCGGGTCTGCCCGACTTTCGTGATGGTTACAGGCGGCGAACGCCTAGAGCCAATAACTCTATGACGGGCGGGTCTGATAATTGTCTGTAATTGTTGAATGCACCCACCAGTACGTAAGGGAAATCTGTCAAGGGCTAGGGTCGCCCTTGTATGATCTCAGTTTGTTGATTTGAAGGTGCGCTGCAGGCTGGAGTACAGTAGATTGAAATGATCGCCCGCCTTATCAAGGAGGGGCGTCGCAAACGGCAGTCGGTGGATCGCGGGACAGTTCCACCAGACCCGGAATATTATTGTTGTCGGCATGGGGAAGCGGTTTTGAGGGGGCCATATCGAGATATTTCAGTCCGACGAGAGTGGCACGGAAGGTTTGGGCAAGAGGAGGTGCAGTTTGTCTCTGCCAGGTGTGCAGTGCAGGAAAGAAGAGGTGAGGCAGTGGTCCCCCGCATACACGAGTCTTGGAAACAGGCCCTTCCCGGTATCGGGACACTGCGAGTTTGTTCAGTATAGTGGTAGAACAGGACATGAGATTCTCTGGTGCATAATCAAGTAAAATTAGTACAATGGCCTAGGCCTAGACATTTTCGAATCTAGTTGATGTCATGCTATCAGTAATAATAGATTATCTTGTGTTTATCATGACGTGTAGATCAAGATAGAGAGAGTTGTATACTTCAGGCAACGGCTGAGCAAATTTATTTTATTAGTGGGATAGTTAATGTGTCTTGGAGCATCTTTTCTTTTTTACCATCTTTACAATGGTTAAACTATTGCAGAAGAGGGAACCTCTCCTTGGTTGCAATGGCAATCGCGGTTAAAGTATATATACTCAACCAGGCTGGGGTAGACAAACAATGTAGAATCTTTACCCCACCATAACAAACCGTTAGTAGAGTAAGGGTAACCCCCCAAAGGAATGAGTTTATGCATAACCCCCCAAAAAGAAAGAAAGACCCCAAACATGCAAGATGTCATCAAACTAAGCAGAAGAAAGAGGTAGTCTCTATAAACCAACCCTCGTCATTGAGTCCACGTTCACCGCCAGCTCCGCCGGCTCCGCTGCGTTGCCCCTCGCAACCTTCTCACCCGCACGTTGTTTACTCTCCTCCGCTGAATCCAGCCAACCCCAAATGATCCCAAGAGATCGCCCCTCAACGCTAGCTGTTGTCCCGGTCGTCAAAGTGGAGTCTTGATCCTCGAAGGTTGCCGTTGGCAGCAAGTCGCTTCTTCTCATATTATCCCCCCCCCGTTGCCCGGCTTTCTTGTTCTCCAAGATTCTCTTCACCTTCTGATCTCGCATTGCATTTGTTTCTGGCTTCGATTCTTGCTTAATTTGATTTGATTTACCCCCTTTTACTTTTCTTCTGTTTCAAGGAGCCATTGCTGGCTTGCTGGCGATTGCTTTCGTTTTTTGTTTCTTGCCGCGTTTGTTTGCATTCAACGAATCCCGTAAGTACGACCCTGCTCCTACCCGCACCCTGGGAAGCCGGACACTTTGTTAACGGGCTCGCAGTTGCTGGCCAAAGAGGATAAGCAATGGCTCCCAATACTGCCGGTCCGCAGATCTTTGACGACGCCCACCGCGCCCCCGGCAGATCCTCTGTCTTCCGAGCCATCATGTCGAAGCCGCATAAGCGAAACCAGTCTGCGGACGATGCCATGCCTCCGCAGTTCAAAAACAACAAGCCAACGGGCACCGTTCCTTTCCCATGGGCAGACAAACCTGCTCCGGAACCCGGCCATCTTCCCTTGGGAGAGATCGTTCCGAATCGCGATGCTCGCGACAGCTATGTGCCCGCAGCGAAGCCAGGGAATAAAGAGAATAAAGCGCCTTTGCATAAGAAGACGAAGAGCGCAGTATCTCTGAAATCCCTTCGAAGTTACATGGAACGAAAGGACACCAAGCTGGAAGAACCCCAAATCGACGATGCCGACGAGTTGAAGCCCAAGAAGACCAAGTCAACCAACAGTTTGTCGGCTATCCTGAAGCGATCTCAGCGTGGACGCAAAGCCGATGGAGCGAAGCAGACCCGCGATAAAGAGAACCGGAGCCCCGTTGATCTCGTCGACAACATGCCATCCCCCGTTTGGCCCCAAGAAGGCTCTATCTACCAAGCTCCTAGCGGTCGGTCGCGACAGAACTCAACCGCGGATAGACGTCGAAGCGTCGCAGAGGAAGTGTCTCTGTACACGCCAAAGGCATATAGCCCAGCCCAGCAACGAAATTTTTGCGACTATCAGCAGCCGTCTCTGACCAGACAGGGAGAGGTAAAGCCTCGTCCCAAGTCGGACTGCCTTGCTGGCAACAGAAAGATGAAGGACATTCTGGGCCTGCAGCGTGCACCGTCCGGAGGCAGTAATGCCAGCGACCCGGTGGATAGTGCATCATCCAAGGGGCAGGGTCTTGATAGAGCGAGGAAGATGTCCGTTCCGGAATCACCTGTCCCTCCGCCAAAGGACCAGCGGAACGGGAAGAGACTTTCCCGTGTGCAGGCCGCGATCTCGGTGTTCAACACAAAGGAACGAGATGCTGATGTCCAGAAGCACTTGAGTTCCAAGGACCTTGAAAGTGAATTTGAGAAGCTTCTGGTTAGTCTGTCAGAGCACTACTCTATGATGAGTCTCACTAACACGATGGCAGGATGCCCGAAACATTCCTCACAACATGCGGGACAAGATGCGCTCTCTTGATACCAACATCAAGGCCGACTTCATCCAGAAGGACCGCACCGAGATGGCCACACCCGTCAGCTCTGGTACCTCTGACAGTCGGCGTGGTCGTGGTAAGGACTCGAAGGATTCTCAGGATCGTAAGGGCTCGCGCTCGCGCTCCAGGAGCCGTGGTTTCACATTTGGCCGGGGATCTTCATCCCCCGGCAAAAAAGCCCGACCAGAGAGTGGGAATTTCCATCGCCCCAGGTCTGTGGATCTGTCCCAGCCAGTAGGCGTCTATACAACTCTGAGTGCTGCGGGTTCTACCGCATCGCTTTCTGAAGCGGCAGCCGTAGACACCGCAGCCGATCCATCTGACTTCGTGCACTATCTGAGAGAGATCCAAAAGCCGGAGATGGTTGAGGTAGGCAAATTGCACAAGCTGCGACTTCTTCTGCGGAATGAGACAGTCAGCTGGGTAAACGGGTTCATTTCCGAGGGGGGATGGATGAGATTGTCCAACTCATCTACCGTATTATGAAGATGGAGTGGCGGTATGTTGAACCATGTTGACTTTTTTTCAGAAATATTCGCTAACTTATCTCAGGGAGGACCACGAGGATACTCTTCTTCACGAGGCCTTGCTATGCTTGAAGGCTCTTTGCACTACATCCATCGCATTGGCGCATCTCACTAGCATTGAAGGTGAACTCTTTCCAGCTTTGCTGAAGATGTTATTCGGCGAGGAAAAGAAGGGCCCGAGCGAGTTCACAACTCGGGGCATCATCATCAACCTCTTGTTTACCCAGCTCTCTGCGACTTACCCCAATGAGTCGCAGTCTAAGCGCGCTGAGCGGATTCTGTCGTATCTCCGAGATCCGTCTCCGGAGGACGAGAGTCAGCCTGTCTCGTTCATTGCCAATATTTACCAATCACGACCGTATCGAGTATGGTGCAAGGAGGTTACCAATGTGACCAAGGAAGTCTTCTGGATCTTCCTCCACCACCTCAATGTGATCCCGCTCCCCAAAACAGACCCTCAGTCGGACGATCCGTTCACGGACAAACGCCCGGTTGATACTCGCTCCTACTGTGAGCGAAACTTCCCTCCACCTCGCCCTCCGGTCCCTGCTGCCCCTTATGTTGGTGGCGTCGAGTGGGATGCAACCAACTACCTTGCCTCGCATTTGGATCTTCTGAATGGTCTGCTTGCCTCCTTGCCCACAGCGGATGAGCGTAACAAGCTTCGGTCTGAGCTGCGGGCCTCCGGCTTTGAAAAGGTCATGGGTGGCAGTCTACGTACCTGCAAGGAGAAATTCTACTCCGCAGTTCACGAATGTCTTCGCACCTGGGTTGCTGCTGCGGTTGAGGATGGCTGGCCCTATCTGATGGTGCGCGAAGGACCACCTCGTGGGGAGCCAGGCTCACCTACCAAGTCCCCCAAGAAGGCTGCGCCCGGTAGTCCCAAGAAGGGTCTACTGGACGACAAGCCACCTCAGCTCAACCTAGCCCTGGATTTCTCAGACAGTCGCGTGTCTACTCCTCTGGGCCCAACAACCCCATCCAGCGATATGCCTCGCTGGCTTTAATCGTTAAGCATTGGATACAACATCCGCTTGACAACTTTTTCTTCTTTTCTTGTCTTTTTTCTTACAAATTTCCTACCCTCCCACTCTGATTTTACGTTTCATGACTCGGCGTTTAACGGTTCATACTTTTTGCAGGGGTCGCACCAGCATGCTAAGGGAGCATGTTGGGTTTGTCGCTTACCTTTGTGGAAGCTTCCCCCACTCTACTTTGGTTTTTTGAACTTCCAAGGCGTTGGCATTTCTGGAGTCGTTGGGAGTTACATATTTTCGATGTCCAGCGAATTTCCTGGCGAACATGGTGTGATGAAGTCAAGCTATTGTGCAGGCGGCGGGAAGAGGATGGCATGGACAGATAAATATTGGATGGATGTATAGATGCATCCTTCCTTCTGTTCATGCCCCCCTCTTCGCGGATTAGAGACGCCTGCCGTTTCGACTACATTTGCTCATGACAAATGACACATGACAGATATGAGAATTGAATGAATTTTCACTTATGATTTGAGATTTTTATGCGAGTAGCTTGTAGGAGTAGAAATTGGCTGGCATAGGAGAAAGATGTACGAATGAGATGTGTCATTGTAACGAGTATTTATGCTAAATGAGTATTGTACAGTCCCGCAGGATCTACCATATACAGCGGATATCACATAGTCTTCTCGAGAGGACTACTTTTGAGCTCCACTCCCACCGTTCTCGTCTGCCCTCTTCACCGGACCAGGAGGCGGGGGGCTGGAGAATACAGCCTTGACACCAGAGAAGACGCTGTCTCGGATCTGTAATAAACTGATTAGTCCCCCACACACCAATACACTCGCAAAAAGAGAAAATAACTGACCCCATCAAATGGCGTATCCTTGGTATCCCAATTCATGAAAAGAACCGCATAGATCACGACAACTAGAAAAAAAAAACCACGTATCAGTATCCACACCACTCTACCAATCCGATTCAATCCGATCTTATAAAAGAATCACTCACATCCAATAATCACCCACTGCGCCAGCGTAACAGTCTTAATAAACTTGGGCCGGGCATATTTCAACGCCGCGCGCCGCCGGTACTTTCGCTCCAGTCGGAACTGGTGCTTGGGTGAGAGCTTGGACATATCCGGTGGCCATTGGCGCTTCGGCTTGTAGGGGCTGTAGTATTCGTCATTGGGGTTTTGGTAGGACTCGGGTTTGTCGGAGGAGAGGCGGAAGGGCGAGGAGGATTTGAGGGCGGTGGATGTGAAGGGGCGGGTGGTGCGGAGGGGGAGTTGGGTGGTGTTCTAGATTGAGTATGTTAGAGATTGAATGATTGAGGTGTTATGGGGGGGTTGGAGATCTTGGTCGTACGGTGATGCGCCATGGTTGTTTGGCGATTTGGGTGCGGGTTGTGGTTGAGACTGGGCAAACGAGGCGCGCCGTGGAGGCGGCTGTGAATAATTGTCGGATCATGTGTATTGTGGTGTAGAGTCTCTTTGCTGTGGGAGATATGGGCTGTTGAGGTATAGTTGCGAGGTTACTTGCGGTCGAGTCGAGGGTGGATGGTCAGGTCAAGCTGGCGCGGTCGAGAAATTATTTGATCTGCCAGTCTCCGCATCTGCTCCGCATTGACATGCACATCCACTGGCTCATCCACAATCTTCTTCCTCCAAATCTATTGCTCTTTGTCGAATATTCGAATCATTTTAATTTTTACACTGCCAACATAATCCTCAAACTGCCTATCATAGGCGAGAATCGCGTTGGGAACTCTACTTATGGTCCTTTTAACTGGCTGTGAGATTGACTCATCGATCAACTAGCGCGATACCTTTTCGGGGGCCAGACCGTCTTTATAAAGCCAGCACCGCCCACCGCGAGGTTTGACCGGGCAGCTTTGTCTTCTCTCAAGCGTCTCAGATCCTCCTCTGATGACCATGTCTCTGCCAAGCCTTCCCCCGGAATTACTGCAAATGATAGCAAGCTATATTACAGACAACCGGGAGGGCAGACTGCAACCGGCCCAAACACTGAAAAGTATCTATGCACTGTCTCGCACTTGTCGCGCAATCCACTGTCAACTATGTTGGAACGTATATCGATACGATGCTGATAGAGGGCATAGCTTCGCGCTTGTCTGGGCTACCGTGACGAACAACCCTCAGACGGTGAGGTTATCTCTGGCTGGCGGTGGCAATACTCGAGCCACAAATCAACACGGCCAGTCTCCGCTATGGTTAGCAGCCCGCCGAGGACATCTGGAGATTTTGGAGATACTGCTGGACCACGGTGCTGATATCGAGATCAGGAATCCGGTAGGCATGACTCCTCTTATGATCGCAGCCCGAGAGGGACAATGCGAAGTTGTGAAGGTATTACTTGCTCGCGGGGCAAACCACGCAGCCCAGACCCGAGACCACTCTACAGCTCTCCTTTGGGCACTACGGGCTGGCATGGTAGATGCTGTGAAGATGCTCATCGCACATGGAGCCCAGTTTCCAGAGCCCAAAACCACCCCCTGGCGACAATGGGCTTTGGCTGCATACCGTGCCGGTCCTGATAGGTGGGACGATATCCCCGAGATTCAAACACTGATGGAATCAAGCTACGATGGAAATCAAAACAGGCTTCTGTCAAAGAAACCCCTTCTGAATGCTTTGCGGTACCAATTCCTCGCAATGTCCACCTTTTTCCTTGACCAGTGCATCACCCCGATTGGCGATCTTGGATCATTCTTTGGTTTCTGTCCATCCAATGAAGCCGTGTACGGCGAACCCAGACAGGGAACCGAGCGGATGTTCTGGAAACGCGAAAAGGCATGGGAGCAATGGCATTACTTTGGACGCCCAAATCAGAATCCGATGTGGTGGGCTGTGTATCATGGCGAAGAGGAAATCGTGGAGAAGATGTTGAAACGCGGCGCAGAGACTACTTCTATTACCCACTGGCCCAAACAGAAAGCGCCGAGGAATTTGATCTCACTTGCTCTAGTCCGACGATACTACGGGATTGCCGAGCTGCTGCTGGACTATGGGGCTGATCCGAACTACGAATTCTGGGATTGCTACCTGCTCACCAGAGTGCTCCGAATTGGAAATGAACGGTTGGTGATGAAGGTTTTGTTGCGCTTGAAGAGTCTTGGTGCCCTGAACTTTACTAACAATGGAAACCTGCTCGCCATAGCGATTGGAAAACAAAACGCAATGTTGGTCAAAATGCTAATTGAATTTGGCATAGATCCGAATGCGGAGATTTTCTATCATAGAGGTACGGAAAGTGGCCGCGGGTTTAAAAAGCCATTATCTTTGGCTATTGAAATTGGGCATCCGGACGTGGTGGACACGTTGGTTGAGTATGGGGCTGTATAAACGTGTTTTCAGAAGGTAAATCTACCTCAGTCGAATATTGAACTGACATGGCATGGATGAATTTGAACAACCGTTACCAAGGTACGTTAAACCCCAAGCGAGTATGATCTTGTAGACCTCCTTTTATCGAGGCACTTTAGAACTTGCAGTAGAGAATCGCTGTTGGTGTAGATACTTGGTCAGCTTAAAAAGTCACAACCGCATGCTTCCAAAGTCCTCCTTTCCTCCACATGCCCACCGAGACGAATGTTATGCCAGCGTGATGATCCCAATCTCAAGATCTGGGAGCTTAGAGAGACCAGCCTCGAGGCAGGTCTTCACGGGAATATGATACCGGCACTTACGTGTCTAGCTGGCCACATGTTAGATATTCAAACTCGGAAAAGATGTTCCCCTTCCATGAATCGAACCCCCAACCTTGAGGTTCCCTATATACCTCCCCAAAATGCTCCATCGCCATCTCGCGATGCCGAAGGACATACTTTCGAGGCTCCGCCGGCACCATACCCAGTAAACAGTTACCCTCCACACCACTAAAATACCTTAAAAATATCTTATTTAAGATTTAAAATAGGAGATATAGGAGAGTAATATATACTTATAAATTTTTATAAGAAAAAAAAATAAAAGAAGAAATTGGCGAGCGAGGGGGGATTAGCTCGCTCGCCGACTCTCCCCCTTAGGGTGTGCCCGGTCATCCGTGGAGTTGTGCTCGACATCGGATACCAGTCAACCATATTTCCCCTCAATTTTCCTTCACAGGGGCACACCCTTGGCCAACCAGGTGGCGACCAACCTGGCTGACCAACTAGGCCATATGAGGGGGGAGATTACCTGGAAGAACTTGAAGTTAATGATAACCCTCAAGACGGCTGGTTTTGAAGGCTCAACCACTGACTGGTTTTAATATACAGATTTCTGTATAAACTGCAATTAGACGATCACGATCTACATTTCTTGTTAGTAAGCACATAAAGTTATACCAGCCAAAATATTATTGTGTTGCATGTGATAACTGAGACATAATCCATCGGTAGAGCTTTAAGGTGGTACTGTAGTCTGGACCAAGTTAGCCAACCTGAGGGGGTCCCCACAATAATCAGGGGGCCCCGAGGATAGATGGCATGGGGGTCGGAGGTATAGAATAATCACATTCAAGACTCGATCCTGCACTACGGAAGCCGAGACAATCCCAGTATCCGATCGGCGGAGAGAGCACGAGCATGACGTGAGGTCATCATCAGACGCCTCTCGGTCTTCAGGTCTGCAGTTTTCACATGTTCACATGCTGCTCCAGTAACTGCCCCGGAGATCCCGTGACTGGGGGATGTCCACGGATTAACAATGATGCGGGGACCTCGGCACTTTTGTTGCGACGCCAGCAACGGGCGTAGCTGCGAACAAGGGAAATACCACCGGATCCACGGACGTGATTTATAAGAAAGACCTCGCCCGTAATCGTGCGAAGTTTTTCTCATCCTTGTGTTGCTTTTTTTTCTTCCTTCCCCATACTACCCCCAGACTTCATCCCACATTGACGTCATGTCTTCAGGTGAGCATCTTAGGTCTCCATTGTCAGCATTGCGGGAATCAGCACATGCAACGTGCTATCGACGATTTTCACAAAAAGAACCCGTTCAACTAACTGTCATTCTTTAGCCCAGCAGCGTCTTTCTCAAGTTTCCTCCCACTTTGGCTCTGGCAGCCAGAAGGGAGCCGCCGCCCTCACCCAGAAGAACCCCGATGATATCGTCGTGACCTGTGCCCTGCGCACTGCCCTGACCAAGGGTGGCAAGGGTGGTTTCAAGGATACTGCTGCTGCTGATCTCCTGACTGGTGTCTTCAAGGCTGTCATCCAGAAGAGCGGTATCGACCCCAAGTACGTCGAGGATGTTGCCGTCGGCTCCGTCCTGCCTCCCGGTGGTGGTGCTACCGAGTTCCGTGCTGCTGCCCTCGTTGCTGGCTTCCCCGAGACCACCGCCGTCAAGGCCCTGAACCGTCAGTGCTCTTCCGGTCTCCAGGCCGTCGTCGACGTTGCCAACGCCATCAAGTCCGGCATGATCGAGGTCGGTATCGGTGCTGGTGTTGAGAGTATGACCTCCCAGTACGGGTAAGTACCAATCGTGAACCTACAACCACTATCTCAAGCATGGTTACTAAATTCTGATTCCATATAGTCCCGGCGCCGTCACCGAGTTCTCCGAGCTCCTCGAGAACCACCCCGAGTCCGCCAACTGCAAGGTCCCCATGGGTGTTCTGTCCGAGAACATGGCCAAGGACCGTGGTATCTCTCGTGCCTCCCAGGATGCCTTCGCTGCTTCCTCCTACCAGAAGGCCGTCAAGGCCCAGAAGGCTGGTCTCTTCAACGAGGAGATTGCTCCCCTCGAGGTCAAGTGGACCGACCCCAAGACTGGTGAGGAGAAGACCATCACCGTCAAGGCTGATGACGGTATCCGCGAGGGCATGACCGCCGAGTCCCTCGGCAAGATCCGCCCGGCCTTTGCCAAGGACGGCTCCATCCACGCTGGTAACGCCTCCCAGATCTCCGACGGTGCTGCCGCCGTTCTGCTCATGAAGCGCTCCACTGCCGAGCGTCTGGGCCAGAAGATCATCGGCAAGTACGTCACCGCCAGCATTGTCGGTGTCAAGCCCCTTCTCATGGGTATCGGTCCCTGGGCCGCCATCCCCGTTGCTCTCGAGAAGGCCGGCATCAACAAGGATGAGGTCGACATCTTCGAGATCAACGAGGCCTTTGCCTCCCAGTGCGTGTGGTGCGTCAACGAGCTTGGCCTGCCCGCTGAGAAGATCAACCCCAAGGGTGGTGCTATCGCCTTCGGTCACCCCCTCGGCTGCACTGGCGCTCGCCAGGTTAGCACCCTGCTGACTGAGCTCAAGCGTACCGACAAGAAGATCGGTGTTACCAGCATGTGCGTTGGTACCGGTATGGGTATGGCTGCCGTCTGGGTTGCCGAGTAAACTGGTCTTATCTTCTTCCATTGTACATTGCACAGCGCCTTTTTCTTTCTTTATATTTTGGGTTGGGTTACTTCTATATCCACGGATTTTGGTGTATTGACCACCTATGAGGATACCACGAGAGATTGATCATTTTTTCATGTATATTTTCCAGGATTTTGAGGTGAAAAATTGCTCCACAAATAAGAGGTAGATTCTTTTCTTCTACAAACTTATCCAAAGTCCATAGATACTTTGTACCTTAAGCCCGGAATGTCTTGAAAGCTTCCGCGACGGTCATCCCCTGTGCGACTGCTTCCTTGGCTTGATCATCCATACTAATCAGCTTGGGCATCAGCTCCATGACGGGCTCGAGCAAGTCGCGCGGAATAGCAACTACACCCTCCATAGGATCACAAAAGATAATATCACCAGGAGAAACAGTCACCCCTTCAATCGTAATAGGGACATCCCGCACAACAGCCTTCGCCTCAGCACCCGTCCCAACCGTCGACGTCCCGCGAGCCCAAATCTATATCCCAAATTTTAGCCTTCACTCTTTCTCTCCAAGTACTATATCCCACCAAAAGAAAAGAGTAACATGGTAACATACCGGAAGTTTCGTCTCAATCAACTCCCTCAAATCCCTAACCCTCCCATTCACAACCGTCGCCCGAATCCCAAGCACCTTCATCCTCGTCGCCATAATCCCACCCGTCACAGCACAATACTGATCCCTAGGTTGATCGATGACCACAATCGACCCGACATTCGACGGGTCCGCCGCGGCAAAGTCGCCCACAAAGTCCACCCAGTGCTTTCCCGGCGGGAATCCGTGTTTCTCGGGATTTTCGACGGCGATTGCGGGTGGGTTGTCTTTTTTGGAGAGGAATTTGAAGGTTGTTGCTGGGGCGGCGATTCTTTGGGTTTGCTCGTTTCTGCCGATTATCGGCGAGAAGGGGGCTATGAAGGATTTGTGAGTTGGGGGTTGGGCTTTTTGGAGGGGCTTCGTGGAGAGGATTGTTCATAGAATTGGGGAGCCTCTTGTCTGGGCGATAGATAGATCCGTGAACTTACTGAGATCTGCTAGGAAGCCAGCGCGTGCGGTGCCACCTTCGGGGACTCTTTGGAGTTTGAGGAGGGCATCTGATATCTAGATTGTGGAAGAATGTTAGGCCTGTTAGGATAATAGCAGGCGTGGTCTTATATCACAATAGAGTCCTAAGATCACTGTGTATAAGGAATCAATACTTACATCGCAAGCTGTATAGTTGTTCGCCAATGTCTCTAGCTGTTCCTTGAGGGAAGCCATTGCGGGGTGCGGGGTGGTATGGAGAGGTGTATAACAACTTCTTTGGGTTAAGGTACCGAGTATAATAAGTCAATAAAAAGGTAGCAAGAAGGATAGAGAAAGAGTGTGTAGTTGTCAACTTGGAAAGATAACCATTGAAACGTTGAATTTCCTCTAGCACATGCCCGCTTGTCCGGGTCTCGGAAAACGACGCCATCGGCCCACCCGAGGATAGCCAGACTCGTCTCCCGAGATGGAGGGGATAAGGAATCTTTCGGAACGTACACGTTTGCACCTTGATATGTCAACAGAACGTGTCTTTGACCTGGTATGAGGGCATCTAGGGATTTTTCCATGGCTAATCGTCTACCATGCTAACAATATCTGCATGTGCCATATTCAACAGACCTAGACATCTCAAATTCCCCCAGACAGCAGCACATGAGTCAGAAAATACAAACGGGTTTCTAGTCAAAAGATGAAAGATTGATATTTGTTGAAATCCTCTAGCGTTATTGAACAGGTTCATGTCTCACCGGTACCATTCCATTCGTCTCATCACGAAACCACAGCATCAAAGCCATCTGGCTAATACTATCACCATCCCAGCCCTCATCCACGAGACCCATCAACCCGGGATCCGTCTTAAATTGCAAAACCTCAAACCTGGAATGACGTAGCTGATGCAGCAGCCATCGATTCACAAACGTAAACTTGTTCAAGGGCACAGGACGTCCCTCTTCAAAGAACGGCGACCGGTCCTCGAACTCGGTCAGTCGCAATGGATCTCGTGGTGGTTGGTTGTCTGGAGACTGGGGTTGAAAGTCTGCTATAACTTGATCCCATTGTTCATCGAGCACAACTGCTTCGGGATGATTCTCGTGTTCGGGGTGCGCTATTAGTCGGCGGATTGCAAAGTGTATCCCGGCTTGGGTTTTCGCCTTTGCGTCTTCGTAGTTTGCAAGGAAGGAGAGTGCTCCCTGATCAAGGGAGATGCCGATGCGCTCGCGAAGATGTGCTTGGTTTAATATATTCATATATTCCGATTCTAGATCTCGGAGCTGTTCGCGGAGAAGGTGAATCTCCCCAACTAGGGTGAGGTATTCTGCAGCCTTGGATGAAAGCTGGTTGGGATCGGCGTCGGCATCGGTGGAAGAAGAGTCTGAAGAGAGGTTCGAGTCTAAATCAACAACTTGATTCTGATCTTTTCTTGATGTAGCTTGTTTACGCAGAATCTTGTTTAGTTTTGTCATGCGCTTGTCTAGGACATTCTCTTCTTTATCAAGCTCATCTTCGATCCTGTGGTAGTCATTTTCGAGAATACGGTAAAGTTCCGTGGCGGCTTTTAGGTCGTCGATGGCTTTGTTTATTGTTGAAGCTTGCTGGTGGATAGCCTCTGGAGATAGCCAACTCAGTTTCTCGCGTAGTACGAGTCGGAGGTAATCCTCCTCCTCCCGTTTGCGCCGTAGCGCACGGCGAAGGTCTCGGACCCGCAAGCGTTTGGTACGGACTTGTTGCTGCAAGAGATGAATTTCTTCGAAGATTTTTTCAAGTCGAGTGATGCTGTTGCCTGCATTTACAGGCGCATGATCAAAAGTTTGAGAATGCGGCGATAATGGTGGAGAGTGATCTCCTTGTCGCACGGTATTCGATGTCTTGGGCTCATCTCCTGCTTCTCCGCTGGCACCAGCATCTTCTAACCCATGAGCCGCATCAAGAGGGACCGTGGGTATCGTGGTAGGTGGCGAAGCTCCTGGATAACGCGGATACGGCGGCTGCAGTGTGCCCGAGGAAGGGGAGCTCGGGGCCTGTTCATCGTTGATCCATAGCGAGTCCCATTGGATGAGCGACCTCTCCTCAGATAAAAGATTGCTGGGTGTATAGCCTTCACTCCTGGTATCCGACCAAATTGCTCCCTTCAAAGAAGCCTGTACATGAATGGTAGGGATGAGTATTCACAGTTACTCATATTATCGTACGATCGATCAGTGCCTACCGGCGATACACGAGCCCCCCGAGTTCCTGGCCAAGATGTCATGATTTGATATTTTCGGAAAGGTTCGATCACATATCTTTGAGCTTAAATATCGAGCTCTGTACTAACTCCAACAGCAGAGGAGCGGAGATGTTGATCAACCTGGCGAGGGGGCTGGGGGGTTCGAGTAGAAAGAAGGGGGGAAGTCGCAGGGTGACGATATGCTCTTTTCTTTTGTTCTGCTTTTGTCTCGTGACTTGATTTGGATAAGTCAATAGTTTTCTATTTCTCAAGAGACTTTAGAGGGTGGGACGAGAGACTCATACCTGTCCGACAGCATTTAGCGGGGGCGTTTCAGACTTCAGCCACATCACCGTTGCAGCGCCTGAATGAGGGGCCCAATCCCTTAGGATTCTTACGCTCGATACCCTGTCTATTCCTTGTCAACTTCGGAGCCTTTGGCGCGTGATCTTCCGTCTTTCCCGATATTTGCTAGGCATCACTGCGACTATAACTGTGCCAAGTCACTTTATCTCCAACAGCTACTGGTATCTTTACTTCCTGATTTTCAGTGCTATACAGTGCTAATGCAGTTGGTTTCATGACTCGGCGTCTATAAACGTAGTCTGACGGCTTGTGATACGTGCTATACATACATACTTGCCCTGGTTCTACATTCTTCTCCACAGTAATACCATGAATATTTGGAACGCCGGAGATACCATCAACTAGGGGCGGTCCGAACCGTAAGGACAACAAATCATGGAATGAATTTCAATACGATCGAATACATCTGCACCCATTTCAAATCCAAATCCTTCCTGCCCAACTGTGCTTGATCTTTGGTGCCAGCTGTCATGTTGTCATGTAATAGCGGCAATCGTGGCGCAAATAGGGCATCGCATAGCTACAAGAGTAATGGACTTACTGTTTCGTCCTACAGACAGCCTCATCGGTACATACGTTAGTTAGCTGCGAGGGTTATGTGGCTAGCTAGATGTATGTCAAGCAGCCTTGGAAATTCTGACAAGGCATGAACAGGCCCCGAGGTTAGCGACTTTTTCTGTGTATCGAGTGTTGGTGTTTGCAAATCTCAAAGAACGGTGAGCTTCAATAGCGTTTTCGATAATGTTTGACTAATTGTTCCTTGTGTTTTACGGCGGTAGAGCCCGGCTTCTAGGCCTGCATTTCTTCAACCCGGGTTCAAGATCGTAGGAATCATCCGATATTATTGGCTCTCGGAGCCGATTACGCAGCCAATCTGGAAAGAATCGAAGGCGAGTATCAAGCGGACATTATTTACTTATTAGACAAGTATCCAATTTGGGTCTGCCCTCAAATTTGAGTTAGTGATCGGGTATAGTCAAAGTGATGCGTCCACAACATGGATTCTGTCGCATGAGCGAGGCTGAAGATCACCGCATATTGTGGCCTGAATATGAGGGCATCCAACTCCCCGCTGATCTGACTGTTTGTTGTGGCTGAGTCGTGGCTTAGTGAAGACAGTGTTGGTTCTTTTAATTTGCATTGGAGGAAAGAAAAAAAAATCAAAGCTGAACATCTCTCGGGAGACAAAAAAGCTGATTCTTATACAAATCGTGGAGGTCATTCTAGATGCCATTCACCCCTGCGGCTTCCCTCCGTCGAATATGCTCAAAGAAGCCTGTGATAACCCGGACGTCTTGTTTGGACTTTCTGAAACAGCACTCGTGTCCTTGATCTACAGGGAATTTCCCGACGAGATTGACCGACTCCGGCGGGCTTACTCCATTCGCGACCCTCAAGGAACCCCTCTTGGCAGCCCGTCACCTTCACGCATCCTTTACCAAGAAGACTACGATGAAGTCAATCGCACACTTGTAGGGTTCCTTTCCTTGCGTTGGATACATAATGGAGAATACGAAGTATTTGTTGGGTCTCAGTCCCCAGAGCTTCAGTTAACCAGAGAATCATTTGACTGGATTCGGGATTACTACAACCAAACCATCACCGATGCAAGAACGCTTTACGCTTTAATCACCTCCATCATTATCAACGATCTAGGAAAAGACCCCGAGCTGGCCCTAGATCACCAGAAATCAACCGGAGAAGATATCTCCGACCTCAACCACGATCATATTCTCCTCAAAGCCTGCGATTCCGGCCTAGTCCCGTCACTAGACCGACATTCTGCCCAGGAAAAAGATGATTTACTCCTAGGAATTGAGATTGGAGCATTCTTCAACTTTGGACAGCTGGGTCAGGCGGAGAATGCGCCAGCAGCTTTGACGAGCTTACTTCGGATGGAAGGACGGCAACGCAGCTTTAAGCTTCGCTTCATGGAGCAGCTGCTCGATATTGCAGGTGCCGCAGGCCATATGGACTGGACTTGCGCGAAGAAATTGAACCAGCCTATCTTTGAGTCGTATCGAAATGTCTTCAATGCCTGTTATAGTGTGATCGATGGCACGTTGGATGCCCGCCAAGGATATGATTATGTCCTCATCCAACGCGCAGAATACATCCATACCCAAGGCTTTCGATTGTTGAGAGTGGAAGATGATCGATATGAACGAGCCTTGATGAGGCTATTATGCATGGGCAACGTGACAACAAAAGAAAGCGCTGAAATGTATGAGTCTGCGTTGAGCTCTCTGCAGCCAGCTACCAAGGATGCCCTCGTGTATGCTTTGAATGTGGACGGCTCAGTGGATGAGCCCGCAATTCAGCCGACATATACCCCTGCCTTACTCAGTATGATCAAGAAACCAACAGAATTAGTTGCAGTGCTCGACTACCTCGCTCGGGTCATGAGTGTCAATGCTCGGGTAGATTCTTCGGCTGTTATTGTGGAGCGGAGCGTGCTTGGGATTCTTAAGCGACATATTGAGAGTGATGAGTTCCACGAGAATCCCTCGATTCTGGAAGAAGTTGATGTGCCAGACGATGTAGTTGCGCTCACTGTGCAATGAGTAAAGGATGTATGGCAGAACCAGGTCTACTCATAGAAGCCATCTCGAATTATATTAGATATTGTTGGTGATATGCCGCTAAAAAAACCCAGGAATATTCTAGAATGGCTTCTCTAAGCACTTCATTATAACGCACTATAACTGATGGCACCAAACATTGAACATAGAGTACATTCGGGAGGTAGAGGTTTTGAAGATAGCAAAAGCAGGCCTGATTCAACAAAGTCCAGTCATCCATTCAAACCAATCAAACCAACATGATGAGCAGGGGTATTAGAGCTGCATTAATTATCGTCTATTGTAATTACGAAGGCACATTCGTTCCATTAACAACAATAGCCGGTGCCTGCGTCGACTCCTGAGCTTGAGTGTAAATATGAGGCTCCAGGCTTGCCACGGACACCATGGTAGGTTTGTCCTTTGGAGGTGGAGTGGGAGGGACAGGAGTTGCTTTTCTCTTCAATTCCTGTCGAAGGTGATCCACAGTGGTACGGCTAACATCCCCTTGGCTAGCCAGGCTAACCTTCAACCAGTCATTGGGGGTTGCGAGATACTCCACAGAGCTACGCATTCGCATAACACACTCCCGGTAGAGACAATTCTGTTCGAACCGCCAGCTACATAGAAGAGCACGAACCATGCCGCCTTCACGACCGCAGATGAGTGCCACCACTGGTGGTCGTTCCGCAGCGATAACGGAGACAGTCATGTTTCCTGTGTCCACGATCGTGAAAAGACGATGGCCTTCGGGAACGTTCTGCCTCTGAGCTTCCTGCTGCCACCATGCTGGGTCTTGAGGCTCCACTCCCTCTCGAGTCTTTTTGTTGCGCAGGTTCTTGGAGAAGATAGTCGATGAAGGCGCATAGGCCAGGCGATGGTTGAAGTTTCCATAAATGATCTTCTCAATCTCTCTCAGAGGCATGGTACCCTCAAATCCTACCAGGTGGCAGGATACACCCGTGGCACCGCTGTTGCAAAGCTGTCGTACTGCCCACGGGCTGAACCAGGAGACGATCCAAGCGCATCCAACGAACAGTGCAACACCAAGCAAATACATGGACACATCGATGGAGGTTTGGTTATTTATGAGGGAGAACTCGAGAGAAATAGCCGACGAAAATAGACCGAAGCCGGTCAGGAGGAACCAAGCACCAGCATACACGACTTTCTGAGAAACTGTCGCACGGAATCCGTTCAAGTCTTTGACGTATTTGACCCGGGGGAAGTTCTTCCACCGAATGGGAATACCACGGCAACGATCTAGAATAACCGTAGGGGTGTATTGATCGTCGCCGATGCCAACCACACTGCAAGTGGGCTCTATATCCCAGAGGTGAACCGAATATTGGTCACGATCGGCAATGTTTCTCAGAATCATCTCACTGCCGGCCAGATCACTATGGCCCTGAGCTTGATCTTGGAGCTGCTTCTGAGGAGGGTGGGATGGCCACAGACACACGAGACGCTCGAGGAGGTTATCGCTATCATTCACCAGCGATAGGCGTGCAATGGCCTGGAAAGGGCTATCTGTAGGATTGGCACTGATGCGATAGGCAAGCAGTCCCATGGCTGCGTAAGCCATATCTGCTGTCGTGTATCCTTGTATATCTTTACCGGTAGATAACTGAGCCATGGCTTGAACGGCGCAGGTGAACAATTGCAATTCACTAAGCTTAGTAGTGTTCGTATAATGATTGATGAGATGTGCAATTACGTCTTCATGCGATCCATCGTTCTCTTCTTCATGGCTGGATCGGAATCGAGACGTGGATCTAGGCCAGAAGCTGTCGTACATATCTGTCAAGGTAACATCGAAGTGTGGCAGATCCCGATGGTCGTTTTCAATGGTATCAGGGTTCGAAAAACAGTATCGAATTTTGCCGGCTGCGAGGAGAACCTCTGGCAGCGTCCAGATACGCTGCCCCCATATCCTCTTTTGCTCTGGATCGTCGCTAGGTAGCACGACATAGACTCGCTTCGCACAACGAACGGCATCGCAAATGGAATGAACATCTTTTGTGCGTTTAGACTCCGCCTTTGCCTCTTCAGTCTTGTCATTCACATCGTCGGGTGAGACACAGTCCAGGTCAACCCAAAAGGCCTCCACGGAGGGTTCATCTGGGGCTTTATTTCTGTTTTCATGATTCAACATAGCCTCTGCAATACGATAGAAAAACGGCCGTAACTCGTGGTCTTTCTTGCCGAGGTAGTTGGCTCGAGAGAAACTGAGAAATATGTAGGGTTGTAGCATGCCGGTCTTCTCATCGCGAAGCTCGGTGGTCTCTTTGACGACCCATTGCTTGGTTTCGGGGTCCCTCACCACCAAGCGTCGAGGGATGGTCAGCTTAGTGAGCTGCGATTGCGGTTTCGTGTTTTCGGGCGACTGGTCCAGTACATTGACGGCGTGCTTGGGCCAATACCATGACACGTTCTCATACTCATCATAAGGCTCAGCGGTGCCATCATCACTCCAAGGAGCAGTAACGACTTGAATAGACAGCAACAGCTGAATGACCCAAGCCAGTCCCAAGGTGCACAAAGTTGCTGCTATCACATGCACAATGCGCTGAAGCACTGTCAACGACTCTTGTATGCGTTGTCTTCCGTGTCTGTGTTCTTCATCCTCGTCATCGTATCCAGACTCATACTGCTCAAGTCCTAATGGATTCAAGCAGAGTTCCGCAAGTGAAATTATAAGCGGCACATGTCCCTTGATCTTTCGGCGACTCCAGTGGCGAGAGTTCGTGTCGGCTAGGGCACTCGAGGCGGCCTGCACAACCAGTCGACGGGGATACTCTTTGTTCGTGCTGTAATAAGCATCTGCATCTGGGTATTTTTCGTGCTCGTTGCCTCGCCAGGGATTAAGGTAGCGTCGCTTTCGGTATACTTGCTTGGAGTCTTGTAACTCTAGCATGCGATCTTTCAACTCGCCCGGGCCGACAGAGGGCCGATGAGCTCTGCCCTCAATGGACCAGTGCCACTGACCATCGTATTGGTCTCTCAAGTGTTTCTCGGCCTTTTTGATCTGACGTGGTTTGTCGTCGCGGTGTGAAGACAAAGATGCGCCCATCTTGATCGTTGCGACAGCGTCGCTGATGGAAATACAAGTCCCCTTCAAGACAGGCTTGGTATGACTACTAGGCGTGGGATGATCAAAATTTGTAAATTAAACCCAGTAAGCTTGAAGGGGGGCTCAGGACCCTATATGCCCGGGCCACCTTGATTTGCAGAGCATAGTTTGCATTCAGGAATAGGGGCGTGGCGCAAGCCATAATCTCTACACTGGGAATATGATCAACAATGTCTCCCGCCGTCAAGACTTCTCGATCGGTAAGCAGAAAATAACCATGCAATCATTTTGGCTATGGAAATTTTCCCCATGGCTTTGGCCCCTTCGTTAATTCCCGTTTCTGTCGAGCGCTATGCTCGACACCTTAAGCATCAGCACCGAAGGTTACGACAACTGACGCGAATGAAGAGGTGCATGAGGGCTGGAACACGTCGACGGTCAGCGCGACAAGTTTGTTTTTCGGCATATGACAGGGCCGTGGGGGCCAAACTGGAGTAGCCAACCATTGCCCGCCATCTGCCCCCAAGATAAAATGAGCTAAATAAGCCCTCGTATTGCCTTGAATTTATGATAGGCTGAATTGCTGTGGCTGTCATTATTATTGTTGTTGTTTGTGCGCCCTTGCCCTTTCAGACGGTCGGACCCGCCGTGAGAACGGCTAGACCCGATGGACCAATATCAAGCACAAAGTGGATCTATGAAGAATTTCAGGTGATAGGATAGCAAAATAAAAGAAAAAGCAAGTCTTCTCGGGCGAGGGAGGGGCTTTCTTAATCAACAAGTTTTATGTATGTGAGCACTGACCGATAAACATACCTATTAGAACCTCGAACGGCAAGGAGCATCCATCGCGAGGTTTTTTGGCCCCAATAATACAAATAGTGTAGGCAGAACTTGTCAAAAAAACCTTAACAGGGGTCATAGTCAAAAGAAATAGCCAAAAACTGAACTTTCATTAAGCAACTATGTAAGTCTTGGGGGGGGGGGGAAGACAAGTGTAGGCAAGGGCTTTTGTGTAGGGAAGTTCCCATCATGAGGCTTCCTGGCAAACAACGAGCCTTTTCGCCAGTTAACACTGCCCACTCAGCCATTCTGCAACACATGAGGCTCATCCGTGATGACCTGTAGCTAGGTAGTGTCACGGGTGTTACAGCTATCAAGCACGTGGTGACAAATCTCCGTGGGCATTGAATAGAGCTAGTGGCAAATAATTGATTCAAGTCTCCATCATACCTTTGAAGATCCTGTAGAGTTTATCCCAGCTTCCGCTTGTGCCTCTTCAGGTAATTCTTGGGCTCTGTGTTTAGATCCTAGATAATTAAAGACGAGGATAGCTAGAATGAAATAAAGAAGGCCTAGTGAAGTTAGCAAGACATCATATCAGAGAAATCGATTTACATACCAAACGCGCAACTCATATATGTATATCCAATAGTTTCCTTAAGGACACCCCCGATGATAGGGCCGATCATCATCCCGAAAGAGGCAGAAACGTCAACCATAGAAAACACGCGGGAGAGGCCACCTTGAGGACCAAAATTGCCTGGTGTTCTAGCTTGATACTCCTTGACGATAGCTGTGCATTTTCCTTAGCCCAACAGGATGGCACTATGCAGCCATAGGAAATTGCAAACTCACTGGAGAGCTCGGCTGGTCCGATAGCCGACATGAATGGTCTCAATGCTCCAATGGCAAGAAGTGAGACAATATAAAGTGCTGGTCCAGCGCCCTGCCTGCGAGCCCATGAAAACTGATCGTTCCCAGCAACTCCTGCTAGGCCTAGTAGCCCTGCCTGTACGGCCAACGAGGCCGTGGCTGGAAGTTTTGCTCCAATGGTGTCGCGGACCCAACCGGCGAGAGGGCCGACAAAAAGAGTCGGCAAACTGAAACACGAAAAGAGAAGTCCAGTCATACTAGGGCCCCATCCAAACACTTCTTGCACATGGAGAGGCAGTGTCGCATGAAAGCTCGTGCTAACAGTTGTGCTCGCGATACCCACTAGCCATACCGTAAGGACACGACTGTCGCATAGCATTAGCTTCCAGAAATTTGGCGGACTCGGCGAACTTTGAGGATCTACACGGTTGGCGAGCAGGCATTCAGCCTCTCCCATGGCTTCGGGCTCGCAAGATTGTTTGGATGTGGGCTCGACCATAATTAGACACGCGATAATATTTAGGGTCAGAACTACGAGTGGTACGGACCACATCTCCCAGTACCCTGCGCGCTCTAACAGGAACCCCGAAGCGATAGGTCCGGTAAGCATTCCCGTGTTGATGAAGGACATCATGACACCCATCACGGTACCCAGTTGATTTTCAGGGACGATTCCCGTCACTGTTGTTAACCCAACAATCCACACTGTAGACTCCGCTATGCTTTGGAGAAATCGACCGGTAAATAGGACGGTGACGTAATGGGCGCTAGCGACCATCAAAGTGCCGATAATACACCCCAGCATTGATATCAGGAGTGAGGTTCTCTGGCTTTCAACTTTATCGGCGAAATGTCCAATGACGGGGCCTGAGATGACAGAAATGGCTCCATGGAAAGCGAGAACATTGGATGTAAGCTTCTGAGTTTGAGAGGGATCTATATGAAGGCGGTCCTTGATCATGAATCCCAAGATAGGAACGATGAATCCGTACATAAAAGTCTCTAAACGAGGTTGATTAGTGTTTTATAATACCAAGTAGGAACAATGACATATAGGGACCCCCGCACAGAACGCTGGCTCCCCCATTTTCGCAGATTTCTGCAATGAGATCCATGGATCTAAGATGCTTGAGTTAGACAGCTTTTACGATTCAGGGCCCGTTTCTTGATTACTTGCCTGTAAAGATGTCCCACGAAGTGCGTGGTAAGAATCCAGTCCGTTTCTTTCACAATTCCGGTAGCCCTAAGAAAGCTGCCAAAATGGGCCCTATGTTGGCGATTTTCATGGACATTTGTGGCAAAGAACAGCGGAGTGCCTCCAGATCCACCGCCAGTTCTGCTTGTATAGCAGCTTCGACGATATGTATTCTGGGGGCTCATATCATTCACAAGTCAGTCGACAACGATATATCTTTCAAAGTTAGACACTCCAATATATTTCGGCTCCATGGATCACGTACAGGTTGTGCTTTTGCAACAAGCTCTGGGAGCTTAGATTGACTTTCTTCGCATCGCGCTTGACTTGTTCTTGGACTGCCTTGACGGTCTCTTCGTCTGGTGGATACTTGATTTTGGGGACGTAGAAAGGATGGATATTTGCGATGGCCAATACCTCTGACAGCAGGTAGGGATCCGATGCCATGATTTAAGAAAGCGAGAAGCAGAGGTTCAGATCTGGTGCAGGTGGGTTCAAACAGAATGGAACTCCCGGGGTCGTATTATTTTTTTTCTAATTCAATTCAGTTATTCTTCGAATTATAAATCGGTTAACTGAGCCTTCGACATGTCTACAGCTCACAATAAGATTTTCAATAATGTACGTAATGTTATGCTTGCCTGAGGTGAGTATCCTGACCGACGAAAGGAACGGCGTATATATATCACACGATATAATATTCCCTCAGCTTTCCCCACCTTCGCTAGGCCGTATATCATTGGTCATTCGCGTGGGACTGGCTCACTTGAAGAAAATATGGGCTGAGCTGAGCTGAAGTCCTCTCGTGGATACATAGTGGAGGAAAAGGTAGGTCCACTTAGCTACTGTACTGTATGTACGTATTGTAGATGCATATTCGGGACGCATTGCCGATCGAAGGAAAGATCAATCAGAACCTAAATACTGTACCTATATTACCGATACCTCCAGATCTAGATGGTGGGTCACGGTGGGCCCTAAGTCGTACATCAAACATCATGCAGTACACTGTCTGGCGGGTTGCAGTGGTACCAGGAACCATCTTGGTATCTCCAGGTATGTACACCGTACGGCGTATTACTATTTCCTTTATTAGAAGCATCGAAACTCGACTTGAATCGTCCAACTCGCTGTTTTGCAGACAACCATTCACCTCTGGAATGAACCTTCATGGTCTTTCTAATTGGTCTGTTCAGCAAGATGAGTCTTCTCCCTCCTTTCAGAGAGCTTTCCGACAGCATTAAATCCATCCAAGATTCATGGTTCCCATGTCCTGAGAAACTACTTGATCTCGCAATTGAGAGCCATATTGCCCACTTGGAGGAGGAATCCCTCCTCGAGCGTGATGATCCATTCTTCATCGCCGATTTGGGCCAGGTCGCTCGCCAACACCGGGCCTGGAAACAGGGTTTGCCGGAAGTTCAACCATACTATGGTAAGTTTGGTTTGTTTCAATTTTGACTCCCTGCCACAAATCTAATAATATGATGCCTTTACGTTGTTTCTCGGTACCAGGCCTTGAGTATCTGAAGCAAATAGCTGACACACAGCCAGCCGTTAAATGCAATTCAGATCCCACGCTGCTCAAATGCCTCGCTGATCTGGGAACCGGCTTTGACTGCGCCTCTGTGGAAGAGATGCGTACGGTTTTGAGTCTCGGTGTGAACCCATCTCGAATTCTCTTTGCTAACCCGTGCAAGTCGGCCGCAGCTATGGATTTCGCACGTCGGGCAGGAGTTATGCTGACAACTTTTGATAACATTGATGAATTGGAAAAAATAAAAGTGCATATTCAAGATGCAGCCCTTCTCTTGCGGATTCACGCGAACGATGATAGTGCTTTGATTTCTTTCGGTGAAAAATTCGGTGCTCACCTAAATATAGCGGAAAGTCTCATCTCGAGGGCATGGAATCTACAATTAAACGTTGTGGGGATTAGCTTTCACGTCGGTGAGAATAAGGTTTACCTGTATGCCAGCCACAAGTTGAAGTTGTCTCATCAATATTATTTACAGGTACTGGGGCTTCGAATCCGCAAGCCTTTTGCCAAGCTATCAAAGATGCTCGTCATGTGTTTGGCCTCGCTGAGCGCCAGGGTTTCAATCCCGCAATACTTGATATTGGCGGTGGCTTCCAAGACAGTCACTTCAGCCACATGACTCCAGTTGTTCGGGCAGCCATTCAAAACGAATTTCCTTCTCAAGTGGCTGTCATTGCGGAACCGGGAAGATTTTATGCTCGCAGTGCCTACACACTCGTCTCTCAGGTGATTGCACGACGGCGCCAACTTCAAAAGTCAGCCTCAATGGGAGCTCTAAATATGCTCTACCAAAACGACGGAGTGTATGGCAACTTTATGAATGTTATCATGGAGAAGGAGGTGATGGCTCCCCGCTTGTTCAGTCGAGAAAAGTCGAAGGGAAGGCCCCTTGTTAAAACACTAAAAAAGCCGGACAATGAGAGGACCACTAGCACACTTTCAACACCTGAAAGCCATCGATACTCTATTTGGGGACCTACCTGTGACAGCATCGATTGTGTTGTTCGAGAAATGACATTTGATAGAGAGGTCAGGGTGGGGGACTGGCTTATATATCGGAATATGGGAGGTAGAAGCTCGTTCCGTTCTTTCTCTTGGTTAAATTCGAGGGCTAACATCAGGCAGCATATACACTGACTACTGCGACCCAGTTTAACGGCTTCAACTGCTCCCGCAAGATTCTTTATGTGAATAGCGAATCAATATGAGGCCAGGACGCAGTATCGATCCGTCTGTTCCCCTCTACCCGAAGTTTATAACTTGCCTGTCATCTGTGAACCAAGAAAAAAACCGTGTCTTATCCCAGCGATCTTTTCGCTGATTTAGATAGTTTGAGATTTTTATTGCGCGCTTTTGTATGGGTTCATCAACTCGGAATTTAATATATCTATGGTATCCTATTTCTAACCGTTTTTGGAAGCCTAAGGACTCAAGCGGCTCGCCTATAGTCTCGCAGAACACTTAAAAAAGCTGTAGCCTGCACCATGGCCATGATGCACGGGCACGCAGATGAGTTATTTGGCCAGTATTTCTTTAGAAGAGCTGTTGAGGGTATGGATTTGGCATGAAATTTGCCTCGTGGGGCAGGAAATTAGGTGCTTAACCTAAATCAGGTTAGTAGTGACAAGGTGCCCGGTCGGGTGGGTGCCAGCTTAACCCAAAAAGGAATTACAGAATGGAAAAATTCTGATGCTGAACTTTTTCTTTTAACACCCGCTGGCAGAATCGGAGCCGCAGTAGCGAAGTGCAAGAATCGTGCATATTTCCGGCCTCCTCTCGCCTCTTTTCCAGTTCCAGGCAGGGCCTACTAGAACCAGAAATCGTTCCAAGTAGCCCTCCGACCTGACTCTATTCTTTCCAGGAGCGACTAAAATGAGGCCAAGTGCAAATCCATGTCCTATATTATGAAGCGCCCACAGAGGCACAGCCTTCAGTCAAAATACAATTTCGTATTCTGTAACTTTTGTTTGCTTTTCCCTTAAGCTTCATAGCGTCGAATAGTGCTGACTGATGCGCCATGACCCGCCTCACTACGGGCTGTCTAGCCAACGAGCGTCCATGCAGTCAGCTCTTAGCGCTGTTTAGGGCACAGAAAGTAGCTCACAGCCATCCACGAGGCCGTGTGAAGTCTGGGGCGTCGGGTTGCCTGCAGACGAGATGGAAATAATTGGGGGTACTAGAATCACGGGGATCGAGGATTCCTGTCTGGATCAATATCAACCATCCACCCAGCCCTGATGATAATTTCCTACCACAACCCCCAAAAAATCTACACATGTACCCCTGGCATGCAAAACTCGCATCTTGGGCCGAGGGGACGGGACTTCACATCGATGCCCTCGGCCTTGTTACCCTCCTCGGGGCGGAGGAAATGGATCGAAGCATAGGGAGACTTGTCCCAAGCCTTTACTTCGACTTTCTACCTTTGCTAGGAGCGTTTGTCGTGGCAGGGAACCGATTCACCCAGAAGAAATCCGGCTTTACTTTGTACAATGTCTCGGAGGGGATTATGACCACCGAACTTGCTGGGTGGTTCTCCAGGTGGCTTCAAGGACAAGAGCTTCATCGAGTTCGCAGCATCATTCATTGGGAAGTAGGTGACCGACCTCCCAGATGGAGATCGTTCCTCATCGGATTACTTCTGATAAGTGTTCCCACCCATGGAACACTCATTGCCCTCACCGTGTTGGCGGCCGACTGGTGGGGGTTTGCAAACGTCATGGCCATGATTGTTTCAGTGGTTGTGAGATATATTCAGGTCGCGCAAAACCAAGCTGGTATTGATAGAAATATCAAAGACGCTCAGCAAGAGGCCCAAAGCTACAATTATCGACAAAAATTCGAGATCTACGAGGCAGCAATTGCACACCATGAAGAATTGCATCAAAAGGGGACAATCAGCGAAGAAACAAAACTACCTGTGGAGCCCAGGGATCCAAATGAAATTGCCAAAGTGATCGTTATCACGGAGGACTCCAAAGCTGTGACTATCGCTGCGCCAAGGTATCTGGTCAAGCAGGCCTTTACAGCCAGCCCACAAATTCCGAATCGTGTTCTCTACACAATGTGCCAATGGACTGGTTGGGTCGCATTCGCTGTGCATGTTATCAGCATTGGTATGGCCGGCCTCTATACTCAAATCTGCTCGGTCGTCATCATCCTTGTTGCTACCGTTCTAACAGCCCATAAGGTTGGCTGCGAAGATTCGACATTATTGCCACTCCTCCGCAGCAAAATCGGACAAAGCACGGATGAAGATATGGGGTATAGCTGCTGGGTTAGCTCAAGATTGAAAGCTACCCTCTCGTCCTACCCAGCCTCCTACACTGATTGGAGTGACACGCAACAAGGCCGTAAACTCCCCAGTGTACAGGAAATCAACGAGTTCAGAGGAGTCTCGAGAAGGAGCCGAAGAAAGCCGACCGATATAGAATCACCTAGCTCGAAGCCAGACATCTCAGTCAAGGTTCCCGAGCGCCGTCAAGATCTTTATGCGTGGCTGGACTTGACGACAGAGGAAGATAGTCATCTCAACTTTTGGGGACTCATACCCCACAACAAGGAGTGGAAGAATATGTATCTAGAAAAGAAAGCCAAACACCGCAGGCGGATGAGTGAATCTTGTTAAACAGGAATGAAAGCACATAGCATGTACCATATTTAATTTGAATCTATGAAAGCGCGTATCTGATCCAATGTTTTGTCTTTTCCGTTTTGGGAAATTATATGATGATGTCAGCAGCGGAGATTCTGTCCCCTCACCGCCCGCAAAAATCTCACCGCCCGATGAAATTTCCCAAATTGATCTTTTCGACTTCGAGTTGAGATTATTCAATAATACAGCACAGCAGACATGAAGCGCAAGTTGGATGCAAACGACGTTCCCTCGCCCGAGCCGGCAGGTGCGGATGAGAAGGAATTCGATTTTGAGGCCCTCAACCTCGATCCCCGTCTGCGCCAGGCTCTCATCAAGGAAAACTTTAGCAAGCCGACCCTCGTCCAGGCTAAGGCCATTCCGTTGGCACTTGAAGGAAAGGATATTCTGGGTAAGTCCACCTCGACATCCCAATTTTCATCTTCCATACTAACAAATACAGCCCGCGCCAAAACTGGCTCAGGAAAGACCGCCGCCTATGTCCTCCCAGTCCTGCAAGCAATTCTCCAACGCAAATCTGTCAGTCTTATCAGATATTATGATAGTAAGGATCAACGATTGCTAACACTATCTTCCCAAAAATAGGCCGATCCCTCGTTGAAAGCCACCACCGGTCTCATTCTCGTCCCCACTCGCGAACTTGCAGAACAGGTTCAAAAAGTCATCACTTCGTTCACTGCCTTCTGCGGAAAGGATGTTCGATCCGTCAACCTCACTCAGAAGGTGTCCGACGCCGTGCAGCAGTCCATGCTTGCCGATTTCCCTGATTTGATTGTCTCCACGCCCACCCGAGTCCTGGCCAATGTCAACAACTCCGCACTGTCGCTCGAGAAGCTTACTCACCTGGTGATTGACGAGGCCGACTTGGTTCTTTCATATGGTTACGATGAGGATATCAATGCTCTGTCAAAGGCTATCCCCCGTGGTGTGCAGACATTCCTCATGAGTGCCACTCTGACCTCTGAGGTTGATACTCTGAAGAGCCTGTTCTGCCGTAGCCCGGTGATTCTGAAGTTGGAGGATAGGGAAGAGAAGGGTGCTGAAGTCAGCCAGTTTGTTGTCAGGTATGTATTTGGTCATATTGTCTCCTTATGTGTGAGTAGAGGCTAACATACCGTTTCCAGATGTGCGGAAGACGAGAAATTCCTCCTTACATATGTCATCTTCAAGCTACAGCTGGTCAAGGGCAAGGTTATCATTTTCGTCGGTGATGTGGACCGCTGCTACCGTGTGAAGCTTTTCCTGGAACAGTTCGGTATTAAGAGCTGTGTTCTCAACTCAGAGTTGCCCATTAACTCGCGACTACACGTTGTTGAGGAATTCAACAAGGGAGTTTACGACATTATCATCGCCGCAGACGACCAGGAGGTTATGGGCACACCTAAGCCTTCCAAGAAGTCACAGGAGGTCGACGAGAATGCGGAAAAGAAGGAAGAAATTGGCAGCAGTGAGGATGAGGAAGAAGTGGAGGAATCCAACAGCAAGCAAAGGTCGAAGAAGCGCAAGATGTCCAACAAAGAAAAGGACTACGGTATCTCGCGCGGTATCGACTTCCAAAACGTTGCCTGCGTCCTCAACTTTGACCTCCCCTCCACCTCAAAATCATACACCCACCGTATCGGACGTACCGGACGTGCGGGCAAGGCCGGTATGGCCCTCTCATTCGTCATCCCCACCGACCAATACGGCAAGCACAAGCCCACATCGACCCCCAGCGCCAAGAACGATGAAGCCGTCATCACCAAAATCATCAAGCGTCAAGCCAAGATCGGCAACGAGGTCAAGCCCTACCACTTCGAGATGTCGCAAGTCGATGCCTTCCGCTACCGTATGACCGACGCCCTGCGCGCCGTCACTCGTCTTGCCGTGCAAGAAGCTCGTGCGCGGGAGATTCGTCAAGAGCTGATCAAGAGTGAGAAGCTCAAGCGCCACTTCGAGGAGAACCCCGACGAGCTGCGCCAACTGCGCCACGATGGTGAGCTGCGTGCTGCTCGTGTGCAGCCTCATCTGAAGCACGTGCCGGATTACCTGATGCCTGCTAAGGGACGCAAGGGTATCTCGAAAGAGGATGTTGGATATGTCGGTTTCTCCAAGACGAATGAGAACCGTATCCGCAAGGCTCGCGATCGTAACCGCGCTCGTGGAAAGGGCAAGAAGACTGGGAAGGTTGACCCTTTGAAGACGTTTAATCGGGGACGCAAGTGAAATAGATATGGAGGAGTGCTAGACATATGCTATGATACCATTGTACAGTTGGACTGGAAAAAATTACATTCGCGATTATCCTTTTTCTCCATGATATTTCCTGTAGAACGCTCCGCAGATTTAAGCTGTCTCTGCTAGAGACAAATGTATGTACGCTCTATTCAACTGAACGCGTGAGGCTTGAGCGGCTGTCCCACGACTCTTCATCCCCTCCGGTAAAAGCCTCCATCCATTTCCCACGGCCTTCTCTTCTGATAGCCCGAATACCAGTGCACACCTCTTTCGCCTTGCTGATCGCATCGCGCCAGGCCTGACGCTCTTTGTCACGACGGTACATCCAACGTTCCTCCTCCACGTTCCACGGTAGATCCGTTGGTGGAGGAGACCGAGGAGGGTCGTTGCGATCGGTATGGTCCTGCATCGAGAGATTTTGGAGAGCAGTGACCGGCGCAAGAAGAGAATCAGCCCGCGACGCGGGCGGGAAATACGACGAACGGGGCATGGTTTGAATTGCCGAGATGGGTCTTGTGAAGGGACGAAAAAGATCCTTGTCCCCTGGGTACTCAAAGCCAGGACCTAGACCAATCCATTCAATATTTCGCCAGGACCCATTCCATTCTGGACCCGACGTCCCAGGGCGACAGGGCAGGCCGTCTGGATCAGTGCCCGTCCATGTCAGCGCAGGAATCCACTCAGAGCAACCCTCGAGATCCAGCCATTTCAGGCAGTAGGTAAATCGAGAGAGCTGTCGAAGGATTCCCGCTGCTTCTGCCCAGTTGTTTTCCGTGCCGGAGTACACATCTGTACCCCCGTGTATGAATGCGGGACCACGGTGGTTTGGTGGGCGCATGCGCGCAGGGGCGGTATGAGGGGTACGAGTTGGAGGGGGCCACTGAGCCAGAGATAAGTGTGTGATGGTAGAAAGGCGGGAAAGAATGTGAAGGAGAGAGTTCCAACTTGCAGCACCAGGGACTGGATGAGCGAGGGAAAGGTAGCGGAGATTGGTGAAGCGGACGTTTTGGCTGATTGGTTTTGGAATATAACCGGTTGTAGCGGCAGACGCATTCGCATCCTCCACAGACTCAACAGACGTCTGCTCATCCCACGAAGCAGGGACGCTCTCTCCGGGTGCAGGCTGGGCGACAGCAGGTGTTGACTTGGTGGTGATGAACAGCTCGCCCGAGAGTTGTTTGAAAGTCATCCAGTAACCCAACGCCCACCCCAGATCCAGCCGGCAGGTAATAGTGTCGGCTTTGTGGGCAGTATCCACATCGGCTTCGCCTTGATCCCCAGCAGCTTCAGCAGTGTCAAACTCGGTGAGAAACAGAGGCTTCAGGCCCCTCATGCGTCCTTTCAGAGGCTGAGTCCTCGTACGAGCCGCATAGACAGCGACATAGCTGAGCATGAGCTCTTTGGTATGTGGGGGTAAATGAGCCAGAAAGGATCCATCGTAGTCCAGGTGCCAGGCCCAATTCAAAGCCATAGACTTAAGGACTGCATGGAGTAGACTAGACTCGGGTGGGAACTTTACCCCCGGTAGTCTATCGAGACGATATATAGTAGTTCTATCACCTCCGGTAGTAGCCAACGTGGCTTCTTCCGCTGACTGCGATCCCTCGCTATCTCCCGAGAGCCAGCTGTTTGGGGGCGGAGGCCCCGGGGTCAATCGCACTGGGCGCCCGCCGATGATCGCGCGGCGAGGTCCAGGGCGAGGTCGAGGTGGTGGGGCCTCTGGAAGTTCGAGAAGGTTTCTGAGAGATGGGTGAACGGATCCTTGGGGGAGAAGAGATTGCGAAGAGGTTGGAGTGTCGTGTTCAGAGGGAGTCGGCGCTTGTGTGCGGCGAAGATGGCTGATCAGGTCGTTGACAGAAGGCGAGTCAGACGTGGTGGAACCAGCAGGTCGTCTGGTTTGATCATTCTGCCGGGGCCTGGAAGTGAGGGTATGATGCGGGGTACCAGTGGGTTTGAAAATAAAGGACTTCTTCTGCTTTTTGGTCATGAGCAATCGATGAGTTTCCGAGGGCGTAGGTGAAAGAGGCAAACATGAGTCAACGAGGCTGGCAACTCCCCGATGTCATCTTGATTACCCTTATCGCTTATCGATTATCTTATCGTCCTATCGGCCCTTACATATTGTCCTACCAAAAAAGGACTGAGCGCCGAATGGGTGATTTTTGCGAAGCCATTCTTTTTGCCGACCTTAATTTCACCACCACATCAACTATCTATGCATAATATCACTGTCTCCAATATCTCAACACTTATCACATTCATAGACTTCATACACTTGTAAACGTTTATCAAGCAAAGAAGCCTTGGTCAATTGATGGATGATATCTACGGACTACGATGTATTAGTATCTTAGCATTCCAGAAAAAAAACTAGCTTCCCTGTTTAATATCTACTCTTAATTCTGGGCCCCGCTTCCAAGACGCTAGCTTGAGAAATGGGTATATTTAGATGGACCTTGATATTACATCGTGAGCACTCTATTTCACATGAATACGGATTGTCGTGCAATTCAACACTAAAAGTAGTCGGACTAAATCCATTTAAAAAATATTGGACGATAAGCCATCATAATTGAAACTGCCCAGCCTTGGTACATCAACTCTTTGACCTCACGAATCTTGCAGATCTCCTTTGCTAGGGGATCTCTTGCCGTCAAATGTGGAGGAGCATAGTATCTACTTAAGAGCCCGAGTAAAAATATCCTGCGTATGCTTCCAAACAATTTCCGGGAATCCCTTCTCTCGCAGTTGAGCCATCAGAGATTGGTTGGTCGAATCCTTGCCATCGTGGTTGACGATATATGCACCCTGACCAGAGTTCTTCGGTACAAAATTAGGCGAAGTCGATAGCCATGTCTGCCATTCACCACTCTCCTTGGCCGAAATAGACATTGGCATGGTCAAGAACCCTAAAATTGTACCCAGCACGGATCCCATACTCTTTTTCATGAGTGGCGTAGACACAAGACCCGGGAACACGTGGAGGAAGCTAACGGATGGGTGTTGCGATGCAAGAACCTCAAATGCCAGCGAGGTCATGGATGCTGGGTAGCCATTGGCTTCCGAAAGAGAAAATTTCTTGCTCAAGTCCAAGTTGTCTTCCTCAATCATGATTTCCTTGCCGCCAGCTAAGATGCTGATCACGCGGGGGCTGGTTGCGGCTTCGAGGGCAGGCATTAGGTTCTCAACGAATCTCATACGAGAGTAGTATCGAGTCATGTGGTTGACATCGATGCCGATAGCCGTCTCTATGTTTATATAAAGTTATCAGCCTATTTTCGTGGATAAAGATGTGTCTACGGGCCTGTAAGATCGTCTCTTCGTACCATTCTTGCTGATAGAAATAGCTCCAGCAGAGAGGAATAAGAGGTCCAAAGCTTTAAAGCGAGTTTTCAGTTCCTCACAGGCTTCGTCTACGTTGCGAAGGTTGGACATATCAACAGCCTTGAATCCATAAGTACCATCCGGGTTGGCATTTTTCATCGCGTCGACGACTTGAGTGCCCGCAGCTTCATTGCGACCGATAATGTAGATAGTCGGTTTCTTAACCGCGCCGGCTAAGTTGATGGCAGTGTGTTCTCCGATGCCACTGGTACCTCCGACAAAGAGGGCCACCATTTCCGGCCGTGTGGACTTCAGAGCCGCGTTCCATTCACGGACTTGCGTTAGAGTCTGAGCCATAGCTATATCGTGTTTTCTGTTCGTGCGTGAGAAGATTTGGAAGGAAGGACGTTTCAATAGTAAGATAAAGAGAGCGGTGATTCTATTAATTACCTGCCCCAGTCTAGAATGTGATTATTCAGCGGCTATTCCACGAGTTAACTAACTTGTTATGGTAGTTCATTGTTGGTGGACGTAACTAGCGTGCGCAATTGTTGGAGATAGCAGGGGGGTGGGAGGCCTAATGCAAGTAAGATGATTCAACGACCTCACATAAAGAATGAAGGATTCTAGGGGTACGTAGTTTAGGGGCCTGAGCTTATTAACTCACAACCGAGCTAGCCACCCTAAATCGCTGTATGAAAGGTCATGTTTCATACCTCTGTATCTCGGCCACTGGAGGTTTCCTCTTACAGGATTTGGCGTATACGCTTTGATACCGTAAAAAAGTACAATATATTGCTCCGCTTCGCTCCGCAATTATAGGAAGAAATTATTTCGTCATATTACTGGAAAATTATACGTGATTTTTACATTTCTTTAGGAGATGACCTCTACTGCGACTATAGGCAAGGAAGGCTACTAAGACTTGAAAACGTTGATTTCTTGAATTAATAGATATGGTGATCGAGATATGAATGTGTAATTAATCGCTATTGGCTATTGATATCCTCTCGTTGCCTGATCATCTCGCTTCCAAACGAATTACGATATGATTTCCTATTATAGTAAGTAGTAAGCCGCTTCACCAGGTCAAAATAATTCTTGCCAAGGACATGGCGGCTCTATGGGGACTATGAAACGCACGGACCTTTAATATGTGGCCGTGGAGCAGCCTAATCTCGACGCAAGAAGGCTTAGTTCAGCGAGGAAATACTTTCCAGTGTCCCGAGAAAGGTACAATGCGCTATTGTAAAACACACGGTTGTAACTCTATCATGAAATCTATACACGCTATATACACATAATTGTACAGCTGGGTTCAGATATCTCGAACCCAGGAATCATCCTTCATGTGGCCCTCACGCTGAGGACCTTCCTCCAGCCAAGTCTCGACAAGACCTTCCTTTGGATCTTCATCAGGAAGACCTCGGGACCTCCTTACATCAAGCACAAGGTTCCTGATCTTCAAGGTGACTTCTTTGCGCAACTCAACTGCTTCCTTGTTATTCAGCAGTTCATCGCTTAAGACGCCGAAAGGTAGATCACGAGATTGAGCATCTTTCTTCTCGACCTTAGCCCTCAGTTTTTGCCAGCGGGAACGCATCTCTCCAAACACTTCCTCGGTGTCCACCTTGGATCCGAATGTGACGTCTATCTTCTTGCCAGCGCGAGGGAGGAACCGAGGGAACTCACGACTCTCGTGCATGACATCGTCAAAGCCCTCGATCCACATAGGTACCACGTCTGGGCACTCCTTCGTCTCTAGAATGAGGCGCGCAATGCCCCACTTGAAGTATCGCATGGTCTTGTGTGGTGCCTGGTGGATCTTACCCTCGGGGAAAATGTGAACCCACGAGTTCGCGTTGCAGGCGAACGCAGAAGGTGCCATATGTGCATCATCGCCATGGGTAGTATATGCGATGGAGAGGTCGGAGAAGGGATCGATGCAGACATTCTGGAGGCTAAAACGCTGGAGCTCGGGGGTGGCACGGTTGTGATCGACCGGGAAGGGCCCTTTGGACAAGAGTCGAATCGCTTCTGTGATTGCTGGTTGGCCTAAGCCGCCGAACTGAGAATGCGCAAGGCGATGCGTGGGCAGGACCTGTCCCAACGCAAAGAAGAGGGAGAGTGGCCTAGAGGAAACATAACCCGTATCAGCATAATCACGTTTTATACCACAAACTACTCTTATGATGAACCCACCTGCCCTGAAAGCAGATATCATGACTGCCGAATGACCATCGCTTGTTCCAGAATCGCGCGGGAAGTAGTCCCCAGACTAAAGGATCGTCCATACTAGTTTCCGCGGCTCAATGTCAGTTCCGATGGTTGTTTGCAAGGCGATCTCAATTCTCGGGGTGTTTTATGGGAACGTACACACTGATATGGTTCGAAACTTCATCGGAGACGATCAATCAGCAACTGAACTCCAATTGTATGTTCAAACAACTCGGGCAACGTACCTGTAATCAAACCCTTTGACCTTTGTGACGGGTCCTGCCTCGAGTCCAGCAAGGCAGTAAAAGCCTCGCCGCCATGAACCTCCGCATTATTCAATGCCGACAAGAATGCACGACACAGCCCGGCCACTCCCCACATGGTCATGTTGGACATGGCCCGCCATGGGAGGGACGGGGAATCTGCCGTTGTTGCGCCGGAGTCCATAGTGTTGTTAAGGAGAGGAACCTATGAAAACTCCATAGACGAGATTTGACTCTCGGACACGCAGCGAGTGGCCTGGGGTTTAAAAGACCCTCCTTTGGCCAGGAACAGAAGTGATTGCGCAGGGAAAATACGGCGACTGCTCGGCGAACACATTTAATCTTTCTGGATCATGTGACTGATCCCGGGGTAAATACTGACCCAACAATCGTCCAATCTTCGGCCCTTTTTGCGATTAACCAACTTAACTATTCTATATACGTGACCTCCTAATTCATATAGAGATATCTCATCCATTCCCCTGAGATCCTTTTCTGTTGCTGGTCTTCCATTCTCTTTGCTCCAAAGTGTATAGTTAGGAAAAGGGACCGGGCGCACGGACCAATTGCATTCCCAACTTCGAGCACGATTTTGCCCGTCGCGCCGTCGACTTCTCTCTACAAGCCGCAGCCATGATGTTCAAGCCCACATCGGCCCTATTCTCGGGTCTTCTCTGGTAAGAAGGCTATTTGGAGAGTTTGAGATGATTGGAGTCTGAGGATACAGAGCTAACAGTTTTCCTTTCCGGTTCACAGGAAGACCCCATGGCGTCTCTCATCACCCCAAAAGGCCCGGCAGCGCAAGCGCCTGCGCGCCGTGGACCGAGTCGTTGATACCCTCAGTGCTGCCCTTGCCCGTCAAGGACAGAGCACCAAGGCTGTTGAGCGGTGGTACGCGGAGATGCCGCGTGAGGAGGAGATGCTCCCCAAGGACAAATACTCCATCTTCGACAAGAAGGAGAAGACCTACCGGAAGGGCATTCACAGTGCGTCAATGCCTCGAGAAAACTCTGCTCATCAACCAGAAGAATGTGCTAACTTCTTTTCTCTCTACTTCCAGAGCTTCCCAAGTGGACTCGTGTCAGCCAACGTGTCAACCCGCCCGGTTTCTAAGACCTCGATCATTGCATCACTCCCTCTACGACTCGCCGATACATACCCTTTTTCTCAGCTTGTCAATCGGCATTTGTATTATACTTTGACCCTCGCCTTTGTACCACCCCCTTCGACTTGGTGGCTAGTCTAGGCACACACAACATAGGAAGGATTTCCCGGAGTTTTTGGCAGAGAAAACCCGCCGCAGGCGCTCGGAAGAGAATGCCCCTGGCTTACATTGTTCCATTACCCAGCGTTAGAACTTGTTATACAAATCAATTTGATTCGAAGGACTCATATTCAATGCTTTAGGTTCAAGGGTATTCTAACAATGGGACAGCAAGGATAGACCACGGTAAGGATAGAACATCGCGAGTGATCGATATATCGGAGATCATCCGATGTAAGAGGATTAAATGAGTCGGGGGGGGGGGGGGGGGGGGGGGGGGCGTCGGCAAAGTGCAAATACACACAGTGAAGACCTTGACGCGGTCGAAGGAGCGGCCTGGGGTTGTCCCATCTCTTCAGGAAGGAGCTTGAGCGGCGCTGTACGGCAGCACCTTTGAAACTTGCGATGCAAGTTCCTTGACCCGGTTCCGATTGACACGGCCCTCGTGGACAAATTTTTGCAGACGGTATCCCCGGCGGACTTGCCGCCAGTCTTCGAGCTTTTCTTGCCAACCAGCACCTCCTTCATACCAGGCATTCTTCTGTCTTGTGGACATCTCAAACCCCTGGGGTGGCTTCGGCAAGATCCAGCAAGCTGGGTCAATGTGCCCATCCGGGGGCTCCTCCGCTGAGTCTTCATATAGTTCGATTGTTCGAATGCCAATTCGATTCCCGGAAACTCTCCTTTGTTTGTTGACCGCAGCCCGCCATGAATCGATTCGCGGTACCTGTGCTCGTTTACGTGCAGTGGCCGGGTACTTGAGCCTGGGAACAGGGTCATTCTCGGCGTCAGTAGGACTGAATCGTGGGTCTCCCCATTGCCGGCGTTGATGTATTGGCACTCGCGAGATGGGATCGATCACAAGCCAGGTCTCTCTGTTGAGCCAATGGTTGGCAAGTAATGCAAAGTGATATGGCTTTTGTCCCGGTGTCATCTCATTGTGTATCCACCCCAACTTGCGGTTCAAATGATCAATCAGTCGTACCTCCCAGTCGCTCAGCTTCGCGACCGAAATTTGTTCGCCTTCTGAAACCCCATCCATACAGCCATCCATGCAGCTTGGCAGAGTTGCGTATCTGTTTCGGGCTGTCGCTCTCGCTCTAGCCCTGGATCTGGCCATCGCAGGTTGAGCACATGTTGCTTGGAGGCTGGTTTTATGGAGAGCAGTTGTATTTGTATCTTGCCACGAGTGCGATAGCTGGTTCGAAGTGTGTGCAGTCAATAATGGTGGCTTTTTCGAGGGCCGAAATCTGGCTGGCGCGGTATTGAACTTGGAATTTTTCGAGTCCACGTCGAAAGAAGTTGCGTGTTTGCCTCTTTTCCCTCGGTCCAGCGGGTCACGGCTGGTAGCCAATGTGATCTTCGTAAAGGATGAGTTTGCACCAAGAGGAACCTCTTTCGGCGTATCTGGATATGTGTCGCAGGCACTTTGCTCTGATAGATAACTGGCCAGAAGAGCCGTAAGAGGCGTGCCCGGTGGACCAGAGGACCCTTGAAGGTGCGGCTGTGCCAGTCCCGTCGCCTTGGCTTGCATCTGTGCCGACCACGCTCTATATTTTCGTGAGACAATGTCTCCACGACGAAAGACGGGTTTCGGGGCTTCCATTGATCTTTGGATACTTTGATGCACACTTGGACCAGGGCTAACCTCAGCGACATCGGAGCTGTTTCGTACAAACGATAGGCGAGAGACACGTCGCATGTGCAAAGTATTTTCCTCTGCCCATGAAGGCATTTTCCGAGGAGCGCGTCGACTGTTTGTGGAGATTGGTAGAGAATGAACATTGGTCGGCAAGGCTAACAATTGTCCGATCGTCCTTCCATCCACGCGCAAGCCACCTTCAGCGCGGTCATCGGTGGATCTGGTGTGTGCCCGTGACTGTGGTGTGAACATTTCCAGCGAGATTGAAGAAGCCGTGCTATTTTCGAACCGGTGCTCGTTGAAGCTGATTCGAGGCAACGGCTCGGCGATATCATCCCATTCGGGCCCAAGTCGAATTGGTCGAGAAGGTTCGGCGTCTTGAATGCCGCCCAATGCTCCATGGCACTCTATAGACGATCGCGGATATGGAATATGCGCAGCGGGCATCTCCTCATAGCTCTTCAAGCATTCCGGTAGCAACTTGATTCGTTTTCGCTTGGCCCGGCGTGCTTCCATTGCCTCCAGGCCCGGATCCCGCCACATCCATTGGTAATCTGTTCTGGGTGACTCCCATGAGAACCATTCACGGACATAGCGAAAAATCTTCCGAATGAATGCCTTGTTCCTCTCATGTGTCTTTAAAGGTACCCAGCCATACCAAGTTCTGGCATATCGAGTTGTCATCAATTTGCCCTCGCACAGCACTCTGTGTCTGGTTAATGAGCGAAAGAACTTGCCGAGCTTCCAGAATAGAACCGCAAATATGAAAATGCCCACTGTTCCAGTGAACAGCTCGACAAAAACGGTGGGGTCGATAAAGGTATTCACTGGGACTGGCTTGCCTGGTGTTTCTTTGCCATAGCCTGGCGTAGAAGGTGAAAATGAGTGGTACTGTCGAGGGTCCAGTGGAGCCATCTGCTCAGAATAACCGAACCTCTTCAGCAAGTAGTAAATATCTGAGACCTGATTAGGTCTTCAAGAGAACGACGATTAAGTTGGTGTAGTTAGAAGCTTCGTGAAGAATGAACTTGGAGCTCGGCGGCCAAGTGAGGAAGTCACGCATCCTGCCCTAATGGATGGATGTCCAACTTCCCTCCCATATTATGGCATCACTACATTCGCTGAGTACAAACTGAATGTTCAGGATTTTGAGCCCGATGGATTTTAATGTCATCAACTAAAGTTCAGTGACATGAGCTGGTTTCTTTCCGGCGTCACTCAGAATCGTTGAAGTCAACGAGGCTAGCAGGCACCGACGAAAGGACTAAATCCTTTCTGAAGCCTTTTGTCCATCAAGTAAAATTACTTGCCGTGGTCGCCAACCCTTGTTGTCCTGGAGCATCATCCGAGATTTGAGGAGGCACAGCTAGGAAGACTCAGTGCATTATGCGGAATATTCCCCTCTCACATATTCTCGGTGTCTCGGTGTGGAAGGTCCGGACAGCAGCACAAACTCATCGGTGGATTACGAGCCATGAGAAACAGGGCTCTTAACAATTCCGGATCAAACCTCAGTGTATTCATACCCCCGAGGAGCATACATTACGCGGAAAGCAGCCGGTTAGTATCAAGCTTCCATGTACTCAGTCATAAACAGTCAGTTATGAGATTAGCCATGACGTCAATCCAAAATCCTCGCTAGGTACTCGGACTCGGCCATCGGTGCCGAATTATCGGAGATATATCAGCGGCAGGGCAAGGCTATACTACGATTAAAGTACGCGTTGTTGGGGGCCAAAGTATACCAATCGCGAAGCCTGCCTGATACGGTAATTTGCGGGTCTCGATTTCCCACGATTAGTGCGTTGACAGAGACAGTGGACTATTCTGATTGGACAATGAGCTCGTTCATGTGCATCAAGCATTCCGTAAAGAGCTTCAGTGGCGTCTCATCTGAGGCGTATGGAGTGAAAGCCGTCAGATAATATCGGGCTCCGAATTGAAATGACGCACGCAATATAACAATATGAATCACACTAAACGGCTTCAGTGCTCTACTGCTTTCTATTATTAAATTTTCTCTTTATTTCCGGTCAGGCTTCTAGCCTTTGGCCACAGGCTGTGCAGGATCCTCGTACAATAAGCCGTTTAGGGGATATTTCCGAAGTATTATAAGAGGGCTGACAGCCCTCACGACAATCTCTCGGTATTCCAGCATCATCAATTTTCCGCGTACTTTTAACGACCATGTCTCCAATCCGAGTCGCCATTGTAGGCGCAGGCCCCGTCGGCCTCACTCTTGCTCGACTTCTTTTGAACAAACCCAACATCGACTTTGTTGTCTTCGAGTCTGAAAAGTCTCGAGATGCACGTGGGCAGGGCGGCTGTCTCGATCTACACCCAACGACAGGCCTTGCGGCCTTGAAAGAGGCCGACCTCTATGACGAGTTCTTGGAGAGAGCCCGCTTTGACGGAGAGGCGCTTATTATTTGCGACAAGAATTTTACCAAATTTGTCGAGCTGTCCGGGTCAGATGAGAGATCTTCTCACGGGAGACCGGAGATTGACCGGGTATCTCTTCGAGAGATGCTTCTGAATTCTGTTCCTCCTCATAAAATCCGATGGGGCTGTCATTTACGTACCATTGACGAAGATCACAATCTGATCTTTGACCATGGCACCGAGACTGGATTTGACCTGATCGTTGGAGCAGAAGGAGCCTGGAGTAAGACCCGCAAGCTTGTATCTGATCAAACGCCAAATTATTCCGGTATTTCCGGTACTATTTTCGAAATTCCTAATGCCAAAGAGACAGCGCCCGAGTGCTATAATCTCACGAACCGTGGATCTCTATTTTCATATACCGGAGGCAGGGCTATCATGTCACAATATCAAGGCGATGGAAGTCTCAAACTTGCTGTCTATGCCACTCGGCCGGAGAACTGGTCTGAGAATGCCTCATTCGATATTCATGACATTGAAGCCACCAAACAGGCCATTCTGGATGAGTGTCATGACTGGGCGCCTGAACTACTGCAGTACGTGCGATATGGTCAAAATGTCGAGTTCCGGCCACTCTATATGCTCCCTATTGGCTGGTCATGGGAGAACCGCCCTGGTGTGACGTTGATTGGAGATGCAGCACATGTCATGACTCCCTTTGCTGGCCAAGGAGTCAATTTGGGAATGCAAGACGCCTTGATGTTGTCTCGAGCAATCGTCAAGGGGGCAAATTCAAAAAGCCCCAAAGATACTTTGCCAGCAGAGATCAAGTTATTCGAGAAAGACCTTTTTGTACGGGCTAAGGAGACAGGCACTTTTACGAACGATATGATGACTATGTTGTTTTTCAGCAGCTCACTTCGATCCGTCATTGAAAAGGTCGTTTTACGGAAATTGACCTTCTATGACAAGACTATCCTGCAACGTGCCAAGTACCCACTGATGACTGCTCTTATATATGGCTACTACTCGCTGTTCAAACTATGGCATTAATGGTGACATTTTCATGCAAATATGGACGTCTGTCTGTTCTCTGTACTTTATCGACTTATCAGCTGCGATAGAATTTGATCAATTCGATATTATTGTCTTAAGTCTCCTTACGCCACATGAAGCATCGCAGGAAAGAATGTGGCACGATTGCCTCACTTTCTTTTCGCCGGGTTTCTCCTCTCCCATGCATTCCTTCCGTGATCACATTCTTGATCATATCTCGATGAGATTGAATTCAAGTGACCTGTCATTTAATTCATGCAATCGTCTCCCTGCCATTGTTCTCAAACAGGCAGCAAGAAGCCGGGGGTGTGTTTCAGCCGTTCCAGAGTGTATCGATGATCACATGAAAGGACTCGGAAGGAATGGGTTCCTGTATCCCGCCCTTTTGGTATAGGGATGACCCATGTTGACCCGGCAGATTGGAATAGAACTATTAGAAAGGGAAAGAGCAATCTCAAACCAATCAAGAATCGGGGGAGTCTGGGTCTACCAGGATTGGCTGGTTTAGATTGCTTTGGCTTGAAAGCCTTCCCGATTAGGAAACCCACTGGTCCACAGCCACACCGCTCCAGCCACTCCTTGCTTTTAGCCACGATCTAGCCACTGGGGCTGATGATGTGGCGGTGCAACTATTGACCCTTGGCTCCAAGTTGGGTCCCAAAACTACAATAACCCTCGAACTGATCCACATTGCATAACCCACCAGAACAACAAGGTTGGTTCATTTCTATTTTTACTTTTTCTTGGGGATCCTTGAGGCTTTTGGCTTCACGCGGATGGAGACGTCACCCCTTGTCCTGCCGGGAAACCGTTCCTCATGTCTCTCCCGTGTATGGCTGATCCTACTCTTATCGGTAACGACTGTTAGCTGTTGATGCTCTATCTGCAGGAGTGTTCTTTCCAAATACCCCCTCTCTTTAGATCCCTGCGGAATTGGATTGTGCGCTGCATTTGTAACTGCACGATCGTTCGATACGTTGTCACTGATCTCGAGCTCATGTCTCACGGGGCTGCAGTCTGCTTCGGCGTTAAGCGAATATCTTCATCAACGACAAATCGGGTACCGGGACGTATCCGCTGTGTGACCATCATTTCTCCTAAGTCTGCATTACCAGGAACTCGAGACAGCACTCATTCCGCAGACACCTATCACCCGGGAGTTACCGCTGCAGTGGGCGGGGAACCCAAATGATACGAACTATTGACTGGTCCGTGCCAGATCGACGAAATGATCTTCGGTCTTAGCACTTTTAGGGCGAGACATTCCAAGTGCAGGTGCCAGGCCCGGCCGCGCATGTTGGTGGAAGCTTCCTCCCTCGTGGAGCCCCTTCCCAGGTATTCTCATACCCCTGCTCAAATCTTAGCTCACACATGGTACTGAAGATCTTATCTCTTCTGGTCTTGTGGGCTCTTTCAAAGCGGAGCTCCCACAAGAGGACCTCGCAGTCTCGAACCTAGGGGCACTAGAGGTGTGGCTGATGACCCGTCGATACCAAAGTGTTGTGCTGTGGGTGATGATCCATGAAACTATCGCCTCCCTTTTTTCAGCCATTGTCCTAGGCAGCACTATTACTTCACACTTTTCTTGCCGCGCAACGAAAGATTTTACAGCAAATTCGCAAATAATGGAAGCCCCTCCAAACCAATACCCTCCTTCTTAGGAACCACAGTTGCTGAATGTTTCGGCGTGGCCGATGGGATTGACGACATACTTCCTAAAAAAGCTAGGGCCACCAGACTTCATGCGCCACAGATCACCGTTAGGCGTGGCTTACAGTTTCAGCGACGATCGGATTCCCCTTGTACCAGGACAATTGCGGTCTAACCTCCTGGCTTCTGTCCCCCTTGATCGATCGCATGGGTTCCAAATTCCAATGGGCCATCATGGTCATGCCAATTTTTTTAGGGTTTCCCGGAACCAGCGGCTTGTGGGCACTGACCACCGTTGTCTTTTGATCAAAGGGTTGTCCTAGTTGAGGTGACTGCATACTAGTGCCGACGCCACATCTGTGACCGGAAAAGTGACGGAGACAGCTGCGACGGGCCGGATAGTTAGCACAACAAAGCAGAACCGCCAAAAAAAAAGAAAAAGAAAACAAATTCCGAATATCTTCATTACAATTCAACGTCGAGAACAAGACCAAAAACTCCCCCTCCATCACACCCCCAGGCAGGGTCAAAATGTCAAGCGTATAGTGGAGGCCGGGGGTCATACTGTACTATCCGTGCACGAAACTATTGACAAGTCGAAAAAGAGATCCAGCCTTGAGCCCCATAGGTTCAAGGGAATAGTAGTCTTGATCCCGTACCTCCTTATGAATACTCCACCGGTTTGTCACTGCACATGAACGTCGATCGTGCATGCCAAGGCGCCTGTTTGGGAATTCCTCGTCAAGCTGGCCAGGGAGAATCGGTAGATGGGCGCGAAGAGACCAAATCAGAGACGCAGCTGCCAAGTGGAACCGTAGAACCCTTTAGGCTTAGGGCCTGAAAATACTCTGAAAGTAGCATCCAGTCCCTGTGCTCACTTGGTACTTGCTCCCCAGTTGATCCGCATGCTAGCATCAGATCTGCCCTGGCGTAAGCTGCGATCTCTCAGATCTAGTACCTGCTTTGACTACCCCCTTCCTTTGCTCCATTATTGCGTACCCAGCGATCTAACCACAACAAGACCTGGAAATAATCCAAATTTTTTTCCTCCCCACTGTCCATCTCCCCATTTCCTGGAACGTGTTACTGCAAGGATCTCTCTGTAGATACCGACGGTCCACCGTCCCCGGCTGGATGATCTTTCGCCGTTCCTTTTTTCCCCTTTCTATCAATTGATTCCCAGTGTATGCTTTTCATCGGACTCGATTTTTTGACTTTTTTTTTTCCCTCTTTTGACTTTTGGTCAATATGCTAAGGATTTCTGATCTCCAATTTGTGATGCACACAAAGCATTGACTAAATCCCGGAAAGACGGTCACCGATTCATTGATGCGCTCATCACTCCGGTACTTTGGCCAGTGGCGACATCTACTAGTTCCATCATTTTTCAAGACCTAATCTGGAACTATGAGGCCGAAATATAGTTGGCAGCGGATGGGTCTCGGCTGCTTGCCGGGAGGTATATGAAGACCAGATGAAGCACTTAAGTTGAGACCTCTTTCTACCAAGCATCATTCTTCCAAACTTCATTACTTCATAATTTTAAGCTTTACTGCACATCACCCTTCCTCGTCAACCTCGGCCTCCGTTTATAGACGGTCCCTACTACCCCTCCAAAACTCTATCGTCGGATCCACTCCATTTATACTCCCTTCAACTCTTCTATGCCATTGTTCCCCGATTGGTTCAAAGTAGTTCCTTCGAACATCGGTGTTTATATTCGCCAAACCACCCAGACCACACCTAAAACTATCAAATTCCATAAAGAACAATGCCTGCTCCTCGCGAATTCAGTTTGACATTCGAAGCCGCCCCTCAACCCGCCGCCCGCCCCGGTCTCCCCTTCACCGTCCCCGTCATAGTCGCCGTACAACCTATCGGAACACCCTCACGCACATTACAACTCGTCGCCAGCGCCAGTCTCCGCGACGAAGCCGGCACCAGCCCCGCGATTGGCCTCGGCGGCAATCTGACTGCAAATGTGCGGAGCCGCACCGAACCTTCAATGAGCGGCTACGCCAAATTCACCGGCCTGACCATCTCGCGACCAGGCAAATATCGCATCCGCGTCATGCTCAGCACATCCTCCGTCAACGGCGTAACGACCAAAGAATGTGTTGATTCGGAGGTTATCCATATCCATGCCGCTGCGCCGGTGGCCCAAAGGCCAAGTGGGTCTCTTTCTTTTTTGACCCTTTGATCCTATCCTATCAATCAAATTACCCTACTCGGTTCTCAGCCTTTTGCTCAGGATCAACCCCACTCTTCTTTTTCCCAAAGTACTTGTTCGCCGCGGTGGATAACGGCGCGGTATTGGGTGCTTTGGGGGAATTGGAAGTCTTGACCCCGTCTCATTGCCGTTTCTGGACGCTTGCTGATCTTTTTGAAAAACTCTAGCTCCCACCACGGTGGCAAAGTTGCAACGGCTGACGGCTGAAAACTTGGATATCTCGGTGGCGGATATCGCGAAATGGCAGAGTGCATGAGCGCGTGAGTGTGCGTGGGGGAAATGGAGGTTCTGTCATTGGGTGTCATTGTGGAGTTTCCGGTGTTTCCTTTTTTTTGCGGTGTTTGATTCTTGTCTGAAGTTCTTTTTTTTGATTACTTTCCTTTTTTTCGAAATATTTCCTTCAGATCGATTCTTTCATGGGCTCTGGAGCTTCCTTTTTAGGGGTTCAAGTCCGAGGTGCAGGTCCATCCTTTTGTGTGGCGCACTTACCAAGACAGTTAGGTAATTAGTTAGAGCCAGGTAATGAAGTCATTTCCTTATCTTCTTTGTGATGGGAAATAATCTCTAAAGTGGCATGGGGTCAAGTATTGATAGAGTATTGATAGAAATTGTAAAATTGTTTGCTTGTGACGAAGTGATAGAAGCAAATCTCTTTCTATTTTCGGTATGCGTGTCATGTCCCTGCATCTGGTAAAGAAAAAGTAATTATAGGATCTGCCGTGCATTGCGCCAAATATTTTAGAAACGTCCTCGCTTCTTGCATCTATGAAGAATAGACGGCGCAATATCATTATTTGAGAGAACTCTCATAGTTGCGCAATTCTCCCAACTGCGGCGCTGATGCCAGCACATATTGTAGGAAAGTAGCATAATCCCAGCCCATACATTCAGCTGCAAGGCCCATTAAACTTGTCTGGTCGTCCCGTCCTGGACGACCTAGTCCAGTGATGTTCTACAAGCACGAACATTAGTCCAACCCGCAGCAATCCTTCATCATGACAAGGTATACATACCGGCTTCATATTAATATCAAACAGCGCAAATCGTGACCCAGGTTTAAATCGCCGAATGTCTATCCGAAGGGGAGCTCTGGTCTGTAGCAGACTAGCTACGGTCTCGCATTCCCTCATGATAGCACCATACGCCGGATCGGCCTCGACTTCCTCAGCAGTCACAGCGCGCGAGTTCACAGTCACCGCTACCTTGCCACTATAAGGAGCGATTCCATCCACATGGTTGAAGCGAGTCACCGGTGGTAGAGACCAGTGCCGAGTGAAACGATCTGAATGCTCTTGTCCTGGAATCGCTTCTTGAGATGGAGGCATGACGGTGATAGTACCCTCTTCACCATTCAAGTATTCTTCTACGAGAACACGAGGGGATTCGTCGAAAAGATAAGCAATGTGCTCAGACAGCTCGATTGGATTGCGGCAGATCTTCACGCCATGACTCCCTCGACCACGCACTGGCTTGGCAACAATTGGATAGTCGCTGTCTTTGATCGAAGCCAAGACAGCATCCAATGTCTTTTGAACAGCTGCATGGTCATCTTTTTCAGTTCTGGGGTCATCAAGCGTCCATGATCTAGGTAGTGTCAATCCACCATGTCGACGCAGACAATCATTCACAAACGACTTGTCATCGAATTGATCCGCACACAGCGGCGGTTGCCCTATAACCCTAACATCCGACTCATACGACGTCAATAGCGATGAGTTCTGCAATGGATGCTTCGCAAAAAGCACCGTATTGGCCCAAAGATGCGTGGCACCTTTCTTTAATGCGGTCAGAATGCCTTCCTCGGTATCAGGGAAGCACCAGTGGTCCTGATTCGCAGGGTCCGGCATCGTCTCTGGCGTGAGCACTGTGGTCCCCGAGCGGGACAATGTATACGCTACATCAGCTCCGGAATCACGGTATCCTGGGTATCACATATTAGCGCGCCTAGTTCTGCGCTCTATGTGCGCTTGCCTTACCACCGGGCTTGGGTGGCTTGCTCACGCCGCCGTACATTGGCGGCGGGAGAGCCTGGTAGAGTACCGCGACGACGGGCTTCGTGGGAGCCATATTGGAATACTGTCTTTCAGCCTGACCTTGGCGACGCGGTATATTCTTCGATGTGTAATGGATTGTAGATGCAAGTGTTGGTGGCTGGATGTGGGGGCGAAGATAGTGGACGGGATGGCCGAAGGTGCAGAATTGGCTTGGAACCCGGACCCGATATTTCATTCCGAATGAGATACAACTCATCAATCTCTAGAAATTTCCAAATGAGAGCAGTTCGAAGAAAATTGTGATCTTTTTTAACAAGTTTCAAGTCGCGTGGGATAGCTCGGAGAAATTCCGATCTTCGGAGGTGGAGTGCTCCGGGTGGAGATGGAACGCTCCGGCCTCCAATTGGAATAACAATGGACAGCGATGACTACTTTACGAAAGCTAGAGGAGAAGTTGCGAGATTCGGAGGATATAGGTTGAATTTTATGATGAAGAAATTGGAGTATAATTGGCTTGCAACTATAGACGTAATAGAAAAAGGGTCCAGCTCCTTCAAGGAGACAAAGACATGTAGAGAAATCGTTGATCAAAGAATAGCTAAGAGATTGACTGTCGAGGAAAACGACAAGATCCGTAGCCAGCACATGAAGTGATCAGAAAGGAAGATATAGAGTCATAATTGTTTCGTGGTTCCATGAGATAGGCCAATCACAGTACAGCAGTAGTACATTCGTCCAAGGCATTGTTCAGTCCCCGGGTGCAACCCACAAGAATTGTCTGGTTGCACCCTGGTAAAACTCAACGGCAAAGGAGAAGCAGAGTCTCTTTTCCGGTGAATTTGATCTGGCTGTCGATTCGAACTTGCACTTGGGGTTTATTGTCCGCGTGGGAGATGATATGCTTTCATCTTGCTGGACATCCCATCACAAAAGTGCGTCTGAGCGAGACATTACCATGCGCGATGGTCGGTTTTGGAAAGATTCAGAAGAGTGATTGTCGCAATGACATGATTCAGCTCTCCTTGTCGTGGTGACGGAGCTTCTCAAAGCCGTCGCGAACGGTCTCGCGCACGCTGAAGCCACCGAAGAGCCAGTCATTGGAGTGCCGACCGTAGTGGTTGACGGTACCACTATAGCGACGATAGTCGTCGCTATTCTTGCGGGTGGGAGTTGGTGCCCGCTTAGTGGTGTACTCCTGCCTGGGAGACTGTGGGGAAGAAGCCTGAGGAGACATCAGGTCGGGGCTATGAGAGCGGTGGTGTTGATCAAAGTATGAGTGCCCTGGGGCGCTACGGGGAATGTCTCGAGACTGGGAGACACTCGCCGAGGATTGGCGTTTGTGTGTTTTGGGAATATCGATGGGAGTAGGAGACTTGCTACCCGGTCGGAATAGTTTGGAGGCCAGTGGGTTGGATAGACCGCGGCCGCGTTTCTTCTCGTCGGAGCGTTGAGTGCTGCGAGAGGAACAGGTGGTAGTTGATGTTTGAGACAGAGACCGCTTGGGATAGGTGTCGCTGTTGTAGGATTGAGAGTGCATTACTTGGTGGGGAGGTGAAAAGGTGTAGAGAGTTGAGAGGAGTAGAAAGAGGAAGGACTGAGGCCGACTCGGGGCACGGGACTTGTTATTTATGCCTCTCCATCTTTCTCCTCTCCTCTCCATCTCTCTTTCATTATTCCCCCCCCTTCGCTTCTCCGGGATCGTCAACCCTCGTAGGGCAACCAACCAAATCGCAGTCCGCTTCTCCTCTGCACTTGAGCCGGTGGAGAACATGCCCCAAAGACACACGCAGCCAATCGCAGCCTCGAGAGTCTCCAGCATGAGCGGACCGGGCCAGCAACGTACCAACCGGAGGCCAGCAATGGCGACCCGCAGGTTCCACCGGTAAGGTTTAGCGGGCGTCCGTGTCGGTGAGATTTCACAAGACTCCAGCAGAGTAGGACTAACTTCTGAGCCAATCCCAGATTCTTTCTGCCTTGGAGCCTCCTGCTTCTCCTTGACGAGACCCCGCAGTTGGACCGCTCGTTGCATCATCATCCCTATCATCTTCACTACTTGGGACACGTCGTCTCGCGTTGCAGGGTTGCAAATCTATATCATGTGGCTGCATCCAAAGTGTCCTACGTTGGGCAGCACCAATATACCATTCTAACTTTCTTTCCAAAACGACACATCACCAACGTTCGGCTCTCGGAAGCTGCAGCTTTGTCCAGCTGAGCCGTTCTGTCATCCTTATCTTCCCCCTGCCATAGGGCTGGTTCCCCACCCCGCGGAGTTAGGCAACCAGGTTTTCCCAGTCTTGATGGATGCTTTGTGACTATTCTTCGTCAGAGGTGGGGCAGCCTGCAGACACCTTGGCCAATGTTGAATGTTCCAACTTCCCTCGAGGCTCTGCCCGAATACGAATCACCCATTCATTCATGCCCTTTAGCCCTCGCACCACTGGCCCTACGGCTGTCCCTTGGCAATCCGACAAGACTTTGAGGATTTCTTATCGCATCCACTCATCTATTTCCACCAACAGTCATCTTCGCCAATCATCATCAGTCCACTGAGACATTCTTCCTTCTAGCGGCCTTCGAGAAGGCCGTCGTAACCGAGAGATGGGGCACGTGCTGATGAATTGTCTTGTTTTAGTCACTTGGCCCCCACGCAAGAGTACATCAGCCAAGAAAACACGGCTGAGTTTGTGGTCAACTCGGCACGGTGACTCCGAGAACCGTACCATGGGGTATTCACGAGCGCTACATTATGACTTTTTTGACATTATGGTTAATTAACCAAAGTTTCGACATTAGTTAAGACGATGCTGGCACCACTAGATCGTTTTCCCTCGTTGCTTCACACAAAGTCATCTAGTGGGAGCAGCCATACGGAGTACTAACTTCCGCTATAGCGCATGTTGCGACCGAGGTACACGCTGCACAAAGCCGCCAAGAGCACACATTCTTGCTGCATTGTTGGTTCGGGAACCGACTGGTGACTCACGGCAAGTGACCCATCTGCATACCTCGCGACAGCCGAGTCAAATTTCAAGGTCTAGCCCGAATCAAAACAATACGAATATGCTGTCCCACCTGTCGGTCCGCACAGACCGACAGAGTCTCCTGGCAAAGAGGAAGGTTCCGAAGCAAACCGATAGCAAGACCAAAGTTTAGATATCACGGAGAATACTTACACACGGACCATGAAAATATGGACTTTATCTAATAGAAGTGTAGTTCAAATATTCAAATTTGACAAGGCATCCCAGTTGTGATTCAGGTGCATGAAAGAGGAGCAACGAGAATTGTCTATTCAGCAAAAAGAAAACAATGCTTGTAGGTTGATGACAGCGAAAAGACTTCACGACAGTTGGTGGTCCACACGTACGAGTCAGGTAGAACCCACAATCAACAGAGACTAGTATTTACGTAGATTGGTATTATATTAGGCCTAGGGCCAATGGCTTTGATGTCGCGCTAGCCTTCCAACCTGATGTCTAGATTACCTCCTCCAACCACACAGTGGGTTCCTCCAGTTTGAAACCTCGACCAAACTTCAAGAGTATTCGAACGGTTTAATGCCGACTTTGCTCGACCCAACTATTTAAATTTTTGGATTGGACGCCTCTTTTTGATTACAACTATGTCACATTTTTTGTAGAATTAAGGAAGAACCGAGATGCCATTTAGCGCCTTGACCAAAGACTCTGTACTTCAAACTATGACAACAGACTTTTCTTTCCATGGATTCAGTTTCTGATCCAGCCACGGTTCTGCCTCGTTTGCAAAAGAACCAACCCGTTTCAGATATCCTAATGAGTCCTTCGCTTTCTGCAAGAAGAGCCCAGAATAGCAGAGCTCGTTCACTTTGTTTCCCTTTTGATCCAATCTCCAGTCGCGAGTAAACATGATAAGCCCATAGACCTGACCCTCAAGTGGGGGATCTTCCTTAATCTCATGGGTTTCGCGATTCACCACATTGGCGCCATGGACATCTATGCCATGTCTCGTCATCAACTTATGCCATTCAGCTCCATCGCCGTTCTTTCGACGGATCGGGGCGCGGGATTGTTTTTTGAGCAGATCATTCACATTTTTGGTCTTGAGTTCAGTAAAAAGACCTTTGATCTCGAGTGATGCTTCGGAGACCTCACCAAAGGGTGAGGAGGAGTCTGTAAGAATGACTGTGCACTTCCTCACGGTTGCCATGGGCTTTGAATCAGCTGTTATATTGCCGTATGAGACGGTACAGTCGACCGAGGCCCATGACCATGAAGGTGCACGCCATTGTTGTGTCTGACGAGACAATTCGTGAACTTTTGTGAACCACATTAAGTCGTGCAGAATGTTATCCTGCCAAAGTCCTGCCAGGTATCGATGACCCGTCAGTCGAGAGACCTCCGCTGCAATGCCGCCAATAGCAGGTAACCTATCACAGGGACGGCCAATTTCACGTCTGGAATAATCGTGGATAAATGCATACCAGGCTTGGTACAGTTGTGTCGTGCTGAACATGTCCAACCCTGATGAGAGATTGCTTGATTGAGGTGAATCAAATAGCATGTCTACCATACGATTCTCCAAGGTTTCCGTCGCATCGCGGATGCTTGCAGGGGAGTAGTAGTATCCTCCATCTGCAAAAGTACTTTTTCTGCATCTGAAGGTAGGCCACCTCCCGTAGGACAGGAACCTTGGCGAAAGGAGCTGTTCTTGAAGGCACCATCCACGACGTGTAGTTGGAAAAGTGAAACTAGTTTGCCAATCGTCGTAGTCATCGTGTAACCATATCTTGCCCATTTGAGAGCCTGGCAATGAGGCTGCCTCTTCGATTGTCGTTGCAGTGCTGTCAGGTAGACGGTAGGCGAGTGGAATGAGACCCTTCCAGAGTCCAGTCGATTTATCGGCCATGTCAATGAGGAACCCCTCATCTACACTTCCTGCCCGCGTAGCACATATTGTGAGATATGATCCCTTATAGGTCTTGGCCATCTGCGAGAACTCGTATGACTTGTCTGACGGTATATCTTGGATAATACAAAGGCAGTCAATCCAGATGTATTTCACTCCAAGCTTCTGGGTCACGAGAATAGCATCTCTCATGGTTTTTGGCAGCATCGACATTTCGAAACCAAGCCGCATCGCATCAAGTGTTGAAATTGTCGTTTGGAATGCTTGAGACCCGCCCCAACAATAACTCAAAGCAGTGTAAATCCCTTTCTCGCCACGGGGAGGCTCATATAGCTTTAGAGATTGTCCGTTGCTGATATCAATAACACGTCTGGGCAAGTCTGACTGAAATCCCGAACTTCTAAGACATGTGTCTTTATGATTCTCATTACAGTATGTTGTCCATTCGTTGATCAAGTTGAAAGCATTGTCTGACCCGGGGGAGGCGTTGGGCGTTCGGCTACTCAGGCCAATTGCAGCTGGATCATCTACATTCTTCGTGTTATGATTTGGTCATCTAGCAAATAAGGAAAGACTTACCTTTAGTGGTGTACACATTCACTTGAAACTCCATCATATTAGGGCCCTGTCCCTTCGTCATCCAGATCTCTGAGTACTTGAGAATCTCCTTCACCACATCATGATCATCGGCAGTCTCTATTAAGCCAAACTGAAGTTTGTTGAAATCAGGCAACTTCGAATCCTTCTTTGAGCATATGGGGAAAACAGCGAACAGGAAGCTGTCGTGCTTCAGCTTCGTGAGCTTCTGCATGCAATCGGAGATGGCTTTTTCACGTCTGGCACTATTTCCTCCGGGGTTGGTGTACCAACTGTTTTTAAGGCCAGAGCCATAAATATCTGCCGGGCAACTGAAGTATGTTGTCACAAAAACTTTATTGAGAAAAAAGCTGCAAAATTCACACCCCCTTTGTGATGCTTCGACAAGTCTTGAGATTCTCACTGCCCACGTGAGTGAGGGCAGTGGGAATTGCTTTTTATGCTGTGGGGCCGATTCATCTTCCTCCTCATTCTGGTATTCCATGTGAGAGATGGGAGCGTACGATCCAAGACTCTCCATTAAGGCCTCGGCAACGCCAATGCCCAGCCTTCTCATATCCTCGTGTTCGATCGTATCGTCGTTGCCTTGCACTGGACCGTTCTCCGCAATATATAGCGCTTCGTTTTGTTTGTAGATTTTGTCCCATGGGATTTTCTTGAAATGCTCAAAATCCATTGGAATCTGCTGCTCTGTACGGTGATAGAGCTCCGCGGCAATTTTCTCTCTGAGCTCTGGATCTTCCGGTATTGTGTCATCCGTGATGTTCTTGGTCATGCCCTCTTCTAACTTTCGACGGTGGTCTTCTTGGAACTGTTCGTAAATCAAGTATAAAGTTGGCAGCCCATAAGATAAAGGAAAACAGCTGCGACACCTAGTCGGAGTCCGAGTTTGGGGATTTCCAGAGCTGCCGGAACAATTCGAATCGTCACAAGAAGACGAGCCAGCTGGTTCGCATTCAATGGTCTTGAAATCGTGACCCGGATGTATCAATTCTGCATCTTGGTAGCAGCCGGCACAGTAGTCAAAGTCTTGACATGCAGTGCATTTAAAGCGTTCACCGACAATTTTGGAGTCGCAGGAGTCACAGAGTGCCATCTTGTTTGGAGAGCGCTATTCGAAAGTTGGTATTGAGAAAAATTTCTTAATTGGTAGATATAAGAGATGATGGCTTCTTTATCGTCCAAGAGGGTTTCTCGGAAGTTATACTACGTCGTAAGAGCCGCATCAGCGGGTAACAGGCGGTTATGCCCAAGGCGCAATCATACACTAGTTGCCTGCTGCATCATTACATCATGCGAGAAAATTAGTATGCAGATTCATATTGTTTTTCAGCCTTGCCATGTGGGCCTCCGTCAAAATTCTCAGAAGGCGAAGCAAAATACGACGTGTTCAAAGTCTGTATCTGCACACCGCTACTGAAATTTAGACTTGTCGCTCAGCCCCTGTTCGTTACGTGTGATAATATAGGGTGTTCGTCCATCACGTTGCAGTTCAAAGGGTAACAGGGTAGGATCCCGCCCCTGTCGCCATTGGAACTGTAAACTCTTTCCACTTGATGGTGCAGATCGTTGGGCACACCGTCCCCAACTAGCACTGCCCAGTAATCCGCGGTTGCTCCACACATTGCCCATGCTTTTCATTGGAGGCATATAGACCTCTGAATAATTAGGGGCATCTTTTAAAGCCTAACGAAATTCATAATTCTTTATTGGCCATCAGGTTTCGATGAGGTAGGCATCAAATGCGCCTTGAGATATACCTATACGAAGGTCCGTGGTACACTCAACTGAGAGAAGGGTTGTATACCGACTAATGGCGGCTCAAACGTGGCGTCTACCTCACCGCTGACCTCTCTTGAATTGATAAATCAAATGATGAATGTAGTCACATATTTCGGTAAATAAGAATACTCTGAATACCGCTCATTTGCTAATTCAAAAGAGAGAAATCGTGGCTAATACAAACAATTTTTGAAATTTTCAAATTTAAGTAAGTGAGTAAGTGAGGAAGAAGACTAGATAATACGCATTATAATACGAAAAGAGACTTGTAACTTTGGAATCTTCAAAGCATCAGGTCGGCCATCCTGTTCCGTTGCTAAATGGCTAAGCAGCTGCTAAAATCATACTAATCTGGCTTTGGAATAACTTTGGTAGACGTCGTACATCTTTTCAAGGTCTTGATACGCCGAGTTTTCTGCTTTCATCACAGAAAGCAGATGTAGAGTAGATTCATGCGTATGAAGAAATGGCGGCCGTTACTAATGATTTCCTTTCACGCCTCCATCCGTTGTCTTTGTGCTTTGTACTCGTTGCGGATGTCTCAAAGTATTTTCCCCACTGTCAGAGATTTGCCCTTCAACATCGGCGCCATCTTGGGGTTTCAGGCTGGTAGAATTAAACTCGATAGCCTGTTCCACGCGTTTCTTGATTTGCAAGATATTCGGAGAGCGGCGGCGAATGAGTGCCTTTTTTGCATTGAATGCATTCTCCCACGATGGATTATCGCCGCGCTTATGAGGAAGGAGATTCCACTTTGAGAAGCTTTCTTCCTCTTCAGCGGTCAGGTTTAGCCATGCGTACAGATCCATACGTCGCGTAGATCTTTTGGCTGGGTCTTTTGCAGGACGCTTGCAGAACTGCCAAGTTGATTCTGAAATCTCTTCGAAATCCAGAAACGAGGGCCACTCAAAGACAGTTGCCTTCAAATAAGATCCAATAGTGCATGTATATGCGCGGGTCTCACCTCCACCATCGAACTTGACCGAGACTGGTCGCACTTTATCGTCACAGCCGAACCCCCGCGTTATAAGAATGGAAGATATCAAGAGCAGGCCAATTGTGTAGATTTGGATAGCGAGAGACGCCATTCCAACGGTGACGACATGGATACCAAAAGCTAACCAGCTCATCCAACGACCTATTTGGTATGGCAACCGTGGGCTAGGGTGAGGGTTTTTCACGAAGACCGGCACAATAAGTTCATTCGGAATGAATAGAGTAATGACCTTGGTGTCGGGAGTAATGAAAATGAGCTTTTCCGTGTTCTTTCTAGCCTTTGAGTTCAGGACAGCTTTATCGATTTCCATTCGGTTTGCGGACAGGATATAAGCTCGGGTTAAAACAGAGACTATCAGTCCGCAGGCATTGGCCACTCCATACATATCATACGACAGGATAGCCATTGTAAGCAGAAATCCCGTTGAACAGACAGAGACACATCCTGCTGTAAAATAGTCAAAAAGTCGTGATTGAGGAGGTTTTCCCACGGCTTCCCAGAAGACAACACTGCGAGCGATCGTGAAGTTTTGGCATTGCACCCATCGTGTAAACCAGGCCGCACATTCAGTCGTATGTATCCCCATAGAAATATTGTAAAGGAAGAATGAAGGCATTTTTGTTCGAAGGCGATCAGCGGCGATGACATAAATGGCTAACAAAGGCATGAATTCAAGCCATCGGCTCTGGGCTAAACGCCCAACCCAAACATTGATTTCTTCGGCGCCTAATAGGGTGACAAGTCCGAGTGCATCCACCCGAAATGGCTGCCAATGAAAAAGCTCAGTCAAAGGGAATATCATCGTTTGGATTCTTGCTTGGATGGCAATTGGATAGGTTTTTTTTAAAGCTAGACAAGAGCGCAGTGATTTACTAGAGAAACCCAATTATATTAAAGATAGGCCTCAAAGTCATCTATTTTATGTCTTCTCTACAACTTTTCAAATGTAATCCGGTAAAGCGCTATTTTCCTCGATACCCTCCATGATGTTCCCGCCACCGCAACTTACTGCACGCCAAGCATGTTTTGTCGAATCGTACATAGCCCTGATGCAGCTTGCAGCAGACACATATACCGACTACAACATATTAAAGCCAGATATAGGTGCTTAGGCCTACGATCTGCACCAAATCATAGGTGTTTGCTATCGCACAGCCCTCGCTGGGCTGACCCGCGTTTGGTATGAGGCTCAACGAGTCTCAAGCCTCACCCGGGTGCTACGTTTATGCTCATTCACAACATCATTAGCTCTTGTCGGTAACTACAACGGGTGTTTACATGCAATTATATAATTCTTCGCGCCTCCTGATTCGATCTCCCATTCACCGATTTTCCTTGTCTTTCGTTCCGCGTAGATTGAAATTCACATAGTTACTGTCTACATCTTATCGAGCCATGCAGTAGAAAATCGCCAGTAAATAATCCTGATCGACGGTTGAGTGTAACACCCTCGAGTCAGGTTGGGCCTAGATCCTTTCCACATTTATCTCCCTGTTGCACCTACGGAGGTGAACTAATGCCCAACATGGGTTGTATCTTAAGGCCTTATCATTCTCAATGATTATGATCTGTGCTTGGGCGGCTTGTAACATACGAGAGAAATAAACTTGGCATGATCTTTCCAAGATTTTTGACTTGCGATATAATCTATTCACATTTTAGCTACCCAAAGCCCCCCCGCTGGTTCAGAAAATCCCATACACAAGGTGAATAACACTGTCCTTAATGACACGGGCCATTCGACATAATCACCTTATCAAGAATCATGAAATTCTCAAGTATGCCTTGGCTATATCTTGATTTGTGTCTTGGGTACAAAAAATTACACCGCAATGCTAGGTAACGGTAAATTCGATGCCGAAAACGGCTACCTTGGACGCTGTTTTAAGCGTCCTTTTTACCAAAATATATAGTCATCGGGCTCCCACGTGATCTATTTCTGTCCGTATGCTCCCTGAGCACCCAAGGTGGGCTCAGGTTTACTCTGAGATCAGCTCACCCTTCACTCAGGATGCTCAGGGTAGTCATTCAGAGATATCGGTATGTCTATTTATTTGTATTATCTGATTGTAGCCATTAATTGCAAAAATAGGGAAGGTCTTTCCATTAAACGCTAGACTATACTTAAATTTCTTTTTCACACTTAGAGAGGCTGTCGGATTTAGGTGGTTGGCATAAATCCTAATGTGTACACAGAATCGTAGTGCACAGGGAAAGGGTCGTGCGATCAAATCGTAGATTCACGATTGTGGAAGAATAACTATCCACGAGAGGGCAAAGAATAGACCAAGGTTAAGCAGTGGTAGGTTAACGTAGTACGGCTTAATAGCTCTACTTCTGAACATGAAAGATGTTAAACTTGCTTATTCTAACTAGAAAGATAGGCAGTATTTGTAACTTTAGGTATATGGCAGAATGTGTCAACATGTATGTGTGCGATACCCCGCACTAAGCGTGTGCATATCAATGCATGCATCAAGCTAATCAGATTAATATCTGACAGACCGCTATATAATCGACGATGATGATTATCCACTATCACATCAAATCGAAAACACTCTCGTGTGCCCACCCCAAGTATTTCGGACTTTGTTGGTTTTCATATAATATTTCACTATATTCTCGAAAGATACAAACACTGCCTGTCTTCTATATCTAGATTAATAAAGTTTAACCTCCTGATTTCCCTGTCAAAAATTTATCTTCCACAATTGTGGATCTTTGGTTAGATTGAACGAATAAGACCCTGCTTTACCCCGACCGTACACTACACTACGGTGCACTCATTAGGACTTATGACCACTATCTAAAGTTCGATAGAATGTCACAGGAAAAGACTGATAGAAACCCGAAATACTTCATGGGGGGATAGACCACCCTTCTTAACCACGAGCGGGTAAACAGATTATTGTATCCCTGCTGAATCATTGGTATATCGTCAATAGCTAAACAAGCCCCAGGAATCAGGGTAAAGTTCCTAGGTACAGTTCTCTGCGTACGACAGCATCAGTCCCGAGGATACACGTAGCTCCCAGGAACGGTAAAAGTTCATCCTGGAGATGAGGTGAGAGTCTGTAGCCCAGAGTGTGAATAACTTGATCTATGATCCTCAAGTTGCCTGCTCCTTCTAAGCGACGCAAGACTTGCCAAGCAAGACGCTCACTGTCTCGCCGATATCATTCGAAACCGCGATATCAAGATGGCCATCTCCATTGAACTCGCCGACTGCAACGCCATATGGCGCAGATCCCGACGGGAACGTGACCTGTGGCTGGAAGCTCCCAGATCCAGTTCCGAGCAAGACGCTCACTGTATCGTCCTCGACATTCGAAGCCACGATATCAAGATGACCATCTCCATTGAAGTCACCCACTGCAACCGAAGCGGGCCTAGACCCTACTTGGAATGTGACTTGCGGCTGGAAGCTCCCAGATCCAGTTCCGAGCAAGACACTCACTGTAGTACCGTCGAAATTTGCAGAAACAATATCGGGATAACCATCTCCATTAAAATCACCCACTGCGACGCCAAGCGGCCCGGGTCCAACGGGGAGTATAGCCTGTGGCTGGAAGTTCCCCGATCCGGTCCCAAGCAGAACGCTCACTGTATCGTCATCGTAATTCGAAGTGACAATGTCGAGAGAGCCATCTCCGTTAAAGTCACCCACTGCAATCTCCCATGGCGAAGACCCTACAGGAAATGTGACCTGCTGCTGGAAGCTCCCTGATCCAGTCCCAAACAAAATACCTACTGTGTTTTCGTTGACATTCGCAACAGCGATATCGAGATATCCATCTCCGTTGAAGTGACCGACTGTAATACCGGCCGGGATACCCCCTACAGGGAATGTGGCCTGCGGCTGGAAGGTCCCGTCTCCATTTCCGAGTAAGACGCTCACTGTATTATCGGTCTCGCTCGTAGCCGCGATATCGAGATAGCCATCTCCGTTGAAGTCGCCGACTGTAACGCCGACTGATGTCGGCCCTATAGGGAATGTTGCCTGCGGCTGGAAGCTCCCGGCTCCATTTCCGAGCAAGACGCTCACACTATCACCGAATTCATTCGCAGCCACGATATCGAGATTGCCATCTCTATTGAAGTCTCCGACTGCAATGCCGATCGGGGCGGATCCAACACCGAAGGTGGCCCGCGCCTGAAAATCCACACAGTCAGGCACTGATGGTGTACAAATGCATTGTCTATTTCATGTTTAGCTTCAAGTTTAGCTTTGCAATCTCAAGATAAGCAAGAAAGAGACTAACGGCGTTGTTTGTCCAAGGATAAGGCCAAGTAAACTGGGAGATTCGGAGACGTTATCGCAGTAGCCTGATTGATCGCCTATATTCCGACACTTGAATCCACTACATTAGTATTAGCGGCCTCGTTGCATACCCGCGAATCATACGTACCTTAGCGTCACAGGCGGCCGGGTCGCAACCTCCTCCACTCCCCCCACCACCCCCAACCCCAACTCCAATGTCCCCAATGTCCCCACCCCCAGTGTTGATGTTAAGCCCACCCCCATCCCCATTGCCAATATTGTTACCCCCGTGGGAAATCGTATGCCCACCCTGAGGCCCACCCCACTTTTTCAGAGCCTCGTCTCCGGAGAGCGCAGTGACTACTGCACAGGAGGACAGGGTAAGAAAGGCGAAACGCATCTTCATAATTGGCTTGCAACGATGAGCCAAATCCAGTAGGGGAGAAAACCGATGGTCGGAATTGGGGTCAAAGCTGCTGGAACAGAAAACGATTGTCCACTCGGTAGAGGGACTTATATATTACGTTATGTGCTCATAGCTACTAACTAACTGTCTAGGTTTTGTCATTCTCAATGAAGCGCTTGGCCTTCCTGGTATGTGAAAATCTTCCATTTGCTCTACATAAATAACAACCCTGTAGAAGTCCAGGGGTTTATGGTATGTGGTTAGAGAGTCATATAACTAAGTTAGTCAAGGTCTGATTAGTTAGTCACCCATGAGCATATGGATAACTAACAGCTCAGGCTGGGAGCACGCACGGGCGACCACTCAGATTCCACAAACCTCGATTATGATTGCCGGATTATTTTGCCGGTATGTGAACACATACCATGAACCCCTTAACCTGACCTCCAGAAAATTCAAGATGTCAATCCTCCCTGTACAGTAACGTTCCATAAGTTTTTAACCTTAAAAACTTAAAAACTTATGCCACCTTCCAGCCGAAAATACCGCTAGACTAAAAATGCTCCATGGGCCACATTCTTAATCATACGAGCTGTTTCTTGTTCCGACACATTTCCTGTACCTCGGCGAATTTCGTCGACCCTGACGTCCACGTGACTAGGTAATCATATTGGAATTGGGTTGCTGAGCTCATCTAGGTGCACCAATCGGATTTCGACAGGTCTGAATTGCAAAGAAGCCCCTAGCTGGCAATTTGGTGGGCAAAACAATGACTAATACATGCGGGTCTATAGTAATTCCTTCTTCCGAGTACCCACTTCTGGTCCTGCTCCGACAAATCATCACATCATGGCAGGATGCCGGATTCTTAAAACAAACGTTTAACTTGAACCTTGTTAAGTAAACCTCGTGAAAACTGCTAATGAGTGCGATTTTCAAATACTCTTGGTGTTAAAAGGTCAAACGGTCAAATTGCTATATATGTCTAATTAATTTGGCGTCTTTGCCCGTGCAGTCGTTGAAAGGCTATAGCCATGATTTTAGAAGTTTTGTATATTTGTTCACATGATAGCTATGTACGCACAAATTAATGTTCAATCCGGAGGACTCAAGCCCTCTCTTGCTATTCAACATTCAAAAATGCGGCTTTCGGACTAAGGATCGATGTAAATTCACCAGTGCCAACAGACTTGCAAAGTTCATTTATGACTTTAAAATCCTTAGTAATGATTTAAGTCTGTCGAATACACTAAAAGTTATCACGATTCCACGGGTTAATAGGTTTGAGCATTTTGCTAGAGATCGTTGATACGGCGATGAAGCTTCTTATGTAGATTCAATGCCATTTGGTATCCTCAGGTTGTGATGGAATCCTTGGGTCTGCCTGGTCTCATTTGTTTCCAGAGAACCTGATCAAAAGCCGGTGGGGATATATACAATGGCTTCTGGAATCCACTAGGTGCTTCATGTATGGATCAAATGCCCTGTTTAAGCGAGTCGATTGAGCGCATGTATCGTAGATAATCAGATCTTGATGGTTCGTATTTGCTGAGCAAGATCTTAGAGATTGAGAGTAAATCCGATATGAGATCAATGAGATGTGTAGAAATCTTAGTAGGATCCTTTACAATATCAGCGAATTAAGGTTTGGATGGTTCTTGCGGCGGAGTAGCAGGTTATTGGACAGGATTAGCATATTTCCATGCACTATTAGCTAGTGCATAGTCCTTAACAGCAGTGATCCAGGGGATCCAATGTGTGTGGCATTTTCATGGGTAACTGAGCCAGGTGGCTCGAAGATCGGTTCAATCCATTAGATATAAGACGAAAATGACGCTTTAGCAAAAGGCTACATCTATCTGGCTCATAACTATCAACGAGAAAAGTGGATCCATTTCCATAAGGCCAAAAATGTGCCATGGGCAATATTTCAGCTTTATCTAGAAACATAACCAATCAAATAGATAGTTGTTAAGGTCGTCGATATACCTCCCACTGTATATTCTGACAAAGGCTTCTAGTAGGGCCCAAGGATATAGGTACGAAGCTATTCCTAGACTTTAAGAATAGAAAAACAGGGGTAATATTACTAGTTTAGAAAATGAGGTGTGATTTAAATAGCGTAAATATAGGAAGGCGGTCAAATTCTTTCATAGGCTGAAAGACCTGATAATTCGACCACGAGCTAGCAAGAAAAGACGAAAGGTGAATATAGCAATTTAAGAGTACGTTATATCCTAGCCTTCGCTCCGAAGAGCACCAGAAGAAAGCACGGTTGGCGTCAGAGGATCTCATACAACGGAGATGTATGATGAGGTTGAATGAGGCAATCGGCCTGAGCGTTAGGGTGAGCAATCAGGTTTCTCGGGGGCTGCTCATGTTTGCTCCGTGAGCTGCTTAGGGCGGCGAGGTGACTAAATCATTCTGTGCTCCAGGAGCAGATCATTTTCCGAGGAAGCAGTTTTACCGTCACCTAGATTACTGGATAATTTCCTCTTGATCATTGCCACAGGCAACTATGTATTTCTTCAGTACACTACCCTATAACTTTGCATGGGCAATTCCACTCCTTCATGAAGCATATTTGGAGACAACGCTCATCATAGAAGCTGCAGATGCCGACCATCAAGATTCCTCTTGTAGAGGCCACAGGCTCGCACTAGGCTCCCTCCATGAGCGTGGCTGCTCCGAATGACATCGTCGATGGCGTCGTTCAACCAGCAATTTCGCCGTATCAACCCCAGAAAGAGCCGTCTGGTTTTGGTTTCTCTCAATAATCGTCACCGGCTGAGCCGAAATACGAGGCGGCATCCATCCAGAAATCACCGTTTCATCTCCAGCTCTTTTGACCGTCGGCATAATAAAAAGCGACCGCGTCCTATCTAGTGGTTGTCGACGGATCAATCGGCGAAGTACACTGCGATGAACGTGCTTCCGAGCTTCGGCTGAGGCGGCAGAGAGATGAATATCTTCGGGTCTTTCTTTTAGTAGAGGGCGAGACCAGAGACGATGGACTCGTGGGTTTCGTGATCGGATAATACCCGCCATTTCGGCGTCGTCGTATTCGAGATCCTCTGCTAGGAGCGGAACCACCGTGGCTTGTTGAAAGGGCCATGGTGTGAAGTTTGGGAATCCAGCCCTAGGTTTGGAAATTCGCAGCTCCAGGCTGCGAGGTTCGCGCATGCATATCTCCGAGCCACAGTGTGGCCAGGAGTGATGCCTTCTGTGATGTGGGATGTGAGGCATTGCTGGTGTTGGTGAAAAGGGTGGAGGAGGTAAAGCTTTTGGAGATGTCATTCAGATAGAAAACGAATAACCAACATCCATCATGGATGGAGATAGTGAGTGGTTTCGCTTTGGGATAAGTTTAGATTGTGAGAAGATTAAGAAATATTCTATTCTTCGTCTACCAGCTATCCACATTATAAATCGAGTGGTTGTGGCTGACATTTCTAATGAGGCTCACACGTGCCGGGTTGAAGTGCCCTCGACAGCGGCCCGGGTGACTGAATAATCATTCGTTCGTTTAGAATGACCTGTAAGCATGCAGAAAACCTACAACCAGTAAACTGGTATGGACGACCTGGCTATATGGTGTGTTCTGGGTAGGAAGCCCGTAGCCCTGGGTGGTGGGTGATACTAGGCGGGTACTCAAGGCTTGATATATATTCCCGCCCGCTATACGAAATAGAATGGGTTGTAAACCCCCTATCGATGGCACACACCTATGAGAAAGCCCTGTTATACAACCCCGATCACGACAATACATACCTGTACCCCGAGAAATAATATCCGCTACAAAGCGGCACTAAACCGGTTATAGGAGATGACCTGGAAAAGTGATGTGGTCAAGAGATCCGGGCGAGCATTATCGGAGATCACACCCTGGCCCCATGACCCGGGTTGATAGGGCTGCACTATGCGTTATATACAAGTTGACTCCAGTTTATATATCACGATAGTGTCACCGAGTAGACTGGATGTAACACACGGTCGGCAGATAGCTGAAATGAGCATCAGAATTCCATTGTGTGGGTATGTAGTAGTCACGAGAAACTAATTGGTAGCTTCATTAGGGATCGTTTCAAGGGCATCCTTAAGAAGGCAGATGAATTTGAGAAATTGTAGGTCGATAATAATAGAACATAGTAAAGTGTATGCACGACTAAGAACTTAATTATGTCCAACTCCTCGAAGGTAAAGGAGAAATATGCTGGAGAATGGCATGTGACCTGAATGGCGGAATAACTTCATAAGTCCAAAATTAAGCTCAACCAGCACCAAGTGGTCGAGCGGTAACTCGATCATCTCATCTTCCTTGGTCTAGTGGTCATGATTTCCGCTTGTCATTAACACCGATAAGCGCGGGAGACCGGGGTTCGATTCCCCGAGGGAGAGTTTCTTTTTGTATGTTTCTTTTTGGTCAATCTTCTTTTTTATTCCCCTGGCTCTTAATAGCACTATCTATTATGAGACTCCAGTTTTGCCTTGGTTGATCCAGCCAGTTTTTCATAAATTTCCATCCTGCTAAGTACCTGCGAAGTATATGTACTTCCTTCCCAATTGGCTATGATGTTCAGCAAGAATATATCGCTACAGTAGCACGATATTAAGAACAAAAAGAACGAAATCCTAGTGGTCGGCATTCATTCGTTGGTGATCTAGCTCTTTCTTGCCTCAAACTTGTGTAATCATGGTTGGAGTTGTGGCCCTGAACACGTCTAAGGTGGGGATCAAGTCCCACGAGGCTTCCCCCACACTTGCACGGGCGTACACTCGAAATACTGGACCTTGGAATGATATAAGTGCCTTGTGGAACCTGGGTCACAATGACAACAGTAGTCAAGGATGTCAATAATGCTCAATCGTGTACCACCTGTTGAACCATTCGAATACGGCCTAATGTTGGTCTTGTTGAAAGTACATATATACTGTAGTTTGTATATGCTTGACGATCTCGATCCACCCATAGACACCTAAGGCCACCAAGTGGAGCCCAAACATTCAGCTCGAAGAATCTCCTGAGCTTCACTTCTTTCTCCTTTCACCATCCCCCACCGGCTGTATATAAGCATACAACCTCTCCACTGGCGCATTCGCTCTCTAGAGCGCAACATCTACCACTCAACCTATATCACCACACACCAGCCCCCCCCCCCCCCCCCCCAACCACGCCACAATGTCCACCCCCGACTCCTTCACCCTCGACCTCCCGACGGTCCTCTGCATCGCCTTCTCCCTCTCCTTCATGCCAATCGCCTACCTCCTCAGCAAAGCCCTCATCCCCTCCACCCCACACCCGCAACCGCATCCTCTTCTTCTGGCACGCCTACGACGCCCTAACCCACCTCTTCATCGAAGGCTCCTTCCTCTACCAATGCTTCTTCAGCTACGCCTCCCTGCCCACGGGCATCCTCAACTCCGGCCCGCACTTCCTCAACCGCTCCGACCGTGTCTACGGCCCGGCCTACGGATCCGGTCCCAGCGCGCGCCTGTGGCAGGAATACGCCAAGGCGGATCGGCGCTGGGCCGGCGCCGATTTAACGGTCATCTCGCTGGAGCTGTTGACCGTGTTTGTGGGCGGACCTGCGGCGGTTTATGTGTGTTATTTGCTGTGTCGGTCGTCAAATGAGAAGCTTAGTGCGAAGGTGCGGGGTGGGGCGAAGGCGACGCTGTGGTTTGTTGCGACTGCGTTGGCGACGGCCGAGTTGTATGGTGGGTTTATGACCTTTGCGCCGGAGTGGTTGACTGGTAGTTCGCAGCTTGCTACTGAGGATCCGGTTTATCTGTGGTTGTATCTGTTCTTCTTCAACACTCTTTGGGTGTTTATTCCTTTGTGGGTGTTGTGGGAGGCTGGTAAGGAGTTGCAGGCTGCTTTTGTTACACAGGAGGTGGCGGAGGCTGAGCAGAAGGGGAAATAAGTGGGGTGATTCGATACTGTTGGACAGATGTTGTACAAATGGATGAACGGATATATGGAAATTTTGGTCATACTTGGATTCCACTGGTTTGGGAGTTTTCATGTGTGTTTGATTGACTGTCTCGACGATGAACATTGGGGATGTCGAGATACTGGAATACCTAATATGGCACTGGTTGAGCTAGGTTCAACCCCCTGTTATTAAACACTCGATACATAATGAAAAAAAGGGCAAAAACAATGCCATGATTATACTGTACACCACGCTGGAAACAAAGTAAATAAACCAATCTGATATCAATCAACACCCATCATCCATTAGCCTTTCATACCCCGATCCTTATCCCAAAACCAGTGGTAGAATGTCTTCCACTCCTCAGCCTCATCCTCAACATAATCCCCGACCAATTCAGCAGTCTCATTGATCTCATAGGAAACACCTGGAACCTTAAACCCAGTAGAAGCATCGACACCGTGGGCTATACTTCCAATCTTCGCAGCAGTCGTTGCCGCAGCCACATTGGAAGTCATATCAACGGTGACGCTACCAGAATGATTCTTCAGCGCCTCTTCGGCACCTTCGCGCGTCCGCTCGGCTAATTCACGGGCTCCCTCTCGCGCAATCTCACTGTATTCTTCGGCTTGTTCTCGGGCTCGTGCTAGAAGCTCCTCGGGGGAGGGATAGCGGCGCGCAAGGATGAGAAGGATATAGTAGAACCTGACGATGGATGCGTATACGGCATCTTTGGCCAACATGGTGAATCCGTGGGAGAAGAATCCCTTCAAGACTTCTCCCGGCAAACCGGCATACAGAGCAGAGATACCCTCCGTCTGGTAGATCGTTGCTACAGTCGAGAAAATCTTCGGCGTAAGCGTGGCCAAAACAGCGTTTGAACCAGAGCCCTGGGTGACCGGCTTCTGAGTGCTCTTGAGTGCCTGCGCCCTGGTCTTCGCTAGAGAGAATGGGTATGTGATTGACGAAGCGGTTGATTTGCTCAAAGCCGCTAGTAGGAATGTCACAGCAGCCGAAGGCCGCTGGCGCTTCTCGCGTGGAAGGAGCGCGTATTTCAGCACCTCATTGAGGAAGAAAGTGATCGATGGGTTGAGTGTGAGAACCAAGGATGCCGAGTACCCCGACCAAAAGCCGGCGATTCCCTTCTCAGCACGAATCTGAGCTGCAATTTCCGCTGTCGATAGTTCCTTACCATCCTCCCCGCCCTTTCGCGCTGCAGTTTGTTTTCGGGTGACGATATTCGACAAAGGTGCCGTGAACAACTTTGAGAACGCCCCAGCAACCATACCAACCGCAAGCTCATCCCAAATAGGCAGTACAATATTCTTGCTTTTCGCTGCCTTGGCAGGTCCGACTCGAGCAATGATTCTCCGTTGTCGAACGGTATTGTATGCGAGGAAGAAGAGGAATGAATCTGCGACCGACTTCCATGTATCCTGCGCCAGACCAGGGTAGAACCCAGCCCAGCCCTGCTGTTCATAAATCTTCCGAGCTGCATCTAGGATATCCTTGTACTCTGGTTCATCATCAGAGCCGTTTTCTGATTTGTCCTTCTTCGCTTGGGTCTGGAGGCGGGCGACGATCACGTTAAGTGGGTAGACGATGACGTTTGATATCGCCGAGCCGACCGCACCGGCGACTGCGTTTCCGAGAACTGGCAGAGCTGGGCCGCGGAGAGCGGATGTTTTCCAGTCTTCTCTTGGGTCGCGGGTTTCATAGCGGAAGGAGGGGTGGAAGGCATCCTGGATCGTGTGGGACTGCGTTAGAGAGATGGGGATGGCAAGGAGAGACTCAACGCACCAATTCTGATTCGTAAGTTAGTTTGTATTCTGCCATGATTATGACTGGAGAGGTTTCGCTTCTCTCGAGTCTTATCCTTAAGATGGGTAAGACTGATGGGGTGAGATATCAAGTGTGTTTACAAGGCTTGTTCATTGGTGGGCTAGACAGCGGGAGAAAGAGTTGGTGACAGGTCTCTCACATCGCCCACAATACGAGAGAGAAATATTTAGAAAAGCCTCAGTCAGCGACCGAGAAGACCAGGAGATAAGACTTAAAATGAACGTGAAGGGCAAGACTGAGTGATGGCCGAGGTCCATGCCTGGCGGAGACGTCGATTACATCATGTGGTCCGTGCAGGGAAGTGGTCTGATAACGACAAACACCCTCAGGCGATCAAGCATTGAGACTGTGATCGATCTTTGAACGAGTGGTCTAACATCTTCGAGGTGGTAGAATCAGTGAACTTACTCTTGATCGAGGAGCTGGCTCTTGTATTTCGGAAAGACAGCAATAATGCGCTGCCATCATTTGGAATGCTTAGCTCAAGCGTCTACTCCATCTCAACTAACAAGTACCCACGGCTAGAAGAGCGTCAAGCGTTCTTCATGTATCTTTTGAAGAAGGCAAGACTTCTTGACGCTGCACATTTGGGTATAAATGTTGCCAATGTGACACCATATTGATGAGAAAGCCCGGTCTTTACAGCGTTTTGTGGACGCCCCGAAGAAGTATTAGAAGGCAGAGTTTCGGACGAGAGATTACCAAGTACATCTTACACACACTCTTACAGTCTACAATCAAACAACAAAGACATAATGGACTAATGGCAATTGTTCCATTGATACCCACCAGGGCCAAGGTAAGCCAAGTCAACTAACTAAAAGGTAAAAGAGAACCCCATAATGGTAGCCCATTCCCATATTCGCAGGAAAACCAAAACCATCCCAATCCAATACCCTGCAAACCCCACCGGCCAACCGGGCAGATACCCTAGTATAGCCATCATAAACCCGATAGGGGCAAAATCAAAACCCGCAAGAAAAAACCAAAACCATCACACCATAGCGCGTTAAAAGGGGAGAAACGGGACCAGCAGTGAGAAAGAAAAGCCACGGCATTATCAAACGCCAACGTGGGCTTCCCCCGCTAACCACCAGCCCAGCAAGTCAAATGCACAAAAGACGCAATTAACCACCGAAACCGTAGAGGGTACGGCCCTGGCGCTTCAGCGCGTAGACAACGTCCAGCGAGGTAACGGTCTTACGCTTAGCGTGCTCGGTGTAAGTGACGGCGTCACGGATGACGGACTCAAGGAAGGACTTGAGGACACCACGGGTCTCTTCGTAGATCATAGCGGAGATACGCTTGACACCGCCACGGCGGGCGAGACGACGGATGGCGGGCTTGGTGATACCCTGGATGTTGTCGCGCAGAATCTTGCGGTGACGCTTAGCGCCGCCCTTGCCGAGACCCTTACCACCCTTGCCACCTATTGAGATTGTTAGTTTGGGATGTGTTCATGTTAAAGTAAAAGTATGTATAAAAGAAAGTCGACGAGGTGAGGACTGTATAGCGACGGCAAGGTGCTGTGTAGAGTATAAGGTGGAGAGGATATAGATCCAGCCTTGTCCCAGATGGGTAAGGCATGGACGCATGGATGCCTTTATGCCTGGGGCATCCAACGCCACCAAATCACGTGCAGCCAGGGGCATCACCACCTCTCGACCTCATCACAGCGACCACCACGCGAACAGAGCCCATCAGGTCAAAATAAATAAAAAAAAGTAAATACTTACGTCCAGACATGATGAGTTAGATGAGAGGATTGATGAATTAGATAAGATATTGATGGAAAAAAATCCGGGGTGAAGACAGCCTTTGATAATAGGGCGGTCGGGACGCGTCGAGAGATAGACGGGAGTTGAAGAAAGAGAAAAAAAACGAGAGGGGGAAAGAAACCACTCAGCGATGGGCGGGGGGAACCAAGGGCTTAAATACGTGTAAGGAGCTGACTACGCGTGATTTTTTAGGGGGGAGGGCGGGTTGGGGGTGTTATGTAAGCCCGTTGGTTTTACATTCTGCAATGCGGCGGTAATTGGCAGGCGGCGAGGGAGGAAAATGGCTGTTATGAAAGGCAGGATTTGAGCATGTCTTGTTGGCCTGGGGGCTGCCCGCATTTTCCACGAGGGAGCGTATTGAAGTGGGTGAGAGTCACGTGGCGATAAGATAGATGGATGGGGCCGTTCCCGTTGCAGGCGTGGGCCTAGGTCGGAACTAAGTTCTTAGTCATGAAGCGATTGAGTGATAAGCGACAAGGGACCTTATCTACGGAGCACATTGTACCATGGAGTACGGAGTACATACTGCTACCTTCAGGAATGGACTCCATATCTATATACATTCTACAACACACTAAATGAAGGAAGAACGAATAATTCACGACTGTAGAGTAAATAGTTCTTTTTCGTCGGATCTCTCAGTTCTGGCGCAAACTCATCCCAAGTTACGTCGACTCTACCCCTCGACTCGACTCCTTCACGCCATATCTACAGTGTATCTTACACTCTATGGCAGAAATAGAATATTAAAGTATATATAATACAGCCTGTTAAATGAAGGCTAAATGAAAAATTCGCGATAAGTGAATAAAGGGTTCTTTTTATCGCATCTCTCACTTCTGGCGCAAATTCATCCCAAGTTAACTCGACTCTGCCCCTCGAGCCCCTTGACTCGACCTTTCTACAAACGCATCTAGAGAAATCTACAAAAGAGCTACTAGATACTCTACAACAAAATATTATCATGACTCGAAATCGCGTTCATTCGTGTCTTTCATTGTCAAGACTATGCTACTAAACTGCAGCACTAGTCTCCACCGTGAACATCATATCTTTCATGCTAATCCATCGCAAACTTGCATCCAATCCAGCTAATGCCCATAAAACATATTGAGCAAGAAAGTAAAAAAAACATGAAAAAGAGAAAGGAAGTAACAAATCCCCCCCGGAACACCATGCAAAACTTGAAAAAGGACAAGAAAAACAATCAGGCCAACGATAAAAATGCAAATGAGAGCGGAGGCGGGCCCAGCAGACTAGTAAACTTTTTTGGTTGAAAAAAATGATGAATCCGCCAAAAGGCAGGATAAAAGAATCGAAGAGGCCTCTCGAGGTAATTTGGTCTGTGGGTTGAGGTGTCGCAGAAAAACGCGAGGTTGAAAAAAAGCAAAGGTAGAATATCGTATCGTCATCATGCATAATCGAGACAAACTGCGGGTGGTGGTGATGATAAGGGTAGCATATCGAGGGTGGGAGAAGACGTGAGAATGACCACATGAGACAAAACTCCCGCGCGGATGATTTCTCCCGACGCGAGTCGTGGAGTCTCAACAACAACCAATGATTCTAGAAAAAAAAGCTCCGCGGTTTATTACACATCGCAAGAGCCAATTCCTTGTCACCAGTTGCGGTCAAAAGCAGCCACTTTCCGGTCATCGAGTGTGGAGGAGGAGATCGACCATGCAGGGAATAAAAGATCACTGAGCGCCCACACAGGGCGCATATGCACTGTCCGCAAAGGACGGAAAGAAGAAAGAGTCGGGCATCTCCAGGAAAGAAACATCATATCCCCTTGAAACACAAAAATCTGTCAACATTGCACGCTGGGGGAGAAAGGGAATGGTCGATGACCAGGAATGATAGCAGGACTCCGGAGCGGTCGCCAAGCTTTGATGTCACTCACCCTCGAATGACAGGCGACGACTGAGAGTCCTTCATGAATCCATTCTGCAACGTGCTTTGGTGGTAGGGATAGCGAAACGCCATCGAAGGCGATACGCGTGGGGAGGCCGAGGCTGGACGAGATTCCGAGCGAGGTGGCTCGGTCGCATCTGGGTCTCGTCGGGGTAGGGAGCGGGGAGAAAGGGGAGGGGAAGGAGCAGCCGCGTTGAAGTATCTCGACGTCTCGTCCGCTTTAAGGTTGAGGGTGAAGTTCGCAAAGTTTGGCGGCTTCTCGTTTGATGTATTATTGGTGGGAGAACCGTACTGCAGGATTAGGTTAGTGTGCTGTCTTCCCAAAGAGCCTGGCGAATAACTTACAAAGCAGTACTTATCCACCAGCTCTTTGTAAGAGGAAGACTCGTGGCATGGTTTGCTAGATACCAGTGAGGACGGCTTCAGATCCTCTGATCGAGCATCATTTCTCACTGGAGAAATCCGACCTGGCCTAATGTCCAAGACTTTCTCCACCGGCTTGGCCTTTGGTGCCTCTGGGGTCTGACTAGACCGAGCGCGTGCGGTCAGAGTGGTCCGATCGACGGGAGTCTTGGTCCGCATAGCCGCAGTCAGCGATGCCCCAAAGTCATACCGGTTGCCGAATGCCTGTGGGTGTGGCTTCTCGCGACGCTTTGGTGGGCCGATCGTATCAATGTCGTTGGAGGTGCTGCGGCTCAAAGGAGGTCCTGCATTCGCGGTGAACGGGTTGGCGAACGGCGCCTTCTTGCCAACGTCGGCGAAGTCCTCGAATGAGAGAGGCATGGACTGTGGACGAGAACCAGAGTGAGAGCCGGTGAATGTGCGACTACGAGGAAGAGCCGGGCGGCTACCACCAGATGCCTTGTTCGTGGCCGGCTTGGAGGCTTTGACGAATTCGACTTGGTAGTTCATGCCGTTGTTGTTGTCCCAGTGCTCTTGACCGTCGACGGTGTACCGAATGCATACAAACATGGTCTTGCTTTCCAAGTTGGCCTGATCATCGAGCTTGATGTCGAAGGTGAACCGATCGTGGCCATCATGAGCGTGCTTGCGACGGACATCGTGGCTGTACACGGCAACGACTTCGGACACAGTCCTCCAATGATCGAACGTGAAACGGGCAGCCACATGCTTGTGGAACGCGAGGTTAGCCACAGAGACGGAGCCAATCAGACTCTTCTTATCAGCTGAGAGGAACAACCGTTCTAGGCGAACTGCATGAGTAGCGCGGTGGGGCGCATCCTTAGGGAAATTCGAGAGCCGCAACTCCCACTCCCACGATGGGGTAGATTTGTCCGCATCATGACCAAAAGGAAACTCGGTCTCGCCATCGTAGCTGTCCACCGGGGACGTTTCGGCGCTAACGGCCAAGGGTCGGTCGAGCTGCAAGAAATGCCGAATGTGCTCCAATTGTGAGTCGAAATGCACTGCCTTGGCGTAGACTGGGGTACCGGGCATGCTCGAAGGTCGTCGACGAGCTGTGGCGGGCCGGAGAGCTGGACGAACCAGTTCGCCCGATTTCTTTCTCACCATTGGGGGCTTAGGGGTAGCCTCGGCATCACTGTCGTCCGGCGAGCTGGTCAATGCCTGTTCCCTCCTGAGATCCACTGCTGTTTCAGTAGACGAGCGTGAGTGGGAGATCTTGCGAGACTCCTTGGAAAGCCGCAAGTAGTTGGGCTTGGGTCTGGATTGGAGAGTGGGTGGTGCGAGACTCGATGAGGATTGAGCCTCAGTTCCCGACTCTTCGGCCGTACGCATCGTCTCTCTTTCTGGTGAGAGTTCTCTCCGCTGTTCAATTGATCGCACTGCAGCCTCGAGTTCCTCAAGCTTGATCTCGTCTCTCGGTTCGGACGATTCCTCATCACTCGAGTTGGCCACGGATTCTGGGGGCGAAATTACCGCCCCCGGGGGAATGGCTGCATTGTTTAAAGGCGGCGGAGACTGGCGGAGACTGGCATGTGGATCGATGGTGGGGGAGATGCGGGATGGGGGCTCCGAGGAGGAAAGCCCGGTCGATTTACAGATCGACGGGCTTCTCCTGTGCCGACGGACGTATGAGGTGGAAGAGTAGGATCGAGAGTTCTGCAATCGATGGGATGCAGATTGAGCCACGCTGGGTCGTTCGGGGCGGGTATCGGAGGGGAGATGAGTGTATTCGATGTGCTGCGCGGCGAGCAACGACTTCCCAGGCGCAGTGTATGGCATCCGGCCGACTTGTGTGTCTCAACACAAGAAGGTGGAAAGTTGTATGTGAGCAAAGAACGGGGCAGCAAGGTGCTCAAAGGTTCAGTGCAGACGCAAAGATGAATCTGGATGGAGGAGAGAGTTTGAGTTAGTTCTGGGGTCCATTTTTTAATGAAAGGCACTGGTGGCGAGAGAGATGATGTGGGTAGGAGGCAGGAATTGAGGAACCGACAGGCAGGCGAAGACGGCATCACCATGCATTAGCCAGAATGATGGTGACTGGAGGGGAGGAGGAGGAGGGTAGTCGAGGTGAAACTTCTTCGGTTGTCGTAGGATAGATGCAGATGGTGTGGCACCCGAACAATGGCGAAAGGAAAGCGCGGACCAGTGGGGAGGTGGGTAGTATTAATGAAAGGGTATCACAGCAGTGACACCAGAAGGCAGTGAAGAGAAGAGCCGGTCGAGACGACAATATGGGGAGGCTCGGGGGGTGGGAAGGTGTAGAATGAAGCGAAGTGGAGAGCAGAGTTGAGACTTGAAAAGGGTTTGGGGAAAGAGGAAAGGAAGAGCTTATCAATCCTACCGATGGAAAACAGCAATCGCGGAGTGGGGAGTGTGGCGATTAACGATATGGCGATGCTATCGGGGTGGGCCGATCACCAGTCGGGTAAAATTCAAAATCCCCAATATTGAATAATAGAATATGCAAATGCAAAAGCAAAAGCCCCCGGAATATTCCAAAATAAAATAGGATTCCCCAAAATGTACAATCCGGAACAACCACAGTTGGTAGGATGGGATGATTTCGATCGAAGATCACCTCACTCTCTGTACCTCGAAAGTACCCGAGAAGTTGTGCTGGGGAGGGAGGCAAAATGGACCTTTTTAATAAGCCATGTCCCGCTTGGACCGTTCAAATGGACAATGATAAGAAGACTTGAGGGGAGTGTCAAGTTTATAGGTTCCAAGGTTCCTAGACCGGTTGAGGCAAAAGTATGTCCGGAAGAGGAAGGGGGAAGGATATAGGAATGAAGAGTGGAAAATTGAAAGAAGAGCTGGATAAATGCGATAGAAGTAGGGAATTATAGGAATCGGATAGCTTCCCTTGTTAGCAGGAAAAATCCAGAGTGATGGGAACCGGGAACTATCATATTTTAATATTGATGACTTAATTAAGTTAATAGGGAAGAAAAAAAAAAAAAAAAAAAAGATATCATCATTGCCCCAAAGTGAAAGTACAGTAGTAGTATAGTAGTATACTAGGGGCAAGTAAAAAAAAAAAAAAGTGGAACAAGATAAATAAAGACCGGGGGAACCGCAAGCGCCCATTGAGACCAGACCAGGCCATTGCAGACTCCGAATCCTACCGTCAGTGCGCCGTATAGAAAAAGGTGGCTTTAAGAGAGGCCGCTTGGGTCGTTAGGGACACGCCGAGTGGGTCGTGGTCTGGACACACAAAGTTACTTGGACTGTTGGCGCTAGAATACTGAATAATACTGCGTACAAATCGTACAATACCTTGGAGATAGAGTATCTTGATAATCACGGTATATCTAGAATATCTATATTATGATTATTATCTAATATCTAATATTTAATACTCCGTATATATCCCATAAATGTTACAGACTACTGCGGTGTAGGTGACTTGCATATTCCAAGCAGCCATTGATCTGGTACTACTCCGTACTCGCCATACGTTATCCGTGCTCTCTCTCTATACTCCCGTAGCCTCTTTTCCCTGGAGTACATCCCTCCGGTATGTACACCCGTGTCCACTCACAGGTACCGAGCTGAACTGGGGCGAAAAAAAAGGGCTCCCGAATTTTCCGCAACATGTGGCCCCTGTGCACGAGGGCGTTGGAGGATCTCCATTGGCGTCGAATTGCGATCTTTAGCCCTGGGACTACTACAATCAACTCAAACTCTCAATACATTAACTCTTTGGATTAGCAGTTTCCTCGAGGGGTCCGCGGAGTAACCACGACCTTTATCATACGTTCTCGATTGCAATTATTATACAATTTAAACATTCCTGCCTACGACGACATCCCTTCTCATTATGGAGACAGCATGTACAAGTAATGTACTCCATACTGCTCCGCCCACCTGGGGCGCTAATCAACTCCAGTCCACTACATTTTCACCTTGTGTTCCCTGTTTTTCTTTACAACTGACGTCTTGCAATTGTATCACCTCATCCACTTCTTTTCCAAGGCAGTCCATTTCTTTCCCCCCACCTCTTTCCAACCCCCCAGATACGTAGTCACGGGAATTTTGCGACCGGGATGATAGATCTACAGTAGCGTGCAGCGTGAAACAATTGGAACATGTTGCCGTCGGTGAACAGAGGGCCGCGCGACCGTGGTTACTCCCGTACATCGACAAGTTCTTTTTTAGTTCTTCTTATCAAGACTCTGTTAGCGGCGAGGTCCGAGTCCCCCGATTTCACCCATCTTCATTGGGGCGTCCCGAACTAGGCGACCAGGGAAAAAAACCGAAACCGAAACCCTCGCCGAAACCTCCCCCCCACCAGACAGTAGTTATGGAGTCTGGAATATGTGATATGCTCCATGCATGAATATGGAGGGGATATACACTGCGCAAGTGCTGAAGCATAAACCTTCCTGTTCTCCTCCTTTTCCCCCTCATTTTCAGCGATGTCAATGGTCTAGCCCATTTAGCATTAGCATTGACCACAGACTACGGGGACTCACCGTCGACAAAATGCGGGATCAAATGGTGCAAATCCTTGCGTCTAGCCTCTTCGTCCTTGAGGGTCGACATCTTTGACATCTCGTCTTTCGTTGCCCGGTCCGACCATGGAACGGCACGACCACGAACCCTCCGCATCCAAGGGCCTTACTGTTCGCAAACCAAGCCTATACTTTCCGCCAATTGCTACAGAGCGTTTGCTATCCTTTTGAATCGTATCTTGGAATTATAGTTTTGAGTGCATCGCCCATAGATGCAAGGAGGTGTCTCGCTGACCCGGATGGTGGTAGCTGCGGTGGGACACGACTGTAGGGATTGGAAGACTGGAGAAGAGCATGAAACCTTCTCAATTGTCGACTGGTTTCCCCCGCTGAGGGAGTTTCTCCCCCAGGATTAACGGATACACAAAGCGCTTGGATGGAGAAAAAGTGGGCAAGTTTGTAAAATGAACAACTGGGGGAGGAAGGGGACCGAGTGTAGACGTCTCTCGTCTACAATCTCTATAGGCCCCAGCATATCAATACTCCGTGACATGCAGCATGCAGTTAGATATCTAGTCCAACGCTTCTCGTCTGTGGATCGACAAGCAGCTGCACTCCATACATAAGTCTCAGTCTCCAGTTGTCTCCATTGCTCCAGTGCTCCACAGGCTGAGTGCCGCAGAACCCGGAGTTGGGTGGATTGGGGCCGACCGACCGACCGACCGAACCTCGTTCGGGGTGGGATTTTTTTTTCATTCCTCTTTTTTTTTACTTTTTACCTGGACTACCGCGAACAGCGGTGATTTAAGCTCTTATATTGCAAGGGGAACACGGGTCGCAATCTGTTATCTACCAAAGAGATCCCAGATTCTTATCAGAACCCAATCTATACTCAATTGACTCGGAAAGTCGTGATCGTTAAAGAGTCGAAAAAGAACCTGTAGCAGGTTTATACTCCGTCCACAGCCGGGGGGAGTAGTACTCAGTCTGTGGTAATACCACGCGTAGAACCCAAGTAGTGGATGACGTCAAGATGCATTTGACAGGCCCGAGAGTCGCTAATTTCCTTGGTTTTAATTTTCCTTGGCGAGAGGTCTGGGCCCCCCCAGTCGCTCGTGCAGGGCCAGCAACTATTTGCCCTGGTACCGTGTGCAACAATGGAAGAAGATAGTTGCACGACTTGGAACTCTGGTGTTCGCGGGAGGCTCGGAGAACTCCTTTCTTTCTAGGATCAACGACGCTATCAGCCGCAGCGGGAGAACTATCTGATAATCTCTTTCCAGGGCACGCCATTGCTGGAAAATCCCCCATCTCCATGGGACCCGCCCTTGCCGAATATCTTGTTTATGCTCTGGAATATGGAGTACGAAGTACAAACGGGAGCATGCCTATGGCGTAGTTGGTACCTCCGAGGGTACTCTGCGCTAGAGGGACCATGGGAGCCCAGTTGTAAGTATTTTGATATACGGAGTCGTAGTGACTACTTTGCTAGTTACTATATTTGATGTCGCTGTCTGTAAATTTAGTGGTGGAGACACGCGCCCATATCACGACAGGGGTGGTTAGTACCAGGGCCGAGTGCCACAACCGGAGGTTTAAGAAGTTTGGTCTGTATTTAATTTTTTGTAATTGAGGTGGATAGCTCGAATAAAATTGATGTTATATTTTGAGTGTATAGCTATTACACTAACTACTCACTCAGTCTGCTATATTGACGTTCGGACCACCCAATTCCGTGTTTCACGATACAAAAAGCGCCCCAAAAAACGTTGAGACGGGGAGGCGCATGTCTCACACCGAGCAGTCAGCCAAGAATTTTCCTACTCGTCGCATATCAAAATGGCCCATGCGCCCGGGCCACAAATCAACAGCTCCCCCTTTGTTGTTGCGCCTCTATGGCGCACTCTAAATTCAATTTCAATCTTAGCGGCACAGAGTTTTCCAATTTTCTCGCCACCCTCAACCCTTTTGACTACTAACTATCAAAACCGAGACTAAAGTAATATGATACTGTACCTGTCGTTAGTTATCGGCCTAAGCCGTAACTTTATTCATATGATTGAGCTTTGATATCCACCTTTGATGAGCGCGCTAATCCTCGGTTTGGCAAAAGCCGGCCCTGAAACTGAGCTCAGCCAGTGGCTCCATCGTGAGTGCTACTACTGGAAGGTCGAGACCGGATACTAGTTCAGTGCTAGCTGGTTAGCTACTTCACTTGGCTTAACTTTTTGACCCTGGTCTCGTACTCGGGCCTGACTAACCATTTGACTTTGTGTTTTGAGGATGACCACCTTGACCCTCAACTCTGCGATCGGCCCCTCTCTC